GGAGGAGGAGGAGGAGGAGGAGGATATGAGCGGCTGCTTGAAGCCAGAGATGAGAGTCTACCTGGTATATATATCGCACATGATTCCATGGGTCCAAAAAAATATCCAAGAATGATATATGTACGACCCGAAATACATCGGCCAAATGAGAAAATGACTGAATGAGAAAGTGCCTGTAAGTGCTCTTTTTTCCCCTTCTTCTCAAACCCTACCTCCTACATCACGCATCCCCGGTGTGCCTTTGCTCTTGTTCTCGTGTCTTATCGAGGGTTGAACTCGATATCTGCCCCCCATACGGCAGGCAGTCCAAATATCGTCCGCTTGTTTGACAGGACCCAATCAATGAACCGAGGGATGCTTGTTGAAAAAGGCCATATAGAGATCATGATGCGTCATCCGGTGCTCAAGACGAGGACCAATCGAAGAGATATGAAAGGAAGATGCCTTTTTCCCCCTTTCTACTGGTTTTTTCTCGTTGCTCGTACAAGGGTAGCCCCCTCTACGGCATGAGAAAGAGGAGAATGAGCAATAAGACTGCGCAGAAGCTACACAAGGTGAGTTGATCAACCTAGCGCAGCCAGTATCCACTCCCAATTGACGTGTACATTGCTTTCTCCCGCCACGTCTGGCGACCCTTGGGAGGTGCCGGCGCCTTGCCTTTGCCGTGACCTTGATGTCCAGTCTGCTGCGTGGGATCCGGGCTCGGGATGGATTTGGAAGTAGGCGAGGACCAGCCAGAGGTTGGGCCTGATGGGGATGACCGCGGAGGCGGCACTCTAGGGCCCGTGCTCGGCGCCGTGACTGGCAGTAGGGACCTCGACCTCTGTGGCTGGACCGTCGATCGGGACTGGGCATGGGAGGGCAGCGAAGGTGGCCAATCCTTGGTGATGTCAACCAAGGGCGCGGTAGCAAGACCGAGGGCTTGCGCCGTTTGGGGGAGGACGCTGAGTTCCTGCTCGTCGCTCCCAGGCGGTGGAGAGGTTGAATCTCCCCCATCTGGCTTGACCAGCGCTTCAAGCTTCAGCCTCTTGGTGGGATCTGCAAGGCGGTCGACGTCAATTCTCAGACCTTGGCCCTCGCTCTGGCGCTGCCTCCCACGGCCCAAAGTAGCGGAGTGTTGCCGTGTCTCGTCGTGTTCGCAGTACTTCCCAATCTTTCTCTTCTTTTCTTCCGATCTCGGGATAGCAGGACTCCCATCGAGCCGCTGCATGCCTTGGAACCCAAATGTGGGATCGAAGGAGATAAAGACTAGAGCTCGTTCGCTTGATCCCGGCTCACGAGGCGGACCTGCCATATACACGATACCCTCGTCGCCCAACATGGCTTTGACGTCTCCAGCCCGGCCCTCGGGGCACAGGATCTCATGCAAACCCTGGGGAGCGTCATCGGGGGGCCAAATGGACACGCAGCTCGGGGTGAAGGCTCGCTCTCCGTCCTCGATCTCCTGGCCCTCACGATTCCGCGTGCGCTTACGAAGCACCAAAGCCACAGAACCACCAATCGTCGTGTTCGTGTTGTTATCTCTAACCAGGGGACTGAGTTCGTGTCTACTGACCACACGTAACTTGATGCGTTGGTGGGGCCGCCATTCGCCTTCCATCACGGCCTCATCTGTCACGAGATCGATGAAAGCCTGCGCGTTGAACGAGTACCCATTCCACTTGGTTCTGGCGCGAATGTATTCTCTGGCTGCCGCTCGCTGCCCGCCCGCGTCGTCGGCTTGGAACTCGGCGTGAACGTATCTGTCGACTCGCACCATGGGCTCCTCCCACCGACTGTTGCTGTGCTCGTCGAGCGTGCGGCTAAGGCGATTCTCGTCGGGCGGATGCCGTAGCCCGGATTTCCGGTCCTTGAACTCGGCGCGCGGGATGGGTTGCGTGTAGTAAGTCCGAATCGAGCGGCTGCCGCCATTGAGCCACTCCTTCCGGCCCTCCACCACCAGGAGCTCGCCCGTGGAGTGATCGATCTGGAAGCCCAGGTCGTTCCAGGCGTCGTTGATGGGGCCCTCGAGATGCTGCCTCCGCCAGATGAGCTGGATAGTCAGTTCCGGGTTGGGGTCGTCCAGGCGGAACTGCACGACGTGGTAGTAGCTCGTCCAGTCGACCTCCTCGCTCTCGTAGCTCGTCTGGCTCGTGATGGCGTAGAATTCGTCGTCGTGGATCGTGAAGCACGCCGTGGACCCGATTTCGGAGCCGTGGAAATCCCGCAGCTGCAGCGGCTGAGCGGTCACGGCTTCGCCGGTCTCCAGACTGTAGACATCCAGCAGCCATTCGTGATGATTGTGGTCGTCTGTCGCCGAGTGCGAACCCACAACCATAAAACGGCCATTGTTCCTGACAAAAAGCTTGCTACTGGAGCGGATTGGCATGCACAGTCGGACGCGAGGGTGGCGGGCGTCCCCGGACCACAGTGGAAGCGTAGACCTTTTGTCCGCAATGTTCACGGCGACAATATATTGGCCAAAGGGCCCCGAATCACACACGAGAACCACTATGCCCGCGGCGTAGCTCTGGATCTGGATGGACCGGATCGCCTGCACATCTACCGTATCTTCTCCGGCCACGGTCGTGATGCCGATCTGGTCGTTGAAGACGCTGCTGTCAAAGACCTTCTCGGTGCCCCGAAGACTGTTGAAATTAAGGATGCGAAGACTGTTCGCAGAGGTAGTATAACATAAAATGCCAAAATTGTACGAGAAGCTGCTCGCATATGCTATAATACAGGCTGAATACGGAGATGCCTGTTGCAACGCAGACTGGGAGTCGATGATCCGAGCGAGGGTTTGCCTGGGCGTGGGAAGCTGCTGAGGAGACAGTGCAAGCTCGACCCAGAGACAATGTCGTAGACTCGCCTGACGCATGTCAGCTAGAGGGAGACAGAAGCCTTTGAATTGCAGCGTGGGAACAGTGAAAGGGGGAAAACTGAACCTGAATGGCGTGCTTTGCAGTATTCTCATTCTGAAGGTGTCGACGCAGCGACTTGCACGTGCGGGCCAATCTCTCAAAAGAACGAATGTCGAGCTTGGTTGCGATTTGATGGTGGACATCGAATGGCAGCTGGACGAACCGAGATGACATGCCCTTCGTCGACGACAACAACGACAAGGAAGTGGTATGGCGGCAATTCCCTCTAGCGTAAGCATGAGGCGGCAACGACAGGACAAAACAGGATGGACGCGGAAGAAGCAAAGGACCATTATCACAATCAAGGAGCGTGCAAAGGGGGAATGAATGAGGTTGAAGATGGGCAAGCAGAGCCTCATCGGTGCTCTCATACAAATCGTTGATGACAGCTCTGTGTCCCCGGCCAGAGCCGCAATGTTCTCATGCATTATGAGTGTATTTTCCGTGGAAATTATGGTGTCCACTGCTCTCCGCGGAACCGAACCAGAAGTTGACACATGTCCGTGAACTAGTCCCGAAGTCTAAGGACGTGCATGTTCTTGACCGGGGAAAACTCAGTCAGGCTTGCACTGAAGAGAGGTGAGCAAGTGAGGAGGTAGTTTTGTCAGGCAAGGGAAATGGATCTGAGGAGCCGCGGGGGGTTGCGCAGAGCCTCATGGAAGAATACGGTAAGCGTAGGGGCAGTGTTGATGCAGCACCCACTAGACTCACACTGGCTAGACTCTCGGTCACGATGCCCCTCGCCCCCCAGTGCCTGTGGGTGCCTGTGGATGCCTGGGTGGTTGCCCCTCTTCTAGTGGAACAGCTAACCAGCCACTGAGCCTATAGGATCCCCCCAAGAATCCCCCCAAGAAGTGGCGCCACCGCAGAGTCACAGTCGCGCTAGGTACAGCATCCAAGGTGCCTAGGTACCTCGCACCCCTCGTACAGATGCCCGAGATATGTACCTAGGTACCGACCAAGGTAATACGTCCCTAGGTACCGGGTACCGACCTGCTCTCTATTAATACGGAACCTCATTTTGCTTAGCCGGACTCTTCCAACGTCCAACACAAGCCAGCCCACTCCTTCGAGCCTTCCAAGGCCCTTATTTGTCGCCTCCCAAATTACAAGACTACCGCTATTCCTGCTGCTCCCCTCTTGATGTCAAAGCAAGGCTACCTGGTTGCAACACGCAACATGGCATGGTCTCACCCGCAGAGCCGCAACTGCGCCCCGGAGTCCGGGAGTACGAAACGCATGCTGCGCCACGAACCTTGCAATTTTGGCTTCTTGCTTCTTGCTTCTTGTTACTCTGACTGCACTTTCTGCTGCTATCCCTCTCTCTGGAGTCTGGATTGCCGCTTCGTCCCGTGCTGCTCGGACAGCATTGCTCCTGCTGATGCCCGCCTGAGACTAGGCGAGTCGAGACTCTCGTATTCTGCCGTGCTGAACGCAAACCTGACTTACTTCTCCAGTGTTGAGCAATTCACTGGTGAATTTCTCTTCTCGTCATGTTGTCCCCCGAGACCTAGCCGGCTTGGAAGAGCTATTCGGCCTGCGCTACTCGCCTCACCATGCACATATTGCGACGCTAGAGTCACTCAGCTGCTGAAAGAGCAGGACTGCTGCAGTGCTTCTCCTGTGATGACAACGACCACAGCTCACTGGGCGCCACGCAAGGCTGCGCCTCGGCAGGGAGGCAGGATTTCGGCAAATCATTTCCGCTTCTCAGCGGAGAGTGAGGAGGACAGCAAGCTCTTATCGGATTAGATCGAACCAAAGAGGACGGACGCACAGGTGATGTGTTGGCAGTCAGTTCTCAGCCAGACCTTCTGTTGGTGCAACGCCTTCCTGACCCTCGAAACAAGTGCAGCCAATCGTGGCCAGATGTATGGCTTGGAATTGCCGGAATTGCCGGACTTGCTGGAACTGCTGGAGCAGTATCGAGTCGTCGTTCGTCCTGCAGAGAATGCTCAGCCCGATCGGCGCGTGGCCCGTGTTGCGCCCAACCACTGTGCATGGACTCGGGCCCGGACTGTGTGTCAGGCTGCGCCTTGTGACCGACAGAATCGCAAGTTTTTGAAGAAAAGAAAAGCGAATGGACTCTTATACGAGGGGTGAGAGGCCCCCTCTTAGTTTCCGTCAGCTTTCGCGACTACCCAGGTCCTAGGTAGTCATGGGATACATAAGAGCCCCACGCAGTGTAATTGGTTAACACGGCCTGACCACCTGGACAGCCTCATCCCGCGTTACCGGCCACATGGAGCAGCATGAATTTGTGCAACACCATCAATGACTAGAGGTGTCTCTGCAAGCCATAGGGTTGGGCGATTGAGGTGTGGGAGGGATCACAAGGCCAGCTCTTGTCGTGAGAAAAGAACAAAGGTCTCATTGGCACTCGCCGAGTACAGATCTGTCTCATTGCGTTGGACCTAGGCAATCGACGCCCCTATTTGAGGACAAGGTCACAACACACCGAATACGGGATCGAATGGTATTTCTCTATCCCGCATCAGCGCAGAAGGACTAATCCAGTGGGTGTATGCGTCCCAGCTCGCCTGGTCGAATTGACCCTTCCTACGTGTTCACATTCACCAAGCATCTTCTGCTGGGAGCTCATCTTGACCAGCACACCATCTAACTCTTGTCCCATTTGCCAAATCGCACCCAACTGTCATAGAGCCCCTTGAATATAGTCCTGCTGCTTGGATCCATCCCTGCATTCATGGCCCTCATGACGTCTCTGTCGAGAGCGTCCATGACCCTGTACATGCCGGGCATCAAATGATCCTTCATCGACGGCGTGATTTGCCCATCAAGAACACATCGACAGTACTCCATGACAAGATACTGCATGTGCTGTCCTGCCAATTTCCGCGCTCTGTTCACTGCATCATTCAGCTCGTTGTGGCCACCTTTATTTGACGATCGTGCGGCTGACACGGTGGGATTGGAGACTGACGACAGTAGACGAGCAAACTGTGCTGCCGATGATAGCGGCAGGGGTTCTTCAGATTCATGCACCCAAATGGGCAGCGACTTGCCGAAGGACTTGATAGCATTCGCAGCTGCACCTCGTTGACTTTCAAGCGCTTTACGACCGGGCCAGAATAGACATCGTAGAAGGCTTTGCATTATCGGAAGCAACAGATGATAACGATCAGTGAGGCGTCTCCGGTGTCTTCCAAGTATAGCTCCAATGACCCCACATACCCTTTGATAGATGTCGCCTGGTCCGGGATCTGTCTCTGGATCTCTGGTCCGCAGCGATCGCGGACCTTCGGGTCCGGCAGAAGCGAGGGCGTGTATGGATGCAAGCAATCGATCTAGAACCGATTGATTCACCACTAGGGGATGGAGCTCGAGTGCACTTTTGCTGTTTTCTAAGGCAAGAAGTAGCCCGCCAGTGCTCAGTCGCGTAGTCGTTGTGGTCATACACACAACCTCCGCAAGGGCCTGAACCAACGCCGGGGATTGCAGCATGTGTTGCATCTTGATACGCCCTAAGATGCATGCCACGAAAAAGGCACATGCTGGCTGATATTTCACTTGCTCGCTCTTCTTTTGAAGATACTCCAGCGTTGTAGGCCAGGTGGCTGGTTCAAGTTGGCAAACCAATACATCTGCCTCGGCAGCAAGAACTGCGGCGTCCTCGTTGGTATAGTAGTTGTCCACAGACGTGGTTAACGAGGCCAGCTCTTGGGCATGTTGTTCATCGGGCATCACTGTGGATTTGATGCACTGACGTCGAAGGGAGAGCTCCACTCGCCGATTTTGCATGACAGCACATTCCCCCTTAGGAATTGTTCCTGCATGCACGAGCTTTCCCCGGATAACCGACGCAATGTTCCGTGACTCAACTGTTAAGCCGCCTTGATCAAGAGATTGGAGTGTGTCAACAATTAGGTGCAGCCTCAGGAGATTTCCAGGATTGGATGCATCGGGAAGAGCTTTGTCAGATTCCTCTTTCACACGCCTTGCCAGAATTGTTTGCAAGAACTCAACATCCTTGCGTTGGTCACCGCTGTCCAGTGCGCTGCCCAATCGATAGGCGAAGTCAAGAAAGATGCGCAAGCAGGATAGCGACACCGAGTCGTCACCGTGAGCCTCTAGATTCTGGACTGTTGCCACCATGTAAGCGAGAATCTCCTTCGCAGAGCGTTTCGAGACGGTCAGGGTTCGTGTCGAGATTGAGTGGAAGATCCGGTCCAAGATGCGTGAAGCTGTCAAATAGAGTGACACGTATTTCTGATTGTTCGTCACCTTCAATCCCGAGGACTCTCCAACGTTCCATTGGAGCACAGACGCAGCGAAGTCAATCCACTTTTGCCAATCTTTGTAGTCAATTAATGCACCTGGGAATGCCGAGTCCAACCAAGCTAAGAGGCACAAATCATCCGAAATAGCTTCAATCTTCGGCTGCTTACACTCTTCAAAAAGGCGACAGAGCGTTGAAGCCACAAAGCTCTTTATTACTGGCTTGCTCATGGTCTCCGTCGAGAGGCATTGCAGAAGTCTCGTGCAAATTTTTCTGCTTCTGTTTATCGACTGTAGGTTCTTGTCAACGTGCTCGAAAACCAGCTGTCGTAGAACAGGATTCCGGGAAATGTCCTCAACTTCCAGCACGGCCAGCAACAGACCATGCAAGTCCCGTGGAGAATCGACATCAGAATCTTGTGGCAGAGGTCGAAAAATGTTCTCTAGGCAGGCCTCAACGAAATCCTTGAAGCTTTCGGGGTACATGGAGAAAATATCAGGTCTTTGTAGCAAGTTGCCGACACATGCAGCCACCAATTCGCGAACGCTGTTGCATGTGGCACTACGCCCATCCCACAGGGTCTCGCGATGTTGATCCAGGCCCTGCAGTAGATCTGCCAAGCGACCAACCTCTGCTTCCAGTTTTGGTTGATATTGCTTCGATTTTGCAGCCAGTTGGACAAGGAGAAAAAAGCATTCACGATATTCGAGATACTTGGCAGCCTGATCGCCAGTATCAATCTTATCGAACGGCCGAAGGTCCTTTAGAGAAACGAAGTGATGGGTAGAGTTCAGCAGAGAGTCAGTCTCAATGGGTAGGGCCTTGCCATCTATACGGTGCATGAGGAGTCCAATCAGTCTCCTTAATCTCCAGCGTTGACCTTGATAGTCGGTATTTCGAGACAAAGCATTTAGTGCCCCGAGAAATAGAAGCACCAATTGTTCGTGGCCGAACCTCATGTTGTTGGTCTCGGAAGACATGCTTTCCACGACGGCGCAGAAGATGGCCAGTCTCGCACAGACTTCTGCCGTGGACCCAACTTTGTGGCCGAGCTTTTCGACGGGCTCAATCAAACTTTCCAGCATCCGCTGACCCATATTGGGTGGCGCATAAACAGTGATAAGTGGTTTGAATTCGTCGAAGACGTCCTCGTCTTCCCAGACCAACACAGCGGGGATGTCTTTTTGATCATGTCTCGAGGTGTAACGGACTCTTATTGCCTCCGCGAGCATCCGTTGCCAGCTAGCGACAAAACCGTCCAGGTCCCTTGAGCGGGCAAAGCTGCGGAGCAGGGGGCGAATAATATCATCCCGCAGCAGAACATAAGTACTCTGAGAGACTGTGCTTGACTCGATTCGGTCCAGTACTTGCTCCAGGAAGCCCGCGGAAGTGGACAGACCAGAATGGGGTACCAAGATATTCAGATCCAATTGAATAATCTTGACCAAGAGGCTCCAATGAGCCGATTCCGTGTGTGTTGCCAACACGGTGTGTAGAACGTAAACAATTATCCGCAGGCTGACGTGCAGCTTTCTCGTGTGGGCGACTTCGACTAGACGTTCCAAGGATGGTGCCCATTTATCCTGAAGCCCGGAAGCTGGGCCGACGGGAAGTGGCTGCTGCAAGACTCCAGTCGAGGTAACATGGGGGATGCGAGGCCAGCTGACATGAACAAGCCAAATGAATAACGAGTCCACAAAGGGTTGTTCTAACTGTCGCCTGCGGAAGTCTGAGATGGGCATTGAGCGCGCAGCTACATCAAGGATAATCCACGAAAGTTCCTCGACGACTGGTGCAGGATGAGCCTCGAGCCCTTTAGGCCGTTCACTCTCAGAGGGAAGGAGATCGCTGTAGGCCTTCAGCAAGGTTTCCATCTGTTCGTAAAGCAAAACGTCTGTCGTGGTTCTCCATTTTTTAGCGAATTGTTCGTTAAATGTCATTCGTAGCGGGAAGACGACATGCAGCGCAATCAGGCGCTCAAGCGCAAGTCTCGATCGTACAAAGGACCTATGGCTCGACTGTGGTCTGGCCAGGATGTCGAGCAGATGCAGACAGGGGATAAGGCAGTGCGAGGAGAAAGCCGGGTCCTGTCCATCGCCCTTCTTCCGAATCGTTGGGCCAACAGCATCCCAAGAAGACAGTAAAGTCTCCAGTAACGCGGACATAAGATCCGGATCCGGAGCGTCCGTACTGTTGTTCACGATGAATACCACCACCTCGAGCAAGCTGCCCAGTAAAGCAGCGTGATCACTCCATGTGGCGGTCTTTATTAGAGCGGTACGACTTCCCGCACTCTGTGAAGAGTTCGACGTGCTGGACAAGCTGGCGCAGCGGGTTCCTGTTTGTAACGCTAACCATAGCAACGTCTCTTGGGAGGGCACTGCGGTTTGGCTGGTCAACACGGGTGACAATCGTGTCCTTTTCGCTGGACGGCTCCCATCTTCGGCACCGTCATCCTTGGTGGCGACTGCACTGAGCTCGGAGCATTCCACACGAAGGAGCTCTCGAATAAGTGTGATCAGCAGCGGCTGGAAGTCTCGCTCGAGGAGAATCTCCGAGCACACATCGTTAGGTATTGAACGAGTTAGGTTGAGAAGGAGAGACCAGAATTTGGGGGACACCATCAAACTAGACAACAGTTAAAGGTAATTCAACTGATAGTGCAGAAAGGGATGTACCGTACCTTCTTTGAGACGCGCCAACTTTCCTTTGTCTATCCGATGATTTCTCCAGGGCACCAAGCTTCTTCAGAAGCCATCGCAGGACCCATTGCTCCTTGAAACCATGAGAGTTGGGGAACGCTGTGTATAGTGAATCGGTGGAGCAGCGTGCAATGGTCGCCTCGAGATGGAGTCCCAGGATGCTTGCAGCTTCCTCTAAGATCTGTTCTGGCGGCGCTTTGGCTTTTTCCAAGCCGGCCATCCTGGCCTCGAATGATTGCTTCGCCATCTCAAGTGTAAAGAACTCTGCTTAGTACACATAGTAGTAGAGTTTTGTTCTCAATGGATACAGTTGCATCTCTTTTCGCGGATTCTTTCGCGGAATATTGGAAGGCTACCTAGGTACTGTATCTCGGGCTCATGTTCGTTGTCGAATCCAGAAAATTTCGCCAAGATGAGTAAGCCTGATCGGGCCTAGGGTGACGCCGCCCTGTGCTCTCCCCCGACTCGCGTCGCACCCGTCGTGGGGGCGATATGCCTTGATGCCTCAGCGACGCGTGGGCCCCGGGCTGCCGAAAGGCGCCCAGCTGGATGCCACCCAGGATGCCCCTGTCGCCCTGTCAGCGACTGCACTGTGACTCAACATCGGTCCCCATCACCACCCACCCACACCGACCCAGCACCGGCGTCGAGCAAGGTTCAACTGCAAAAGCAGCGTGGTTAATGCAGTGGCATTGGCCAGACTTTTCCAAAATGGGAATGCGGTGCAGGTCGCGGTCCACGACATCGCTGTACACCTGTTCCCTTCTCAGTCGTATATGAGGACGTCTCTCCTAGCTGCTTTCGCCTCTCTGTTTGTCTACCTGCCGAAGGTCCGCCGGCTCTTTCAGCTCTGCCTTCCCATTTGGTGGTGAGTCTCAGTGAAGTCAGGCGTTTTGTTGTGGCGGGGAATCTCTGAATTCCGCATTCCTTCGACCCTATGTTGCCAGGCGGAACTTCTACGATACACTTGTCCACGTCGACTGCCTTCCTACCTCCTGTATCTGCAATCAAACTTGCCTACTGCCTTCATGATCATGATGCTCGCGTCTTAACTCCAGATTCAATTTCGCTATCCACCAAATGAACGTCAACTCCTAAACGCAATCTCGACCTTAGCCAGTGATGTTGACGTAGCCGCTCTTCGTTACTCTCCTCGAGGACGAGCTATCTGGTCAATCTTTTGGCAGACTTTCTAAAGGCAGAAAAGCCTCATGTGATGGGGTCCTTCATACTTCCGGATGAGACACTGGGCGCAGCCTACAGACACCGACCGCGTTGTGTTTGCACGGCGCGAAGTTCTGGGAACGGGCGTCCTGACCTGCCACGGTCTTGGGTCTAAAGTGGCTGCCTATTTGAAATCCCCTTTGACGGTGGTGGACGTTGCAGCCGGAACCGCATTCAGAAAGAAAAGGCGTCCTTGCTAATCTAAACCCTTCAGATTTCTCGAATCAAATTGAAAGCTAGAAGCTGTCAGGCTCCTGTTGAGGCGTTTCTGGGGAAGCTGTTGCCTGAAAGCACTCGGCGTAGATCCAGAGGAATCCGCGAAAAGACAGGGCCGCCTGAACCGCGGGTGGATCTCCCGGCGACGACTTTACTTCTCAAAGAAGAGAACTCCATGTGTTCTGCCCGCTATAGCTCTGTGAATATCAAGTCACATTTTCCTGCAACAGGCTTGAGTAAGAAGAAATCCAGGGTAGCCATGGACGCTTCTGTTGTCTCGGGTGCTGCTTTCCACTCGAACCGTCGAGCAATGTTCGCAGTGATCAGCTTCAATTCTATCATCGCCAGATTCTTTCCCAAGCAAGCTCGCGTACCTTTCGAGAACGGCATGAACATCTCTTTCATCTCGGAAGTGAGATCCTGAGGGCTCATCCACCTCTCCGGTTTAAAGCTTTCAGGCTCTGAGAAGATCTCAGGGTCGCGTTGTGTTGAATAACACTGCATGGATACGACAGTCTACCCATTATTAGTGCCACGGCGAAGAGCCCATGTTCGGCAAGTGAGCATACCTTTTCTGGGATGTAGTATCCGTTGATCTGTCGGCCACCCGTGGGTGTCTCCCTGGGTAAGCTTGCGGGCGCCGCTGGGTGCAGTCTCAGGGCTTCATTGATTACTGCGTCGAGGATTGGAAGGTCCTGAACTTGTTGGAGAGTAATGGAGCTGTCGGCGTGCGTTTTCAGTTCGTCGCGTAGCCTTTTCTGCCAGAACTGGTGACGAGAGAGCTCCCAGAACAGGAAAGTGAGCGTTGTACTTGTGGTGTCTAAGGACTTTCATTAGTAAGGATATTTTAAGGATATTCCAACTGCTTCGATTTGCTCACCTGTGCCAGCAGATACTAAATTACCCACTTCAAGTGAGACTTCCCGATCCGTGAGTGGCGCAACCCCGGTATCTGGCTTGACCGATAGAATTTTCGTCAAGAGATCTCGACGGCCTGAGTCACGACCGTACTGGTCAACATATTTGCGAAATGCGTTTGTACCGTGCTATGGTCATTAGCTGGGGGTTTACACGAGACTGTGTCCTCCGGGGAACCGATCACCTACCTCCGCCATCCTGTCAAATGCTCCTAGGAAGTGCTGAACAGATGCAAAGGGGATATAGTGAAGCGACGCGGCAATCCAGGGATTATTCCATTCCAAATTACCAAGTTTGAATATCGACTCAACGTCGTCCAAGGCACGTGGCGTTCTTCCAGAATCGAGACCCCCAAAAGCCTGGCCTAGGAAGAGTTCTCCTAGAGTCTAGTCAGCAAACCTCCCGGACTGTTAGCCTACTGAGTCCTGACGCACCGACAATATCATGCGCCGTCAACCTAAACCATTTCAGCATATCCATGGGCTGATCGGCACACCTCTCTATTGCAGCCAGGAGCTTCACTATCTGCTTTTGTATGAGGGGCTCCGATTCCAGGACGTTGGACTGCGAGAAAGCATGACTGAGCAGCTTGCGTCGTTGAGCATGAGCGACTTTGTCCCTTAGGCTAAAAATCCCATGTGGTCTCATCGACATTGACTCATAGAACGGGGCTTTCATGTACTCAGTCTGCTGCCCATACAACTCCTTCACGTTCAAAACGTCGTTCACGGAGATTTCGTTCGGCCCAACCAAGATAGTCGATCCATATTTTTGATGTAGCTTGTGCAAGGTCGTGGTTCGGTTACCTGTCATGTCGATGTATCTGAGCCAGAGTGGCGTGAGTCTTGCGAGAAATGGGCCTGGTATCTTTCCCAATGGCGAGAAGAGCAGTGCATATGCCACCTGAGCTTAGTCAACTAGACGTCGCCCCCGCTAGAGGCATGTGAAGACCAACCTTCTGAAGAAGCCAACCTACGACCAGTATTACCGCAACCATGGTCGAATAACTCAAAGACATTGCCATCTTGCTGATTGAGCTGTGGATAGCTGCAACTAGAATATGTCCTCATCAGAGGGATAGTTGAGATAAAAGATTCTCTGGGTACTCCCGGCCCTGTTTAGAATGGGAACTTGCCGACACTTTCCAGACAATCGACGGTCTCTGCCTAAGAAATAAGACGCGTTTCAAGTGTCTTGACTCTCTGGTCCACTGAAAGAAATGTAAATACATTAGGAAGCTCTGAATTGCTCGGGCCGAGTCCAGCATGGGCAGAGAGCTGACAGTGGTCGTGTAAAGGCTACTTCACTCCGGACCGAGCTTGTAGCCGTTCTCTGGTCCTCGAAGAGCACAATGCTCTGGGGAAGTAAAGAAATTCCGAGGTCGAAGGGAAAACCCGCCTGTCAAATCTCGGCCCATAAGAACGATGGTTTTTTGTGGGCCACCAATGTCGGCCCGCTTTAGATGGCCCATTTATACGATGTCCAGAGTCCAGGCGGCGCTCCCAAATAGCACCACCACACCCTGCATGTCACAATGGACGGCAGCAGCTTAGGCAGTTTTGTTGATTCTTCCGAGACCAAACAGGCAGCGAGCCTTCCACCTGTTCCAAGAGGATCATAACGGTTTACCGCCGCTGGTTTCAAGGTTTTTGCTTTAGGCTTGACGAATTGCCTTCTGCGCTTTATTCTGTGGAGGCCTTGTCGATGGCCTTTAATGCTTGATCACTTCCGTCGAGCTAGTCTTTTCCACCTTCATCTGTCCTTCCAGACATGCTGTTATGGGAAGTACCTTCTTACGATGTTGCCCGATGGAGCGCAACCAGCCGTAGTATGTACATGGCTGTGGACAGGATTGGAAGATCGAAGAACTCCCGTTATTTCGGCCCAAACAGTCCTGTTCGAATGCTGGTGGAATGTTGAAAATTTATGGGAGTATGCCCCCGTCATAAATCGCTATCAGCTAGTCGTGGTTGGGGCATGGTGCATACCCTTTCTTTTTCGGCATAAATCAGCGACAACACGGAACTGCTCATTCATGTTTACCAAAGGGAATGTCAATAACTGCCCCGAGTGATGTTGGGAAGGAAGGAGATAGGAGTATATGGACTGCAATGATTTGACTTCTGTGCGTGAGTACAATTGTTCTGGCAAACATGAGTCTCGACTGGTCTCTTTCTCGGCCCGATCACAGCTCTCCTTCGGTACATTTTGATTCGGATGTAATTCATGACAAGGCTTCCGCACCCTCGAACTTAGTGTCCCCGGCTTCTAACCTGCTCCCCTTCGGCCGCTCTTTGCTGGGGTATGAAGAGTTGACCTGGGGCTAGACCTGGGGTATGGAGTTTCCGGAGTCATTGAGGCTTTTGGTGAACGCATATATTAACCCTGCTGCACCCTCGCTACGGCGACATCAACGGCCGCTGCCAGTGCGGTAGAGGCAGCTCTCTTATAAAGCCTTCACCACGACCTTGCCATGATGGCCAACTCCAGCCACACACATGTCGAGTCCGCTGCCCACGGCCCAATCCAACACAATGACCATCCCCAAACCTACTGGAACCATGTCAAAACTTTGCTCACCATCGTGGTACAATATATCTCCTCCTCAACAGCCAGACTATAGTAACTAAGCCAAATTTGCCAGACTATCTCCAGCATGTACTTCTGCCAACTCGTCTTGGTGGTTGGTGCAGGACTACTAGCTCGATCCATGGTCGCTGTTGTCGGAGGAGAATCACTTAGTGCATGGCCGACTCCCGCCATAGGACTGATGACTGCCGCTCTCTGTCCCATTGCTTCCCAGATGGCAGATTATTGTAAGCCAGCTCTTTACGATTTTTCATGGAAATATCAAACTCACCTTCAACAGGGGGGAGAAAGTGGTTCCTTGTGATCCTTACTGGGTTCGGCGGCATCGGTTCCATCATCGTCTCAAGGGCAACGTCTTTCGGCATGGCTTTAGCAGGCTTCGCAATCGGCGGCCTCTCGTGTGTCACTCAACCACTTCTTCATGCTGTTGTCTCCGAAGTCCTGCCACGTAAGTTCCGGTCATGGGCCCAAGCCGCTGCCAACATCGCGGCCGGTCTAGGTGCTATTTACGCACTCCTCGTCGGAGGTGCCCTCACAGCGAACAATCCTCAGCACTTTAGGATCTATTTCTATACCGCGGCTGGTCTTTACTTGGCCGTCTCTGCTGCTTGCGTCCTATTATACAACCCGCCTTCTAGAGAAGCTCAGACCATCAGCCTTAGCGAGAAGTTACAGTCGCTTGATTGGATAGGGTATATTATGGGAGCAGCCGGTGTCTCTCTGCTTTGCATCGGTCTCTCGTGGGCTGAGAACCCATATCCGTGGCGGGATCCCCACGTACTGGCGACCTTTCTTCTCGGCGTCGTCATTCTCATGGCCCTTGTGGTATATGAGGTGAAGTTCAAAAAGGATGGTCTGTTCCACCACAGCTTGTTCCGCCATCGCAACTTCCCCATCACGTTGCTCTGCTGCTACATTGAAGGATCTGGCGCATTCGCAGCAAATTACTTCGTGCCGCTCCAACTCAGCACCATGTATCCTCAGATGGACTCTTTCCGGGTGGGTCTCTGCTATGCAATCTCGTGGATAGCCTTTTTGGCTGCCGCGCTCCTGGTCGGCCAGTTCATTTACAAGACAAAATCCGTTCGAATTCCAGCTATGACTGGGTTTTTATTGTTCTTGCTATTTTATATTTTGGCCGCGACTTCGAAACCATCAACTCCTGAGAGTCTTTTTTGGGGCTCCATGATTCCCTTGGGAGCTGGGCTGGGTCTACTTCTCATCTCACTCGTCACTGCGGCACAGTTCGCCACTCCACCGGAGCTCATTGCAATCACGTCTGGGCTGATACTTTCAATTCGGAGTTTAGGAGCATCATCAGGGTTGGTTATCTACCAAGCCGTTTTCAACGCTGGCCTTTCGAAGAACCTGACATCGAAGATCGCTTCTGCGACTCTACCTTTGGGACTGCCTGAGGCATCTTTGGGCGCGCTGACCCTTGCACTGACATCAGGAAACACCGCTGCTGCTACAGAAGTCCCAGGAGTGACTGCTGAGATCATCGCCGCTGCAGCACTGGCATTGCAAAAAGCATACAATATTGCTTTAAGCTACGTCTGGGCCACTGCTGCTGCGCTTGCATTCGTCGCTTTGGTTGGTAAGTAAAGCGGTTGACCCCATCTTTCCGGGCAACGTACACTGACGCAGGGGCAGCCGCAGCATTCTTACGCGATCCAAATGACGAATTCACTGCCGCGATTGATGCACCTCTCGACATTGTCGTTGTCGTTGCGGATAGTGAGCTGGAAGCAGAAGACAAGGTTGTTGCACAACAGATGGACTTGTCCCTTGACGGAGACGGGTTTTAGTCAAAGTGAGCTCTGTCCGAGCAAGGAGAAAGGACATAATGAGCCTCGATTGAAAGGTGAAATCTTGCACTCAGATAGTGTACAGGTCCTGCAGGGTCTGCCACATCTCGGCCGGCTCTAAGGCATGATGGACAGCCATTTTCTGAGCCCGGCGGCCCCGTTCCGGAATCAACAAACAGATACTCTGGACGAAGTCGGTCTTGGACTAGCCCTGTGCTGACTCGAGGGGAATTGTCAGAATTTTCCAATCTCGACATTCTCGAATCGAGTGCTCCTGAGTCCTGATACTGGCGCAGAGCTTAGTTCTTCAATCGTTTTATGCGGTTGGCGCACCGCTGTCAAGGCTTCCTGTGAGCCCTATCACCACCGCCCTCGGTTTGTGCGAGTTTTTGCATTTCTTCTTTAAGCTCCTGGAGCTGTGGATCACGTTGTATATCATCTCCGAGGTATGAGGGGAGCTTGTCAGGGAGGCCCTCCTTATGAGAAGTTTGAATTCGATATTGCTCGGGGATAAAGACGAGGTTATTTCGAGCCCAGAGCGTAAGAAGTACCCGAGGAAGATGTCGTTTAATGGAATTGTATTTCGGACGATGTTTATTCACGACAAGTCCCTTGCGGGTCAAGGTGTATCGTACCCACCAAAGAGATATATTAGCCCTCTATTTCTAGAACCTCACTCCTAAAGTGTATTCAGTCTTACGTTATATACTTCACTTCGTTCTTCTTGAGATAGCATCGGTCCCTGTAACGCGGGTGAAGCCGGCGAAGAACTATTCGACTGCGATATTGATGGAGTCGGCGGTCGGTCTCTTTTTCTTCCTATCAAGCCGGGGCGCACTTATAGCGATGTAGAACCGAATGAAGTCTTTTAACGGTTGTAAGATCGGGTGATAGTCACATTCTGCCCTAGATACTGGCGGCGAGCCGTCTCTTTATCGGGAGGAGGTAGACGAATACACTCGCGCAAGGCTGTAAGCAGTTGCTATGGAAAGCTTTTTGCACCCTTGGTGCGTGCCAGAGAGGTAGTACCAGCATGCCTGGATTCGGACATCAGACGAATGCAACCGACAGAAGTGCATGGCGGCATCATAGACCACTGTCGTCGCTCCAAGCCAGCTGAAGGGTCTCCGGAATAAAATGCTGGCTCAAGCTCCCTCGCCTGCTCCTTGAAGGAAGTCTCCAATGTATGCGTAGGATGTGGAAGCGTGCCACGGTAGAAATTGTAGACGAAGAGAGCGGAAGGGATAGAAAGATAGCCTCTTTCAAGTTGGCGGATTGAACTGCCAAGACAGGCTCCGATTGGCTGGTATCTTTTTTGCTGGGAGCTGGTTGCTCTCTCCGCTCGGAACGGCGCAGTTTGCCAAAGCTCTCAGTTTGACCACAGCCTGCAACTCTTTCGTCTATCCACACGTCCACGAGGCAGTACATACACTTGGATCACCCCAAAGGTACAAAATCCGCGCCAGATTATGAATGGTTTTAACTAACGGACTCATTCAAGTCTCCAAGATGCCGGACGACAACGTTTCGAGCCCTCCCTTACCCGTGGCTAAATCGAGACCAGTGAGCGAAGCTCTGTTGAACGAGAAGGTATGTGCACAACAAGAGCTGTTGGTGAATCGGAAGCTCTTCGACTTGGACTGCTTGTGCGACGGGCCTTCAGACAGCTCCCAGGGCCCTTCCGAGTTCCGCTGGGCGTAGACAGGACAAAAGGTTAACGGCTGACACATCGTGCAGTGGGATCGTGCAGTTTCGTCCTTCGTGATCAGATCCGCACTCGGCTTTTCCTTTGGCGTCATATTCTCAGTCCTGTTGTTCAAGCGAAGAGCGTGGCCAGTGTATTTTGGAACCGGCTTCGGCGCCGGAAGAGCTTGGGAAGAAGCTGATGGTGGGTCGATTCTCCAATGGCCCGCAAGATAAAGTGAACCTGCGATATTGACAGTGATCTAGCAAATTTCAAGAGAGGCGACACACACAACACGGACGGGCTTCGAAAAGTACGGACTGATAGGTAATCAGGTCATGGAGGCGTCTTTTGTTCTGCCCGCAATCGCAATGGAGAGTACAAATGTGTACAACATGTACAAGCACCTCGTTGAGAGGAGCATATGGTGCCTTTGAGCCGTCTGAATCACTGCATCCGTCCATTTCTGCTGTTCTCCAGCTTGCACAAATCTGCCGCTCATCTGCTCGCCTTCTCGTTCTCAATCTCCCGACGGAGGTTTTCCAGTTCTGCCTCGCGTTTCCTCAAGTGCGACTCGAGACCATCTATCTGCTCCGAGACCAATGCAAGATCATCCCTCAGTCTCTTCAAATCACCACCTGATTTATTCCCGTTTTCTGAGTTGAGCTCGACGTATTGTCGCTGCTTGTACTCGAGCATTTGCTGCGCCTCGCGCTTGACCAGCGTCCAATTCGTCTTCCCTGGTTGTCTAGGACCTCCATTCTCCTGTCTCTGCTTTCGTCTTCGCTCTGAGGCCGCCATTGCAGCGTCATGCTGAGATTCCAGCTCCCGCAGCTCGCGTAGAAGTCTGACCTTCTCCAGGTCCTCGTCCTCCACCACGTCTGAGAAGTCGGTGCCTTTGGGCTGGTAAGAAGAGCCGCCCTTCCCGCCAATGCGGCTCAGATAAGCATCTCCGAATTTGGCTTTTCGCCCCGTAGATGTGTCTTCGTCGTACTTGTTCGGTCTGTTTCTGACATTGTCGATCTGGTATTCAATCTTATTACCCTCAAAGCTTGCCCTCAAGCTGGGTGGGACGGTACGCGGTATCCGAAATCCCTCATGACGGTAGTTGAGGATATGCAAGAAAGCGAGACAGGCGTCTTTCGAGATGGTGTCTCGACCACTCGTGTTGACGAGGTTCCACGCGCTCCGCACGTCCGTATCCGGCACATCCAGACTGGAATAGAGCGTGTGCAGGCTTTCGAAGCTGATCTCCCCCCTCCTGTCCTTATTTGCAGAGTAGATCTCCTCGTACTTTCGCTTGTCGCCAGGATTCATGTACCAATCGAAGCCATCCTTCAATCCAGCGTCTTCTTCATCATCCTCGATCCTCTCAAACTGCGCCCCTTGGTGGCCAGTCAAGGCCCGGTTTGCCTGGACCAGGTGGGCTTTGGACTCTGGGATGAGCCAGTCCGGCAGGCTGGGCGGCACGTCCTGGTATTCGCCGTTGACGAGGTCGAAGATGAGTCGCATCGCGACGCAAAACTCCTCAAAGTCCAGCTCGCCGTCTCCATCGACATCCGCAAGGTCCCATACACGCTCGAGCTGGTCATCCCGCAGCTGCGAGTTCCGGAGGACGTTGGCTGCGGCCTGGTTCGTTAGGCGCGAAGAGGGTGTGGCAGGTTGCTGGACCAGCGAGGAGAAGATCTCCCAGTATCGGTCGATTTCCCATTTCTCGATCCGCTTGGTGCCTGACATGGTGGATAGTTGTGTTTGTGGAAGACGGCTCAAGGCAGGAACAGGTACAGCGAGGAACGACGGGAACAGGAACTGAGCAAGAAGCTCAGGGAGACAAAGAAAAGCACGGAATCCTTGCTGTTAATTACAAGGCGCCATAATCAATTCATCTTAGGAAACGGTGTTGTAGCTGTTGGTTCAGTGCACGCACCGCCGCATGCGCAAGCAAGTAAGCGGTCCGGTCTGGGAGACTCTCGCTGCTTTACCACAGCGCCAAATGCAGAGGTGCTCGAGTTTGGTACATTCACGCCGCTTTTAGCATGTCTGAAGCCATACTTCCTACCCATATTATTGTAGACAATGGAGGTCATGAGGACAATGTAACATGTAGTTCAAGAGCTTGTCACTGAAGTAGACGACTCAAGTCCAATTCGGTAGCAGAAGCGCCTGGATTTATCCCTATGTTCTTTCCCCTTGTCCCTGTCGCACAGAGATCATGAATACCTAGGTATGCTCCCAGTGGGTCAATGCCGCTGTGGCGATTGATTTCTTTATTGTTCCAGTGTTCTTTGCCAGGACATAGAATTATCGGCATGCTCTGCGGCTGACTTCGCCTCAGGACGAGAATCTCTCAGCATCAGCCGATGGGTTATAGCCCTGGAGCTAGAGCTGGTCTCTCGATAGTGATTCTTGGATCTACCAAATGGGGTTAGCATGACGCCTGGTGCCATTGCTCCGCCCAATTCCACGCCCCTGGGATTCAGCCTTGCCATGGGCCATATCACCAGGGCGCTTCGAGGCGTACAACTACCACACTTTGGCACGAGGTATATCTTGTAGGGATACGGCGCGCAGGGTAAGATGCTCCCACACTTTCCAAACGCTCTCGAAAGTCTCCAGAAATGTATATTTCCCTCCACAAACGTGTCTTCTCGAGCAACAATAATGGCTTCAGCCTCAGTACCACCGGGGTCATCAGCATTGCCATCATCGTTGTCCTCTTTTGCACCGTGACGAGTCTATTGTGTGTCACCAACTCACGGAGGAGACGGCAGGGAAGACTCGAACGCCTAAACCGAAGACACCACCATGGCCTTCGCACTACGACAGAGAATCAACCAACAAGAAACTGTCTTCGGTCCAACAACCGGCCCTGGGGTTGGAATCCTCAGAGGCCTGCCAACACTCACGTCAAATTTCCTGCTCAGGCACATGTTGCCGGCGACACCTTTGAGCCTCTAGAGCCTCCGCCAGCATATCAAGCATGAGTAATACACAAGACTGCTTCAAAGGCTGCCGAACAGACCACACCGTCGCCATTTCTCTTCGCTGGTGAATGCGCAAGTCATGGCCTCGGAGACATACCACCAGGATACAGGAGAGTGGGATAATGTGTTCATGTCCAATCAAATCGTGGGGAGAGCCGGGCTATCAGCCTCGGAAGGGAATATACAGATCTTTCCATCTCGATAGCTTCACAATCATCCCTCAACCATTTCTTTAATTTCCACCCTCCTACTGTCCTCTGTCTCCCTTTTCAAGACCTCAATCCCCTCTTCAATGTCTACCTCCACCTTCTCCTTCTTTACTCGTCTCTCTGTGGCCTTCCAACCTCGAATCTCTGCCTTGCACAAGCCTGTTCCGGCAAGGTCGCATTCGCCACACCTCCGCCCTACGGGCAGACACACCGTCTGCCCCAGACCCACAAGCAACGTGTTGATCTCATGCCATCTGTCGCGAGGCAGCCAACCCTCCAACCACGCTCTCGTCTCCTCCGGGGTCTTGGTCTTATGCCACCCCCAGAGGTTTGTGATGCGATGGACGTGAACGTCTACGCCAATTCCTTCATCTTTGCCCCACGCGGCAGACATGCAGAGGTACGCCATCTTGGGACCCACTCCTGGTAGACGGATCAAGCCTTCTATAGTGTTGGGGATGTCGGAGTTGTATTCCTGCTTGAGCATTGTCGCGACTTGCTTGATATATTTTGTTTTGTTGTTGTGGAAACCGACTTTGCCGATCAGGCTGTCGAGATGTTTTGGGTCACAGGCGATTATGTTGTCGACTGTGAGGGTCGATTGCTGTACTTCGTCGTTTGGAGTGGGTGACTGAGGAACTAGTTCTGTGTGTAGACGTTGCATAGCGACTGCTGTCACCGTATCTTTTGTCTGGGAGGATAACATTAGACTCGTCAAGATGTGGTAGCGTTTCTCTCGCGGTGGAGCGGCAGGCCAAAAGAGCTCTTCACAGCCCATCGTGTCGACTGGAGCAGTTGGATTCCTGTACCGCATGGCCTTGATTGTATCGTACATCTCACCCCAGCTGGAAGGAGGATGTATTCGTACTGTCCCTGATGGCGAGGTTGTCCTCCGTGCCGGAATTTTTGGTTTTGACCTCGCACGCCCACTGGGCGATGACTCTCTTTTTCCCTCATCCTCATCGTCATCCTCCTGCTTGATCCTGCGCGGCGAAGTCCATTCGGTTGTGGTTGAGACAACTGTCGCAGTAAACGGCGAGTCTGATCCAAACTTTCGTTTTCTGCTCGAGCGCGACGATGTGCTTAGGACGTCCTCAATATCTGCAGTCGAAGCGACGCCCGCGCCCGCCTCATCCGCCGACGTCTCATCTTCTTCTTTTGCCTCAACATCCGGATTGAAACCTAGTGCAAAGGAAGCCAGTCGCTTCGAGCGCCTCGTGGATCGTCCGGCGCGAGCATTCGGTGATAACCCATTGAATATTCGTGTGGTTTCCTGCGAGATCTTGGACGTTCGCATCTTGCGCAATCGTTTCTAGCACTACCTGCGCCTGAAAATGGGGACGATAGAAAGTGGTCAAAGTGCCAACTGCAGATCTCGCATGACCCCTGGACGATCGCAAGTCTAGGGCCTGCCACGCGCTGCGTCGCGGTCTCCGCCGAATGGGCACCAATTGGTGGCGTTCGACTGCTCCCCAGGCACAACCTCGGCTGCGCTGCGAGCTGAACTGACCTGGCAATGCGCGGAGCTGTTGTGACAACAACCGCACCACCGACACCGGTTGCTTTTCTAACTGGTATATTTCTCGCCTTTGAGTCCTGTCCATTGCAATAGATTTCTATCTCACGCCACAAAGTTGCTTTGTACAGTCTCTTTTGTACGCCAAAATGTCATCAACTCCTCGCAGCGGCAAATCCTCATCCACCAACGCCCTCAAGCGTCTCACTCACGAACTTCAAGACCTCCAATCCTCCCCAAATGAAGCAGTCCTTCACCTTGGCCCCGTCAACGAGGAAGACCTGTTCCAATGGGAAGCTGTTTTAAAAGGTCCTCGAGACCCGGCCTCTCCATATAACGGCGGCTTATGGCTTCTTTCCATTACCGTGCCGCCGACCTACCCATTCGCCCCTCCCAAAGTCCAATTCATCACACCTATATGCCACCCGAATGTGCATTTTTCCACGGGAGAGATCTGCCTGACACTGTTAAGTGGTGAGCACTGGGCACCATCGTATACGCTAAGCACGACCATGGGCGCGATTCAACAGCTACTCATTTCTCCGGGATTGGACAGCCCTTTGAATGTGGACATTGCGAATCTGTACAGAGAGAATGATGCTATTGGCGCAGAGAGCCTGGTGAGGTTTTGGACGGGCGCGAAGAGGTGGGCTGGCGAGGGTAAAGGTGGGTGGCTGAGTGAGAAGAGGAGAGGAACAGGAGGGAAGTTGGGGGAGTAAGATGATACCTACTATGAGGCGGTCTAACGCTGCTTTTGGTGCTTTACGATGCTTGATGTCTGTTAAGGGCATTCTTGAAAGGCGAATCTGGTGTTTCTGTCTTCGGGGGTTTAGCACTGAGGATGTCTACTTCCCTTTCTAAGCGAAGGAGTAAAGCGAAGCGAAGTATAATGTGGAGTACATGTGTTCAACCTGGGAACTACCGAGGTGTCTATGGACAGGATTCAAGTTCGCGCGAGCGCCTTTCCGGGGAAATTTGCATGAAGCAGCCAGCCAGCAAAGGCTTTTGTGATGCGTGATGGAAACCATCTTGAGATGAGACGAGCACTCACTGTGTCTGCTACCCTTCCCCGATTCCGAGGGTTCTAAGGGACTTGTTCCTTTCAAACAGCAAAACAGAGATTCAGAGTTTACTTGAGCTTCGGGCACTCTGCAGTCTTGGTACTTCAAAGGATGTAATGGAAGACATGTTCAGTAAGACAGCCAGAAACGGCGTCGAGGATGCCACTTCACACAGGTTGCGCAATGTACTACTTTTTTCCCCCAGTCCTTCGCATGTTTCATTTGACAAGGCTGGCAAAACATAGTATAGAGGCTTATACTCCGCCGGAGGCTGTACTGTCGAGCATGTGACCCGCCAATACCGGCCTGGACGCGCCATTGACCTGCAGCCTCGTCTCTCGCCCTCGTCCGCTCGGACATTTGTCTTCGCTTGCCTGTGAATCTTGTATTGCCTGTCCTGCTTCTCCTACAACTCTGTACCGTCTTGAAGTATTTCAATATCTTCTCGAGGATCATTGAGAAGCTTTTACGAGCTTACTGTACAAGCACGCCACAATGGCAGACAGATACTCATTTTCCCTCACGACATTCTCGCCTAGGTACGCCGACCTTGTTTATTCCTTGCGCAATGAGTCTTCCATGCTAACACGAAGTAGCGGCAAACTCGTCCAGATAGGTATTTCAATGTCAATAGAAATGGCCTAGACCGGTGCTTACCCTACGTCCAGAATATGCTCTGAACGCAGTAAATCAAGGTGTCACATCGTTAGGCATAAAAGGTACGAAGGATTCCCAATACACCCTGATGCGCAGTGTTGACGGACGAATCGCAGCAACAAACGGCATCGTCCTCGCGACCGAAAAGAAATCGTCATCACCTCTAATCGATCCCCCCTCCCTTTCGAAAGTATCCCTCATCACGCCCAACATCGGCATGGTCTACAGCGGTATGGGCCCGGATTATCGAGTGCTAGTCGACAGAGCTCGCAAAGTCTCACACACCAACTACAAGCGCATCTACAATGAATACCCCCCAACACGGATATTGGTTCAGGATGTGGCCCGAGTGATGCAAGAGGCGACACAGTCTGGCGGTGTACGGCCCTACGGTGTGAGTTTGCTGATAGCAGGATGGGACGACGGAATCGAGCCAGAGACCCTGGCTGCGAAAGAGGGTGAATCGGAAGCAGAGGCCAAATTGGCAAGCAGGAAAACGGGCGGCATCCTGAAGGGCGGGCCCAGCCTGTACCAGGTCGACCCGAGCGGCAGCTATTTCCCCTGGAAGGCCACAGCAATCGGAAAGAGCGCGACGAGTGCAAAGACCTTTTTGGAGAAGCGATACAACGACTCCCTGGAGCTGGAGGTGAGAATAATGCGTGGAATCCATTTCGGACTACAACGGCTGACGGACCCCCTCTCAGGATGCCATTCACATCGCGCTGCTAACACTCAAAGAGACCATTGAGGGGGAAATGAATGGCGACACAGTGGAGATCGGCATTGTGGGTGAGCCCGCGAACCATCTTCTCGGGTACGAAGGCGTGGAGGGCGCGGTCGGGCCACGGTTCCGCAAACTCAGCAAGGAGGAAATCGAAGACTATCTGACGAATCTGTAAGAACAAAGTGGGGAAAAAAAAGACGTGGGTGCGCAAGCAGCGACTTGAAATTAGGGTCGATGAAAAATTTGTTGTTCCCTTCCTTCACACCCTTTCGGTGCCATTGCGGCCGTCATCAAAGGAAGGACCACGGCTACGAGGCTGATGGATCAGGGGCCAGCTTTTCTTCACCCACGGATTCACATGGAGAGGTATGCATGGTTTCGGCGCAGGTCGGACTGGCCTCGTTTAAGGAAAGGCAGACAGAGCTTTTGTGAGAATGCAACCATCAAGCCGTGGTTGTCTCAAGTGCTGCCAGAAACTCGGCAATCGCGTCAAGTCCACTTCATCCCCAGCAAACATTTCATTTCTGTCCTGAGTCTCGAGGTAGAGACCTCATATCACCTTGCTGGACCATTTCTTCCACTTCTGTCTCTAAGCTTCTGATTCTCTTCCCACCCCGTACCATCCCCTCTGTCCAGACGCGCCCCCCTTCCCCAGCGAGCTCATCCCGCCACGAACCAGCACCGACGACCCGGGCACACACGCGGGAGATGGCGCCACACACTCGGGGCCCTAGACGAAGGAAAGGGGGAAGCAGATATGGAGGACTCGGTCCTCGGTATTCTCTTTACGAATTCTTTGTCACTTGAACACTTGGATTGAAAAGACGGGTATACACTTACCATACATACTACATAACATAGGTACCTAGGTACATGGCATTTATTCCAGAAGACGGATTCCGTGACGTGACGGCGGGGAGAGGAGTCCCTCGTAATAGTGCCAAGAAGATGAAGACGAAGATGAAGTCTTGTATTTCTGAATTGTTAACCTAGGTAGGAGTACGGAGGGATTCTTGCAGCAGTTGCAAATCACCAGAAACTTTACGGCATGTGAAGAGGGAAGAGTCTTTGATGCTTTTCTTTTGGGGGAAACTTCCTCTAGGGATATTTGACGGGCGTGGGATATCTCAAGCCTTGCTAGTATCAAACGCCATTCGCTGGTCTTGGTGAGCAAATGCCACACGAGGTAACCGACACGTGCACGCCTCTCCCGGCAAGAAACCCACAACTAAAGACTCAAGGAAAGTGGAAAGGAGGACACAGCAGGCTCTGAGCAAGCAGGGCTGGAGCCCCAGCTGGACACATTGTGCATCGTGAGCGCCATTGAGCTGATGATCATTGTTTTGCATGGTAGATGTGCGGCGCCCTTCTATCCTCTGGCAATGTGCGCAAAGCCAAAAGCCCGTTGGGTCACCAGAGAAAACGCTCCTATCCACGCCAGAGGTTATGCAATCCCGGAAGACGCCCATATGCGAGGGTGACAAGTGCCCCTTTGACTAGAGGAAAACAGACAAACAATAGCCATATATGATCGTGCCTTCGTAACAGTCGGATTCCAGTACAGTAGTTTGGATTTTATTTCCGTATAGCGAACAGGAGACACCTCTCCCACCAATCCCTCAAAAGAAGCACCGAGGCGCGCCCGTCATCTCGTCTTTCGGTTCCATCCGGGTTGCCCATGATGATGGCGAAGACCCAGAACACGGCCACGATCCAGGCCGCAATGGCGTTTCCAACACTGATCAAAGGAGACACAATGTGGACAAGGACCAGGCAGACCGGACTGAACTCAAAGGTATGAGCATTGTCGAGAGACTGAGCAAAGATCATTTGGAGATGATTGCGAAAGACCGGCCCAACCATTCGGACGAGGGATATACTGGGCGAGCATTCTTTGCGACAGAGCCTGAGTGGTGCAAAGAGCATGATGATGAGGACGGCAAATATTGAGAATATCGCGCTAAACAAACAATGAAATGGGTCGAGAAACGACATCCACATCTGGAACATGTGAATACGGACGGGTGTAAAAAGAGCATGAGGTGGGTTCCTTACCAGAATCCACAGGGCATGGTCACTCTCTGTCGCAACGTCTTCTGCAACGGACTTTTCTTGGATGTATCGGAATACGGCCGAGTTGTCTTCTATTATTGGCGGTTCCTCCAGATTGCCTTTCTTAGCAGAGTGTTGTGAGGCCGAGGACGAGTGTCTCTCGATGGTCTCACCGACCACGCCGCTCTCCGCTATCGGGCCATACTGATATTGTTTGTATGGTAGGTATGGCTTGTATTCCACCCCCAGGGTGGATCCCGACTCTGCGCTGGATATGGAGGTTTGTAGTCGGAGAGGGTCCTTCTGACGAGGAGTCGTGGGGGATCGTAGAGTAGGAGAGACATGGGCAATTGGAGGTTGTTGTAACGGAGGAGGACCAGCTGGGTGGTGATGATACTCGGTCTGAGGTGAGCTTGAACGGTTTGTGGCAGGATGATGGCCAGACGTCTGTCTCATGGACTCGCGATCTGGCTCTAAGGGCATTCTGGTCGTCAGAAGGGACTCTGGTAGGACAGGTCCTTTTCATCACCGGACCGGCGCGAGGAGCTGCTGCTGAGGTGTTTGGCGACAGGTGAGAGCAGGTGCGGATTGGGCAAATTGGCCAGGTCTAGCAGAGGGGACATGGGGAGCAGAGATATAAGGAAACACCAACATGATTCCAGAGAGCGGGAGACACCCAAGAACACAAGAGACACGATCTTCTTGGTCCTGATCATCCTGCTTGCTCAATCCGGGTCAAATCCTCCACTTCCGCTGCTCGAGCCCGGGCCAAGATCTGGGCACTTGGCTCTTTCTCTAGGCGACATCTTGGCCGTCTGATGCATGGATCCAAGGACGGGATGATTGCGTCTGCATGGTCTGCTAGGGACGGAGTGCCGGCTCATTGAGGGCGGTGGACGTCGCTGGCTGCTTCTTCCGTTGCATGTTGCCGGTTTGCTACACCGTGTATTTGATATACTCGTTGATCAAGGGCGAGGGAAATGCAGACTTCAGAACTTCACCCTGCCTGCCTGCGCTCTTGGCATTCGGCCTGCTGCGTGACCTGCCCTCTGATAGGGCGTAATTGCGCCTTGGACTGTGGGACCCAGCCACCAGAACAAGCCGCCGCCCGGAGAAAATCCTTACCCTCGCAATCTCACAGGACCACAGTGAGGAGGGGCCCTTTGTCGCAAAACTACCATGACAATCTTTCCGGGCGGAATAACAAACAGAAGTGGCAGTGGCGGAGCGAGAAAAGAGAGGACACTGGAGCACGGTCACGTGAGTTGACCGTGGACGAAAAGGGGGTTTCAATTCCTACAACCAGAGCCCTGAGTACATGTACCGAGGACACCTGAGGTCTTGCGACAACAAGATCGACGGCTCGAACCGGCTGGCCCTGTCTAATGGTTTACCAGCAGGGTGAGTTTGCCCCCTATCCAGCATCTTCCATATCACTGAGGGGACTGCTATCTAACAGTTGCCCTGAATTGGCCCTTGAAACCATCAGCAAGACATGATGTCTTGCAAAGCCCGAGTGCTGACATACTCGGCATCGCCTTGTCCACCGTCTTGTCTGCGTGTACGGTGCGTCATGAGTCCATGGAGAGGTCTCAGCCAGCAACCTGGAATTCTCTTCTCCCGGCACCGCTGGGCATCCGATAAATCTGCACTTGCCATTCTCAAGCTGCAGCACGGGGACTGAGAGGAGGGATGAAACACCCTGCATCTCTGAGCACAACCTTGTCGGTCAGCAGCTGGACAAATCATCCAGCTTTATGTGTGGGATCGCTTTCTTGGGTAAAAGCTTGTTCGAGTACTGTTGCACATACCATCACGTTCTATGACCACAGATATCCTCAAAACGTCCTAGCTGCTCTGCGATCCACCCACAGCAGAGGCCTGTTGGCAATTGTCGATGCGCATGCCATGCTCGGCTCTCTTTGATTTCGGAAGTGTCGGACGCAAATTTCGGTATGAGAATGTGCCCTGCCTGGGCATTACTCCATATCTCCATGATCCCGTGGACGGCCAAGAACGACCAGTAGTGTTGTCATTCAAGGGCCCCTGTCTTGACTGTTTGTTTGGCACTCGGAACTTTGCTGCAAAGACCGCTCGGACCAACTAACTCGCTGTCTCATACGGAAGAGTCTTCTTTCCCCGACACGGGCTCTTGGGGTATAACGCTCCTGTGGTCACATGGGGTATGATCAGGCAAGTGTATATCTAGAAGCGGTGATTGGGCAATGTCCATCATCTGGACCTCGCATGGAGTCTCCACCTCTCGTGGTAACTGGCGCGAGGGTCAAGACAATAGTCGCACGCGGCCTCAACGGGTTCGAAAGAAGCGGAAATGAGTATACTTGACCAAGTCCTGCATGATTCACCGAGGAGAGGCACCTCCCCAAATAAAAATAGTGTACTTAGTACTCTCCGCAAAGACCAAAAGTACATATTAGACGGGATAGGTATTTTCAGAGTCTGGCATTAGCAAATGGGTAACATATCAGAGGGCGAAGCTGGAGCGGAATGATCTTCGGCCCTGGCAAAATTGATGAGAGATTCCGCTTTCAAGGCCAGACCAGTCACAAGAGACATCATAGAAGCAAAGAAACTCAAGACATATCTTCCATTCTTGCGCTTCAGCCGAGCCAGAAGGTCGACTCCTTTATAGCTACTGGCTCTTCTCCTCCTGTCCCTGCCGCTGCTGCTATGATCTCCGCTTGATTGGCTCACGCCGTGGTATCATCGTCAGGCTCATAATAGATGTCATACACAAATGTCCCATCAAACAATCCATTCAAACTCATATTGTCATCCCCATCAGTCGCCACATTATCACAGGCAAATTCCACTGCGACGTCCGGACCAAATCCCACATCGAAATCTCCAGTCGGGCCCAAGGGCTCTGCATCAGGATAGGTAGTCTGCGAAGCAAACGTGCCGGTATACGTTGGTTTTGTTAACTTGAAGCTCTGTCCATCAGCGGCGAACACAGCTGTAGCTGTCCCACCACCATCAATGGCCAAGTCGTAGTGGATTGTGAAGTCTTTGTCGTCAGAGCCGACTGCCGTGTCGTCGAACGATGCAGAGAACCCATCGAACTGCAGCGTGACCTCCTTGGTGTCTTGATCGAGAGTGAAGGTTCCTGAGCCTTTAGTGTCGATGTTGGAGACGGTGACGCCGTCTGGAGTCGACTCTTTGATCCCGTCGGACTCCACAGCTGCGGTGAACTTCCAGCTGCCGTATGGACATTTTGATGTCGGACAGCTGGCAGGGTCGCCGTCTTGTCGTTTTGAGATCCCGCCCTGGTTGTGGAGATCTTCTTCAAGATTCTCGTCCACCAGAGTCATGCTGGAATTGCCTTTGGCTGGTTCCGTCCGGAAGAACTTACTGCGTCGAACATTGCGCTTCATCTTACGGTTCGTGGGAGGCTTTTTGACCGTGAAATGAATAGTAACGGGTATTTCTGTACTCGGCGCCCCATCTCCCGTCGAGGTTGCAAGGAATACATACTTTTGCTTCTCACAGCTTTTATCGATACTTACCGTTTTTCCTTTCTGAGCCGTCGTCCACTCCTTCTCGTCGTCCTTGCGATACTGCAGCACTGTGTGGCTGCCGCTTGGCGCATCGTATGTGAAAGAGTTCAATCGATTGGCCTGGAAAGTTACCTCCAGCTTCTGGTAAATCTGCCAGGGAAGCGCATAGGTTGCGTGTTTGTAGGTGCCTGGCTTCATTGGAACCTCGTACATAGTCGTGATTAGTTGCTCGCAACCTTTCGTAGGCGTATTGGCAACTTCTTCACCATTGTTGTATAGGATTGCGCCGCCTAAGAAGTGCGTTGCAAAGCTTGGGAACGCCTTAGTGATGAGTGGCTCGGAAGAAATGATCGATTGCTCGCCCCGTAGCGTATAGCTACTTGAGCCCTTTAGGCGAGAGCTGACCCAATCGTTGATGGCACCGTCCGAAGTCAAAGTGTCCGAAAGATATTGAAAGTAAAGGCTGCCCGCATAGCCGTTGCTCGGGGCCTGGACGAAGAGCGGCGATCTTCCACAGTATGTCTCCATGTGGTCTGGTTTGGTAGCCGGGTAGAAGACATTTCCAAAGTAGTCCGCGGAGCCTTCGAACCACCAAGCATTCGAATCTTGAGGCCACGTCAACTCGAAGGTCCTTTGAACACAATGATAAAGTTCGTGAGCGAAGGCTTGTTGTACTGACTCGATATCACTTGACGGACCCGATCCAGCACCAACGATTTGAACCCCACAGACTGTAGGGTCCCTCTCACGGAAATCAGTTTCTCCTCGCAGAATCCCTGACTCTCCTGAGAGATAAACCCTCACCTCCGAAACCTTAGTTTTCATGTAGCCCACATAAACGGGCAGTGCTGTTGCTGCCGTTTCCGCGAGAGGCTGAAGATATTTGGGGTCAGCAGCAGGAGTTGTTGACGTTTCTGATTCAGTCCATGTGTAAAGGCTGAATTTTATACCGGCGAGACTTTTGCCAACAACGTATGGAATGCATTTGCGATTGGCCCCATCTTGAAACTTGTTCTCGGGACATGCTTCAACCGCCCGGGGTACCACTACCGCAAGAGCACTGGACACCAACCCGATAATGAGAATAGAAAAGCGAAGAATCTGAGTAAAGAACATGATGGCAAAGACGAGGTGCAAAGTAGGTGTCGAGACGGATGGGGCTGTGAGGTCCCTACTATGCAGAAATATACTCTGGAGGCCGGAGCTGAGACCAGCTGCTTCCAAGATTCGGCTACGCTGCATCACCTGGTACATTAGCTAGTTCAGCCAGAAACCATGAAGAATACATGTGACTGGCTTTGTGCTTTGGTCTTTCGTGTTCAGGAGAACATGCAGGATCTTGTCTTTTGACTTATCTTTTGAAGTACCGCATGGGCCAATGGCAGGCGACTGAATAAGATCGGGGTGGCTTGGTTTTGCTTGTTCTTGCCTGAAGAGCTCGTATTTCAGCTGCGGGGATAACAAAGAGCTTGGCTCGCGCTCGCAGTCTTAGAAGATCGAGACCTTCACATCGGCCGTCATGGTGCACACTTCGCAAAACTACCTTGCAAGTTAGTCTGTTCGCCTAGCCGGTTCCCTGGATCTGGGACCGACGGCCATCCAATCACTTCGTTATCTTGACGAGTCAGCCTTTCGACCGAAGCAGAGCGAGAGGCCAGACCGTCGCGTCTGCCTGCTCCCAGTGTAGAGCCTTGGCAGTGCCTATCTCCTGTCTGGCGAAACCACGCTCTATGTCGAGAACATGGCATGAATGAAAAGGCCGAAGGCTATTAAGTTGTCTGGTGCGAGAACGTCTGAACGGTCATCCTGGAAACAAGCGCCTGTGTAACGATATCAGGGCTTCCTGTGATGAGTTTCAGTGCAATGACTGAGATAGATTTTGAATTGGATCAGGCTCTTGCTTGAAAAATCAAATCCATCAGCTCAGAACAGCAGTGACACACGGCCTCTGTGGTATAATGCCTAGCCACGAAGCGTCAATTTCCCGTCCGTCAGACCACAGTGATAGTGATCAAGGACTGTCAGGCGGTGCTTGCCACAAACTCAGCATGGGTATCCCATGATGAGGAAACTGACGAGCCGCAGACTGTCGCCAGAAGGGTAGGGGCCTGGCTACACAAACTTATTGCATTGGAAAGACAGAGGGTTAATAGCCTCGTCGAAAACAAACAGGTGAAGTGGCTGCCACCCGGGACAGGTTGTTTCAGAAGTTGCGGTCGTACCACCTGTCTGGGATATCGCGGATGAGGTTGATGTTTGGTAAATGCTGCGGTCGACCGTCCGATCTCTTGTACCACCACTGCTCTGGAGAGCTGGGTGGGGTCTAGTCTGGCCTTGCCTTGCCGCTTCCCAGAATCATGCGTCACGTGCAAGCACGCATGGCTCCCTCACATGCTCCCTTGAGCCGGCAGCACGAAACCCAAAATTGGGAGAGGTCGAAATAGCATGATGGCAGGCACACTGGTTCCCACATGGCCGGTAATTTTGAGCCGGCAAAGCTGTACCGATGGGAGCGTATCCGAATATAGAAGAGAGGCTCACCTAAGCACAGGGTTTTTCCTTTGGACGCCTATGGTGCCTGGCACCCACTGGGGTGCCTGGCACCACTGCTATGCCTGGGGCTCTGTCGAGGGCGAGAACTGCGGTGCGATTTGACGACGTCTCGTGCGACCATGTCATGCCCACAAGGGTCGCCTCAGAGTTGACGTCGTGAGACGTCTGTGCTGTAGAACGTGCGACTTGCCGTACTACCATCCCTACCGCTGTTCTGCGGCACAGCACTGCGTAACTGTGCTGCATCGGGCTGTCGGGGAGAATGTGTAATGCATGGGTGACAAAATACCTACGGATGCTCCGCACTGGCAAAGACCTTGACGCAAGAACCAGCGGCCAGGGGCGTGATCGACTGTCGAGGGTCGTGCAACAGTCCCTCGTAGGTAGCTGGAGAAGCTCACCTGGGCAGATGCAGATCACCGTGACGTCTACGGAGTTGGAGCACCGAGTACGAGGGAAGTTGTTTTGGTTCGGAATTGCATCGGCCGATCGCCTGCAATTTTGGGCAGAGGACAAGGTCTCCACGAGACGGATTCCAGCATTTTCTTCCTCGAGGCTGAAAACGATCAACTCCTTCGTGGTAACTCCCGTGTATACCTCAAGAGTACCTGAGGTAATCGTACGTAGTAGTCGCTTTTCCCCTGACAGTTGGGCGGCACTGGGGATGGCGGGTACACGGAGTATCACCAGAAGAAGTTGCTAGGTACAGCCTGACTCAGAAATACTCCACACACTCGGTCACAATACGCCTCATAAAGAGGCGCTTGAAGGAGGCTAGGTACGAGAGTCGCCAGATGGGGCTATCTGAGCTGGACATTCGTAAAGCACGGGGAAGCACTATTGCTGGAGGCAAACGACGTTCTGGTAGTAGTCGTGCCTACCTAATTTCCAGGTAGATATCGTAGCCATCTGCGTAAAAAGATTGCTTTGGGCATGTTTGCCGCTTGCTGTTTGAAGAGACGCCTGGTAGGCAGTGGTAGCATACCTACCCGTAAGGCTTGGTCTCCAGGCCCCAAGCTAAAAGACAAAAGCCATGCGCCGTCCGAGAGCATACCCCGAAGCCACATTCCCCAAGCCTGGGAGCCCCTAACCTCCTCCGGTTACAAAGTAATTGGCCTGGTGAAGGCGCAAGACCTGGCGTCGCACTGGGCTTGCGCCAGTTCCGCCCCCCTGAAAAGTGCATTGCAATAGCCCACGGAAAAGAAAAGCCTCGTCTACCTGGTAGGTACCTAGGTACCGAGTACATGCTCCGACTCCGTTCTCGTACCTTTACGAGTATTCGTATGACCTGGTGAGCGGGAGGTTGTCTCCTTTTCAGGTGTGCCCATCTTTGTGGCGACTGCGCATGTGCCTCACCACATACTGGCGACCGTTCTCGTGTTTCATCCCCAGCCAATTGTTCGGTTTTGCGAGTCAGGGCCAGAGCTTGAAAGGCTGCTGTCCAGCACTACTAGGTCAAGGTATGAGGCGGTGGCCGGGAAGCTGTTGTGTCTGGGGGTGTCAGAGAGGGGGGACAACAGCAGACGGTTGGCTGGCATTTGATTCCTTTTCGGAATGCCAAAATCTTCGCGGCGGATTGCTTGATCCCGTTTCTCGAATAATGAGGCGAAGATTGGCCGGCAGCTCGTGGAGAGGAGAAATGAGCTAAGACGCTAGGCGAGAGGTGTGGAGAAAGACGGAGCAGCTGGCACTCGATGGATCCTGGAGGAGTTGAGCGGCGAGAGCGAAGCGAGGGAGGGGGCGCCCCCCGGGTAGGAACGAGTAGGTACCTAGGAATGTACGGAGTAGGTAAGAGAACCAAGCCCTGCGTGCAAGAGGTACCTGCCGCCTCAGGCCTGTCCCGTGGCTTGCGATTCCACCCCCTTCCTCCTCCAGCTAGTCGAACGGGAAAAAGGAATGGGATGGGTCGCTAGTGGGGCCAAGTGAGGCCCCCCTCATCCCCTTTCATGCCCATTGCCCACTGCCCAGTGCCCACTGCCCAGTGCCCACTGCCCACCCCTGGGCCCTGGCTCCAACGGAGCCACTCAAACGTGCCCCAAAAAGCCAATTGAGCGGCGCACACCATCGAAGGTACGACCCACAGAACCTGTTCGTCCTGTTCGTCATATGCCGTACTCAGTAAGCCCCCAGCTCCATCCCCCCTGGTCTCGCCTGAATGCTTTTCTGGTTTAGCCTCCTCCGATAGCGAGACGAGGCCAGTCAGCCACCCTCCAGCAAATTTTCCCTTTGGGATGTGCCCCGGTCGTTTTCGTAAGGAAGGTTGCCGGCGGGCGGATGTGCGATGACGATCGTGATGATGGAAGGTAATGATGAGGTATGATGATGACGATGGGCAGAGAGCATGGCCATAGTTAGGATAGGGTGGTGAGGAATGAGATAATGTTACTGCTTGCAAAGCGCATCACCTACCAGCAAAACGGCAGCGCTTGAAAGAGCTGAGGCTCCAGCTTCAGGAGCAGGAGCAGGATCAGAATCAAAATCAGGATCAGGATCAGAATCAGGACCAGGACCAAGGCTCGGGCTCGCACCTGCAGACTCCTCTTTTGCTCTCGATTATTACCCGTGGTTATTTGGCGAATCGTAGGCCCAAAGAGCCGGTGCCACCACTCATCTTACCTGTCTTTCCCACGTCAAACTCACGCGCCACCCGCCAGCCCATCTCTCTGATGGATACCACCCAACAGTCACTGTCGAAAGCCTGAGGGTCTTAGTAACGAAGCCTTTTTGACAAGCAGCCAGGCGGAGGTTTTTCGAGTGTCAGACGGGGGCGCAGGAGACCCACCACCACAAGGCGCTACTGGGGACGTGCGCACGCTATGCGTTCCTTGACCTGGATCGCCCAGCAAACCCCAATCCCGTAACCCGTTGCGCTCCAGCGGGCGTGGCCAGCCCCACCGCCTAGATGCTTCATCTCGACGCCCAAAGGAACCCATGGATGCCCATCCCAGTGCCATTCGGTGCCGTCCACCGCCCATCAACAGCCACCCAACAGCCCATCCACCGCCCATGCCTCTTGATCCGAGCACTATCGGGTCCCGCCCTGTCCACACCCAATCACCCAGGTCTCCATCTCCCACTCCACCTATCCCCCTTCCTACGGCTGCTTGGTTGTGCCCCCGGTCCCAGCCCAAGTCAGCCAGCCAGCCAGCTTGCCGGCTAGAAAACTAAGAACTGTCAGAGCCCGTGCACGGTGCACCGCAGCCTGCTACTGACGATGGCAACCTGATGTGCCCGGCTCTGTTTCTCGCCCGCCGACAAATGATCCAGCATGAGATCTATAACCCTACCTCTAGCGCGGTTTCCCGTGACTTTGCTTCAGAACAAGAGCCCTCTTTCCTCTTTCCTGTCTTCCCACCGTCATCCTCCACCAGCTTCTTCTCCCGTGTCGCCTTACTCATTCCTTTGAGCTTTGTCTCCCTTTACCACGCCGTCTTGTCCCTTTTCCCACGCCGGCCCTTTGAATATCCCCTACTCCATGTCCTCCTGTTATCTTCCAAAGACATAACGTTGTTATTTTCACGCTCTCTCTGCTATTCTTGTTACCCAAAGCTCATTTTCCGTTCGTCCTAAGCAGGCGAGTACTTTTGGGCCAATCCACCTACCATTCTTCAGACACCAATCACTGTGTCGTCGAGCATTTACTTTCTCTCTACCACACTCGTCGTGAGCCTGATAAGAGGAGGCGCATCTGGCCTGCCGTCGAACCTTCTCGGCGCCTCAGCTCAGAGCGCACTCACCTGGTGAAAATTTGCGGAAGAGCTTCCTTCTGATCCCTTTTGCTGCCAGAGGCTCCTCGCTTCACGCCTCTTGAAGGGTTGGCAATGGCTCTCGCACCTCATCCGTCGCCTCCGGGCGTCATCGGCCTGCAACCCGGTCCGCATTTTGGACAGATCAACGGAGCCACCCCTGTTGATGCGCATATGCAACGCCAGCGCCTCCTGGCGCAGTTGAACGAATCAACTTGGCAACGAATTGGTATGCTTGTAGTACTGCCCTCTGACCAACCTCACTTGCTAATGACGGTTGATGACAGGATCCTTGAACGAGCTACTTGGAGACCACGAGGCCGCTCTGTTTGCATATGAGCAAGCTCTCAGACACAATCAATGGTCGACCCAGACCTTGAATGCAATTTCGTCTATTCTCCGGACAAAGGAGAAATACCCTGAAGCCATGGAATATCTCAAAAACATCCTGAAGGTCGAGCCTGCCAACGGCGAGGCGTGGGGAAATCTAGGTAAGCGCGATTGTCAATTCGTTGGGGCGTGAAGCTAACAATCGCAGGCCACTGCTACCTTATGATGGACAACCTGCAAGAGGCCTACACTGCCTACCAGCAAGCTCTTTACTACCTGCCCAAACCCAACGTAAGCTGCTCACAGCCTCATGTCATGTTGTCATAAGAGCTAACATCGAGGCAAGGAGCCCAAACTATGGTACGGCATAGGAATCCTCTACGACCGATATGGCTCTTTGGAACATGCCGAGGAGGCCTTCTCCCAGGTCATGCGGATGCAGCCAGACTTCGAGAAAGCCAATGAAATTTATTTCAGACTCGGAATCATTTACAAGCAGCAACAGAAGTTCTCCCACAGCCTTGAAGTGAGTCGCTTGCTTACCTTTCGCTCCCTCTGCTAACAGCATTTCAGTGCTTCAAATACATCGTCAATGATCCGCCACGCCCCCTTAATGAGGAAGACATCTGGTTCCAGATTGGCCACGTGTATGAGCAGCAGAAAGATGTAAGCCTCTATTGTCCCTCAGCACACCGCTCGTCTAATCTTTGTGTCCAGTTTGAGGCCGCAAAACAGGCGTACAGGCGCGTTCTAGAGAGAGATCCGAAACATGCCAAAGTGCTACAGCAGCTCGGCTGGCTGCATCACCAGCAGAGTAACAGTTATGCCAGCCAAGATCAGGCCATTGAATACCTCGAACAGTCGGTCAGCTCAGGTATGTGTCACTATAGACCTTTTTCAAATATTCCTCGCTGACGGCCTCCTAGATAACTCTGATGCTCAGAGCTGGTATCTCCTCGGCAGATGTTACATGGCACAGCAGAAATTTCCCAAAGCTTACGAAGCCTACCAACAAGCCGTTTATCGTGATGGGCGCAATCCCACATTTTGGTGCTCCATCGGAGTGCTGTACTATCAAATAAACCAGTACCGAGACGCACTCGATGCATACTCACGTGCCATTCGGCTGAATCCGTACATCTCAGAGGTGTGGTATGACCTTGGAACTCTGGTAAGCATTTGCAGATACTCCACAACCTGGTCTCACTGACAACTGGCATAGTATGAGTCTTGCAACAACCAAACCTCTGATGCTCTTGATGCGTATGCCCGAGCAGCTGAGCTTGATCCAACAAACGCGCACATCAAAGCCCGTCTTGCCCTTCTGAGAAGCGGAGCAGCGACCGGGCCTAACCAGCACAATGCCCCTGTCCCGCAAGATGTTCACCCACAGGCATATCAGAATGGCGTTGGCGTTCCTCCTGGCCCTCAATGGGGAGGACCTTCATCCTCCAACCAGCAACCGCAACAACCTCCAGTCGATCCAGCTCGCGTTAATGACTGGGCTAGAGGCATCGCAGGCATCAACCCGCCACCGGGACAACAACAACAATCGCAGCCGCCACCGCAGCAGCAACCGCAGTCTCAACAACAGCAGCAGCCGCCCGCGCCCCAACAACAACCACCTAACGGCTATGAAGGACGCGATGCGATGAGGGCTCCACCCCCACGAGCTCCTAGTCCGCGGCAGGACGGTCCACGTCCGTACGATTCCTCGCGTCAGACACCTGTCCGCAAGTTGCAATCACCGTCGCCTAAGATGCAGCCGGCTAACCCAGGCATGTTCCCGCCTGGGCCTCAGACTCTTCCGCAGATCTCCATGCAGGATCGCCCTCCGGCTTTCGGTAGTGGAGTTCGTCCGTCTCCTACTATGAATGGAGCCCCGGCGCCTCATGCCAATGGCAGTGCGAGTGGCTCAACTCTTCCACCATACGGGCGGCCTTTCAGCCCACCTAGTGAGTTGCGACCACTTAGAGATGAACGACCTCAATCACCCGGAGGCGGCTATCGCCCACAGCCATTTCAGTCGAGTCAACCATTTCCTAGCATTGCCAATGGTGTTGCGTCCGCTGCTCCGCCTCTTCCTGCCGCAGAGGGACCTCGTGACGATCGCCCGCCCTCCGCTATGAAACGGAGCCGTGAGTGGGAGTCCGATGGAGGGCCGTCTAAGAAGATAGCTAATGAGGAGACCCGTGCGCGCTTGGATGACCCGGGTCGCCGAAATAGCCCTCCAGGTCGTTTACCGACCCCGAAAGATCATTACAGGCGAAGCTCATCTGAGTCTCGTCGTGAGAATGAACGGCGGGCAAATGAGAACTACCATCCCTCGGAGGCAGCACATCATCCTTACACCCACCCTCAGCAGATCCCGTCAATGCAGTCAATATTGGACGCCCCAAAGGAAGACCGGAAAGAGCAGGTTGAGCAAGCAGCTCGCAAAGTCGACGTGGATGAGGATTATGATAACAACAGTGAGGACGATAAGCGGGCTCCTCCTTCGGCAGCTCTGAGCAGCCCGCAGGTCGCGGCACCTCCATCAGTAACGCCAAAGCAAGAGACGGCAGCATGATCGGTTTGACATTGATCTGGGTTTTCTATCATGCTTTTCATTTTGTGCCTTGGGTTGGCTGGATTTGTACAGCAGCAAGATTGAGCCGGAGCAATCAGCATTGGAAAAGGTTCACTGTCGCATCGTCACTTCGTTGTGTAAAATGAGTACATGTAACTTCTCGAAAGAAGACGAAATAACGATATCTGAGTATCCATTCGTCAATATTCTGTCGACTCTTTTCCTGTTCGCGGTATCCGACGATGTGTGTAAGGCGCGTTTGTGCAAATGGTGCGCTCACGTGATCCACGAAAATCTTGGCGACCTGGACCGCACTTTATCGAAATATCCAATTTCTGCGTTCCACATCGACGACTTCTACTTCAGCTTGACAACCTAGGACACCTTGACCCTTGTTCAAACAAGATGTGAGTACTACTTAGACCTGATCAACGCATCTGCTAATGTCTGGTATAGGTCTCATCGAAAGTTCGAGGCGCCGCGACACGGTACAATTCCTCCCTCCTTACACCTCCCGTGAAAAAAGGCTGTCTGGGCTAACACATTATTTCTCTCGACAGGCTCGCTTGCTTTCCTGCCCCGAAAGCGAGCTGCAAGACACCGAGGAAAGGTCAAGAGGTAGGATACTCTGGTTCTCTAGAAGTCATGACTCGTCTTTCGAGGAGTCGAAGCTGAAACATTTGGTCCAGCTTTCCAAAGGATGACCCAAAGAAACCAGTCCATCTCACCGCTGCCATGGGATACAAGGCCGGGATGACCACCATTGTCCGCGACCTTGATAGACCTGGCGCGAAGATGCACAAGAAGGAGATTGTCGAGGCTGTCACTGTTATCGAGACACCCCCGGTAAGTCCAAGATTGTCCCAAGACGGTCGACATTGGGCTATGTTTGTTAGTGGCTGACCATTTCCCAGATGATCGTCGTCGGCCTCGTCGGCTACATCGAGACTCCCCGTGGCTTGCGCTCCCTTACCACCGTGTGGGCAGAGCATCTCTCCGACGAAGTCAAGCGCCGCTTCTACAAAAACTGGTACCGATCGAAGAAGAAGGCATTCACCAAATACGCCAAGAAACACTCTGAGAACAAAGGCTCCTCAGTTACTCGGGAACTCGAGCGCATCAAGAAATACTGCACAGTCGTCCGTGTTCTTGCTCATACTCAAATCCGCCAGACACCTCTCAAGCAGAAGAAGGCACACTTGATGGAGATTCAAATCAACGGTGGCAGTGTGGCAGACAAGGTCGAGTTCGGCCACGGACTGTTCGAGAAGCCGGTTGAGATTGACACCATCTTCGAGCAAGACGAGATGATTGACTGCATCGCCGTCACCAAGGGTCATGGCTTCCAGGGCGTCACCAGCAGATGGGGCACCAAGAAGCTTCCACGAAAGACGCACAAAGGTCTGAGAAAGGTCGCTTGTATCGGTGCTTGGCATCCTTCGCACGTCCAATGGACGGTTGCCCGTGCTGGTCAGATGGGTTACCATCATCGTACCTCTGTCAACCACAAGGTGTACCGCATTGGCAAGGGCACGGATGAGAAGAACGCGGCCACCGATTTCGATATTGTGAACAAGCAGATCACACCGTAAGTTCTCTTCCCACGTTGGCTTGGTGTATCGCACGAGGACTAACGTCAATTGAACAGTATGGGCGGTTTCGTCCGCTATGGCGAGGTCAAGAATGACTTCGTCCTCCTCAAGGGCTCTGTCCCCGGTGTCAAGAAGCGAGTCATGACCCTGCGCAAGTCCATGTTCCCACACACCTCCCGCAAGGCGCTGGAGAAGGTCGAGCTCAAATGGATCGACACGTCCTCGGAGTTCGGTCACGGTGCGTACCAGACCCCCCAGGAGAAGAGGCAATTCTTGGGCACGCTCAAGAAGGATCTTGTTGCTGCTTCGTAAGGGACGGGCAGGGATTTGTGGGGTGTGGTGGTTGGTGGCGTCAGCACAACGAAAGGAATCCTTCCTTATGCTCGCTTGTTAGAAGAGATGAGCAGCGCATGCATGAGATACCAGCAGACTTTTCCTGTTCTCCTTGATTTACAAGCGGAATGATATCAATGGCAAGTCTTGCCTTGGGAGTAGGAAAATTAAATCCAAAATTTCAAGCACGCAGCTAGGCTTCTGTATCCTTGTTGTGATCTCGGGAATTGTTCGTAAGCCAGGCCTCCGGGGATGATGCTCGCTCACTGTAGGTCACGATGATCTCGATGTACCTTGTGCGTCTCTACGCTGTCAGGGGAATGGCCTTGGATGACGCCCAACACCTTGCTCCTCGCTATCCAGTCTGCTTCGAAGGTCAACTCCGGCGATGGAACCATCCGGCTCTTGGATCCATACGTATTTCTCATCGCCCCGACATCGATGATCCCAACCCAGGTTTGAACAAACTAGAGACATCACATTGTGATATGATATTGAGCCTCGCATCTTGCACGGCCTTTAGCAACGAGCTTCACCCGTATATGAGCCGCGCAGCTCCCAGTCCGCAAAGAGCCGAGTTGATCTCTTCCCAATGTGTGATATACAGTAATGAGTCGCCAGGTGGCTCTAGGCGAGCCTCGACAATCGAAGCGGAGCCTGAGTCCACACCTCCAGCAGATCACTCAAGCATTGTCTCATGGGAGATTCGAGATTGCCGTTCCACACGAAAGAAGCCCTGCTAGATTCGCTCCTTGGTTTTGAAGACGCTCTCAAGCCGGGAAGAAGGGTGGTCTTTATCCAACAGCGATGTTCGCGACGCATGGAGATCTCGAACTGTTTCTTTGTATACAGCCATGAGGCATCACTTACCGATCCCTACTCGAAGAACGTATACCGACTTCGCCGAGTAGACATTGCAAGGGCTGCGCCTAGCAGATTTTGAGGCTGCGGCACCCCTGGTCGCCGGGGGCTTAGCAGCCGTGGCCCCCTAGAAGACGATAGACATGGCCCCAACAGCCCACAGGCTTCTGGATGGGGGCCGCTTGAGGGACAGAGACGAACGAATCTTTCAGTTGCTAGGCTGGAGTGCAGGTTGGGACAAGACGAGCAACGCCCCCAAGCGCTCAAGGCGCAACGAACCACGGCGGTGACAGGTCCAAGAAAAATGACGTCATTACCGAATCTCGACTCTGCATGTCTCTTTTTTCAAAATTGGTATGATAATATTGACCACTTGAAAGGGCATTGCACATTACCTTAGGTAGGTATTCAAATGATAAAATCCCGACCGTTGAAACACTTTCGCAGAGAAGAAATCACTGCGCAGTTTCATCGCCTTGCTGCACAGGAGCAACAGCAGCAACAACAGCGGCAGCAGATACCAAGTGCTCATTGGCGACATTATTTGGGAAACACCTCAACAGCAGCGTGCAGGGTACAGGCCCGAGCAGGAGGAGCATCACGAACGAGAAAATTCGCCTCTGTCATCCGTTCTCCATATTCTACCACCATCAAGGTGCCAGATTCATTGACTTTTTCCACCGTCACGTCCCACAACAATATGTCGGACGACAGTTCGTACTTGTCCTTCCTGGAAAAGGCCAACGCGAATCCAAAGGCCGGCCAGACCCTGGCGGAATCCGAGTCGACGTCTCAGCGCCGGTCGAAGCTGGACCCAACAACTTCGTCATCCGACGCTCTGCCACCTTCCCTGAAGGCGCTGCCCGATATCACCTACACGTCCGACACAGACGCGCCGTTTGAGCCCGTGCTGTTCAACTATTCCGGCTCGGAGCTGCCTTCGTCAGCGGAATTCGCCAAGTGTGTATTTTCCAGCAAGTCGGGCGGCGGCAGCGGCAGCGACGGCGTCGAGGAGTTGAGTATTCGGGACTTTGACCCAAGAGGGCAGTACGGCGAGGTCATCCAAAGGGTGGAACAGGCGGGGAAGGGCAAGGCCGGGGTCAAGGTTTACAGAGTGGAAACGAGTAAGACGAGAGTCGAATATTATATCTTGACGGTGGGGGAGAGCATGTTGGTGGGTGTCGTGACCAAGGCGGTGGAGAGCTAGGAGAGAGTTCTGCACAGAGGGAGGCAGCATGGGACCTCTACGGAAGCCGTGGCCGCTTAAATCCATCTTAATCACAAAAGTCTATGGAGACAGTCGTTCATATTGTGCTCTCCGTAAAATGCCATGTTTACAAGGAGTCGTTCAAGGACATTCTCAGGTCGGTCGGATAGGACGTCGCGAATTCTGGACGATGGCAAGTTCCATGTCACAAATACTGCGCGGTACCGGTTGTCGATCAGACTGGAGTCCAAACGCATGCATTCTCTTCTGGAAATATCCCTATCGAGGGTAATTGATGATCCACACGCATGGAATGAGGATCGGCTCGGGCATATTGAATTGTATCCACAACCGAAGAATTCAAGCGTTGGAAATGGGGACTATCCAGGCACAAGCAGATACTATCGAGGTCGCGATAGCACAGTAGATATGCTGGAGCTCAAGGTTTGGATATTCAGAGTATTTCAGACAATCAAGTGCCGAATCAGAATGGACTTTGCAGGATTCCAACTCATATGTGGGGGTTGCAGCTCCTGGACAATATCCGAAGTTGCATCAACGAGAAACAGGGGAAAAGCTCGTACGAGTAGAAATCCTTTATACTTGTAACGCGTCACCGTTGGATGACCGTGTCAACGCCGTCTTTTCGTCCCAGTCTCAACCGAAACAATCAATTGATAGCCGCCCATCAGGGACAGGGATGAACCGTGAAAGCACCCAGGACAATGACCCATCATCAAGGCACAGAGTACCGAGCAAGGGTCACTATCACTGGAATGCCAGATTCGGTCTACCTACTCTGTACCACGCTGCTTGGTTCTAGAGCACGTCAAGGATGCATTCCCTTTGTCCAGGCTCCGGAAAACTCATCCTTGGCACAGATGTAAGAATAGAAGGAAAAAACAGTGAAGGATGCGCATGGCTTGCATGGCTGGCGCTGTGCTGTGGCGGTCACCCCTGAATGGCGAAAGCGAATCAAAATGGAGCTGGGATTGAGGAAACAGGCGAAATCAAGCTCTCCCTCAGATTGTTCTAGGATCAATTCCCCACTGCTTCGAGTCTCCGAACGTAAGCAACGCGGTGATTCGACCAGAGTAGCGCCACTGGTGTCCGTGATTTGCTCTCCATTCCAGGGTTTCGTGCAGCGGATGCGAGTACTCGTAGCAGGCTGATGGGGCTCAGCAAGAAAGTCGCGACTCGCGAGCCTCCAAGGTTGAAGCCGCAGACGGCATGGGGCGCTGCTGTGCCACTGCGGCCCACGGACGCGTCAACTCTTTTCGGAGGCCGCTGGTGCTGGGTTTGTCTCTGGCCAAACACCACTCATCCCTCCAGTCCTCTTGCTCCAGTTGCTCCAGTTGCTTGGATCTAGGTGGGTAGTCACTCCGTGGGCCGCGACAAGTTTCGGCCAGGGGGATCGAGGAAATCAGGATGGAGGAAAGGGAGATCTGCATGGCAACCTGAGACTTTTACCAAGATGAGTGCTTTCGGAATAGGAAGGCAACTGGAAAAGCAACCATACCATACCTACACGCAACAGAAGTGGAATTATCGAAGAAGCGGGCAGTGAGAGGTGCCAAGGTCCGTTGTTGTAAGGGAAACGAGCACAAGAATAATCCAAAGAAAGCCAAAAAAGAATACGAACTGCAGGTGTATGCAGGTGGGAGGCCGCAGTCCACGGTCTTCAGTGTGCAGGCGAGAGGACGAGGGATTCGGTAGTAGCTGTAGAGGAGGCGGAGGAGCAGGAACAGTGCCTCGTGCTTATCACGCATTTGATGCCGATCATGCAAGGTACCGACTCCCGAGATGATAAACAACAACAACAATAACAAAAACAAACACACCGAGTAGTCCTGGACCTCCATAAAAGCATGGATGTATACCAATACAGCTCATTTCTTTACTCTCCTCAGCAAGATGTTCCTGCTTGTAGTGTAACTGTACTCGAAACCGGCGGCCCAGTTTATTATTATACTGGGTCTGGTTCACCTGCAGTCTCCTTGATCCAGGGTCATCACCAGCATCCCCCGGGGCTGAGATGAGGCCCTGGAGTCGACGAGTACAGCTGAGGCTCACCACCTGCTAGGCACTACCTAAGGCACAGATATTGCAGCACTAGGGCTCGGCAGTGGGCCGCTTAAAGGGACCGGACCAGCAGCGTGCCCACTAAAGTTTAGGCCAGTCGCCCAATTGCCCAATTGCCCAATTGCCCCCGTGGCCCCCCTCGTCCACTGGCCCTGCAGCCCTTTGCCCAAGCCTCTCCTGCTGCAGTGTTCTACCATCTGCTAGGTAAACTCTTGTACCTCGTACTTTGTAGTATCCTGAGAAACCTGCCAACTGCGCGCGCCTTCAAGGGCAAACAAAACACCCTCTTCTTTGTTCACTGCGTTGCTCGACACCTCTCTGCTGTCGGAGCAGTTACGTTCGTTTCCAATCCACCACATCGCTCTACCTCCTGTCCTCTACCGACCTCGACGTCCTTCTTCTGCGCCTCCCAGAATCCGTCCCTTTCAATAGTTGGCAGAAGCTTGTCTCTCTTTCCTGCCGGCCAGAAAGGAGTACGACTGTGAACGGCCTTACCACGAACTCAGCCTGATTCCAGTTACAAGGTCTTTTGGCTCTACAAGATTACCAACATCCTGTTCCTTTGACCCTCTCGGCGTCTTATTCTCTCGACCTCCCGACCTCCTTGCTATTTTCAACCAACCTGTTCGCCTAATCTGCGCTGCTTACGCCCTCATTGACCGGCCTCCTCCACACACCGTTCCTCAAAACTGCGGCCGGCCCTAAGACGTTCTTCCCTCAGAGCCTCGACCCTAAAATCGAACACAGCCCTCCTCTGGCTCGTCTCTTTACCCGAACAAATACTGTTCTCCCACCCGGTTGCTTTACAGTGTTGGCGATCGATCTCCTTGACGACGAGTCGGTCGCCATCTTATAATGTCGTCCCACAGCAACAGCAGCTCCTCCTCCCCCCCACGAGTCCCTCCTCATATTCGTCTCAATTCAGGTCAAGAAGACTTGCTCAACGCCGATGCGAGCAATTCCTCAAGGACCCTTGTCCCCACCACCTCGAGACCGACCACGTCCCGGTCACAATTAAACAATGTCTACCCCTCAGATCAAGTCCAGGACTCGGCAGAGAGACTATTACCACCGGTGACTGGCCGCACAAACAGATTCAGGGATGACGGCTCCCCCCTGAGGTCTCCCGTCCGCTCGAGTTATTCTTCTCGCCGGTCAAGCTGGGAGTCAGACCGGAGCAGGGATAGTCGAGGTTTTGAAAACCCGTTCAGGGACTCCAGTCAATCAAGACCAGGTTCAAGAGCTGGGAGTGATGATAACGACGTCAATACCCAAACGGTATCTGAAAAATATAATATTTTGCCGTCTGCGGGACTTCTCCTATTCCCAGAAGACGTTGAAAAAGACGACTACCTCCACAACCCTGATCCCAATGACAAGGACCGGGACTGTGATATATTCAACAGAAGAGGCTTGGTCAACGTCGGTGGCCTCGCTTTCATTACGATAGGCATCTTGGTCCTCTTTGTGGGATATCCTGTTTTGTTCGTTCTCACCCCTTGTTCACTCGATGTGCATACTGACGGGGTCATTCAGGACATTTGTTCAAAAAATAACCGCGACGCCGAACCCTTGCGCAGACAACAATGCTTGCATAGGGAGTGGCAAAGTTCCGTTATTAAAGAATATGCGCACCAGTCTTATCGATCCCGACACCCCTGACTCGGTCAAGACAAAGAAAGATTATCACGGCAATACGTGGAATTTGGTCTTTTCAGACGAGTTCTCCACGCCAGGACGGACGTTCTACGACGGAGACGACCCGTATTGGACTGCGGTGGACATCTGGTACGGCGTGACGAAGGATTTGGAATGGTATGATCCCGACGCGGCTACCACAAACGACGGCGTGTTGGAATTGCGCTTTGATGCCTTCCAAAATCATGGCTTGAACTATCGCTCAGGCATGCTGCAATCTTGGAATCAGATGTGTTTCAAAGGTGGCAGGTTAGAGGCCAGTATTTCTCTTCCCGGACGCGGTGATACGGTCGGCTTCTGGCCCGGTTTTTGGTCGATGGGCAACCTTGGAAGACCCGGTTACGCCGCAACAACCGACGGCCTGTGGCCGTACTCGTACGACAATATTTGCGACGCTGGCATCACTGCGAACCAGAGCTCTCCTGACGGCATCAGCTACCTTCCAGGCATGAGACTCCCAGCCTGCACATGTTCTGGCGAGGACCATCCGACTCCTGGCAAATCTCGATCTGCCCCCGAAATTGATGTGCTTGAAGCAAGCGTCGGCACTCTTGACAGCGAAGGCAACCAGATCGGCATGGTCTCCCAGTCCTTCCAGGTGGCGCCTTTCGATATCTGGTATCAGCCCAATTACGACTTCGTGCAAGTCTTCGATTTCTCCGTCACGGCCATGAACACTTACAAAGGTGGGCCTTTCCAGCAAGCAGTTTCGGGCTTGTCAAACCTGAACAATGCGTGGTATGATGGGAATGCTTATCAAGTGTACGCCTTCGAATACACCCCCGGCGCCGAAGGCGACATTACTTGGTTTGTTGGCGCGGATCCTGTCTGGCGGATGGAAGGCCAGGCATTGGGACCCAATGGTAACGTTGGTCAAAGAATTGTGCCCGAAGAGCCAATGTCGGTCATTGTCAACTTCGGCATGTCGCCCGGTTTCTCTGCTCTGAATTTGACCGGATTAGCGCCTCTCATGCCAGCTACCATGCGAGTCGACTACATCCGCATCTATCAAGACGATGACGGCAAAATGAGCTGTGACCCTGAAGGATATGAGACGACCGAATATATCAACAATCATTACGAGGTGTATCACAACCCGAACGTCACGAGCTGGTATGCCTTACGTCGATTTGTTCTGTCTGGGAACTGAGCTAACCCATGTTTCAGGGCCGATACTGGCTACTCGTGGCCAAAGAACTCGCTGGTATCCGGATGTTAATTTTAATCATAATGTTTCTTCTCAATGATTTCCAGCTGCCGGTCTCTGTCGGCGTGTACAGAAGTCTGTTTGGTTGTTCAGCATTTAGCGGCATGGCAAGCCACCATAACGGCGTTTCACCAGGGTCAATTGGACGGAGGCGGATTTGGCACTATACGGGGCTACCTCATCTGCGGGTATGGGCTGCAAAAAAATCTTGTCTAAAATTTTACGACTGAAGCAAGGGGAAATCATGAAATCTTTCCCGGTACATTCGGCGACTTGCACAACTTAGAAGGAGGGTGGCCTGGCTTGACCAACACCCAGGAGAAGACGGATATGGGAGGTATAAGTGAGGCTTGAGAGCATCGCGGTTGAGACGGCGATGTCATATGAGAGCATGGGGGGATCGAAAGAGGTGAGATGGATATCTAGATATTCTGTGCCTTGCGCCAATGGCTCGTGAACAACTGAGATGGGCCAGGACGTTACTCTCAATGCAAGCACATTTGAACACATTTTCTTATCTTCCTAGACTCGACTCTCAGTGTTTGGTAATAGTGATGATGGGCGGTGCACGTGCCTCACAACTCGGTTATTGCCGCAACTTCTATGTTGTTGTATTTGCTCTGGCTTCAAGGGTGTCTGTCCTGTGTCAAAGTAGACAATCGTCCTCACTGGTTTTCGATCGTCACGCTCATCTCGCTGTGTCGACCTTGACGTCTCGCACTGCGCACCTCACAGCTTGCACCCACGACGCCATGTTCTCAACTGCATTCTCAACGGTCAGAAACCCAAATATGACCAGAAACGCAACCAATCATCCCACTAGAGCATCTCCGGGAGACCAGGGTCACCCTCCTCCCAAGCAACGTTCAAAGATGGAGGAGTACGACAGAATACAACGTAGGCAGCGCGCAGAGTTGATCCTTTCACAGTATGATTTACTGATGAAATACGCTCTGGAGAACAAGCTGGTAAGCCCCGACCAACGCTGCATTATTCTCCCGTCTAGAAGAGGAGTTCGACAGGCTCAATTAACTGTGAGTGCTCAGTCGATACCGCAGACCCGAGAGTATTTTCGAAAGGTGGCTTTGGGCATCCCTACAGACCCCGTCATCAAGAATTGGTTCCCAATTTGATGCGACACACTGGGGCGACTCTCGTCGTGGTTCAGCATCAACTGCTAAAGGGGAATCATGAAGCAAGCTCGCCTTCCACAGCTCAATTTGTGTACCTCGTAGCAGAAGCAGAACGTACAACGTCCAGCATTTGATGGCTGCTGTTGAAAGCTTCCTTGGGTCTTTCAAGACCCGATGGCCTCTGATATGGTGTCAAAAGTAGTGAAATATAAACGCATTGACATTTATACACTTGTTGAATCCCTTCTTTTTGCGTGTTACCTCGCTGCTACTTGTGGATATCGCCTCCGCCTCATGTTGTGCGACAAGGCTGAAAGCACTGGCAAGGCTGTCGGCTAAACATCGGGACCCCGAATTAAAAAAATGTTGCCCGCACTCGAGCATTTTGACGGGCACACCGCACCAGCAGCTTGCTCCAGTTCTGCCTGTTTATATGCCTGTCAACATGTCGCTCGAGGAGAAACTGGCCAGGATCAAGTCGCCGAATCTCCAGAGTCAGCAGCATGTAAGTTTCTTGGCCCAATGGAAGTCTGTGCAGATCCACTGACCCATGTGCAGACTGCGGTGGTTCTGTCCTCGATCGAGGAAACCCTCACAGAGCAGAAGACGAAATTTACACCCACGGCCTACTTTGCCGCTTTGCTTGCCCTTCTGAAACAATCTGCTTCTACGAGCAGTGATAATGAGGTCGTCAGCTCCGCCGTCTACCTCCTCGACCTGATCACTTCACATGTCCCTGCAAGCCTCCTTCGGTCACAGTTTACCACAATCCTGTCCCTGCTGGCACCCTACCTGAACGCCTCTTCAGCGAACGGGCCTTTACTACGATCAGCAGTAGGATGTCTGGAGTCGTTGCTGATTGCTCAAGATGCTGCCGCCTGGAATCTTCCGCAGACGCAAGCCAGCCCTCGGCAGACAGTTCCTTTGCTGCTCACACTGGCCATTGATTCGCGGCCGAAAATAAGGAAACGAGCGCAGGAGGCTATCACAAATATTTTGAAAAATCCTCCACCGGGCCCTGCGATCGACCACCCCGCCGCCGAACTGTGCGCAGTGGCTGCCCAGAACAATCTCAAGAACGCCGTGGACCTGGCTCACCAGGTACGGCGACAGAAGGGTCGTTCAGACGACAGCCACGAGCCGGCTGTGATTCATGCACTGCAGCTGACGAAAACTATTGCGGTGGCATCAGGTGGGTGGCCAAGCAAGAAGATTGAATCACTCTGCGAGTTGCTCCTGTCCATATCTAGGTCAAGAAATGATTATTTGGTCATGAGCGCCTTTGAAGTGTTCGAGGTAATATTCGAGGGAATGCAGGATGAAGTCTCGTCCTCAAAGCTACCACGCTTGCTGGAAGCGATCGTGGATCTGAAGCCCCCTCAGAACGACTCTCAGCTGCTTCCTCCCTGGATAGCAATCGTGTCGAGAGGCTATGGTACAGCCGCAGTCGTGGAACCTGAAGACACTTTCGCGAAACTGCCGGAGCTCTGCGATCTGGTGACACCGTTTCTGACCAGCCCATCTCACAACATCAGAGTTTCGGCGTCAGAGTGTCTCATTTCCTTCTTTGCAAATTGCATTCCGGATAGCGTCATATCTGATCCGTCAGTATATGATGAGAAGGTGCTCGAGCAGCTGTCGAAAAAAGCACTTGACCTCCTGGCTGTGAAGTATCAGACGGCCTGGATGGAGGTGTTCAGCACCATGTGCGCTATTTTCGACGCTTTGAGGTGGCGGGGTGATCCGTTCTTGCTTCCTATCGTAAAGGCGATCGGTGAGTTACGGAGCCATGAGGGATTTCAAGGCAAGAAGGAAGCGGACAAAGTCCTTGGGCATGCCATCCGCAACCTTGGCCCCGGTGCCGTGTTGAGTGTTCTCCCTCACAACCTCATCAGACCACAGCCAGGGCAGCCCGGTAGAGCATGGCTTCTCCCCTTACTGAGAGACCATGTATCCAACACGAATCTGGCACATTTCAGATCCGACCTAGTCCCTCTCAGCGAGGCGATGTATCAGAGGATAATCGATCATGGCAACGCTGAGAAAACAATGGACATCAAGGTTTTCGAGACTGTGGTGCAGCAGGTCTGGGCCACTTTGCCAGGCTATTGTGACCTTCCCCTCGACTTGCAAACGGCCTTTGACCAGCCATTCGCAGAGATGCTCTCGAATCTGCTTTACAAGCAGACGGATCTGCGAGTGGATCTGTGTCGAGGCCTGCAGAATCTGGTGGAGTCAAACCAGGCACTTCTAGCATCGGACCTTGAAGATGAGGTCCTTCTACTAGAACGACGACTACGAAGATCAGATGCGGAGAAGAATATTCAGCACTTGTCCCAGTTCGCGGGCAACCTTCTGGCAGTCCTGTTCAATGTCTACAGTCAAACACTGCCCCAGTCTCGTGCATACATTCTGCAATGCATCAACAGCTACCTGAGCATCACTCCCGAGAAGGATTTAGTGGACACTTTTGAGCGAGTGTCGTCTATGCTGCAAGACGCACTGCCAAAAGCCGATCAGCCACCTCCCAAAAAGGAACCGATTCAGACATCTGGCACTAAACTCCCTCCAACTTCTCACACACTACTTGACCTTGTCATCGCGCTTTCTGTTCATCTACCAAGATCAACGTTTTCCTCGCTCTTCGCCATCTCTTCCAACATCCTGACCAACCCGACAATCCTCAAATCCGATCCGCAACTGATCAAGAAAGCGTACAAGCTCATTCCGAGACTGTCGAGTTCTCCCGTTGGGGCAGAGGCGCTTACTGCTCGCAACAGAGAACTGCAGGAATTGATTCTTCGGACTTCGGAAACAACACCTGTTCCTGCCCGACGAGATCGCATTCTCGCGATTCATACACTCGTCTCCTTCCTCCCTCTGACTGACCTCCATTTCATTCCCAGTATGCTCAGTGAAGTTGTCTTGGCGTGTAAAGACAGTAACGAGAAAGCTCGAACTGCGGGATTCGACCTCCTCATCGCGCTCACGGAGAAAGTCTCTAGCCCATCGAATCCCCCGGACACGAAGATCCGCAACCGCCTAGTACCACACATGCCAGACAATTCCCCCGACGCGCCAGCAACACTAGAAGAGGTTTTCACCATGGTGAGTGCTGGTTTGGCTGGCGTGGCTCCACATATGGTTGCCGCCAGTATCATCGCGCTGAGCCGGTTGTTCTTCGAGTACCACTCACAGTTAGACGATAAGACAAAAGAGGAGCTTGTCGATACCGTCTGTATATTTTTGCAGTCGAACAACCGCGAAATCGTCCGTGCTGTGCTTGGATTCGTCAAAGTTATGGTTGTGGTACTGCCCACTGAGATCCTAGAACCCAGAATGCCCAATATTGTCCCCGGACTGATGGTCTGGAGCAAAGAAAATAAAGGACGATTGAGGGCCAAGGTCAAGGGAATATTAGATCGCTGTCTGAGAAGATTCGATTCCACCAAGGTTGAAAGCTGGGTTGGTGGGGATGATAGGAAGATGGTAGTTAATATTCGCAAACGGAGAGAGCGAGGACGGCGGAAGAAGAAGGGGGATGAAGAGATGGACGAAGATGAGGACACGGCGACGGAAAAATACGATAACGAATTCGACGAGGCTGTCTACGGCTCCGACGACGACGATTCGGAGATCGAAGGCAGCGACGATGGAGATAACGACGATGCTACTACCTCAGGGGTGTCTTTCAAGAGAACTTCAGTGGCTGGCAGGAAGAGAGGAAATGAACAGTATATCCGCCAGGACGATGAGGATGACGAGCCGCTCGACCTGCTCGACCCACGAAGCATGGCCAGCATTGCTACGAAAAAGCTTGGACGCCTGAGGGATGTGCAGTCGGGCACGAAGAAAACAAAAGCGAAATTCAACGAGGACGGCAAATTGGTCTTTGGTGACGAGCAAGAGGATGAAGGCGGTGATGTCGATGTTGTCATGTCTGGCTCGGGAAACCAAGACAACTCGGTCAACGCCTATCTCGACGCGGTGTCTGGCGCCGATGCTGTCAGGCGGGGTCAGAAAGGCAGGCTCAAAGTCAAATCCGGCATGCAGAAGAAGACGAAGCAGGAGACTCGCGACAGAGACGATCAAGAGATGGAGCTGGATGTCGAAGAGGCAAGACAGGTTGCGAGACAGATCATGCAGGGCTCCTCCGGATCTCCCAGATCGCCTGGTGGTAAGGGAAAGAGGGATCCGAGACAGCAGAGGCGTGGTCTGGGTGTTGAGAAGAGGAGAGACCATTCTCAGAAGCAGCGGTTCCGAAGCGGGAGTGGTGCGGGAAGACGAGGTGGTGGAAGAGTGCGGTTTGGAGGCAGGAATGGCGGCAGGAGATGAGAGGAGCTTCTCCCTGTCGTTGATTGTCTGTTTGGCGTTATGGATGAATTGGACTGTTCTACGATGGACATGAAGAAAAATGAAAGACATATGGCAAGTGACCTGGTATGAAAGAAAGCGACCTTTTCGATGGCTAGAAGCGGCCGTGCTATTCCACCGACTTTGTTCGGGGCTTCCATGAAGTTCATTTCCAAGCACAGTGCTCTGTGTCCGACAGAGAGAGCCGAGATTGATTACTTTAGCTACTTTCCTGCTGTCTCCTGCTTCATTGCTCTAGTCCAGGTAAGGAGGAGACTCGGTGTGGAACGTGCAAGTTACTGTAAGGATCCACAATACGCTTCTCGAGGACCCTTAAGACCCGGGCCGTCGAGAGAACTATACCGAATGTAGTTGTATCAACTACGTCGGTTGGGCTCCACGGGAAGTGTCCTTGGCTTATACCTCATACGAGTGTGATGTTCAACCTTATCGAGTACCTACCTGGGTATATTCGGGCTGTGTGTCTCCACCGTCCACAGCCCCATACGAGGACATCCCACAGTACCTACGGCACGATAGGCAATACTGTAGGGATGGAGAAACACAACGAGGTAACGTTATCGAGAGAGTTCAGGCAAGTAACCCCTTTCTGGTCATAACACCTACTCATGACGACGGGGATCCACAGAGTCAAAAGGTAGTGGGAGCCCAACCTGGTATGCATGCATGATGAAGCCACATTCGTCCAGGTGTACATTGAGCATGTACACGAGTATGGACTGCCGTGATCATTATTATCAATCAGCAAAGCCACCTACCTATACCATCGTTCCAGAAGCTGACAAAATGAACACCGCGTAAACGGCAGCTGGGAGGGCCTTGGTATCATTGCCTTCCTAGTTTTGTGGACGACATTATTAATGCTGTGAGTTACTACACCGCAAAGCGCGGCAGCACCGTGGAGGCTCTCGAGGGGTATGCGTTGCGTGAGTCTGGAATTGTCAAATTGAGGATTTAAAAAGGCCACAAGAGCCCAGGTCTGCTCTCATCGCCCAAGCCTCCTCTGTGCGAACAACAAACAATCAAGCTGCAGTCTCCATCAGCATCATACGCATCATCGTCACCATGGTTCGATACATTCTCACCGGCACCAGCGGAAAGCTGGGGTCTCGAGTCTTGCGAAAGATTCTGGAAAAGCAGTTGATCGCGCCGGAGGATCTGATCATCTCGTCCTCAAACCCGGATCGGGTCCCGGCCATCGCGAAGGAGTACGGCATCGAAGTCCGCCAAGGCAACTACGAGGACCCCGAGTCGCTCAAGTCGTCCTTTGTCGGGGGCGACGTGCTGTTCCTCGTGTCTCACGGCGACGCGGGCGTCAAGCGGGTCGAATACCACAAGAACGCGATCGAGAGGGCGCGGGATGCGGGTGTCAAGACGGTCATCTATACCAGCATGATGTTCGGCGGCGAGACGGGCCTGGACAGCGTCATCGGCATCCAACAGGGCCACATCGGCACGGTCAACTATCTGGCACAGCAGCGCGACGTCGACTACGTGATTGTGCGCGAAGGGCTGTACGCGCACGTGTGGAACTACTACGCCGGTCCCGCCGTGTCGACGGAGTTCAAGAAGGGCGACACTCAGCCCGTGGAGTGGGTGGTGCCCAACGACTCGTCGATCGCGTGGGTCGACATTGACGACCTCGCCGAGGGCAACGCCCTCATCCTGGCCGACTACACCAAGTACATCGGGCAGACGCTGCGGCTGACCGGGCCAAGGTCCACGCCCGTCAGCGAGATCGCCAAGCTCGTCGAACAGCGCACCGGCCGCAAGGTGGATCTGCGCTTCTCCGGTAAGGAAGAGGCTGTCTTGTACCACAAGGAACACGGGACCGTGCCCCGCGAGGCCTGGGACTGGCTCGAGAACAACTGGGCCGGCTGGTTCGTGGGTCTGGCCCACGGCGAGGGTGAGGTCGTGGATCCCCTGCTTGGGCAGTTGTTGGGCCGCCCGCCCAGGGGCGTCGTGGAAATGGCTGATGAATACTTCACCCCGAAGTAGGTGAAACGCAGGGAGCGAGGAGCGGAGGACCAGGCAGGACAGACTTGCGAAGTTGTGGCGCGTTAGGTTTAGGGGAAGTCTTCGTACAAAGGGGAGGGGAAAGAATTAAACAAAGCATCTCATTTCCTCCCACGTCCACTCGCATCCCTAACATCTACCTCCATTCAGAGTCATATTGTCAAAGTCGAGCCTCCAATGTGTACATGACTGGACCCATGGGATGTCCGACGTCTCTCTACGAGTACTCTGTACGTTGTGACTCGTCAGCCTTACAATCGGTAGTTTGCAAGAGCAAATGGCCCCCATCTAGTTGGCCGTTGGTCCCTCCAATAGTCGCCAGCCAACAAAGCTGTGCCCTGGTCCTATCATAGGCACTCGCTTCTCCCAACTGCGTCTTGACATAGCGCTGTTCAGACAGCCTCAACAGAACTTGAGGAGAACTGCCGTGTCGACCCCTTTGCCAGCGTTCGAATCCCAACGAGAAACGTGCGCCTATTCGGAACTACGGTCAATCAAACGCAATAGGATGGAGTCTCGAGAGCTTCCGTCTGCCGGACCAATACCTGGTGATGAACCTTCACACGACGTGGCATTGAGGGAAGCTTCTGGAGAAAAGTCCCCTTGCGGTAGCAGCGATATTTGGTCCTGCGGCCACTGTGAATCTCTGTGTGAATTTCTTGCCGGTGTCAGCTGTGCGGAGGTTCAGAAAGCTGCACAGAAGGGATGCAATCGGTGCTGGATTATCGCAGAAGCCGTCCGGGCCCTGGTCGAGGAATACAAGCCTAATCAAGACGAAGATTGGATTGGACGTATAGAGCTATGCCTCGAGGATGACGTGCCGGGAATGCTTTCATGCTGGCAGAAAAGCTGCTCATGGGATGTCTTCGATTGGAAAATCCAGATTTTTGTGGAACAGTCGACGTCTATAGCAGGTGAGCTACCGTGGTTACCCATCATGCGCAATATTACGGTAGAAGGTGCCCCAGAGGATTGCTTGCAGTTCGCATCCGAGGCTCTGCAGAAATGTGTGCACGAGCATGAGCGGTGCCATAGCGATTCAAGCTTGCGGTACATCCCAAAGCGTCTTCTCGACGTGGACACGGAGGGCATAGTCAAAATAATTGACAACGCTCCTTCCAGTGTTCTCCAAGGGACCAAATATGCAGCCCTGACCTATTGTTGGGGGCCACAATCGGTTATCAAACACGAAATGTTGAACAAGACAGCACAGGATCTGAAGGAAATGGCCGAAGGACCCGGAGTCCCAGTCGAGAAGCTCCCCCGCGTGTTCCAGGATGCCATCAAAACCACTCGGTCTCTCCGGTTACAATACTTGTGGATTGATGCGCTTTGTATCGCTCAAGGAGATCCAGAAGAGTGGAAGACCGAGTCACTCAAGATGCAACAGGTCTATGCCGGTGCCCACGTCACAATTTCAGCAGATGCGGCATCAGCCTGCAATGACTCTTTTCTTGAGATGCCCCACAGGAAATTCAGACAAAGTATCGATATTGGGAAAGGTCGGTTTGGCTCAAGCATCTTTGCAAGATTGAGCAACCTCAGATTTTCTCCAGATGGCCAGCTTAATTTTGAAGCTTCCGCACGCGCTCCGGAATACAAGGTACATTTTCGAGGCTGGACGTTACAAGAAAGTCTGCTCAGCCCTAGACTGATCTCTTTCGGGTTCGATCAGGTTCATTTTAGTTGTGCAAAGAGAGGACTATCGATGGAAGGGGGAGGGAGGACTTCCTATAAACAGTTCAGCTTGGACAAACTACGGCAGCAGTGGCTACAATTAGGATCACGGCGACAAAGCAGCTCGAGAGATTCTAATGACAAGCTTTTCAAAGTGTGGAGGGACCTCGTGGAGGAGTACACGCGTCGAGACCTCACCATACCAGACGACACGCTTCCGGCCATCTCTGGCCTGGCTTCCCAGCTCCAACAACATCTCAATCTGCATTCCAGTTATTGCGCCGGTCTTTGGAAGGAGGATTTCGTGAGAGGACTGTGCTGGAGGCATGATTGGTATAACTCCAGGAAACGCACTCCGCCTACCAAATCTCCTTCTTGGTCATGGGTTTCTTGTCCTCGTCAGGTGGGCTACCCATCTTCGTTAAGAGCCGATCAACTTTTAGCCGAATTGGTGAGTCTCGATCCCGATCCAGAATTAGCGAGTCTCCATGGCGCGGTCAAAGATCGAGAGTTTGGTCACGTCGACTCTATGGAGGCTACGATAGAAGGGCCCCTGCTCGACGTTGTTCTTCGAATAGAGCAAGCTGGGGAGATATGCATTGAGTCGGTACCTGCTTGTGGCCTTCCGCCTGAAGACGTGGGATCGGTGTTCTGGATGGACAACTGGAAAGAATCCAGCGAGGGAGTCCCAGCAGTGATACTACAGCCTATGAGAGAAGGTTTTCCCGATATCTTGAAGCAGGGCGGTGGCATGGCACACCTCCTGGCCTTGGTCAGGGATGAAAGTGAATTACTTCACGACGACATGATAGAAAGGTCCTGGGACGAAGTGTGCCTTGTTCTGGTCAGGTCTACCACAATGTCGAACACATACCTGAGGGTTGGATTTTGCATAACCTACACCTATGGCGAAGACGATGAAGCCAAGATGTTATTGAACTCCTGGGTTGCAAAGTGGGAGCGGAAACGCATTACAATAGTTTGACATGACGGTTCTGCGTTGGTGAGGCTCCTCTTTCTTGGGGATGATCGGGTGTCGAGGTCCTTCGTTGTCCATTCCAGGAGAGAAACGTTCTGGGAGCATGACGATCTCGTGATGATTCGTTGGAATTTCCATGGAAGTCTCTTGCATTGTGGACGGACATGTGAGTCTTAGGAAGCTTTTATCACCACTTCTACTGACGAGCCGAGTACTGGTGAAATGATACTAATTAGTCCAAAGTCCAAGAGCACAGAATAAATGGCCTCGAAGGCTAGTTCTCGGCAGGTCGGGATTCAAGTTGGGGCAGCAAGCTCTGAGCTGCTGGCACGTGACCGGCTTCCACTCCAACTCAATTTGCTCCGCGCTCATCAAGAGCATCTAGGTATCTAGCATCTGTACAATACCCAAGACCCAAAACTGTCTAGCAGCCGCGCAGTTACTTCGTCTAGCGGATCGCCCAACATGTGCCGCCTCTGCGGGCGCATGATCAAATGCATCTTTGACTCGATGCCCTCGAGGGTGCCTACATCCGTCTCGAAACCGTAAGCCCTCTCCTCCGCCACACCCATTGAGAAGAACCGGAAAAAGAGAACCAGCTACTGACTATCGCAACGGCAGCACATCATCTCTACGCCAACCTCACCAGACGAGATCTCACCATGTCTCGTCGCGCACGCTCGTGCAGAGTGCCCTGAACATCCCTCGCAAGCCCGTGGCAGTGGCACCGCCGACATTTCTCCTCCCGTTCCGTGCAAAGCTTCACCAGACGAGGACGCAGCCGTCCACCACGACACCCGTGTCCCAGTTCCAGAACACTCAGCCTGAGATTCCTCCTAGTTACCTATCCGCCGGGCCTACACAATCACCTTCCCCATCGACTCCTGCTCCTACTACAACGACGATGACAACAATATCTCCGTCAACCACACAATCCCTCGACCGACCCCTCGTGGTCTCGCGATCACTACAAACGCTCCTCCCAAAACTCCACGCCCAAAAACCGCACTACATGGTAGCTCACATCCACCGGTTCCCCTACCTCTTGACCGAAGGCGACATGCTACGGCTGCCGTTCCACATGAAGGGCGTGTCGCCGGGGGACATCCTGCGGTTTAACCGGGCCAGCATCCTGGGCTCGCGGGACTATACGCTCAAGGCGGGAACCTCGTCGACTGAATCCTACGACGCCCGCCGCACGGGCGAACCGCAGTACCTCGACGAGAGGCTGTTCGAGTGCCGCGTCCGCGTCATGGGCATCGAGACTCAGCCCATGACCCTGAAAGAGAAGAAGAAGCGCCGCAATCGACACCGCAAGATTGTGAAAAGCAAGCACAAGTACACCCTGTGTCGGGTCATGCAGGTCCGCGTCAAGGCCCTGGACGAGTTACTCCAAGGCGAGAAGGGCATGGTGCTCCTCGAGGGTCAGGAGAAGGAAGAATAAGAATAAGAATGCGCACAGCAGTTCTCGATTTCTGCCCTGAACTTGGTAGAATGAGGGAGGCCGGGCGACAGACGCTTGTAGGATATTTCATATGAAAAAAAGGAAGAATGTATACATGTCTGGCGCCAACACTCCTGAACCACTCCAAGTTCACACCCGTGCCAATAGGTGAAAAAGGATGCGCCGTATGTAAAGAAGGGTAAATTATGTTCTGTGTTACCAAACTAAAGCTGCTGCTACCCTGTAGCTGGCGCAGCCATGTAATGATACACACCATAACGCACTGAACGCCATCGGGCCAAGAAACAATCGCCAAGTACAAGGAGGAAAATGCGAGCAGGAAACTGCCTTTTTTTTGTCCCTTCTTCTCCCACTGCCACCACCCTGTAGCATTCATCGTCGTCGTCATCGTCGTCGTCGTCAAAACATCACGGGCATGTCAACCATTCCCACTCATCGACCAATCGTATCATGTAGAACGGGTACCAGTTTTCAGAGAGGGTCATCTCCCATCTGTCCCACGCGAAAGTGACCGGTGTAATCGACGTGCGAGGTTGGGTTTGTGGGCAATACACAATGATTATGCTGGCGAGCCTTCAAATCGTTCGTCTCAATTTACCTCACCTCGAACGAAGGAAAGGCCATGCGGTCGCGGAGGTTGACCTTGAATTCAAAGATTCCTTCTTCAGAACCGGCGTACCTGTTGTATCCCACTGTGTCAGCAAGAACCCTAAGAACCTTCAGTCACTTGAGTAGGTAGCCCATATTAACTTACAGGGATTGCCCATCCGGACTGAATGCTATTCCCGTTGTGCCTAGCTCGACCTGACCCGGCCCTCCCGATACAAGCATCGGCCTCCCACCGGCACCCAGAACGCGGTGCAACCCCGATTCATTCGCTGGAGGCGTCCAGTTACCGTTGGCATCGATCGATCTGTTTCCGGACACGCCACTCAAAAACATGATTCGTGCCATGCGCATATCGGCATCGGGAACGCGACCGGCAACGCCAGATCTGGCAACATCGACACGTCCTGCCTCATTACCGCTACTGTCACCGGCCCGCTGAGCTGGCGAACCCGACGGCATGGGCATGGGACCTCTACGTAGGCCGGCGGTGGCTACCGAAGGCCGGTTGATGAGTAGGGGCTCTCTCTGAGACGAACCTGCGCCAGCAGTGTTGCTTGCCGTGGTCGCCTCGTTGAGGTTGGCTACGGTCCGAGTTCTGATTGATGCTAATCGAGCTTCGGCCGCATTGAGGGTGCTTTGCATGGCCGCGAATCGTGCACCCATGTCGTGCTGAATCGCGTTTTCCAGAGCTTGGGTGTCAAGGACTGCCTGAGCGACTCTTGACTCTGCTCTGCGTACCTGTCGTTCCAAGTTTTCGATATGGGCTAGTCTCTGGCGGCTGGACTCGGAATAATCCGTGAGGATGGCGGGAACGTTGTCCGACTGACCGGACGCTCTAAGATTCGTGGTGGGCAGCGTCGTAGTCCGGGCTGAGCTCGAATCTGAAGGGGTGGAAGCGTTCTGATCAGTTCCCGAACCACCACCCAAGATCCGGTCTCGCTCGTTTTGCAGTCTTCTAGAGTACTCCGTTCCAACTCTCAACTCACTCTGCAATTCCTGCGACCGTTGTTGTAAGTACTGTTGCTCAAAGGTCAGCTGTTGCTGTGCGATCCGTTCCAATGAAGCCGCAATACGGTCATTTGACTCCCTTGCTGCCACCCGGAGTTGGTCAAGTTGATTCGAGTTCTCGCTGAGTAGACGCTGTTGGTTGTCAAGCTGCCTCCGAAGTAAGAGTGACAATTGTCTCTCGTCGGCTAGTTGACGCTCCAGTTGGCTACCAAGTTGCCGTTCAGCTTCCAAGGCGGCTTCGACCCGAGCAAGAAGCGCCCGACTGCGATTGGTGTAGTCTGATACCCGAGTCGACTCAAGTGCTGTTTGAATGACATGCCAGGGGTCGTTCGGCGGAATAGAAGAGGGTCCTGACTGTGAATCAGACCCGGAGGCTGGAGTTAAAGTATTTGTCGACATAGCTGACCGATCCTCGTCGTCGCCGATCCTCGCGGGAGAGGCAGACAGCCTTGCGCGAGAGTTGGGGTTGAGATCGAGATATAGACTTTGATTGGGCTCGGATAGAACCACAGAAGATCTCCTTCTCGGTTCATGGGAGCGAGGACCGACCGGGCGACCGGTTCCTAGGGGCTGTGAGGCAGCATCATTTGCTAACCTCCCAGCAATCCAACCTGGGGAAGAAGAGTTGATAATGGCCGGGCGGGCTGGGGGTAGTCCCATGTTGTCCATCAAGGTATCAAGCGCCTCATCAATCGATCTTTGGTGCGCATCCAGATCCAAGCCCTCGTAGTTGACCAGATCACGGCGATTAGGCCTCTGCCCAGACTCGTTGAGAAGATCATCAGCGCTTAGCTCGTTATCTACCTCCCTGGAAGACAAGCTACGCATGGCTCTTAACCGTGCGAGACGCTGCTGCATCAACCGTTCCTTGTGACCTATATTGCGAAACGCGACGGGAGTTCCATCTTCGAGCTTGACTTCCTCTGTCTTTAGACGATCGAGGTCCAATATTTGTCGTCGAACGCAGGACTGTCTCACATCCGCGACACCTATTCTCCCGTGGTCTTCCGCCCAGACTAGGAGATCCCACGGTGCGGGAGAAAAGGTCATGGACCTGACGCATCCAAACAAAGCTTGGCGTGACGACCTGAAGGTGCATATTATGGATGATTCACCGGCTTCATTACTGCTCAGAAGATGTCGCATGTCGAATATCGAGATTGATCCACCTTGGGAGGAAGCGGCGCAGAGATATCCGGAAGGTGAGAAGGTCACTGCGAAGCTGTGGTCGTCATAGACGGGTTCACCAGTCGGCACCGCCGGGTTTGCGAACATCTGCCAGTGATATTTGGCGTACCTGCCGGAAGAACCATCGATCATGTCCCGGTCTTCCTCCAGGTGTCGTCGATAGAAGTATACACGGTCGGAGTCCCCAACTGCTGCAAGGATCGTGGAGTCGGGAGACAAGGCGGCGAAGTTCATTGGGACGGGATGCGGTAGAGTCGTCAGCACCTGTCGTTGAGCCAGAGAGTAGATCTTGACGGTCTTGTCGTTATTACTGATCAAGACTACCGGTTCGTCGGGGGTCTTGCCATGGTTCAGGACTGTGTGAATGCTCATGGCGTTGACTATTTCTCCTCCCAACAAATCAATATGCATGTCATGACCAAAGCACGTCGGCCGATCATGTTCGTCCTTCTCGACCTTGATGAAGGCGCAGTCACCATTTTGTTCTCCTCCCACACAGACCCAGCCCAGGTCGGCAGCCAAACATCGGGACTCGAAGGGTATTGTCGCGATCAGCGAGTTCTGTTGGGTTGCCAGGTCGAGGACAAATACGTCCTTACATGACACATAGTAAATGAGGTCTTTCTCCGACGAACTGATGAAATGTCGCAGTTGGTGGTGGGAAACCGTGATCTTTGTGGGGTAGAACTTAGAATGAGTAACAAGCGAGTCTGCAGGAGTGAGCCATAGTTCGCGACTGGGTACGGTCATTTCGCGACGGGAGATGAGGGATCTAGGAAGGGAGTGGCATTGCTCGGCGATGTTTGAGGCGGATTGAAAATATCAAGGCGCAGAGCGGAGAGCGGAGAGCGGAGAGCAGAGGGCGTAGTAAGCGCGCAGAGCAAAGCTGAAGAAGCTCGGAAGGCGAAGCCCGCAAAGCAGCAACTCTCGGGAGCAATAGAGTCACAAGCTTTATAGGTTGGCTGTTTGTATGAATGCAATTGTCTGCAATTTGAGGGTGATATGAATGGCATTACTGTGGACTGAGAAAAGGGCCGCTGGATTGTGCCGGCCCGTGACGTCGATTGGACGAGGCTGGCACCACGAGGCTGAGCCTTGACCGAAGGCGGCATGTTTTCCGAGAAAGATTATACTAGGTGACTAGCCTCGCTAGGTACCTAGTCTCGCTAGCACGCCTAGGTAGGCAAGTAGGTACCTAGCGAGGCTAGTAATTTCTGAGAGTTTCTGTGACTGTCGTGCCAAGCCTCGCGCGAGCTTGCGGCGAAGGGGAAAGCCTCCGAAGAGAGATTTTTTCTCCGTTCATTTGTATTGCGTCTACTACTCTGCATCCTGAGCTCATCTATCCGTCCCATCACCCATCCCCATCCCCCTTCATCTTCAAATTCACCACCTTTCTCAGGCCTTTGTCCATCTCCTACCTTCTTCGCTGGTTCTCTTTTGGTTCTTATACCTAAGGTCATCATGATCGCCTCAAGGTTGTCCAGAGCTGTAAGTGCCAATGCTGCAGGCTTCATTGTCGAATCGTCTTCTAATCAATCTACCAGCTCCCTCGCTCTGCCCCGTTCTCTCGCCTCTCCCAGATTCGAGCACCTCGATCATCAATAATCTCGCGGTATGCCTCCACCGACGCCCCCGAGACGACTGAAAAGGTCAAGGGCCAAGTCATTGGTATCGACTTGGGAACAACAAACTCGGCCGTCGCGGTCATGGAAGGCAAACAACCAAGAATAATAGAAAACGCTGAGGGCACTCGAACAACGCCATCCGTTGTGGCCTTCACCGAGGGTGGTGAGCGTCTCGTTGGTGTTGCCGCTAAGCGACAAGCTGTCGTCAACCCTGAAAACACCCTCTTCGCGACCAAACGACTCATCGGCCGGAAGTTCTCAGACCCTGAAGTCCAGCGAGATATCAAGGAAGTCCCCTACAAGATCGTCCAACATACAAATGGCGATGCCTGGCTGGAAGCCCGCGGCGAGAAATATTCGCCATCGCAGATCGGAGGTATGGTCCTGGCAAAGATGAAAGAGACTGCCGAAGCATACCTTGGCAAGCCCGTCAAGAACGCCGTCGTCACAGTCCCTGCCTATTTCAATGACATGCAACGTCAAGCCACGAAAGACGCTGGTCAAATCGCCGGATTAAACGTTCTCCGTGTTGTCAACGAGCCTACCGCAGCTGCACTCGCCTATGGACTCGAGAAGGAAGACGATCGGATCATCGCGGTCTACGATCTCGGTGGAGGCACATTCGATATTTCTATCCTCGAGATCCAGAAAGGCGTCTTCGAGGTCAAGTCTACCAATGGTGACACCCATCTTGGAGGTGAAGATTTCGACATCACCCTTGTCCGCCACCTCGTTCAGCAATTCAAGAAAGAGTCCGGCATCGATCTATCCAATGACCGCATGGCTATTCAACGTATTCGTGAGGCCGCCGAGAAGGCCAAGATCGAGCTGTCCTCTTCCATCCAAACAGATATCAACCTACCTTTCATCACCGCTGACGCATCCGGTCCTAAACACATCAACATGAAGATGACCCGAGCTCAACTTGAGCAGATGGTCGACCCCCTCATCTCCAAGACCATTGAACCTGTCCGCAAGGCCCTCAAGGATGCCAATCTGCAAGCAAAGGATATCCAAGAAATCATTCTCGTCGGTGGTATGACTCGTATGCCTAAGGTTACCGAGTCTGTCAAGAGCATTTTCGGACGCGAGCCTGCCAAATCTGTCAATCCTGACGAAGCTGTCGCCATCGGTGCCGCAATCCAAGGAGCTGTGCTTGCCGGTGAAGTTATGGACGTTCTCCTGCTCGATGTTACACCCCTTTCTCTGGGTATCGAGACCCTCGGTGGCGTGTTCACACGTTTGATCAACCGTAACACCACCATTCCCACCAAGAAGTCGCAGATCTTCTCGACTGCTGCCGACTTCCAGACTGCTGTGGAGATCAAAGTCTACCAGGGCGAGCGTGAGCTTGTTCGGGACAACAAGCTGTTGGGCAACTTCCAATTGGTTGGCATTCCTCCCGCACACCGAGGTGTTCCGCAGATCGAGGTCACCTTCGATATTGATGCCGACTCGATCGTGCACGTTCACGCCAAGGATAAGTCGACCAACAAAGATCAATCCATCACTATTGCATCGGGCTCCGGTCTTTCCGATGCTGAGATCCAGAACATGGTGGACGACGCCGAGAAATATGGCGCTCAAGACAAGGAGCGCAAGGCTGCCATTGAAGCTGCCAACAGAGCCGACAGCGTCCTCAATGACACGGAGAAGGCATTGAAGGAATTCGAGGACAAGCTCGACAAGGCCGAAGCCGACACGATCAAGGAGAAGATTGCTTCTCTCCGCGAGTACGTTGCCAAGAACCAGACGGGCGAGGGCACTGCCACGGCCGAGGAGATGAAGGCCAAGATCGACGAACTCCAGACTGCGGCTCTCAGTCTATTTGACAAGATGCACAAGGCTCGCGAGGAGTCACAACAGCCACCGCCGGGCGGGGATGCACAGCAAGGCTCATCGAGTGGTGAGCAGAAGCCCTGAAAGATGAAGCCAAGATGGAGATGAAGGGCCCCCAAAAGCAACTTGTATTTTAATGATATCCCTGTACTCGACTTCTTTTTGTTCTCCCGGATATTGGCCGATCTCTTCGACATTCTTGCCATCATCGCGGGCAGAGTTCTCCATGTGTATTATTTTTGCCCTTGGGGAAGGGACAAAAGGGTTGCTGACGAGGACATAACTACTGCTGCGTCATGACTTTATATGCATGAGTGTTGGAAGGAGCATGAGCGTCACATCTTATTACATGCTTTGCTGGCCCGGGGGAATGACTGCAGGAGCGGAGCACACCTGGGGGCTTTGGTTTGTTCGAACTTGGTTGGTGGGCGAAAGGATGGAAGACGGCTGTAATATTCATCTGTAGAGGAGGGCCGGGCATGACACGAACTACTCAGCTTTAGGAGTGGCGAGCAGGACGAGGATGTGTCGCGTGTGGTGCCCTTGTGAAAATAGAAACAAGAAAATCTCCCCTCCTACCTAGTACACCGTCTTGTTTGTGGCGCGGATTAATCATTACAGGCTTTGGTGGCTCTCAGCAGTAAGTGATGACAAGTCCACAAGTCCGCAGCAATGCAGCCGTTGGGCCCGTATGGTGAGGAATGAAGGCGAATGCCGAAAGAGGGAAGTAATTGTTTGGCTCCTCAGTATAGCATAAGCAAACTGCCAATCACCGCGGAACAAGGCCCTGGACCTTGCTGCGTATAGCTTTGACCGTTTCGGCGTATATGACTACCTAGTAGGCGCGGATGGATTCTGAGGGAGGCTGACTCGAGTCCAAGTGGAGACAAGCTGACGACACAGGAGAGCCGGGTACGTTTAAAAGGGGACACGACAGGGGACGGCGACGGGGTCGGGACGCAGATGTACGAGTGTAGCGCGCATTGAATCTACGAGGAATTATAGTACCTCACGGAATCTGAGCGGGAGGGAGTAAGTACCTAGGTAGCGTGGGAGAGGAAATTCCCGCGAGCATAGACCGAAAGCCGCGACAGCCGGAGGAACAGGCGGGAGGCAATCATAGTGTGTGACCTGCATGTGTAAAACAAAACAGATTGACAGTTGAAAGACAGCCAAGTGACTGGGCAGAAATGGAACGAAAGGAACAAGGGGGGTGGGAGCACGGAACGGAGTACGAGGTACTCGGTATACGGGCATCTTTAACCGTAGCACAAGTAGGGCCCCTTGTAAGAAAGGAGGTGATTGTGGAGATAGCAACGTCGAAGGGTTGCGAGACAGGCGGCCAGAGAGAAAGAGAAAAGAGCGAAAAGAGAGACAGAGGCAGAAGCAGGAGCCCGATACGGAAAGGGGCAATTGTCTTCTGTGTATCTACGAGTATCGGGTTGCGTGGCTAGCTGTGTTAGAGGCCGGCACGCTGGGATGTGATTTGCCCGATAGCAATCCTGTATTATCAGCGAGAAATTATATCGAGCAACAGCAGAAATTAGTGCCTCGTATCGCAGGGAGGATGAGGGAACAAGGACCCCGTGGAGCCTATCGCAGGTGGGCTCTGGTCCGGAAACCAAAGAATAGGGGGCCCGGCTATACGAGTGGGCACTGGGCCCTGGGCACTGGGCACCGGGCACCGGGCACTCCTCCTTTGTCCCCATTTCCGCAAACCCGAAGAAATCACCGCATCGAGTAGTTGTGTGGCCGGCGGGCAGCTGATGGCCGGGATGACCAGTATATGCCTGAATCATGATTATGGTGATCATGATGGTGGCGGTGATGGTGGGAAGACGTAAACACTACTGACGAGCCACCTGATACTAGATACGTACGAAGTACCGAGTAGGAATAGCATGCATCCAGCCCAACTAAGTAATCAGCAGGAATCCAGGGCCTTAATGACTGCTTCGGGTTATGCCTTCTGAGTACCAGCGAGCCAGGTATTTATTACTGAGCATCCTTGAAACATTCAAGGGGCGGCTCCCTGGTACCGGGGTGCCCACTCTTTTGTCTTTCGATTCTCTATCAAGGCTCCCTCCCTGGGTAGGTACGGTACCTAGATGCCCAGGACCTGGGCACCTGGGCACCTGAACACCTACCTAGGCCGTCACTAGTGCCCAGTACTCGTACTCGTAGGTATTCGGCTTAACCAGATATCCCTCTTAGGCAGTCCATAGCCCTCGCCTATTCGTCTGCTGCGAGAAATCTAGAGCCTACCACCACCACCCAAGGTGTCCCAGACTCCCAGTCGTGTCAGGCTCTCCGCCTCTCCCTAGCCGTATATCCACCCGGGGATCAAGCTGCAAGGATGACGGGGCCTTTGATCCAACTCAATCTCGTCAATCGCCTCCCGCTCGCTGTGTGTTGAGTTTTTAATTACTACCACGTACGGATACCTACTCGCTACCTACCTGGGTATTCAAACACTCCCCCGTATTTCGACCCTCTTTTTCCCTTTCTCTCGTACGCTTCCACGCACACGACTTCCTAGTATGTTTGGTGCCATCGACCGGAAAAAAAAAGACGTGCCACTCAAGGTCAAGCGAGAACCCGCTTCCTAAATTCTCTCATGGTGCGCCCACCCACACAATACGCTCGACCCCCCTTCCTTTGACCTTCCTTTCCCCCCTTCCCAAGTTGTGCTTGTCAAACCGTAGCCCGTAGCCGCAACCGTAGCCCTTAGCCCTTAGCCTTCAGCCCTCAGCCAAACAGCCCAAACCGCCCACTCAGCCCACAGCCCGCATCCTATCAACCTTATCCACTTTACTATTCGGCCGTCGCATCGACGTACTCTAAACGCCTCTTTTCTCGGTTCTTGTTAACGTTTTAACCTTGGGCTTTCCCCATTTCAACCAATAACCCACTGCTTGTCTGCTCTTGTGCCTATCCTACGGTCATTTAGTGTCCCTTTTCTCGCATCTCTGCCTCTCTGGCTGTCTGTCTGTCTGTCTCCTCTTTTCTCTCCTTCTCCCTCTTCTTGTGCCACTTACTTCCCCCTTCCCTTTTCTTCCCTTTCTTTCCCGTCCTCCACCTTCCCGTCTCTACAGAGCAAGTTCTTTGCATCAATCCAGTCAACCACCTGCTGTTGTCGCTGCTTTTCCATTTGTACACCATTGATTTTGTCAACCTTTGTATCACCATCTCCTCGACAAGTCAATTTGTTACTATGCAGCCGCCGATGCCGCTCCCGACCTCGATTTAGTTTTGGAGGCATTCAGCTTTAGTCGCGCTCAGTTTGTCCTGCTGCTCGGCTTGTCTTCACATTTCAGCAAGTCGCCTACTCACACCAGCGAGTCATCGACTCACCGTCGCCATGTATTCGCGGCCTCCGTCAGATCTGGCGCGTAATGTCTCGCACGACATCGGGTCCGAGGTATGTGAGAATTTTTTTGTCTTTTATTTCTCAGCCCTGTTCTGCGATATGCTTCATGCACGATCCCTCAACACACTTGCACTAGAACTCTGCGCCATCCAAGAATTTATAAGAAAAGGGAAGAAGCGGAGAAGAAGAGAAATTGCTACCGAGAGCGCATGAGATCTCGCGGCTCCCGGTCATCGTTGTGATCTATCCGCCTCAGGGAGAGGGAGTAGGACAACTAGAACTGGCACCTCGAGTCAACTGTCAAGTATTTGCCGTCAAAACCACTCTCTGTCTCTTGCCAAACTACCGGCACAGAGACAGCCAGAAGGAAAAAAAGCCACCGGATCCTGGGAAATGCCAGCTGGAGCGACACCTGAACCCAGTGACGATATCGTGGCCACTTATGCTCGCTTGTCCGCGTGTCGGACCCTGGGTGCAGTCCCAGTACCTTTGGGTTGCAGGGTTGGCTCGGCGGGTGCTGCAGGCGACCTCTCGGGGCCTATATGGCAGACACTGGAGGCGGCCGCCTCTAACCAACTCGAGCCTTTATGCCCTTATGCCCTTATGCCCTCGGGGGCCTTCAAGGCTGCTAGGCTGCCCGGCTCCCCTCTCTCCTCCAACTGGAATGGCGGCCACTGCCCCCACCATCGCCCACCTGCGCTCCTTGTTCTCTTGGCGGCTGGCTTCAATACCTGGGCGACCTTTTTAGGTCTGCCACGCATCCCACTCCGCCTCGACTCCTCTTTTACGCCTCTCACCAATCGCCATCTTTTCCCAAAACAACCTTCAATCCTATTTGGTTTGCTATTCAGCTGCATCACTGTGGTGGCGTCTTTCCTGTCTCTGCTTAGCGCCCCATTGCCTGTGTCGCACCTCCTATTGCATCAGTCTCTTTACTCCTTCTGGATACTCCTGCCTACTCCCTGTGGCTTCAACGAGTCGAGGCCGAGAAGGGGGGAAAAGCAACCTCGACTTCGCGTACGACATGTGACTGGATAGGGAATTGGTTGCTGCCTTTCTCGTTGCGACATACTGCTCATACCCGAACCTTGGTGCTGACCACTCACTTTCACCTCACTTCACCATCGTTTACTTCCCCTCGTGTCTAATGGAACTTCCTGATTTGTCAACCTCCAGCCCGAGCCTATGTTTCGTAATAGTCTTGTCACTAATCTTTGGCCTTAGCGTCCACGTTCGTCGTGGGAGTCCCCGTATCAGCATCAACCTCGAAATTTTCAGCACCCTCCACAACGTTCGCCGAACGTGCCTGACCCGATGGACCCCGAATCTTCTGACAGCGATGTCTCTGTTGGCGGAGGTGATGAATATCGATTTGCCAGTCCTCTGACTGCACCAATTCCCCTGCCGCCGCCAGCATCAAAGCACGCACTGGAATCTCCCGATGCCGTTCAAGCACGTCTCGACGAACTCCAACGCGTCGAAGACCACAACGTCAAGAAATATGATCTGCTCAGGGCTAAGCGCGCGCGGAAAGACGAGAAAATCCGTCGCAGGCGCGATATCCAGGACAAGAAATGGGCTCTTATTGTGGAAGCGCGTCAACGCAGAGACGCTAGAATTGAGGCGCGCCGAAGGAGGGAAGATGCGGCCTTTGCCCAGTTTGATCATGAGCTAGAGGAGGAAGAAAGTGTATGTTCCAGTCGGTCCTTGATAGACGCGGGTGAGCTAACATGTCCCCAGAATCTCCGGCGCCGGCTGAAGCGACTCAAACGTGGACTACCACCAGACGAGTCACCAGCACCAGGAGGTCGTAGCATATCGTCATCGTCAATGTCGCCGCCAGGTCCCGCGCTCTCAACTCTTCCCCCACCCCCCAAGCGTCACCAAGTTGGTCCTCCAGGCCAGCCTGATGCTGTTAATCCAGCTCAGTCGAGACCTTCGCCGCAGTCCAATCTGGCAGCGCCTGCGAAAAGCACTTTGCCTGCTCCCTCCTACTCCTTCTATCGCGACTCGGCTTCATCCTACTCCCGTCCATATCATCACTCATCCTACTCGACCACCCCGAACAATGCGTCCCCGACGATAACGACGAACGGGTCAGGTCATGCCCACCAACCCTCGGCCGACCGACCGCAACTGAACCATCTCGGACGGCCAGCTTCTCCGCTCCCACGATCCGTCCCGAGTACTCAGTCACCTGTGACACCAGCGACGAATCCTAATCCGCCCAGACAGATTTATGATACGCGCCCGCCACCAGCCACTACGTCTTCTGGATTCGCTTCGATTAACGCGCCTCCAGCCTCGGGATTTGCGACCATCAACGCAAGAACGACCGCAACTCCACCGACATCGCACGTCCCCATGTCAAGACCTCTGAACGATGGAGATCCCAACAGGACCCCTAATCATCCAGCCAACAACAATGGAGTCGAACCCAATCACTTCCATTCTTACCCAAGTGCTCCAACTCCTTCCAACTCCACAGCACCGACTGGGAGTGGTAGCAAACGTACGCCCTCAACAACCCATCCATACCAGATGTCCGAAGCATTTGCAAACCGCCACCACCACTGCGAAAGAGTCGACACACTGAACCGTGGTATCTGGACGTCCTATGGTCCGGGAGGCACGGCAGAGCATCCGACAGGACCTGCAGTCGAGATGTACCTTCGGTGCAATCACGACGGATGTTCGCGTATTGATTGGCGTACTGTGCATGGTCTGCAGTGTCACATTGTTAAGAACCATGATCAGCCCAAGGGCACCATTGGTAGTCTTGACAAGGCTCTTGAGAGGTACGGCGTTCCGGTCAAAGAGGTCGAAGATTTCGAATTCCACAACGGCAGAGGCACTGCGGGAACTATGGCAGACCCAAAGAACCTAAAGATGAAGCTCAAGACGAAAGTCCAGACTTTTGGCAGAGTCGGCACCCCGGGCTCTTTCGGTGTCGATCCTGAGGCGAGGCCAGCTGGCTACAGACCCAGTCCGGCTGCCACCGACGACAGTCCAACAATGTCAGATGGTCTCAAAAGAAGTCCCGACACACCCATGACAAACGGCTATCCCAACCGTGCCGTGAGCAATGAGAACGGTAGACAGTCTGCACCTCAAACAGCAGCGGGCTCTCCCGCCATCACGCACACGGCTGTCCGACCAGGGTGGATGGGGGTAAATGCGCCGTCGTCGACCCCGGTGACCATCGAACCGGAACCTAAAAGCCTGCAAGGGGACTTCAGTTCGACTGATACTCCGAGTAACGAGGATACGACCAATTCTCAACCTGCGGTTCCATCTGGAGAGACTCTACCTACGCCTCCATCTACCGTCACGGCTACTACTTCACAAACGGATTCCAGAGACACAATCACAATCGGCGAAACTGTGGCCACTGCTCCCAAACAGCAATTCTCTGCTGCCGGACCAGTCGGGGCTGAACCGTTGACCTCTTCAACCCAAACACAACCAGCCGCCGAAATCAAGAGAGAAGAGGAGAAGGGGGAGGGCCAAGAACTTTCTAGGCCAAAGGCAAAGGACCAAGATGTTCATATGACGGGAACATCAGAGGACAATCAACCGAAGCCCGATGAGATTCGAGTAAATGGTGCAACTAATGCGGAGAAGGATGCAGCACCTGAAAAGCCGACACAGGGACCAGATCCGACCGCAGAACAGTCCGATACAATCGAGATAGATGGGGGCGCCGCGAAGGACGCCAGCACTGGCGCTGTCCGGCGATCCACGATGCAATCTCCAACTATCACGACGAGGTCTCTTACTGCGACCACGCCTGGCAGCGCCCGACGACCAAGTCGACGATCCAGTGCAGCGAGGAAATCCGTCGATGTCGATGGGGAACCGGGTAGACCTGCGAACAACGAGAACGATGACAAAGAAAAAAACGACAAGGATGGCAAGGATGAGAAAGCAGAGAAGGAGAACACTCGGCTGGAACCTCGGCGGTCATTGACTGGACGACTCATGCGAAGCCGGAAGATTTAGTACGATGTTCTAGACATTTCTACGCAAGACGAGAAGTGTCAGATCAACTGGCCTGGCGAGATGACAAAGTTGCGAGGGTGCTCTTTGAGCCAACCAAATTGGTCTTGTGCACGCTTCACAACAAGGACCGGAGGTCGAAGGACTCGACTAGGTGGGCTACAATCGGGGACTTGTGCACCAGTATTGATGGGCGGATGTGGATGTATGCCAATACAGTTTTCGAGGATATGAATTGGTGCTCCCACGGACTCTGATCTCGACATAATGTTGAGGGTTGAGAGGGCTAAGGGGATTTCAATGGCGGGATCGGGCACATGCGGCGGGAATATGGATTATTGTCCAGCATTCTTATCGGCGACTAATTGGTTGATGTCGCCTGTTTCTTTTGTTTGATGCTTTTGAGATTGCCATGCGTTGAGCAAATTGGGCTGAGACTGTTATGGAATGTTGTGTTTAGCACTATTCACCCAGCGGCGGCTGTCATGTTTGATAGTTTGGGCTTTGCGGCACAGAAGGACAAGCAGGCTCTGCGATGGTTTCTTGACTGTTTGGCGTGATCCAGATCATTGCGGTTCACTATCGTTGATTATGAATGATTCCGCGCAGTATGCAGTATTAATGGAGCTTGTTTTTTGTTTTTGTTTTTTTTTGGCAGATAACAGTGCCGGTTTGTTACTTAGCTGGATATTTTCTGTTTCCTTGATCGCCTTTCCTTCAGAGATCAGCTGCAGACCTCGCGAGAGCCGTCAGCAGAGGGAGCGCCGAGTCGCCAATTACGAGTCCGTAGCATCCAACGTTTTCGGACAATTTTTTTGTTTCGCTTGTCTTATTATATCTTCTGGGGGCCATCTCGGCTCCTGCCGGTAGGGGGTAACTTGTAGGACAAGCAGGATACAAAAGTCAAATGCAACGACAAAACCTGGCCAGTCATTGCTTCGCGACGCTATCACAGTTCTATGGATATTGTGTGTATACGTATGAGTGTATTGGTGGGTAATAGATTTCTATACAAACCTCCACTCGACGGAATTCTGAGATGCCTGCCTGCCTGCCTCCCTGCCTGCCTAGCCCGTATTCGTTCAGGAATCAAATCACTCTCACGTCAAAGTGTCGTAAGGCGACGTAGAGGGCGGGGCCCGAGACGTTGTTATTTATTTTGCTGCGCTCCGGAAAGCGGTGTACCCCGTGATAGGACAGCTGGGGAGGGCTTTTCTGTTCTTTTGGTCGAGTTTATATAAAGTGGGCGGAGAGGTCGATGTGCATGAGATGCAGATGCAGGTACAGCAGAGGACCTCCAGCCGGCTTCTGTGTACACACGGGCGCAACAGCATTCCCCCTGCTTCGCCATGGCTGGGACTCACACGTTCAGGGGTTGTCGTTAAGCATACCGAACTGCTGAGCCAACAGCGGGCGGATGTAGCGTGGACTGGAAAAAAAGAGCCCGGATTGGGTTCTCGACGAGGAATGAGAATGTCATTTTGAGACGTGAAGTTTTCGGGACAACCTAGACTGGTCTCGACGAGTAACGTGCAGCCCGAGTGATTAGAGCACAGCGACGAGGTCAAGATGGGAAAGATGGCGTCTGGAAGGATCGACTTATTAGAAGTAAAAGTGGCGGCTTTATATCGCGAGGCAGATATGTTCAAAGATGGTATTGTGGAAAATTGAAAAAGCCCGTCCAGAAGTGCCTGCAGGAGCTATTTTGAGGAGCTTGAGGATCTGAATGCCTTGTCGAGATCGGTGGCTCAATTCGACTACCAGTCCTTCCTCGACTCTCATGACAATAGTTCCCCGCTTGCCATGTCCCCTGGAAGACAGGCTTTCGGACAAGCTTCTTGTCGAGAGATTTCCAGACCATGAGGTGCTCCAGCGGGTTCTTTCGTCCCCAGATTGCAGCGGGCTCGGCCGTGGATATGGAGAGACCGACAGCCACCGTGTCTGTTCGATGATATGGGGAACACACTCAGAAGTCCGCTCTCAAGCCTCCCCGAGTCCGTTGGCGGTGCGCCGGAGTTGATCTGGAATTGATCTGGAATTGCTGCATTGGCCATAAAGCCTGCCGCGTACCGAGTACCTCGTCCGAAAGCCCTTCAGTTCCGACCACGGTTTCGATCTTGCACCACAGCTTTTCGTATCGTCAAATCACTCGCAAGGGCCAGAAACCTTCGTTCATCCCAGCAATGCTATCTTATCACACCGCCAACCCCAGCCCATCCAAGCACAAAGCCACTCAACGCCTCTGTAAACAGGCCTCCTCCGAGCCAAATCTCTCTCCACGCCCCTGTTCCTTCGTTTCTGCCCTTCTTCCCATCTTCATTCACGCCTCTTGACCCAGCTGTCCCCGCAAAATACCTTTGCGGCTGGCCCTTTACGAGGAGGAAATAGAACAGTGCGGAGATGAGGGTGTTGCACAGCAGATAGAAGCCGAAACCGTAGAGGGATTCGAGACCCAGAATGCCGGCTGCAATGCCGAGAAGGAGGCCGGAGATGGAGCGGATGTTGGAGAGCGTCTACGGTTACAGAATGCAAGTGAGTAGAACGGCCTTTTTCTTTTGGAAAGGAGGGGAAGACGTACGCGAGTATTGTGAGTGAGAGACTCGGGGACCAGTGGGTCGAGGAGCAGAGATAGCTCCTGCGGTGAGGGCGCCATAGCGGGCTGCGATGGACCGTGGTGTAGTCTCAAGGGTTCGGGTCTGTGTCGTCGAGCTGGTGGACCAGGCACAGAAGTAAGATGGTCATGGATGGTCTTTTGACAAGAGCGTGAAGGAGGGAGACTTCAGGTCACAGTGGACGCTGATGGCGCTTGGCTGCGGTGGGTCTCGGCTCCATCCCTCGTTCACCTTCAACGTTATCCAAGAGCTACGAGCATTTGCATTCTGGGCACTAGAGGTACTCGCTACAGAGCCGAGTTTCAACCTCTCCCCATATCATGTTTCCTACTGGAAGTTATCATGCTGAGCCTCCTAAAAACCCCAGGCCATCACAATAGCAACCGTGTCCAATCAATTTTGGGTCCAAGTTCAGACGTTCACATAGAAGATTCGTAGGTGGTATGGGTTATCTCGTCACGCTATATAGAAAGACGTCGAGTCATCATGCCATCGATGGTCAGTCTTCGTCGAAAAGAACTGAAAAATTACAAGGGTAATAGCCCGACCCAGGTAGAGGAGATATTTTGACCGGCCCTGTGGATGTATCCATCACACCAGCAGCCGCCCGCTGGAGATCCTGCAGAACATGACCGACAGTGATGTAGATCGAAACGTGAGCCCAGCTCCAGCCTTCCCCGCCCATGCCTCGAATGTTTGCAAAATCAGAAAAGCACGGTGCCACCTCGATTGGACGGTAGATGTGGCCACGAAGGAACTGCGATTCTACAGCTTGCCTTCGGCTTGGGCTTCTTTGACTTGCTCAAACACCTGAAAATGATTAGCGGTCACCACCTACACTCGACACCTCCATGACTCACCTTGAGCATCTTGTTCCTCGCACCCAAAGCATTCACACCGCGCGCTTCCAGCCCCTTGTCATCGAGCTGTATTAATTCCTCCCATTTAAGGTCCTTCAGGTTGTCGGTATACTTGTGTAGTCTCAAGGATCGAAGCCACGTCGGAATATCTTTCAGCAGATTCGGATCAGTGGGGTCTTCGGGAGGTTTGGAGCTCCCACGGCGCCCTCGGGGCGACCTGCCACGATTGATCTCCGAGTGATCGGATAGATATCCTTCACCGCCACCACCAAATATGCCTGTTTGAGGAACTAGTCCCGGCATCCCTGCACCAATCATGATGGGAGTGCCCTCATATGCAGCCAGGAATCCATTGTGTTGAGGTGAAGAGAAAGCTGTTTGTCCGAGAGGCGTCTGTAGAGGAAGACCAGGAGAATTGGGTCGAGATCGGCGTCCTTGTGCTGCAGCAATCTGTTGTGCTTGAATGGCTGCTACTTGCTGAGCATTGAGGATCTGGCCGTGATCATTGACCATAATAGTATTGATTCCTGGGATGCCAGAAGCTGTAATACCCGGGGTCAGGGGGGTTTGTGGCTGTGGTTGAGGTTCGTTCGACCTAGCACGGCGATATTTCTTGACGTCGTCCAGGGCGATTCTGTTGTTGACTGTGGACAGGGCGGCTAGTTTCATGGCGGTTGCATTGGCCACCATTTCGCTATGGGACTGAGCTTGACTGAAGTTCGGAACCATTGGCGTATTGGTCATTGAAGCCCAACTCTGGTTGCCTACATTGTAAGGAGACAGCAGTGGCATATCGCTGGACACCGGGTCCGGAGCGGTCAGTGTGGTGCTCTGAATGTTACCACCAGAACCTCCCAGTGGACGCGGAGAACGAAGAGCACCAGATGATGGAGGTTGACTAAACTGACCCATTGGCTGGTGCTGCCCCTGCTGGCCAGACGAGGATTTGGGTCTGGATATGGGAGGCTGCTGGGTATCTCCTCCACCTTGGCGCCAGCTCATGGCGTCTGCCTTAGACTCTCTAGGAGCCGCTATAGTTGGGGCGACCAGTGAACTGCGATCTCCTACAACCGTGCTGTTCCTGTTTGACGGAGGTGGGTTGCCGGTCTGTTGGGCGTATTCGGCCTTTTGCTGCTGAATGGCGGCGACAGCATCCGGAAACATTGCATGTATGGTGGACTGATCCAGGCCTGAATTGCGCTTATTACCGGCTGGGGAGACTGGCGGTCGAGTCAAAGACGTCCTCCGATCGTCCACGTTCAACTTGGACATGGCGTCGCTCAGGCGGCTGGACATGGCGTCCTTTTCACCGAAATTTGCAGGTGACAGAACGCCGGAAATGGGATGACTTTTGGACATCTGGTTCAAAACTTGAGCAAAGAACCGTTGCTGCATTTGAGTGGTCTGTTGAATGAGGGCATAGGTGGCAGCCGTGCGCTCGGCCTCGCTCAGGACTCGAAACCATTGCTCGATGGCGCTCAACTCGTCTTTAAAGTCCTGATCCAGTGTTGCCGCCGCCATCTCTTCCAGCATGGTTTCATATTGTTCAATGTCCTGAATCCACTGTTCCCCCAACTTGCTTGAATCGTCCATGCTGCCTTGCTGAGACTGCTGGTTGTATAAGACCTCGGAAGCGGGGCGGATGGAACGTGACGAAAGGGGAGAGGTAAAAGACATGTCGGCAGAAGAACGGACAGGCTGGGTATGAGTGCCGGATGTGCCGATAGTCCTCGAGGAGGGTGGGCGAAGAGAGGTTTTGGACGCCTCCGGGGTGCTATTCCTGTTGCCGATGATGTTGCTGGCCATGGTAGCCTTTTTTAAAAATCCGTGCCTCGGAGGTTGCGTAGGACAAAGCGCCCTGACGGTGACGAAGTGACGGCGGAAGAGGACGAAGTGAGTGGTGGAAGGAGTCGAGAAAGTCACACAGACAGATCTAACAGATCATTGGATCTACAGCGTGTCAAGGAGCCGATTGGATCCAGCCCAAGGGCAATGATGAAAGAGGGTGGAAAAAGGAATGTCGAGAACGCGCTCTCAACGCAGTCACAGCTGAAGCAGAGGTGTGAGGCAGCGGTGTTTGGTGGAGGTGGCGGTTCGAGGTGTCTCAGACACGACGGCGAGAGCGGGATGCGATTAAGCTACTCGGTACTGGAATAGACGCGCAGGAAGCAGGCGACAGAGAGCATGAGAAAAGGCAAAGAAGCCGAGATCCGTCAAAAAGAATACACTCCCTAACAGCCTACAGGCGAATCGAGGTTGAGAGAGTACGGAGGGACCAGGAGGAAAAATTGAGTCGAGCTGAAATAAGACAGACGAGCAGGGTAAAGTTGAGGTTCACGAAGAGTGGAACCGACAAAGCGGCAAGGCTTACCCGTGCCTCCGTATAAATCCTATTACTTGCAAGTTGCAAGCAGTAGGGATATACAGGGCTTAACGGGGGGAACTAGGCTGCCTATAATTACCTAGGTACCTATTGAACGCCGCCCAGCAGCAACCAAAACCCCCCCCAAGTTCAGGGAGAGGAGGCCTGGAGCCAGCTGAAACGGGTTGGGTTCGTTTCCACCATCGTCATAAGGGTTTTGGTGGGCAACGCCCTGCGCTCGCCTGGTAGGTGCCTTGGCCTCCGAGATAGCGGCCCTCGTGGGAAGCTCGTTAAAAGGGGAGCGCCGAGGGCTAGCCTACTAGCCCTAGCGTTACGTGCCCTGGACGTGTCTGAGCAGCGCTCCAAGGCTCGTATCGATTCACCACCAACCAGTTACTACTAGTATACGAACTGCGCCTCATTGTGGCGCTCTCGCTTCCTCCAAGTAGTAATACATTTCCTCATTGGCCTAGAGATTATCAATATCAAGCTGAACAGATTCTCATCACATGCTGGTGGCAACCCAGTCTGATCAAATATTTGAGCACTGGTGGCACTGGACCCAGCTGCTCTCAGGGGGATCTTGACATAGAAGATCAACGCAACGAGATCAGGCTACTGCCCCTTGTTGGCAATTAAAAGAGTGCTCTCAAATTTGGTGACGGAGACGATCTTTAGGTGGAAGGTCCTTTTAGAATTCCAAGGAGTACAGCAAACGCAATGGATCGGCGAACAATTCAGTCTTATGAGCCATCACTCTTTGCCTTGACACGCTTTGGGTGGACCTTAATCAACCATGTAGCCCCTTTTCTTGCACACTGGTTCATTCTGGCCTCGAATGCTCCATGCAGACAGCCCAACCAACATAATCACATCGCTTTGATGTTGGATGAAAAGCGGTATTCGCTTGATGAGAGAGGAGAAAGACGTTGTGTGCAATGGAGCCTTGCTAATTCCCCCGACTGCTCAGCTCCTTCCATATCAGATCGAGGACGGCGCCGGGTTTTCCCAAACAGCTCGAAGTGATATCAATGCCAGGGTGATATGTCCAACCCAAATTCTGTGCCAATAGACATCTCTCCCATATCGTACAACATGTGTCTCCGCGCATAGAAGATGGCTGGCGATTCGACGCTTATCTGCCGGGCAGTTGGCCCGACTGCATCATGGCAGCATTCTGCTCTTGAAACCTGGCACCCAATCTCTCCGAGCCTTTCAAGAACTTATCCACGCAGCGCATCACACATCCTTCTTCTCTTGAGATCAATGACTTGGTCGTGAAATCGTTGACACAGTCGTCAAAGCACCGTTGGACGAGGTTGGAATACGTCTAGCACAGAGCATAGGTCAGTTTGATGATCAACGCGGGCCAACCTGCGTAATGGCATGGGCTTGGATGGTACGCACCTTCATAAATTCTTTGAGCTGCTTCGCCTCCATGCGAGCATTTAGCTCCCTCTGTTCGGCGGGAGTAAGGCTAGAACAATGTCAGCAAATCCACGCACAGATGCTTGGAATGCGAGACCAACCTGTCCATTTTGACAAAAATAGGGATGAAAACAAGAGAACCAGTGTCACAATTGCAATAGTCGAGGCGAGAGGATTGTGAATGATGAACACGCGAGTCGCAAAGCAAAATCCGGGCCCGGCAGACTTTCCCTGTACAGTTTTGCAGACCAGCGGCACAACTTTTCTTGTTGGAACTTCCGTACCTTCGCCGGCTCTTTTCGTTGGATGCGTCTGGTTGCCTTACCTCCTCGACCTGCTCCTTGGTCTCGCGGCATACCCCTATGCATCTATTTCTCATCCGACATGGAGAGACAGAGCATAATGTTGCCGGGCTTCTGGCGGGAGTCTCTGATTCCAGGTTGACAAACCATGGCGTACTGCAGACCCAGCGTCTGGGTCGCTACCTCACAACTCACCGCAACTTGAGATTTACCCAAATTTATGCCTCGGATCTTCAACGAGCTTTCATGACCGCCGAAGAGCTTCAGAGAAGCCAAGTCGCAAGACTCTCCGGTGAAGGTGTCCCGGGGGTTGTGAGACTCGAGCTGCTCCGAGAGCAAGACTTCGGCTCACTTGAGCTCGTTCCATGGACCTCGAGAAGAGCCCAGGACACTCTAGATTCTAGAGTGCCTAACCCGAAAGATTCATCTTTTCGACCCCAAGAAACCACCGAGGCTATGGTGAGAAGAGCAGAATCTTTCCTGGGTGACTTCATCCTCCCGCATTTTGCCAGTGCAGAGAATTTCCAGGAGAGTGCGCAGGAATGCGTTGCGGTCGTTTCCCACGGCCTCTTTCTGTCTGTGCTATGGCAGACACTGCTGAGAAAATTCAGCACCGGTAGCGTCACTCTGGGTCCGAATGTCGAGGCTTGGGGCACCAACCGTCCCTTGGAACACCTACCAGCCTGGACCAACACTGGGTTTTTAGAGGTCACAATCCAGAAGCCCATACCAAAGGTGGCCGATCAACCTCGCAAAGGGCAGCCTTTGATATCGACAGACATCCGATCATCCGCACTCAGCGGATATTCCATGACCGTCCATGGAGTCAATAGCAAAGATCACCTACTGGACCTAAAGCGTACCAGAGGCGGGTTGGGATCATCTCCCTATGATGTGAAGCAACGGAACCTGGATGGGTTCTTCAAGCGACCCAAACCCAATGGCCCCAGTACATGAACCTCATTATCCACCTCATCCTACGCCGACTGGAGACGCAAAGCTTCTATAAGATGAGGAAAATGGGGCTGGCATGCGTTCCTACGATCTATGACTACACTAGAGAAAATCACATTCGAAGGCTGCAGAGAGGCAGAGGTAAGCTATATCTATTTGTTGTGACATACGATTCCTATCTGCTTGATGAAGCACAATTTCACACAGACCTGTTCTGAAACTTCTTGTGGAAGCATAAATTGTACCAACTGCTGTCTGATCGCAGTATTGTTCTCGTGCCAGTTCTCCAAACGATGCAACGCAGATAACTAATTGATATTTTCGCAGGAGAATGGCTACGCCTTACTACCGGTTCACTGAAACCATATCTTGAGTCTTGACACTGTCCAGGCATTGTGGGTTTCGAATTTGCTGGAACCTACCACCCCATCCAGGTGCATTGCTCCTCCATCCATCCTTCTTACCTGGATTTTATATAGAAAGACTGTTTGAGTTACCATCAGCTTCAGGAAATCGTGGAATCCTTATTCGAGAATGATAGCAGCCAGGGCCAACTTCATCCTTAGGCCCAAAATAGAGACGCCGAAGCCTAGTGCGCCACAATTGGTACCTAGGAGTGGGTAGTGGGGAGAGAGTGCAACAGGGTTGAAGCTTGAAGCTTGAAGGCGGATGACCTCGACCCATGGGACGACGCGAGGCATTCTTCCCGAGATGATTGGCCGTTGCAACACGCGCTCTGGGTGCTGATCAGGGGCCCAAACCCGTTTCCTTCCCCCAAACGCATCCTGTTTCCTTGATTATTCCTTCCTTCTCTTCATCATCTCAACGGCCGAACATGTATGGATCTATATATGTCAGATTGCTCCTCCGGTATGGCAGAGCTATTTATCTATTTGTTCATTCTGTCTTCCCCCTTTCGTTGTGGTGACCAGATGCCCGGAGACGGCCCTACGCCAGCTGCCGGAAGAGGAGCAGTACGAGGCCGCAATCAACCCAAGTTTGGACCTCCAGCACGTTTCTTATATTCGCAATGTTTGAGAGAAGTGATCGGATATCGTCTGCGTCGATTTTTCTGTCCTCAGGCTGTTTTCCCATTCAAATTACGAAGGAGTTCGCTGATTCCCTGCCCAACCCCCTTTTCGAGTACGAAGTAATACCAGTAAGTAAGCCCGCTAAGAATACACGAGATGCTCAAAATTCCTTCGTGACCCAAAAAGACCTTCACGGGCGTTTCACCACGGTAAGCAACTCGGCTCCTACCATGGTTACAATGCCATCCACTATTCGCAAGCCCAAAACCCCCCACCTGGCGCTCACAAGGACGAAATCGACCACAATGAAAACATCTCCCCGGACTTAGCTGTCCATCTCGCTTTCCAAGACTTTTCCATTCGGTATGTCCTAGCTCGAATAAGGCACCAAACGCCTTTCGCCGGGACTTGAAAAGAGAAGAACGGGGCTGGATTCACTGCTGTGCGCTGGTAAGCCAGCCACAGTCATGATCAGGCAGCATCCCCCCTTTGAGGTGAGCTCTCCTTTGCTTAAATCGCCTTTTTTTTTGTTTTCATGCTTCCACCTGCACACTTTCCTTTTCGGCCAAACCCAAATTTGAAATTTCAAACATAACTGTGTGCTCGGACTATGGTTCGAGTGGCGTCGCGTCGGCGTCTTTCTTGCCGCCGCCCAGCATTCATTGTGTATGGCTCATTCTGGTAGCCCATCGACAGGGCTAGGTGTGCTCTTATGGCCGCAGGTGGCGATGCTGATGGCGCTCGTGGTAGCTCTGCCACATTTACAATTTGTCTCCTCGTCGGGCCGGCGGCTCCGGGCAGGACAGTCTGGTAAGGGATCAACTGGGTTCTCTTGAACTGTTGATCATTGATGATCCTCCGGTTGTACATCCACTTCATCAGGCCAAAGTCGGTCCTCACTGTCGCAAGGTGTTGGCCCTGCCGGAAGTGGTCATGCACCATATGAGACAGCATGGTGTTCCAGGCCAGCGCCGGGTCGTCGTCCTCCGGATGCGAGACATATTTGTTGTCGCATAGGAAACAGGTGGCGAAGGTCGGCAACTCGTGGCCGCGGAAGTGCGAAAACACATGCATCTTGAAGTGGATGATGTCGGCAAACACCTGGTCGCAGTCGAGGATCTGGAACGGGCAGAGCAGATCGGCGTCCTCTTGATATCGAAACGGCACCGTCAACACTCCGTCTTCTGACTCCAGCATGTATCCATCCCCCAGTATGCTACTGGCCATGTCTGTGTCTGCCGAAGACGCCCCAGATGAATCCGTCGAAGTCTCACGCGTCAAGGGTGGTACTGCATCTGTGGCGGTCGTGGTGGCCGCGGTCGATGCCACGGATGCTGCGTCGTTGTCATCCTGGATGACCACCACCGCCGTGTCGGATCTGGTCCCCGTACTTCTGGAGTACATCAAGCTGGCACAAAGACCCCACCGGGAAAACTCTTGTCTGCTTCGTGGGGGAAGGGGGAGGGTGGACTGGGGCCGCCGGGTGCTACGAGCTGAAGGTGTGTGTCCAGATCCGGTTTACAATGGCATCGAGGCGAGATCGTGGACAAACGTGGGGAACTTGACTGTGCACAGTGGCGGACAAACCTGCACATGAGAGTGAGCATTTCATCACTCAGAAAACTCGAGCTGTTCCAACGGTCGAGCTGTGGTCCAACTTACCAGAATCATGATGTCGGCATCGGCGGAGGGATGGAGGTTGCCGGCGCTGGCAATCACACTATCGATAAGCCTAATTGGGCGAAAGATGCGGGGTGTGTATTTATTGAACTTGAATATCTCGTTCTGTCTTGCGGACAAGAGACCGAGGTGAAACTCTCACCCTCCTGGCAGGGACGAACTGCAAGACCTCCGGTGAAAAAACGTCGAAGAGTCTACGATCTCTGGCAAGATTCGTTTTGCCTCCAAAGTTCGTCGGAAAGCGGGGCGCAAAGGAAGGAAAGAAATGGACCAAAGATGCATGAAAACTCGACAATCGCAGATCAAAGGGCCCAGCCCGCTCGCCCACGGGAGCCTCAACGGGGGTCAAGCTGAGAAAGAAACTGATGATTGCAGTAGCGACTTCTGGCGACTCGGCGCCGTGAGCCGGGGCGACCTGTCAGATGGTGCCAGCACATCAGCTTTCCTTGCCGACCGCCCGAGTTGATTGGTGCAAACTTGCATATATTGGGGATTGCTAATCCGTCTTGCTAGGCCTTGTGAGCAGAGACGCATGTGGCTGTGGTACCACCTGCTGCACTCGTGGGATAGACGCCAGCAACAAGGAAAGAAGAAGGATTGTTATTTCTGTCGTTCGACTTTTGCATTCGACTGCTACCACAAAGACGAGCGAAGTGATGGCAAACAAGCAAGACAAGGTGATTGGCTTCAGACCAGCGCCTTTGCGCCATTGGCAGCATCGCTGAAGATCCAACGACGGGCGCTGATCCCAATTTCACTCGAGCTAGTACCCATAACAATCAGAAATGTATGTTTTGCCGGCCCCAGCTTCGATTCACAAAAGGGTATCTTCCAGTGACAGCCTGCTAGTATCAGCTGAACGGCACTCCTGAACATTCGCCAACAGCCTGCCTTGGAACCTGATCAAAGACGTAAGGGAAAGAGTTGACGCTCAACCTAAGAAGGCATTCGTGCTGGAGTCCGCCTTGACGATGACCTGTCGTACTTCGCTCCACGCCTTCTCACCAAATGCCCTCCCCTCTTCAGTCGCCAGCATGGGTCCAGGCTCAAACACTCGGTCATTCTTCCACATCTCTCCGTGGGTGTCCTGGCCGCGGACCAGGGCCTCGATGTAGGCATTGGCGCCCTGCTCAGCAGTTCGAGCAAAGATACTGTAGAGGACCCACTGGACAAAAACGATGAAAAAGTTTGTGCGCAAATTGCGTCCCAGGTCGCTCTTGCACAGTCCCGGGCAGACAGTGTTGATGATGACTTTGGGGTTGCCATCAACCCCCTTGACGGCAGGTGAAGCTGCAAGGTGACGCACCGCGTACTCGAGCACGAGCTTGGACCTGCCATATTGTGTAGCTCCGCCAGCGATCCCGGGAGGAAAGTTGTTCTGTGCGCTCAGGTCCTCAAGGGGCGTTTCGCTGGCCATGTACGTCTTCATCTGCTCCGGCTGGACGGTCCAGGCGGTGCCCGAGGAGACGAATGTGAGATGTGGCTTGTAGTTTTTGTTTTTGCCCGAGTCTGCTGCGGCGGTGAGAAGTGGTAAGATAAGGATGCCTAGGAGGAACGTGCTGAGGGTGTTGACTTGGAGCGTCTCCTCCCAGCCATCACTGCTCTGGAGATATTTGGAGTTCATCATCCCGGCATTTAGTATCGCCCCATCGATGGCCTGGAATTTAGATTTGAGAGTCTCTACAAAGCTTTGAATTTCGGCAAAAGATCCCATGTTGAGTACCATGGGAATGATTTCTGTCGGTTTCGCAGTGGCATCTCCCGAGTGACCTTGACCTTTGACAAAGTCTTCGATCTCCCTCTTCGCAGCTTGACCCTTTGCCTCACTTCGTGCCGTAATGATGAGTTTCTCAACGTGAAGTGCCGCAAGCTTCTTTGCTGCTTCCAATCCCAGTCCCGAAGTGGCGCCCGTCAAGAGAATTGTGCGAGAAGCAAAGGACTCGGTCACTGGTTTGGGCGGGTTGAGCTTTTGATCAAACATACGTTTCAAGCCAAAGACAGCCATTGCGATTGAATTCTTAACAGATGGGTTGGTGGTGGTGGTGGTGGTGGTGGTGGTAGCAGGCTGCTGAATGCTGTTGTTGAGGAAGGAATGTCGATGCCCATGAGGCTACCAGGCAGCCATAATATAGTCGTAGTTCCCTCGTACAGGCGACGTCGATGGCACTCCGTCGGACTTGTTGTTTCTCCGCAGGACTGAAATGACTGCTGACGGTGGCTTCTCCAGGTAAATACGAGGCAATGGGCTGCGAATAACCGACGCCTCTTGGTGCTTTGCCGCTGCGCCGTTCTAAATGGAGAAGGAGGACGAGGTTGCCGCCCGGGAATTCCACACATCCGAGTCCGTGTGCGGCTATCTGCTCTACCGAGAGAGCGCGGAGGGCATGTGTACCTCGTAAAAGATTACGACATATATAAGGTGCCTACTTGGCTTGGATATACCCCGTTAAGGGAATTGATTGAGTTTCCTTCTCTAAAACTCCATCAGCAGCCAACCCTCCAGCGACGACACAAGTCGAGGTTCGGGAATGGCGTTAATGATTGGCTGTGACAGCCGCGCGCTTGAATACGGTGAAGCATTAGCCCAGCTATGGTATGAATCATCAATGCAGTTGACATCCCACCTGCACTTCATCCAATTGTCACACGCTGCAGACGGTTGTGGACAAAACTCTCTCTTATGAGATCCTTCTATTCGCAGTAGCTGCCATGCTCGAAAGTGATACCGGCTGCTTCATACTACCTTCCATCCACGTTTCTCTCCGTCCTCACCGATAACAGCCCATTAGACACCCTACCCAACAAACGGCCATCCACACCTTTTGGGTGTGTGGCTCAACGACATGGAAAACCTCAGTCTCAATGATGCTCCTCCTCCACAGTCTGCCTCGCCACAGCGACGGCCACCACATCCACAGCAACACCCACACCAGCAAGATGCGGTATTCCCGGGCCCGCCTCCGCCTCAAGGTGCACCCCAATTACCGCCGCAAATGTTCACCACCGCGGCGCAACTGTTGGACTTGACGGATAGTGCGTGTCTCCTTTTATGGTCTACTCTACTCGCCGAGGATAGCTCTCACAAAATTTCCTACAGAGAAACTCCTTCTTGTCCTTCGCGACGGACGCAAGATTTTCGGCGTGCTACGATCCTGGGATCAATTCGCCAACCTCGTTCTCACCGAGACGAAAGAGCGCTATTTCGTCTCTGTACCCTCGTCGTCAGTCTCTACGGACCCAGCGAACCCTCACTCGCAACCCTCTACTCGCAACCTCTACTGTGATATCCCCCGCGGCACCTTTCTCGTGAGAGGTGAAAACGTCCTCCTTTTAGGTGAAGTGGATCTCGACAGGGACGACGATCCTCCTGCGGGATATGAAGAAGGGGACGTTGAAGAAGTGTTTCGGATACAGAAGGAGGCGGAGAGGGAAAGGAAGAAAAGGGACCGACTGAAGAATAAGAAAACGGCGTGGAGAGATCCTGAGGGAAGTGGCGAGGTTCTGTTTTGACACAAATTGTGTCGAGTGTACACTCGGTATTCTAGGGTCCAATACTCCTGGAAAATGAGTGCAGAAACGACATACTCATACAGTTGCAGGACAAAGGGGCTACCGTTGCAGCGCCAACATCTCCATCCTAGCGAGATTCGAGCGTGACAAGGAAAGGGTTTCGAGCAATCGTTCGGTCCAGAGCCCAGAGTCCAGAACTTACTTGGGACGGTCTGGCTGGCGCAATTGCAGATTTAGCTACTTGGGTACCCTATCTGTTGAGGGGATCAAAAGCACCTGCATGGAACAAGGCGCATCCTGAGACCTGGAGCAGAATATTGTTGAAATGCTCCTCTCTATTGACGCCTGAAGGAACCGATATACTTCCTGTTTTTCAGAACTTTTATTCTGACAACCTCTGTCTCCAGCAGCAGCGGCGGCGGAGGCAGTAGCAGCAAATAACAATCAATGTTATCGCTGTGATATGCTCTACTGGGATAGACTTTCCCCTTGAGAACCAAAAGTACTGAAGAGAGGAGAGCTCAAATGCTCTCTGCTGCTTTCATTTTGCTACCTTTCACTCTGCGTATGTAGCCTCTGAGGGTGTGAAAATGCAGGACCGCACAATATCTGCAAGACGCCCTTAGTCTCTGTCTCGTCGTTCAAGGGAATGAGAAAGTCATCCAGCACAACCCACCAGCCTCGCATGTTCCTCCACCTTTGGGTTGGCTGGACAATCAGGCAGGCGATGGTCAGCTCGCGTGTTGTCCGTGCATTTGTCGCCCTTGTCCTTCATTGTGTTGCATGCCTGTGACTGTGACTAGTTCCCGTTGCCTTGGTATGATAATGAACAACCCATGTGGGCCCATCATCGTTCTCTATCTCCACATTGGCTCAGCTGGAAGGCAACCTCGCCAACCAGTTCAGCACCATCATGGCCTGTGTGACAGCGACCTTTTCTCCAAACCTCATTCCGTCCCAACTGTTCGCCTGGACTGTCATGTTCCACATCCTCAACACTTCGACATCGTTGTCCCCGGCCACGCCCGCGAGGCGGCGATCAAAGTCCCATATCTCTTGGTTCCCTTTCCGGCCACGGATCTCTGTGTGGCCCGAGGCGGTGGGGCCGATCCAGAGCATGGGAGTCTTGCGATGAGACGAGTCTGCGAGCGCCAAGAACTCTTCCAGCGACGCGATGGCGGTTTCTGAGGTAGCGGTGTTGGGAGAGAGGCCGTGGACGATGGCGATCGGGTGGTAGTTCGACCGTGGCACGCGGGGGACCAGCTGTTTGAACTTTTCAATCACGGAGGACGGCGCTGGGGAGGTGCTGATCTCGAGGAAGGCATGGGCTGTTCGGCTGCTGCTGCAGAGGTAAGGTTGCCCATCAGCTCGGCCGGAGGGATGGCTGGGGAGGTCGTTGCTCGATGTGATGAAGTGTCCGGAGCAGCTCTGCGAGGTGAACTGGTTGTCACAGCTGCATTGGCGAAGTTTGTCCTTGTCCATATCCCAGGTTCTCAGGGCCCCGTGGGTCAAGTCTCGTCGCAAGAGGATGTTGAGTCCGTTGTAGATGGCCTGGAGGTTGTAGTCGCCCACAAACACAATAGCGTCGAAGCGTTCGAGGATCATGCAGATCTCTTCCACTGAGTACCAGCGGTAATGACAGTCTAAGTAGGCAACGGAGGGTTAGGACGAGAGCATGATTTTGTGTGTTCAATTCGATGTCACAGAATCCGCACTCACCTCTTGGGAAGTATGGCGTATCAAACCCAATTCGACCTCCACCTGACATGGCCTCCAGCAGCTCCTTGCGCCGAGGACAGTACACAGTGGGAGGTCCATGTAGCAGCTGATCTTGCGAGGGAGGCTGGTACAGATCGATGGCGCGGATGTTGCACTCGGAGGATCCACGAAAGGAGTTGAAGTAACTGCTTGATTGATTTGGAAGTCAGATTTGGTGCCTCCCAGAAATGCACAGTTGGTTTGACACTCGCCTGCTCAAGTCCTGAGAAACATTAGGGATTTTGTCGAATTGTTGTCGGGTGTGAGTCCAGTTTCCAGACATGGGCAGCACGGAATATGCGAGATACATGATGAAGGAGAAGTAGACAAGGGATAGCAGATGGTACATGACCCGTGGGAGGTTCAACTCGTTGTACCACTCCAGTCCATCTTCAAGACCGTCTCTTATGTGCCATCTCAGTCGGGTGAAGAACGGAGGCTTGGGTGGCTCCAGCGGCACTTCCACATCATCCTTTGCCGTTGCCATCGTGAGGAGATGCTTGACGGGTGACAAAGTGGGCGTAAATGAACAGTCAAAGGTGCCAAACGCGCCGAGATAGAACGAGTTTGGACAAAAGCGGAGACCAAGGAGAGAGATGATGTCGCCGGCGCCGTGACTCTGCAACAGGATTAAATTGTCAACTGAGAAAGAAGATCTTTTGCTCGTGATGTTGAAGGAAGTTCTTGTCAGTCTCATGTCAAGTGGCCAGGCAGTTGCACTGACGAGATCTGGTCACTCATTGGACATTCACTCATTCACTCAATTTCCTCAGCCTCGTCATCAGGGGAGCTCGCTCAGCCTTGTCCAACAGCTCACCAGCATGGTCAATCCCTTCCTTACGGTGCACCCAGATCTCTCGTGTTGGTAGCGAGATCCTCAAAGCTCCTATACATACATATTCATCCAACACAAAAGAGGAATCAAAAGTCCCCGGTGGAACATACGGAAGAAGAGGTAGGGTATCACAAAGCCCATTATGCCCTATGTAAGCATCGGCCTCTGAATCAACGACACTCCTTTGCATGCATCTGTGCCCTCCCTGGCATGATGAGGGACACTCCCCGGGTCTCACAAGCTGTAGCTGAATGGAAACAAAACCTGCATCATAGAGGTAGTGATGGCATCAAACACCACCTCGCATCTCCAACTGGTGGCGCTGGGGCAGCCACATTAGAATGCTTCACACGAAAGGACCTGCCGTTTCGCTCCAACTTCGCACTCGAAACCTTGCTGGGCGACAGAAGCATGGTCCATACTCGTTCCTGGCGAGTCAAGGGCGACGAAGGCTTCCTGGAACGACAAGACCAGATCTGGAGCTGACAAAGCCTCTTCATACCTTCTCGAAGACTTCAGCAGACTCTTTGCGGATATCTTGGATTTCCCAACTCAGATAACGACGCATTCAACCAAGTGCCACAAGCGGGTTCCGTCGTGAGCCGGGTTTCGAGCAGAGACACCAATCGAAAGGTTAGGGAGCGGGAAAGAGGCAAGCAACAAACACGGACAGATATGCTCTCCAGGAGAGCTCGAATGACCTCATGTTTGCGCATCAAATGGCGCCCTTGCAGGCGAATCATATATATATGAATAAACTGGTAACAACAAAGGAAGCATCAGCAAAGGGGAGAAGTTCGATATTCGGCGGTCACTCGGAGATTGAAGGCAGCTGACCACCTGACCATGAGCAGTTGCAAGGCGGATCGAGCCTCGTCGGAAGGAATGACGCAGACTCAAGCGTTTGGGGGGCAACCGGGGCAAAGGGAAGAACAGAAAGGCTCGAGGCTGATGATGCCCCGAAGGAGCCATTGAAGGGGACAAGGAGAGAAGGCCAGCCACTGCCAGTCAGTCCATGAGCCCGAGATCCAATCACTGCCGCGGGGTCTGGCTCGAGAAAATCTCCCCACAGCCGAGAAAGTCCAAAAGAAAAGACGAAGGCCAGGGCTAGGGCCAGGGCCGGGGCCAGAGCACCACTATCACCACCAGTGCCACCACTGCCCACCAGCACCACCACCTATAAGCACCACCGCAAAGCAACCACCTTCGTCCCCGGGCGGCGGATACCCTTGTCCCTCTCTGGTTGCTGCTCACACGCACGAGTCACATACAACCTGCACACAATCACCTGTCACCTGCATCGTCCAGCTTCTTTTTTTCGGTGCTCTTCTTCCATACTGCACTGCACCGCTCTACTTCACCTCTTCCCCCTTCACACGTTGACAGCAGACGCGTGGTCTCGGTGCTCCCAGTCCAAGAGAAGCCTCATCCAGCCCACCTTGAGCAACTTTCGTCACTGACGCACGCTGCCTCGGCACCCTTCCTTGACCTCCAACGGTCGGAGAACATCGGACCTCGATCCTCCACTCGTTCCTGGCTGGATTTCGAGTCATACTACTGCCTCAAGTCCATTGTTGCTGTCCCTTGATCCATTCCTTCAAGTCCTTCGAATTGTTCGTCCCTACCGAAGCAGGCCGCAAGGCCTGAACCTCCTTCAACATGTCGTGGAAGCCCACTGAGAAGCTCATGCAAACCATTGGCCACTATGCCAGCTTCCCGCCCACAGGAGTCAGTCTTCGACAGATGGTCCAGTTCGGAGAGAAGCCATCTGCTGGTATGTCAATACAAGGCCTCGCACGCTCCAGAACTATGTCTGATCCTGCATAGGAACCCTCTTTCGTGCGTCACAATTTCTCTCCGAAGAGCTTCCAGTCCGTCTCGCGCACCGTGTAGAAGAGCTGGATAAATTACCCGATGGTCTCAATGACATGCCCTCCATCCAAAAGGTGCGAGACTGGTATGCCCAATCCTTTGAGGAAATCACAACCCTTCCGCGACCGCAATTAGACACCGAAACTCGAGACCGACTCCTCAATCCTCCCAAGAAGTCCAATACCAAACTTTCCGCCACCACGCGAAATCCCAGTCTCAAGGACCATGGCAACGGCAATGGCAAGAGTGGGATGAACTCGCGTCGCTATTTCGCCGCTCTGGACGACGGCAAAGAGTGGCCTCCTGTGCTCTCTGATTACAACCGCAAGTTCGCCCGGACTCTGGAAATCATCAAGAGAAGACATGACCCTGTTGTCACCACCGTGGCGCAAGGAATCAACGAGTGGAAGCGTAAACAACAACGCATGCAGATCGATTCGTCCATCCAGTCCTTTCTCGATCGGTTTTACATGTCCCGCATTGGCATACGGATGCTTATTGGGCAACACATTGCTTTGACGGACCAGACCACCAACAGACACCCCAATTATGTGGGCATAATATGTACAAAGACCAACGTTCGAGAATTGGCAGAGGAGGCCATTGAAAATGCCCGATTCGTGTGCGAGGACCACTATGGCCTGTTTGACGCCCCCAAGGTCCAGCTCTTCTGTCCACCCAACCTGACCTTCATGTATGTGCCGGGTCACTTGTCGCACATGCTTTTCGAGACTCTCAAGAACTCACTGCGGGCCGTGGTGGAGACGCACGGGGCCGAAAAGGAAGAGTTTCCTGTGACCAAGGTGATTGTTGCCGAAGGCAAAGAGGATATCACAATCAAAATCAGTGACGAAGGAGGTGGAATTCCCCGATCCGCCATTCCGCTCGTCTGGACTTACATGTACACTACGGTCGATACCACACCAGAATTGGATCCGGGTTTTAATGCTAGTGACTTTAAGGCGCCGATGGCTGGGTTTGGGTATGGTTTGCCACTTTCGAGATTGTACGCAAGGTACTTTGGCGGGGATTTAAAATTGATTTCTATGGAAGGGTGAGTCGCCCCTTTTTGTTCCCTCTTGGAATTCAATGTTACTGACAAGTTCTGCAACAGATACGGAACCGACGTCTACCTGCATCTCAATCGACTTTCCTCGTCGGCAGAGCCTCTGCAATAACAATTAGCAGTCATGAGGGACAAGAGCGGATCCCAAGGATTGGCGTTGAACAGGAACAATAAGATTGAGTCTGATGGCCCAAGGAACTCGATCCCAGGCATCAGTAGTGGACGTTTAGCCGCCGTGCGTTCACGATTGAAAAACAGGGAGGTGACGGAGAGAAAACAAGTGGGAGACGCTGAGAGCATGATCAACGAGGAGCCCAGTGTGGTACAGCCAGGAGGAGCGAGCCAGTGGCTGGAATGAATCTGCGAGATCATCATGGGAAAAGTCACTGTTGATAGGAACACCAGACAGAGCAATCAAATGGCTTTTGTTATTCGCTGGCATGGAATGGACGTGCCCCCAGCGTCCGATGGTCAAGTCGCTTGTGCTTTGAGAATATGTCAGTCAGCCTCATGTCCGTCACCGGCGGAGCTATACGAGGTAGGTATTTGATGCTTCTTTTCTGCATGGGCCCCGAACTGGGAACGCCGTCGAGTCCTCACTTTGGTCCTCCAACTATTCCTTTAGGGCAATTATTCCGTTCCGATATCTTCCGAGGTGGTCGGTAGTATGGAGTATTTGAGCCTCGCGAGATCGGAGGCACCCACTTGGAGAGGTGCCTGAGTCGATGCACGCCATTTTCTTGACTGCTATGTGCGAATCCGGGCAGTGTCACATACGGAGCATTCAAATGTAATGTGCAACAGGAGCGGGGCGGAAGCAGTACCGAGTATACCCTCGCTCGCCTCGTATACCTAGTATTCAGCCTTGTCCCAACACAGACTCCACCACCAAGCTTGGCGTTCTTGGCATGGCGGGACCTAGTTACAGCCTCACGGAGCCTCGAGTACCAGCCATGTAGAGCATCTTCTTCGTCTTAACTGTTGCCACCAGGGAGACCGCGATGAACCGATCAACACCTTAACGTCCACTCCAAAATAGGCATCTATTCTGCCGCCCAAGCATGGCGCCCAGTGATTACATTTCCGCGGGCTCTGGCAAACTCAAGCTCAAAGGCGTCAAGGATTCCAAGGTCGACAAGAAGAAGAAATCAAAGAAATCCTCCTCCTCCAAGGCTGGGTCTGGGCAAAATGAACAACCCTCTAATACACCAGATCCGACGGCGGAGGGTGGTGACCGGGCTGGGGCTGAGGACCAGTTCAAGGACCGGTCGGTCATGTTGAGGAAATTGGAGGAGGAAGATCAAATGATTTCAAATGAGGCAAGGGAGAGTGGTGTGCGGAAGCGGAAAAAGGCCGATTCGCCTGGAAGTAATGGCGATGACGATGCTGCAGCAAGACCCAACGAGGAAGAACAAGGTGGAATCGTCAAGACAGAAGCGGAGAGGCGGTACGAGGAGCAAAGACGGAGAAGGGTGCGTTTTCTATTCACTTCTCATTCCTACCTACTACGAGGGCTAAATTTCTAACCTTCCGGCATCTGCAACACATTCGTGCTGACAAACATGGGTGAACTCTAGCTTGAAGAACGCTTAAAACGAGAAGGTGTCAAGACGCACAAGGAGCGCGTTGAGGAGTTGAATCGCTACCTGAGCAGTCTGAGCGAGCATCATGACATGCCGAGAATAGGACCGGGCTAATGCGGGCTAAGTCAACTGGGTCTGACACCTGCGATGAACTTGCGACATACGGAGGACACCTTTTCTACGCTGGTTGGGAGCACGAAGGAAGTTACAAGGCTTCCGTGGCCTAGAGGAGCCGGGCAGTCACCACAAGGTCTTATAACGAGCAGCAAAGAATTGTCGAGGATTGCACCTGTCCTGAAGCCGATCGCATGGGTGGTCGGACTGTAGCGGGGGCATCTAGCGAAAAATTCGCTGCACCCGTGTGCAAACGAGCAGGGTTGGGATCCCTCATAGAAGCGTATGATTGAGAAAACGTTTGGTGAACAATGAATCGGCTTGTCTTGCAATTCCTCTGTATCCTCTGCTTATGTACAATGTTGCGTCCACCACCGTCGAAGCTTGACCACCACGGCCACTACTCTCCGTACTCTGCTCGGCCTGGTTTCGAGTTCAGATATTCGTTTCTGTATCCGCAAGACCGGTCAGTATCCGAATTTACACATCTCCACAGTCTGCATTCATCTCGAGCTCACACGCACCTCTCTGTAGCCCAATCCATAGCAAGATACGCGACCAACAAGGGAGGCACCCAGTACAGAACCTGATTGCGTGTTCGGCGGAAAGTGTTAAAGATGGCGTCCGAGAGCAGGGTAGATGTTGGGTTCTGTCGGTTCGGCGAAAGGGCATATGTGACAATGTTCTTTTGTGGAGGAGAGCCTGTTCCCAGATTAGCACCTTGTCGGCAACCAAGACAAGCTGGCTTGGGCTTCAATGTAGCCAGGCTGGAGGGTCGGAATTGAGAGCTTCAGGGTCTAGTTGAAGTCCATACCTAGATTTCCCCAATTCCCCATGTATCTGCGAGCCACAGTCAGTTAGTTTACTTCATCGCGAGGGAAGCAGAGCTTTGGTGATGTGAACGCACACTCCGTTCTTCGGATCAGGCCCATGAGCACGCAGGATGCGGGTAGCTTGCATCCGCAGAGCTGCGGTGGGACGCATTTTGAGAGATGATACTAGGCAACCAGGGGGATTCCAGTCTTTGGCAGAGCAATTGTTGCTGAAGGTCAATGGTCGCAGCCGTGGTTTGGAGTTGGAAGGAGAAGAGCTCCGGGCCGCAGTCTCGAAAATTGCTTGGCCGCTTATGTAATGTACAGCTCCAGGCTGCGCATGGCTGCGGAGAACATGGCATCTACTACTACTTCATCAAAAGTTCATGACCTAGAATCCGCTATTGTATGGCCGCAGCTAGACAACACTGACCACAACCCTCGCGCCTCACTGACACCCGCCCACGATGTCTGCGCCGAACGTCCTCAACGCCATTTCAAGATGGGCCATCCCCGTCTTCATTGGTGCCTCGTTGGCCCAAACCGCCATGTACGATGTGAGAGGAGGAACGAGAGCGGTCATCTTCGACCGTCTTTCTGGTGTCCAAGAAAAAGTCACCAACGAAGGGACCCATTTCCTCATTCCATGGCTGCAGAAGGCAATCATCTACGATGTGCGGACGAAGCCCAGAAACATCAGCACCACCACTGGGAGCAAGGACTTACAGATGGTGTCACTGACGCTGAGAGTGCTCCATCGACCAGATGTGCAGAACTTGCCCAAGATTTACCAAGTAAGCTTCCACGAGTTACTCTTCTGGTGCCACATGGCTAATGATGACTGCTAGTCTCTTGGTCAAGATTATGACGAAAGAGTCCTCCCGTCGATCGGCAACGAGGTCCTCAAGGCAATTGTGGCTCAGTTCGATGCGGCAGAACTAATCACCCAGCGAGAAGCTGTCTCACAACGCATCCGAGCCGACCTGACTCGTCGGGCGCAGGAATTCAACATCGCCCTGGAAGATGTCTCGATAACACACATGACCTTCGGTCGCGAGTTCACCAGGGCAGTCGAACAGAAACAGATTGCTCAACAAGACGCAGAAAGAGCGAGGTTCATCGTTGAGAAGGCCGAGCAGGAGAGACAGGCCAACGTCATCCGTGCCGAAGGTGAAGCAGAGTCAGCAGACATTATCAGTAAAGCTGTGGCCAAGGCAGGAGACGGGCTGATCCAGATCAGAAGGATCGAGGCGAGCAAAGACATTGCCCAGACGTTGGCTGCGAACCCCAACGTGACCTACCTGCCGGGTGGTGGTGAAGGAGAAAATGGAAAGGGAAAGAGCACGGGCTTGTTGCTGGGCTTGAGGGCGTGATCAGCACCACGACTCTCGGGGGAGGCAGCTTGTACTGATATGATTTCACCAACAGGAGTGTGAACTATAATTGTCTTACTCTGTGGCTTTAAATAGTGACCAAAAGACCTCGAATGGAAGAGATTCTCAACTTTCCCACAGCTGACTTTCCATTTCCCAAAGCATTGGCCAGAATCAACTCCAAAATACATCCATCTCGCCAGTCGTCGAGCTGGATCGAGTCATGCCGAGTGTTCTTCCTCCTTTGACGGGAATTTCTTTCCCCTTTCACACCGGAACACAATCTTGGTGTGAGAAACGGCGACGATTCCTCGATTCAAAGACACGCAGACCTCCCTCGCTGGCTGTGCAAGGGGCGGAATCTATTCCAAAATACACTCCGTACCTCGTATAGTTACTTGTAGAACATTCAGCTTTCTCTACGCCTTCTTGCGTATTGGTCTCCAAGGTGACCCGATCAAGCCGGCAATAGAAGGGAATCCAAAACAAGGGACTATTATTATCATTTCTTCTAGCGTGAGAGAAGTGTACTCACCAGGCTGAACCCGGCGGATAAAGAAAGGAGAGCTCCCATGAGCTGCGCCCAAAAATGTTCCGGAACAGGCACGACAATCAATTGGAGCTCTTCACTATTGACTTCTCATCAGCTACGATGCACACGCCAAAACAAGGCAATCCTGTCTTGCGTCATTAGCAGAGCAAAAGTGTACAAATATGTCACAATGGAGGTATGTGATTAGAGGCTGGGCCGCTTTCGGAGGACAAAGCAACCGGGGTGTGCGCGTCGAGGGGTGCGACAGCAACAAAGAGTTGGCTTCTATACCAAGGACAAAGATGACACCGGTGCAAGGGCGTCTTGTAGCAGGCGGTGGTCATCCTCAATGCAGATGGCAAATGCTCCAGCAGTAGTAGTTTGAACGTCCGTCCAAGATAATAAGAATACCAGTATATACACTATCAGAAGCGAAGAATAGTAAGAATGATAATATCCAACACACACACAGTAGACACACCGCTCCCCGGTAGGACCCGACAACGTGGCAGTCCACACTCTCGAAGCAACAGAGAAATGAAAAAAAGTCGTTAGGAGTAAGCAAGGAAGACTCTTCAAAACTTCACAATCTTCCTCAATGGCTTGTAGTTGAGCTGCTGCCTCTTGGCCATCATCTTGCTGCCGGAATCGCTCTTCGTCCAGACACTAAGCGCACCGGGTCCTCCGCACATCTCCCCGACCGACCCAGTGCATGCCATGTTGCAGCTGCTGTCATCCAATACTGGAGTGGTGATCTCGTCCCCACAGAAACACTGTCCGGCGTACTCGGTGCCCGCAACGGTATATCCACGCGAATCACAGAACGAGACGCAAGCGGCGTTGCTCATGTTGGGGCCGTTGAAGTTGGACCAGTTCGGGAGGGTGCGTGGGTTGACCGTGTCCGTGAAGCAGCCAGTGTAGGACCAGGATGGGTTGGATGTCGAGGGTGTTGCGGAAGAAGCAGGTGAAGACAGAGACGATGAGGTCTCGGCAGGCTAGATTAACAGTAAAGTTAGATTGAATGTTTTTGCGATTTACCTTTGGTCCTTTTTCGGGCCTTCGATTTGAAATTGATTGAATCTGAGAAATAGAAGAAATGAAACTGTGCTTAGGGGATTGGGGCTCAGGAGGTAGCAGGATCGGCGTCGGTGGCAGGAGTTGTACACGATGAAGAGAATGAGGAGGACATCGTGGTATAGAGGGATGGAAGAGCAGTGGTGCCAAAAGTGGAAGTGAGAGTTGTTGAAGCAGGGGAGTTGGATGCATCTGCGGCATCTGAGCCACCCGCCGACGAGGCAACAGCGGGTGGATAGGCAGAGCCGGAATTGGTACAAGTGGAATCATCATCGTCGTTGTCATCGTCGTCATCATCACCAGAGAGAGAAGTAGAGTTTGTATTTACCGAAACCAGGGTGGATGCTGCCGACTCAGGCGTTTCTGTCGGAGCCGTAGCGCTCGAGGTCGCAATCGTGGCAAGGGTGGTTGGAGAGCTAGGCGCCGTGTAAGGACCACTTGAGGATGTTGAAGGAGCAGCGGAAGCAGCAACATCAGCAGAAGAAGAGGAGGAGCCGGCTGATGGGGGATTGGCGACTTGAACTGCGGCTGAGCCACTAGGACCAAACTGAGCGTTTGTGCATGAGTCGCCTGAGCATTTCTGGTAAAGAGAGATGGTTCCCGAACCACCGCAGAACTCGGAGTCATCGCCAGCACAAGTCATGGTGCAGTCCCCAACAACGCCAGGAACAGGCTCGCCGCTAGCAGGAATGGAGTTGCCGCCTGGGAATTGTTAGCAGCGTAACCTTTTGAGAGGAATGACATGTACTTACAATAACATTCGTCTGAGTACTCAGAACCGGCGATGGAGAAACCCTTGCTCTCGCAGAAAGCAACACAGTTCTCGTTGGTCATTTGAGCGTTGGACTCGCTTGCACCAGTCAAAATACGGTTATAGTAGTTGTCGGTTCCGCATCCCATATACGCCCATCCCTGGCTGGTCAGGTCGGTGAAAAAGGTCGCGTTGGAGGGAGAGATAGTGGTGGTCGCACCGCAGCCAGATTGAGGAGTGGCTGTAGGGCCAGGCTGAACGGGATTGCAACCAGGCAAGGCTGTGAGCAGGCCGCTGACTTGCTCGTCGACTTCAGGTTCGATACGGCAGCCTTCTGCCTGAGCATCAGGGATGAGGTCAAAAACCGGGCAATCCTCAACCTGGCCGCTGAGGTTGGTGCACTGGTCAACAGCAGACTGGAGCAAATCAGGATCCCAGCCCATGACGAAATCACCATGGTGACCATAACCTGTAGGATCACCCATCGACCAGACGAACGGTTGCGAATCGCCATACCACTGATCGGCGAATTTCCCAGTATCCCAGATGACTTCGTAGAAGATGGAGATCAGATGGACCGGGAAATCGGCCGGGCATGGACCATCATTGTAAGCATTGGCAGGATAAGAGACGTGAGAGCTGTGATTGGGGGAGTCCAAGTCCTTTCCATTCCAGCAAGATGGGAAGAAGACTTGAGATCGAAGCCCATCGGGGCAATTGTAGTTGGGGAAGTTGGGGGTTTCTGGCTTAGCCGCAGCGTTGTAGTCGAGGCAGTTGTAGCTGATGGCTTGAGATGCGAAATCATCGCCCCCAGTGCGCTTGAAAGGATTTCCGGCAACCATGCGGAAGCCAGGAGGGAATGCTTTCAGAGTCTCTCCGTCGCCCTGCCGTTGCAGGTAGTATACAGTGGCACCACCGACCTGGTCGACGCTTTCGAAAGTCCCATTTGGGTGCTGGAAGAACAAGGCTGGGATCCAGTAGTTGCTGAAATCTCCTTTCACTGTGCAAGAAGAACAAGTAGACTCCTGTGTCGAGTTATAGGTCATGGTGAAATCAAATCCGTTTCCTCCCATGATCGTGTGCAAGTGGCCAGACACCACACCAGGACTAACAATAGGGTCGGCCCGCTCGACGACAATTGGGGATTTGCATGGCAGCCGCCAGAACGCTGCCACTGGGGAGGCAGCAAGAGCGGCTACAAGGCCGGCAGTGAGAAGAGCAGACATTTTGCGTGTTAGTGCGACTGAGGCCGAGTTGGAATCGAAGTCGAGTTTCTGGGAACGATCGACTGATGAGTGCTACAAAAGAATGACTCTGACAAAGGACTGGATGTACGACAACTTCGCACAGCGAATAAAGAATGGACGGCGAGGGTCTCCGACTCTCGAGCCAATAAACGAACGTGGTTGCAACAAAAGGACGATGTCGAATAACAATGAAAAGGAGTTCAGAAAGATGCCTGCGGAATGAGGACATGATATAGGACATGTTATTGACTCCCGTCGCCGAGGTACCTAGCACCCGCTTCGTGGTCAAGGGCTAGATGGTCCTGAAATTGCAGACCCTGTCGTTACCTTTTCCGGATCACAAGCCAGATCCTTCTGTACCTTTGCGTGATGACAAGCTTCAGAGACATGCGAAGTTGTGCAAGTGGCGTGTGTCTGTTCCACTCCAATTCAATCGGCTGCTTACTGGTACAAGATCGTTGACCGGCGACCAGGCCCGCGCATGAGTCTGTCGAGAAGCTCGATTCTGGTCCGCTGGGGGCCATTGTCATACTCCATCACAAGTTAGCAATGATGGGACAGAGGAGCGCTCTCGTTCTAGCGGAGAGAAATGGCGCAGCGATGTCGTGCCATCGTGCAAGGGATGCCTAGGCGAAAGGAAGCGAAAGTTATCCAAGCGTGGGCCGATGTGGGGAATTCCAGGGCAAGGACGCTGTGAAATAGGCATGCAAGATCAGCGGCCTGTTTCAGAAGGATATCGAGGCTGTAAATATCGATATAAAGGGCCGCGGGGCATCTGATCTCAGGAAGGAGAGAAGAGCTGTTTCAAGTTGAGCCACATGAGGGCCAAGAGACCACGAGGCGGAAAATCCGGGCTGTTACTGTGGAAAGTATGAGTCCTAGGTAGACCTTTGAAGAAAATTTCCTGTCAACACGCCTGGTTTCGGGATGTGCATTGCTTCATGTCTCGTTGCTTGTTGCTCGGCCTGCAGCATCTGCCACGGATGAGATTGAAATATGTATGCCCCTCCTTGTGTGCCCGCCTGGACTGATGTCGATTTTGAAGATGGCCTAGTCGCGGATTCGCGGAGATTCAACGACCAACTTCGGAATGCATTTGCGCTCGAGAGTGGCTCCTAGTCCCTTGGCACCGTCCTGCATGTCATATCAGCCAAATTTTCCCTGTCGCCGCTGTCTGAGATGCGCACTTTCGAAAAGGGGTTCGAGATAGCCCGTACCAACAATGACAAACCCAGTTAGTGCTCCGTGTGTACTAGCAGAACCCATGCATTGTTCCCCGGTATAACCGCCTTCGTTGAATCGATAATGGAGCACGTGGCCGAAATACGAAGACATCAACGGCCCCTGTCGATGCCCTCCTGCTCTCACCACACACCTCACATGTCTTCGATCTCGTCCTTGATGGGCACTTCGATCCTAAAATCTGCAGATTGTCGTTCGACTTGGCCTCTTAGAGCAGCCATGATCAAGATATCTTTGTTGAAGAGCGTGTGGCCCAGCCTTCCAATGTGAGCACCCTGGGGATCGCCAGGTATGCCGATAATCAAGGTCTTTTCCTCGCTGAACTTGCCCTTGTCTTTGAGGGCTGGCAAACGATGCTTGACTGCATCTGCACCCAGGATGGTGGCGATTTGAGAAATCTCACGCTCCAGATTTCCCAAGTCATTTCTGAGCTGCTTCGTGAGAAAGACCGTGGTGCCTGAAAGCAGATGTGTCAACCCAGTCTTGCCCCGACTAAGAGCATCCTTGAGGTTAAAATCCCACTGCCGCTCTCGAGATCTATCCAGCGGTAGATACCCTTCAATTGCTGGGAGTCGTCCAAGTCGATGTGCGTCAGAAATCCATTTCTCTGTCACGATGTCCATCCCCATGGCCACAGCCATGACCAGCTTTCCGGTCTTCTTCAAAGGGCCTTCCGGGATGCACAAAATTGTTGCTTTGTTGATTTCTGTGCTCACTTTGCCTCCAAGACGCCCAAAGGTTCGCATCGCAGGCCTTTTCTCTTGGATGCTGGTACTGCCGCTGAAGATCACCACAGGGGCAGCAGCAGCAGTATATTTCCTGGGGGATGTAAAGTCTGTCTGCCTGGTCAGTCTTCTTTTGGGGGATGCTTGTTCATTTGATAAGCTGCTGTCTGGAGTTGTATTTGTTGCTGTCGATGGCTCAGGGGGGTTTGACTGGTCAGTTGATGATTTCGCCACTTTCTTCTTTCGCGTCCCTGTTTGTGTTTTTTTGTCCTCGGAATTAGTGATTACAATGCTAACTTCAACTGAAACACCATCATCTGATATAGTAGACGGAGCATCCATGATTTCCGTACTCAAATCGGCGGCTTCAACCTCCGCAAGCTTTCGCTTGCCCCTTCGTTTCTCAGACGCTGACGCAGCAGTGGCATCATCTTTGCCTTGAAACGGCTTCTGGGCGTCAGGGAAGTTTGATGGAGTGTCCGCTATGTCTTCTGTAGATGGAAGATCTCGACCTTGCGCAGCGACATTTTCAACAGAGACAGACAAACATTTTCGCGGCTTAGGCTCATGTTCTGCCACGGTGGGAATACTTGGTGTAGCTTGAGCATTGTCTGACACACCCTTCAGCTTCTTAATTGAGTCTTGGTCGCTGGTACAAGGCACATCCTGCGGCGTACTTGGGACCCCGGACTCGCCGAGAACCTCTTCAAATGTTTCTTTTTCCTTTGCCCGAGTTCCATCCTCGTCCCTACCGTCTTGTGGCGATGGAGTTGGGGAGCAAGTGGAATTGTCGGAGTGGTCCTGGCTGGCTGCGTTTACCGCCACTGCCTCGACATCCACCGGCTCCTGCAATAGCTCTTCAGTTGGCAAGCGTGTCTCGGTGCATGGATTGACTGATGGTAGCGGTGGAGGTCTCATGGAATTCGAGCCTGCTCCATCCATATCACCCCACCGAAGACCCCAACGGCCAGATGGTCCCACGAAATGGACGTCGGTGCCCAGGATGAAGGACTTGTGGTGAGAGTCAATGGAAAGAGGCAGCTCAATGTTGACGCCTCCGTCACCAAGCACACAACATGGACCACCGCTGTCATTGAAAGTGCGGAGGAGGACGAAGGTCTGGTGAACCTCTGCGATATCTGGTCAGCTTTGATTGAAACCCCCAGCGGCAAGCTCATACCAAGACAGAGGTTAGAATGCCGCACATCCATATCGGGGGTGACAATCAGGGCATCTTCTACTGGGTCATCGGGAAGATAAAAAGTCGAGCAGTCACCTTCAATAGGCAGTTCTGTGAGGATCTCAGAGCCGACTGCCGTGAAATAGACGAGCGATATGGTACCCATTCCTCTCAGTACAACAAATCGTCAGACAGTGGGCTGAACAAATGAAACAACAGGATGAAAAGGGGCGCGAGATTGATGGAGCAGCGTTGTTGAGGTTTCGAGGGAGCGAGTCCTTTGGCTGGTGAAGGGATTTTGAAGGTGAGCGACACTCCTGCAACTTGATGAGCTTGGCAGCAACCAGCATTGAACTTCACGCTTCATTCATCGATAGTCACTGGACGCCCTCTGCCTTCTAGTGAATGTCCTCATTCACGATGGATGAAGAGGTACTTAAGGATGAAGGGACTCTACGGGAAGAACACCCTGACCGGCTTGGTGAGCAGCCGGCCGTCTCTCCCCAGATGTTCCCACGAGCGAAGCAGAATACTAGTATGTTCAGGGGAATTGCGAGTAAGCCAGCAGCAGCAGCCACTACCCAGGCCTTGGTCTTTCTGAGGGCAAGGGCTATATTTACACGGTGTCTCAGTTGAAGAGCTCCTGTACGGTGGTTCATAGCAGCAAGTTTCAAAGAAGCCTCCTTTTGCAATCAGTCCTCGCGCTGGCGATCGGATTTTACAGCCAGCACTGCAGCAGGCTCTTCGCTTCGACTGTGGTTAAATCATGCCTTCCTATTTGGCCAGGCTTGGATGAGGGTGGTTGGGGGGTGCTGCTGTCTAGAGGGAGAGAACAATATGAAGTCCTTAGTATTGTTCTCGATGTCTCTGGTTTACCGCCTTCGTCTCTTCATAGAGCAGAGGATGAGGATGAGGAGGAGGAATTGAGACACGCCGGTCTAGGATGTGAAAGACTTGATGTACAAGATACCAGCAACGATGGAATGAGGGTCAACCAAGGGATGGACTGACAGCTGATGGTTGGAGACATTACCCAGGGGCGGTTGAGGTACAAGGTGAGGAGGACACAGAACTTTGCGAGAAGATGGAGTCTGAGGACGCAAAGTCACCTCCATCTCACTTCTTCTCGCTTCTGCTTCTACTTCTGCTTCTGCTTGACTTTTCTTCACTGGCCTTCCTTCACTTTCTCCCTCTCTATCTGCCTCACCTCCTCAACCAAAACCCAAAAACAACACCCTCAACACCTCTCACTATTTCTGCATCACTTTCTTCCTTTTTCTCTTCTCACTGTCACCACATCACTTCTCTACTCCTTCAACCCTGCTACAATCTCTCCGTTGCCTCAATCGTGTCATTGACCGCCAATCCCCATTGACCAGCATCACTGTCTTTGGGCCAAAATCATCATGGCTACTGCGGCGTCTGTTGCTCCTGGCAGCCTGCCAACGGCCGGAGTTGGCGGCGCTCTCTACGACGAGGCCTTCCAAGTCCCAACATACCCGGCTGCTCCGTTCAACAAGGTGACCTGGCGTCTCATTGACACCTGGAACAACATCAATGTCAACTACGACACCAACCGTGGACTCGCAGCCGGCTTGGTCTGGGCCACTTTGGTCTACCTGCTTGCTCTTACTCCCACTCGCAAGAGAACCACTCTGTTCCACACCTTCATGCTCATCGGCTTGGTCTTCATGCTCATCAAATTGATGATCGACATTGTCTCGTCTCTCACCCCTGGTCTCCAGTCTTCCTCGGCTTATACCTTTCTCACCCTCGACTTCACTGACAGCATCTGGACCAATGACTTCGTCGCCACTTTTGCCACCAGCCAAGTCACAGGATGGTGTGCCTTCGTCTTCGCTGCCATCTGTCTCTGGCTCCAGGCCAAAGGGTTGATGACCGGAATCAAAGCCCGATACCCAATCGTCTACAAAGTCATGTTGACATATCTCATCCTCACCTCGGTGGCTGCCTTTGCTGCTGCCATGGCATACAGCATCCAGCAGATCTTGCAGCTTGGCCAGAGTGGCGCTGAACAATACGACGGCCTCGACGAAGCCTACAATGGCCGCATCGCATATCTCGCCGCTTATACCATCTGCATTGGAAGCTTCAGCCTTGTCTCCATGGCCTCAGTCTTTGATATCGTCTGGAAGCGTCCTTCCTCGATCGTCACCAGGAACAGTGCATACGCTTCAGCGTTGAACCTCATCGGCTTGTTGTGTGTCCAGTCTTTTGTGATCCCATGTAAGTGCTTCCAGTCCCATCATCGCCTGCCTCTGATAACGCTTCGTACAGTCATCTTCTGCATCCTACAGATCGTCCCCGTGCAGACTAGCATGCTGCACCCGGAGATCATGCTCCTCCCATCTGTCTACGTGATGCTCCCTCTCGGCTCCCTCTTCATGACCGTCAATTCTACCGCCGTTGACGATGCCGAGGCACAGAAGGCTTCGCCACTGCCGCCGAACTCCATGCCGCCAAAGCCTGCCTTCTTCGCCGACAGCGCTGCAACCTTGACTACCACCACCACCTCTGGTGCTTCGCGACCCTCGTCCTATACGCTTGATGCTGGACATGGCAAGTCCGAGACAGATCAGGAGCTTGGCGCCATTGACTCCATGGGCACTGCTACCGCTGAGAATAAAGATCACGAGGGGAAGGAGGCATATGTCTCTGAAAAGATGGTTGTGGTTTGAACAACATGCCTCTTTCCACACGCCGGCTTTCCATCGCCATACCAAGGAGACCAACAATGCTACCTTTGCTTGCGCTCGGTCCGAGAAACCTGCATTCTCGGGAGCCAACAAAACCCCTACCCACCTCAATTCCACAACGCCATCTACATTGGAGGATCTCTTCTTTGCTGTGGTGATATGTGTTCACAAGGTGAAAGATGCACTTACGGCTTGGGGAAAACTGCATGGACTACCAGGCAGCATTGATCGTCAGTGAGCATCGGTAAAGTGGCAGTCAAACATAGAAAAACACATCACATCACAAATCATGGATGATGGACGCAGAGGATGGCTTTTCTTGAGACACAAACGAGAACAAACACACAGACAAAACCACATGCGCTGTGCTTAGCTGGATGGCAACGGTGGAGGACGCACCTGTGTGCCTTCGGGATCACATAGCTAGCTAGCCAGCCGCAGGAAGTGTGCTCTGAGCTTGATCGACATGCACATGGAATGAAATGTCAATAGCCCAAAAATCCAGAGAGGAGTTTACCCTGGGCATTCTCTCGGCCACTTGCTTCCTCTTCGCAGTCTGAGTTTACCTGTCAGCTCAAGCCTCTTCACTGGCCTGGAGCAGCTTTCAGCTACAGGCACAGAGGTTCAGCAAGATTGTAGGGATACCCTCGTTCGTGTCATTCGTGTCCTCTCGTCGAGTCATTACTATCTATGCTCGTTCTCAACCAGAATTAAACCGTCACTTTCCTCTTGACCAACCTCACCCAGCGTCTTCTTCTCCACTCCCCAGTTCTCCCACGGCTGTCCACCCTCGTCGCCTCTTCCCAATCCCTCACTGCAACAGCGCCACTTTTCTCCTTCTTGTCCCTCTTTTCCCGCTCCTTCTCCCTCTTCTTCCGGGCCTTTTCCTCCTCCCTGGAGTTGTTTTGTACACCTACTTTAGGAACGTCGTAATCTCCGTACGCAAGCCAGAGGTCATCGTCTCTGTTGACGCCGGACCCGGGCGGCGGCGGAAGATCCCACACCCAACCCCCAAAATCGAGATTGATGCTTTCTCTTCGGTTTGTGGAGATTCTTCTTAATCTCGTATCGTTGTCGTTTTTGACGCCATCGTTGTCGTGGTCTCCAGGTCCGGATGCGGCCTGGGCTGATAAAGGCCCATCGATATTCTGAGGCTCGTCGCGATTGAGAACGTCGTATTCGACACCCACGACGAGTCTCTCATTGACCCATTCCCCAGCTTCGAGGTCTAACTCCCACTTTTTGGATGCCCACTCCCATCCCTCTGGCGGTTCAACATCTTCAAAGAACCGGGTACCCCTCGGCCTGTCGCCTGCGATTCGTGCTGGGGAGAGAGGATCATAGGGAGAAGGCGTGAAGAGATGGGGCTGCCATTCAGCTGCTTTTCCACTAGAAGCGGCACTGGCGAGAGGACGATGTTGTAGTTCGAAGATCTCAACTTCCCTTGTCTCTGGCGTCGTTGACAGGGTGATCTCAGAGAACGTAGCGAATGCAGATTGAATCGCATGCGGTGTGGCAGGGAGGGGGATCCCATGGATGTACTTTTGGTGTTTAAGGGTAGGGTCGTTCAATGCAAGGCTTGCTTGAATTTCTGCTTGCTTTTGCATCTTCAATAACCATGCCTGTGCCCTGGGGTGAGAAGAGACGATGGCAGCCCATCCCAAGACAAGGAATATCAATCGCCAAGGAAGCAGAGACGAGGTGATAAATGAGAGCGTGGTCAGGATGATCAGATATAGAAATAGTTGGGAAGAAAACTGCTCGTCCGAGAAATTCGTTGCTGGCGTGACATTTGCCACCAGGAAGTCGTGCGCGTTGCTGAAGTCAGCCATGCTGTTCTGTAGGTCCCGCATATTGCGGAAGAAGTCTTTTGAGGTTTCAGGGGCGGGCTTTATGACCGCGGCTGGGGCAAGCGCTGGGCCTGTATATGCTTGATGGTAGTCTGTCGTCATGTTGGTGCTACTCGTTGGAGGCGGCGGATGGCGAGAAGTGAATGCTGGGATCATGATGTAGAATAAAGCTATGGCCAGAGGAACCACGACAAGGAGATATGGGTCAAGACAGATGAACGAGTACGTCGCCAGGAAGGACAAGGTGTGAGTCGGCGTATGCCAGGTAAAGAGGCGGATGAGACGATTCTGGAAGACGAATACGATGCCGATGCGGGCGTTGAAGCGGCGGAAGTTGTATGTCATCAATGGCAGGCTAAATGCAGGGCGAGAGACATATGCACTTGAAGGGACGTTGGTTGGACTGGTTGATGGGTCATCATCACCATCGTCAGATGGGACAACCCGTTGAAGGACTCTGGGGAAATATGTCAGCATTGGTTATATAACGGCTCATATCCACCATTGCTCTTCAAATAGACGTGCATAGCTGTTGGCATAGAGAGTTTAGTATCGAGAGAGATGCATACTTTGCAAACAGGCGGTCCTGGAGAGAGATTCTCCCAGCTGAAGAGGGTGTGGCTTCATTTCTTCCGGGCTGAGAGGCGGTGCTGTCTGGTAGCTGGATGTTCAGCTTCGATGCCAGGTGCGCCCTCTTGGACTTGTGCTTGTTACTTGCAATGTCTGCCTCGGAGGATGAACCATCCACGTCGCTAGAGGGACCGGCGATGAGCGGAAGGGGCTCATCACGGTTGGCGAAGGCTTCGGCTGTGTATTCATCCATGATGAGTATCCTCTTATTCTGAATTCACCCTCTCATCCTCGATGATATGTCAGGGCGCTAGAACCACATTGCACGAGGCGAGATCGTGTGATGTCCGGGGATGGGAAAGGTGGTCGGCGCGATGGAGTAGTCGGTCGATGAACGAACATGTGGTAACCCACCGACGCCTCTTTGGGGCACGTGATAATGCAGCCACACGTGGCTTGTATGTGGCGCCCAGCCCCTTGGTGGGTGGTGACACGAAACCCGGGTTTGGCATTTGTCGCGGTACCCGGAAAGCCTGCATGCCACTCCCTATCCTTGCACTGTGCAGAGAACCCCGGGATTTTCCACGCTGCCGTGGCCTCACAAATGTGTAGCGAAGCCATTTCCAGGACTTTTAATATTACCCATGACCGAGGATCGATTCGAGACGAGATTGCAGAGGTTGATTGTCCAGCAATCGGCCGTGCTAGTGGAGGGCTTTGTTTGATAGCCAATCTCTGCACCCACCTGGAGAGCTAGGGCCACCTAGGGCTGCTAGGCCCCGTTAAGCCTCTGCAATACGCCCAATGCAGGAAAGCCACACCTTATGGTGGCAGAATGGTGGGCAATCCGTTTGGCTCCTCCACTGGGTGCCACTTAGGATCGCCCCCAGTGGCCCCCCCATGGAACCCTTAGAGGCCCTTAGAGCCAGCCCAGCTCAGGCTGGCTCAGGCACACGGCCACCGTAGCCATGGATGATTCCCCCCCAACCCCTGTCCAGCTCCATTCTCCCATTGCTCTTCGCAAGCCCAGAACGGATGGACCTGCGCTGTTTCTTTGTCGAAGCCAGGTTTGGGAGGGTCACTTTTTGGCAGTTTGATTATTGTCACCGCAACATCACACATTTCCCCCCCAGGCCCTACCCTGGATAAACAACAGATTCTCTTCAGCATCCTTTGGCATCTGTATCTTGAAACAGCCTCAACCGGGGTCATTTCTTGCTTTGTTTTCTGATCCCGTTCCATCTCATCCGGCTGCTCGGAATCCTCCCCTGACGGCATTCCAAAGCACGCGTCCGCCACGTCGAACTGTACCTAGCCCACGTACCCAGTCGGACACCCTGGTCCACTTTCTCAGAGAACTTGAAGGTCGCGACAGGGTCGGTCTGACTTGCAACTCTGACCGCAAGCCAACCTCGACCATCCCAATGGATTGAGCACCAGCCTGGTGTGGCAATGTCGAGGCTCCGGCAGTGAATGACCGGAAAACTGTATGTGAAAGAGACGGGACAGGGGCAGTGGCACCTCTCTCGCCATGCCTTACCGACAGAATGCATCTGCAACCACACAGCCTAGCAGTGTGAAGGCCAGCACTACGAGACCCGACGACTTGGATAGCAGTGGTGGTACGAACTTGATGCGATGCCACTGGATACCTGCAGCAGATGGACCCCAGCTGACTTTGTGTGACGATGCAGTCGCCGGCGCAGGAGTCGACACTCTGCCCTCGTCCAAGAAGCAGCCGCCTTCTTCCTTCCCGACCGCCTCCATGACAGTATCGACAGCGACCACCAAACGCGACTCTGGTGAAAATGCCACCACCACTCGCAGGAGGCAGTCGTCCATCCCCAACGCCGCGAAGACCCCAATGGGTCCGCGTCCTCTGGATTATGGCAGCCTGGGGAAGAGGTGGGCATCGCAGTTTCCGGCTGTCTCGTCATTGAAAGCTAACTCGTGCCTTCTACGTTCTAGGTCGGCCAGCAATTCGATGACTCCCCAGTTCAAGTCTGTACGAGGTGCCTCTGCCGTTGCTTCCCACGATCCGTACACCAACGAGCTATCCATCAACGACATCTCCAGATTCAGCTTTGCATCCATACAGGCAAAACCTCCGACCCGAGACGACCGTGATGGCTCATTGGATTTTGGGGATTTTCTGGAGCCGACTTTCAATTTCGACGATTTCCAAGACACGATTGTTGGCACTGAACCCAGTCTGAACCATTTCCCTCTTCCTGGCCGGGGGACTGCGGTCAAAGCCCCTCCCCCATCCGACGCATCTGCACCCGACCAAAAGAAGACACTCTCGCAGCCTACGATTCCCATACCATCTCGAAAAGGATCAGGTGTAGTCCCAGTGACCCGCAAGAGTTCTACGGCCTCGAACACCTCGCGGAATTCTGTCAAATCTGACTCGATGGCCACTGCCACAACTTCCATCCTCAGAGGACGAAGACAGAGCCATTTCCCGCCCAATTCATTCAATAATACAAATGGTGGTCCTAAAGCACCGAGGAAGTCCGTGGGTCCTGGCACCTTTGTTGCTCCAGATAATTCAGAGAAGTCAACCGTGAGGAGACGACCAAGTGCAGGGGGAAGGAAGTCCAGTACGGAAAGCGGCAAGAACTTGTCACTGAAACATTTGTCTGGTCGGGCTGAAGAGAGTGGTACAGAAGACATCAAAACACCAAGCACAACCAAATCAAGGACATCGTTAGCTCCCAAACGACAGAACTCCAAGGATTTGCTCACCCCCTCGAGGACACCAGATCCGTCTCGGTCAACCTCTACTGCAACTCATCACACACCCACGAGAAGGAGTGGCACGCCTGGAAGGACAACCACTCCAGGTGGAAATGTTGACCGTAACCGTCGGATTTCCGTTATGCCTCATCATGCGACTGGGTTAGGAGCTCGTACCGTCAGCCCAACCGATGCTCGCCGCATGAAACGAATGTCGATTGTTCCCCCAGCACCGCCTTTGCCTCAAAGTCGGATCTCCCAAGCTCCCCCAACTCCACAGCCTGAGCCCATGCCCCAGCTTCCTCAGCCCGACCTACAATCTCCTGCCATACCCAACCGGAAGAGCTTGACGCCGTCTTCTTCAAGGACCACTCCAGATCCCAATCGAAAGTCCTACAGCTCAGGTCAATCTTTATCATCAAATACTAGTTATAATTCTGTCCGAAACGCTGTCACCAACCCTGCCAGGCTTCCCCAGTCAGTCAACTCTTCGAGATTGCCTACAGCGAAAGCCCGGCTTGATATTTCCACGACGACGAACTACGAGTTGGAAGTGCCGCCTGTGCCCGCAATACCGAAAGCTTATGAATCTCCTGGGAGTGAACTCGATCAGCCCTTCTTCTCGGCGAGGTCTTCTAGTCTTCCACCGTTTGATGGAGCTATCTCTGCGAGTCCCGTGGTATCTACTGTAGCTGACGCTATGAAAGCGTTAGAGACGCCTCGAGCTTCCAGCAATACCTCACATAATTCCGCATCTCAACCTCAGCTTCCTCCAGTCGAGCCAGAGCTCAAGCCAAAACCACAACCACAGCCGCAACAACACCCGCAGACTCAAGCAAAAGCAAACAAGAAATCGCTCCAGACGCTTAGACTACCGCCATTGAACCTGTTGCCCCTGAGCACACCTACCTCGGCGAAAATCAGGTCACTAAATACCAAGTCTGAACCTGGGGAGCCTCCGTCGACACCACCCGGAATTCGCAACACCATGAAAACGCCGAGTACACCGATGACGGCCTCTAAAGCAAGCTTCTTTTCCAGGGGACATAAAGACGAGGGCCCAACAATGCGAAGTAGCACTTCGCACCATGCTCTACGGTCCGATGAGCTACGGCCGCCCAGCGAGATCAGTCCAAGCTTGCCTGTATTCTCCTTTGAAGCAGACAAAACTCGTACGATTTCTCCATTTGTATCGTCGTCCCTGCCAAAGAGCAATGATGAATTTTCGAATTATATGCGACCCAACTTCATCAATGAGCTAAACAGGAACCCAAGTCAGCCGCGACCGAACGGACCTCGTGCACCTAGCTTCTCGGTTACGCCGAAAGCCGACGCTCCAGCTGTCCCGAGTCCAGCAGAAAAGCAAGTCGAGAGCGAATCTGTCTTTTCCACAACATCACTCAGGAGGAAGTTGAGTCGAAAACGGAGCGAGTCAAAGTTGCCGGAAACAGTGACGCAGGACGATGACTTGTCCAAATATGATAACATGCCCCCCCCAAAGCTTCCAGCATCCGCAAGCTGGGCAAATGCCCAAGCTGGTGCCGCAAGCCCTCAACGACCGTCCTATCTTAGGTCTAGGAGACAGACATCTACTTCAAGCACAAATAACGGTCCCGAACGACAAGCAAGCTTCGATAGCACGGCATCAAACGGTCGTCCCTCACTTGATTCTGGGAGGATACTTATGGTGAATTCGAACCGGTCGGGATCTGTATCATCTAGCACGCTCAACCATGTTGCTCACAAACCTGCACAACCACGACAACCAGATCAGCCTTTGGATCGCGATGACCTGGTTGCAGAGGAAGAAATGAAGAAGCTCGCTTCGAAGCGGAAAGATTTCGAATCAGCGGCAAGGGAATTAGACGGCCTTCGAGCCAGAGCCCGACCTGCTACTCGCATGTCGCACGTCACCGCCTCTCGCATTTTTGACCTGAACATCTTCGAGCGAGGTGAGATTGTTGATTTCCCGGATGTCTTTTTCACAGGGACTTTGAACGCCCGGAAAATTGTGGGAGATCCGGGATCAGCTGCCACCAATTTTGGATACGATGATGAACGTGGAGATTACAACATCATTGAAGGTGACCATCTTGCCTACCGATACGAGGTTGTTGACCTTCTTGGAAAAGGTAGTTTCGGACAGGTTGTGCGTTGTGTTGATCACAAGACTGGGATTCTCGTTGCAGTGAAGATCATCCGGAACAAGAAGAGATTCCATCAGCAGGCTCTTGTGGAGGTCAACATTCTGCAGAAGCTCAAGGAATGGGTAAGTCAATACTGTGGGATAGAAACTTTCACTTGCTCACCCAACATCAGGATCCTCATAAAAAGCACAGCGTTGTCAATTTTGATCAAAGCTTTTATTTCCGCGGCCACCTTTGCATCTCCACCGATCTCCTGGGCATGAACCTGTACGAATTCATCAAAGCGCACGATTTCCGAGGGTTCTCGTTGAAACTGATCCGACGATTCACGAAACAACTCCTTCAATGTCTGGTCCTTTTGCAACACCACAAGGTTATCCATTGCGATCTCAAACCGGAGAATATCCTCCTTGCGCATCCCGTCCATTCTGAAATAAAAGTGATTGATTTTGGTTCGAGTTGTTTCGAGCACGAGAAGGTGTACACTTATATCCAATCCCGATTCTATCGGTCGCCCGAAGTCATTCTGGGCATGTCTTACGGCATGCCCATCGACATGTGGAGCGTCGGCTGCATCCTGGCCGAACTTTACACCGGCTACCCAATTTTCCCTGGGGAGAACGAGCAGGAGCAGCTGGCCTGTATTATGGAAGTCTTCGGCCCACCGGAAAAGCATCTCATTGAGAAGAGTAGCCGGAAAAAGCTCTTCTTTGATTCGATGGGTAAGCCTCGCTTGACGGTATCTTCTAAGGGAAAGAGAAGACGACCGAGCTCCAAGGATTTACGACAAGTCTTGAGATGTGACGACGAAGCATTCCTGGATTTCATTACTAAGTGTTTGAAGTGGGATCCGACACGAAGAATGACCCCTCACGAGGCGAACAAGCATGAATTTATAACCGGAATCAAAATGAGCTCGAGCGCTGCCAGGAGGAACACCCAATCTGCCGTAAACTCTCCGGTCAAGAGAGGGAACTCGTTGACAACCGCAGTGGGCACCAGACCGCTGCCACAACCTCCAACGACACTGAAAGCGCCGATCTCGAATCGGCAGGAGACCTCACCAAATAAAGCCGGACCGCGGCGCCAGTCAACCATGACTGGAACGTTCCAAGCCACAGCACAAGCCAAGCGGGCGTCACATGCAGCGATGACTTCGTCAGCGTCGAATCCGAATCTCTCCAGGCTGACTGTCGGTCAAAGGAGCATGAGTAACAGATCTGATTTAGCTGCTGCTGCCGCCGCTGCCAGTTTGGTGAAGTAATGATGTGATCTTGAGTGGCTATCCTGGAACCACGTACCTTCTTTGCTGATGGATGTTGCCTGTTTCTAGATCATGTGGTGCGGACAGCACGGGGAGACGCGGATGAAGACGAATTTCTTACTATCATTAATGAACATATAAAAGCCTTCAGCATAGCACAAGCATTGGGGATGGAGCTGGACCGGGCACAGGATGATGACTGCTCCGGAAATTGGCGCACGGCATTGCTATGAGTTTGGACGGGCTTGCGCAGAGCCTTGCTGAGACTTTGATACTGTATACCACGAATGAATTAAAGTCGTTGGGCGGTCTGGTCTTGTATGCTTCGTCTGCTAGATCTTGGTGGTATATCACCGCCAGGGGCCGACCTTTGAATGCTTGGAACTCCGCAGCTAGACAAGGCTACATACCGCTTTTTGATTGCCCGGTTCGATTCGACATAGCCAAGTAGAGAATGTGAGAGGCACCACGACTGGAGTTGAGCGAAGCGGGCTCAAAACCACGCGTCCACAGTTCAAAGCCTGCATGGGCGCGGTATGAGTCTGGGAATACAGCATGGTCGCTAGAATGCAGGCTGCTTCGGTGCAAAGATCTGATAGATGTTGATATTGAAAGCATTACTGAATTGCAGAGAAAACACGAGAAAGAGTCCCCACTCCCTTTGCGCTCACTGCCGTTCTGCTCAAGAGGAAGAGAAGCGCAGTTGGCAGATTCACAGCCCGCCCACAAAGGAAATGTGAGATAAAACCCATGCAACGCAGACACTTTTGCTCGTCTCCACTGTATGTACCATGCCCATATCCCCGTCAGAAGAGTCGTTATTGGATTTTGTTCGATCTGCAGGAGACAGACCAATGCTGTATTGATTCATAGCTTGCATGCGTTGTGTCTGGCTGGCGGCTGGCGCATGCGAATAAAAGAGCAGAACCCCCGGGTGTGCGGTTTCCCCGTCAAAGAACCCGACGCGCGCATCATTGTCTGTCTTGTGGTTCTATCTTGCATTCCGCCGTCCTGTGCTCTTCTCCAATCGTCGCCGCTTAGCAGCATTCGGCAAAGCATTCGCAACAGTCCGCGCAGCATTCACATCCTTCTTCGCAGACGAAGCAGCAGCAGAGGGCAGCAAGACTATCAGACACGGTTAGTCGCTATATTTCAGTTCACAGGCCCATTTCTTATAGCACCCAAGGCCAGATGGAAGGGAGTATTATTTCTTACCAAGCGCTCAAGCATCCACGGTCTTGGTGCCGAGGCGCGGGTTGTGGTGGAGGATAGTTTTGAGGCTGCTGGTATGGCATACCGCCCTGCGGTGGGTAGTAACCTTGTGGAGGACCTTGAGGCGGGTAACCTCCCCCATAGCTATGGAAGGACAAGAGTTAGTGAAATTGCAACAAAAGACAGAAGTGGTGATGTCAGGGGAAATGCGGTGACAAGCGCGGTGAGAGTGCTGGCGCAGTAAGAGAGGCAAGCAAATGCACATGTGTTTGTGCTCTCTTTTCTGGTCGCGCGAGCAAGATCCAAAGCGCGAAGGGCAAAGCAACAGAATAGGCCGGCGGTAAGACAGGACGTGAAATCAGGACAACTCACCTTTGCGGAGGGTATTGGGGACCACCTTGGTAGTATTGTTGGTTCGACATTGTCGTGGTGATGTGAGAGTAGAGTCAAGGAACGATGGAAGGCGAAAAGAGAGTATTGCCTGATGGGCTTGTGATGATTGCGAGAACTGAAGTTGGTCGCAAATGTGATGAATGAATTCAATGAAGTTGATTGAGGCGGAGGTGGAAAGTAGAAAAGGGATTTGGAGATAAAGAGGGTCTGGTTTCTTTGGGTCAGGCGATAGCCGCAGTCGGTGCCTAGAAGTGGCAGAGTGGGTGCCCAAGAGGGAGGCGGGCACGAGGTTGCTTGACCAAAAAGCTTGGGAGCTGGTGGTTGCCAAGCCTAGAAGGTAGTGCCTAGAGCCTAGAGAATAAGGTCTAGGGGGGTTGGGCTGTGTCTTATAAGGGGGCTGGCTGATGCTGGGGTCTTCCACGTCTGTTGTCACAGAGTTTGTTTGAGAATTGTGAAGCGAGGAAACAAATCCTCCTGCAGTGCCTTTCTGATATAGCACCTCGTACTCCGTATTCCCTCCCAGTCTCCAGATTCTTTGGGCCAGGATGGATCCGCCTCTCCAGCAGCTGTTGCGCATTGGATCGACCTTCTCTCCCCTGCTTCCAGTTGCCTGATTGCGCAAACCCGCAGGCGCAGCTGAAAAGCACACCCTCTCACTGGCGACGGCTCGTCTCCGGCCCATCATCCAGCACCAGTCTTTCATCGGCTAACTGCTCAGCCACAGCCAAAGATCAGATGAACAGCTGAGACTCGGCCAATGAGACGTGCAGTTGCTGCTAGTATATCTGCGTGTACTCGGCACAGCCACTCGGTCGCCACACCTGAGACGCGGGCACTGTCCCATGCGTTGGCCATCGTCAGCCATTGCCAGCTCCCTGAACCACGAATCCATTGCGCCTCGAAAGAACAGCCATAGCTATCTCGGAAAGAAAATTCACACCACATGCTTGTTGTGGGACACAAGTCAAAGATCGTACTGAAAGAATGTCGAGGGAAACTACATGTGAGACCATCGTTCGTCAGCCGTCGGCGCCTCGTCGCTCACGAAGGCTATGAGATCGTGTCCTGAACGAGTCCCGAACTGATCAACAGCTGCCGTCACTTCAACGATGGTCCTGGGACTTGAGGTCAGAGACGCCACGCGCCGCGTGACCACTCATGCCTGCCAAATTCTCGGAGAGGATGATGCACATCTCAATGCGACCTCCTACCATGACAGGCCGTTCAATCAGGTACAACAGATCTTGCTGAAGCAACCGCGAAGCTGTTACAGCGGCCTGACATTGTGTGCCTTGGGACTGAGCAATTTTCAGGATATGTTGTAGCTCTTCGATGTGCAGCTCCATGAGGCTTCGGCAGTGCAGCAGACTCGACAATGCTTTCGGATCAGGTTACAATGAAACCTTTCGTGCAACTACAGAACCTGAAGTGCCCATCGGTGGTCGACCTGTATATCTTGAAGTCGACAACGGGCAATTCAAAATTCCGGGCTGTCGAACAGGGCTATATTTGCGAAGCAGGATGGCCGTGTGATTATAGCACGCCAATTCAATTAGACAGCCACTTTGAGCAGCTCCTACATGAGACCCTTAGCACGGGTTATAAAGACGGGCAGGGTGCGCGTAGCGCCATGTACAACACGAGCGTTCTAGTCGCTGGTATACTGATTCCAGAGCAGCAAGTTGGTTTAGCATCATCAACAAGTAGAAGGGCTCGTCTTGTAAAGGATGAATGCTTACAGCCTGGTGTCGGCTGGCCGTGAAAGATGACGGGTCAATAGCAGGGTATCTTGGGCTGGCGCATCCCATCCTTACGACTGAAATTGATGATTCTCTCGCGGAACACCACTCTTCAGTCCCCGACACCATTCTTTCGGGAGGGCCTCGTGGATCCCATGTTCGCCCAGCCATCTGACGGGAGTGCTTCAAATTCCGTATTCGGGGGGTACATGACCATTAGCGGAGTGCCTGATCTGTCTGATGCTGCTGTGAACGCGGCTCTGCCTTTCGGCTCCGCACCCATTGGAATCAGCATTGCTAAGACTATACTCAGGGCCTTCAGGTTGACTATAGTCTGACTAGTGGCTACCATTTTGGCAACGCTGCAGGCTCTGATCTCCTGAATTCGATCTCCAGCAAGCTCTTGACGTGGCTCCAACTCAGCTGAAGTCACTCTTGAACATCTCCAAGCCAGCAAGGATCTGTTCCTTTCTCCCGGCATCTCTGATCTTGAAGTCCGCCCTGAAAGGATTTGGACCAAACATATTAGTCGCCGGGAAATCCCAAAGGTCATATTTCAATGGCTTCCCAGTAACTTCATCAATCGGCGCCTTGACATCGAAAGCCCACAACAACCGCGCTGTGAGAATGAACAACGAGTTCTCCGCCAGATTATATCCAGCGCAGACACGTCGGCCGGCGCCAAACCCCCAATGATCTCGCTGTCGAGGATCTTGCACATTAAGGCACTCGCCAGCCGTCAAACTATTGGCCACGGTGTCCAAATACCGATCTGGATAGAAGCGTTGAGGGTCGGGGAACAAGACGGGATCGAAGTTCAGAGCCCAAACGTTACCGACAATGCATGAGCCTGCGGGGATGAAGTAGTCTTTGTAGACAACATCACCCTGGTCATCAATTCAGTATGGAGGATGAAGAAAGAAGGAGAGCCTTACAGTGCTAAAGTGTTGAAAATGATCGTTTGAAGCAGTACGCCATCTCAGCACTTCCTTGACCATGGCACGAATATAAGGTAGCTGGTTGAAATCTTCAAATGTCGGCATCCGGTGGCCAACAACGTTATCCAGCTCTCTGTGTGCTTTTTCGACTGTCTCAGGAAATGCAACGAGTCCCAAGATCAAACTGTTAAGCGTAAGCTGTGTGGTATCTGTCGCCAGCCGTCAGTAACGTCGACGAAAAGGGATGGTCATGAATCTACCACTTCCAGCCTCAATCATGGTCCCAGCGACATAAGCTGCCTGGTTCTCAGAGATACCCATCTTGGGATAATCAACCTCCATAAACTTCTCCGCGAAACATCCAGTGCGGATTCCTTTTGCCATCTGGGTTTGCAAAGCTTTCCACAACCCGAGCCAGAGTTGTAGCTCTTTCTGATGATAGGGCTCATACTTTTTGCGCCACCACTGTAGAGCTTTCGGTAACTTTTCCAGGACTGGATACTGGTCAACTAAATGGATCTGTCCAAAGCATTCGGCGAATATCCCCGTTTCGGTGTATATATCATTGAGGACTGGATCGTCGACGGTAACGATCCGCCTGCCATATGTTGCATACATGATTACACTTGTCGAATAGCGTTTGACATGGTTCCAGAAGTTTGCAGGCTCGATCAACAGATCGTAAAGATAACGTCGCGATTCGAGGTCTTGCGAAGGTTTCATACCATCTGCAGATTTGACCGTCAAACAGCGATGGACGATAGCACGAATGTCACGCCATTGTTTTCCGTATGGCTGCATGAACACATGTAAGTATTGGTAAGAGATGAGTCAGGGAACGTATGTACCATGAATAGCATTCGGTATCCGCCAGACAATACGCCCATGGCAACTCGATTGACACCTCTGCTTGACGTCAAGTTACCTTGCCTATCAAAGACTTCCTGTGAAGTTCATTAATTCCTGGTGCAGCTGATCCAGAATGGGCGAGACTCACTTTGATAGCCTCGGGGGAACTGAGGACCACCCAACGCTGGGTTCCCATCTGAATCTGATAGATCTCTCCAAGCTCTTGGGCCCATTTGACGAGCTGTGACTCGCTCGGATTGTTCGTTACTTGGCCTGTGTAGATGTGGGAATGGCCGCTGAAGAGTCTTGCGCCAGGTGGCGAGGGAGGGGCTCGTAACCCTTTAGGGATTCTAGGTCCTCCAAGGCCCAAGGCATGGTAGATAGCGGCGACTGCTCCCAGTAGCAGCACAAAAGTGGCAGCGTGCCAATATACGGGCATGCCATATGTGGCATTCCACAATGTTGTCATAGTATAGAGGGCACGAGAAGGCGCCGTACCTGGCAGATTATCAGCCTTTCTGCTCGCTCGGTGCTGTGGTGACGCTTAGATGAGGTTTCAAGCTGTCACTGGCCTCAGTGATGCTTGGAATAAGGAGTCAGGAGATCGAGCGCAACTACATGTGATCACTTCTCCCATGATCTCCAAATTCTCAGCCTTTTCTCCGACTATAACACCCGCTTTTAAGCACAAAGTGCAAGATGCTCGCTGCGTGCTTTCCACCAAAGCCTCGTAACCCCACATCGAGATGAGATGTGGTCGCTTGGATAGGAAGCGAGGGGAGTGGTGGGGTAACGGGGAAGCATGGAAGCGTGGCAGCAGGGATCCATCTGGCCCGCAGACTAGGTTGGTCGGCACCATCAGCGCCAATGGGTGGGGTAGAATCTGGGGAAGCCTGCATGGTCTGCCCGGGGTAACGAGGCTACCCCGAATTCTCCGCGTCAATGCATCCCATACTCCCAGGTATATCAAGTGACGGAACTTCTATGTATTGACCAGAACATTTCCAAGACTACAAGCCTTCACCAATCAAGCAACAATCGACACACCTTCACTGATGCCGTCGTCTCTCAGCCATTGATCTCCGAGCCAAGCATCATGGGTTTCGGTGTACTTGAGCCTTCCTCCACGGAAGTTGTCCAGGGCAGCATCCATCTGTTCGACGATACTAACGCGTCGGTCGAAAATACCACACACCTCAAGCACAACAAAGATGGCACTATCGTCCTGGCTCCTCAGCCATCCGACTCGCCCAATGACATTTTGAACCTGCCACTATGGCGCCGCGACCTCATGTATTGGATAATTATCCTGGGCACAGTCTTCTCTGGCATTCACGGGCCCATTCTCACTCCTATCACGCTCGAGCTCGCTGCCAAATGGGGCAAAACAGTCAATGATATCGCACAGCTGTCCTCGTACCTTCTTCTCGTCATTGGTGCCTGTATCATATTCTATGGTCCCTTGGCCATCAAGTACGGCAAACGCATCATATATATCTTCGGCACCGTGACACTCATTGCAGCAGATATCTGGGCAGCTCGCGCGACAACGTACAACAGTTTGATGGGCGCAAGATGCTTGTCTGGCGTCGGCCAGGGAGCCTATGAAGCGCTGTCTCTCGCAATGATACCAGATCTGTTCTTCGTACATGAGCGTGGCAGCCGCGTTACCTTGTTCCTGTTATGCTTGCAGACAGGTGTGTTCTTGGGTGTACCGATCGGAACTCAAATTGTGCTGCATTCGGGAATTGAATGGTGTTTTGGCGGCCTGGCAATTGCAGAGGGTGTTATCCTGATCGGCCTCATTTTCTTCCTGCGTGAGCCCGGGTTTGGACGAAACCATGTGGATCCGCTGGCGCACGTTGCTGAAGATGTTATCCTTGACAAGGTCCATGAGGTGAGCTATGACCACAAAGAAGTGGCAGCAACAGTTCAGCCGGAGAGATCAGCACTAGGACCACAGGTTGAAGAACGCCCCAAGACATATATGCAATGGGTCAATCCATGGCAGGGAGTCATTGGCCATGAGAACATCCTCAGGTCGACTATTCGAACCTTCGCCCTGGCGTTACATCCGACGATTTTCTGGGCTTCGATCGCCGCACTGCCTATGGCATGGGCTGTCGGTATTTCCTTCACACTGGCCGAAGAATTGGCACCACCACCATATAACTTCAGTCCGACCGGGCTTGCAAATCTGTACATCGCAGCGTGGATTGGGATAACTATTGCCGTGTGTATTGGCATTGTCACTATTGATCCAATCTCCAAGTTGATGGCAAGACGCAACAAGAATATCTTCGAGCCCGAGTTCAGACTGGTCATGCTCTTCCCCGCGCTCATCATTGCGGGTGTTGGCTTCATCGGCTGGGGTTGGGCCTATACAACGCATGTCCACTGGATAGGCCTGGCCATCTTGCTGCTTCTTGCCAACTGCGGTGCTGTCCTTGGAAATGCGGCGATCATTGGCTATGTGGTTGACGCGCACCGGAGCTGGGCAAACGAGTCGCAGGTCATATTGTTCGCCTGGAAAAACTTCTATCCATTCACCATGGGATATTGGTTCGTTCCCTGGTTTAACAAAGACGGACCTAAGAAGACGTGGGCTGCTGTCGGCGGTATCATTGTTGGGTTGTATTCGCTTGGGGCGGTTTTCTATGTTTTTGGTAAGAGAATGAGGGCTTTCTGGCAAAAGAGATCATTTCTAGGATTTTCGGCTTAGTAAAGGTTGGCTGCAAAGGTTGATGGGTGAGCCATGTATGTAGGTATCCAATATGCTGCTCGTGTTGCGTAGACCTTATTGGTTCCTGTTGACATTGTGTAAGGTCAACTTTACGTCGTTATCCCTGACAGGAAATGTACTCTTGCAGATATCAGGATTACTTCTGCGATGAAGGGTTTTGGCCCTTTCATCGTTTCACCCGCTTCACCCATTGCTAGTGTCAGCGTGGAGCCGAGAAATCGTCAACATACATACCATCAAGGTTGAATCATGGGATCACACTCCGTGACGATGGTTTTCAACAACTTGGCACTCTGGAAGCCCAAATTATGCAATGGTTTAGATGCTATGTCGCGTCTCGACTGGCATCTCCGGCCTCATTGAATGCCGTCCCTCCCCGGCCTTCTGGTTACCGAATGCACACCCCGAACAAAATCTAAGCAGAGCGAAGATTCCCAGATGAGAACACTGTGAGTTCTTGTCTGAGAATCACAAACATCATATCATCGAGTCGCCGCTTTTTGACCAAGGACTCAGTGCTGGAATGGAACAGGTACGTTTGTGAATCTCGCCCTCGCCCCTTCACAACCACAAATCATGAAAGGTCAGGTTCTTCCGGTTCTTCAACTAAAAGAGATCACCATCACAAGTTCTCACTCCGTGGGCATCACGCTCTCGTGACCGGCGGAAACCAAGGCATAGGGCTGGCTTTAGCCGTTGGCCTTGCTCGAGCGGGAGCGGACGTGGCAGTCTTTGACATATCGCCACCCTCGCCTGAGTACGAAAGCATCTCCACCACCTATGGTATCCGCACAGTGTACCGGAAGGTTGACGTGTCGTGTGTTGCCACCCTGAAACAAGCTTTTGAAGATACCATCACATCGTTCTGCGGAGATGGTGGTTTGGACATCTGCATTGCAGCCGCGGGCATCAATCTAGTCAAGGACTTCCTTTCGACCGAAGAAACAGACTTTGACAAATTGTTGAACGTCAACGTCAAAGGCGTGTATTTCACCTGCCAACTAGCCGCGCAGGCCATGATAAGTTCCAACCAGGACCGGAGAGAGCCAAACAAAGCCCCCAGCAATAACAGTGGCAACGAAGCCAAAAGCAAAAGCATCATCATCATAGCTAGTACAGCCTCATACGTGGCTGTGCGGACGCACAATTCCAGTGTATACGGCTTGACCAAATCTGCCGTCAGAGGGATGGTGCCCGAGATAGCCAAGGAGCTGGGACGGAGTGGGATCAGAATCAACTCCATCAGCCCCGGCTACACTTTGACCAAGATGACCGAGGGATATCCGGACCTGATAAAGCAGTGGCAGAGCGACACCATGTTGGGATTCATCGGCATGCCGGAAGATTACGTCGGTGCGTCTCTCTACCTGGCCAGCAACGCGAGCAGATATGTGACTGGCCAAGATTTTCTGATCGACGGAGGGTCGACCAAATGGTGAGCTCGAGATCCAACGATTCGCGTTCAAAGATGCCAGATGATGAAGAGCCTATGGTGTATGTTTGAGATGTGGTGAAAAGTCCGTTCTTGTTTTGAGGCAGGCGAACAAGACAGATGAAGTCAAGTCAACCGATAGACGAGACTGATACCTTTTCATGAATTTATGCATGGAAGGTGCCTGCGGTAGGCAGATACATATCAAATCAGACTGGACCTGACTATAACGAACCAGCGGTGCCTGGCACAACAGGACACTACAGAATTGAAAGATTGGATCACTCAGGCTTTCCTCGTCTATAGCGTGACTACCTGGTAGCTGGACTCTACGACACAGTCTGACTATCTCTCCATGGCATCGGGCCCAACCATCTCCTTGCCTGGAACGTGGTGAAAAGACGGATAATGGAGACAACGAACCATAGCGGTACAGGAGGGGACTGAGCAGGACAGACACTGCCGTTGGCTCGGGGCCCAGATCTACCAAGACTGCAGCTTAGCACTCCCCATAGCCGCCGGGGTCTTCATCCTTAACTTCCGGGGAAACCTCAGTGAGCAGCCCGCAAGGCGGAGGGAAGGGACGTGTGCGTGCATAGATGCCGGCGTTGAAGGCCACGTTGCTTTCTTCCCCGGACCTGTTCTACGAATACGTAATTAGCCCGTGCTGGACAATTCGTGGCAGCCGGTATAAGAGTTTGTCAAACAGATGACTTTGTCCCAGCGGCGTCGATGAACCCCGGAGCCGGACACCAGACCAGGACTCGACAAGAGGTACTCACTCTCTGGGAAAGGAACAGCCTTCATGATGGTGTCCATACACCGGTCTGCCCTTTGGCCTCGACGGCAATTGCTGTCCCCGCCATCAAAGCCTTTCATTTTCGCCGCGTGGACAGAGACGGGATTCATCAATGCTGAGAAACACAAATGGCCTCCATTTGCTGACATTATAACGCACGTAACATCAGGTTATAGGTACTCCGTCCAGCTCGCCAATTCCTTGGAGTCCTGTCCCGTCTTTCTCGTGCCCATTGAACTTTCTCATTCGATTACATTTTATCGTGAGTTCGTGTGGGTGGGTAATGCAGCTGCCGTCACGCATTCCTCGCCGGATCAGCAACCAGCAACGAAAAGTCCTTTGCGTACTTCTGGAACGCTTGTTTGCGGAACGAGCCATTGACTTTGATTTCGTGTTCGAAGATCTCAACCAGTCCTAGTTGACACACACAGTCCTCCACCCGGATCCCGTACGGGATATGGGTGAGGGAGAGGTGGTTTCATCAGCACTCCAGGTTTGATCTCAAGATAAAATGATCCCATAGGCCGACCTCCCGCCGTAAGGTCCACCGTGCGTGCGAAACCAGTGAAGATGGTGGACATATGAAATGATCAGAAAAGTGGGAAGAGGAAGAAAAGAAAGAAAGATGGAAATCGAGAATCGACAACAAAATGTGTTTTAAGGGTAATGGAGTCAACTCACTCAATGCACTCTCTCCAATACCCCAGAACGCCCCGATCCTCTTGAGAATGAGCTTCAACATGGAGAGGTAGTTTCCATGGCCGCCCGGCTCGAAGAGCAGTGCGGCTCGGATATTGTCAAAGGCCGGGCCGATAATGGTGCACGAAACGAACGGACATGCGTAGATGAGGTACTCGGGTGGCCAGGCCTCCATGGCGCGGAAAACGAGGTAAGTATCATTGTGCGGGCCCGTGGGGAGTGAGGCGACGACGGCGGGGCTTTGTAGCCCATTCTGAGACTTGATATACTGTGCGTTTCGGACTAGGACCCGTGCACTGTGGACAGTTTAGTGGAAAGGTTAGCAACAAGGTAAATACTAGCATGGTAGCAGACCAAGGAACCATAATGAGTACAACAACGTACGTGTGGAGCATGAAAATGGTGGAAAGCGCCCAGTTATTCGCCGCAAAGTTTTCTTCGTTGAAGGGGGTGCGCACAAAGTCGAGTTGGAAGCCCTGGGGAAGGAGGAGGGAGAAGCAATTCAATGTCGACCCGAAGTTGACAATATCCTGCAAGGTAAAGGGTTTCTCTGGGGAGGCGAGGTCGGCTGCTCGGGCCATCAGAAGCGTCGTGACGAGGAACCATGCCCGTTCGTCCGCGCTGGGACAGCTCTCCAGTGTCTGCCATTCGTGCAAGAAGTCGGTCTGCAGCAGGATGGACTCGGTCGGCGTCTCAGAGAACCACGACACGTCCGATACGGGGAGCAAGACGTGCATTTGGTCCTTGTTGATGGCGTGCGGGCGGCGCAGGATCGTCGCGGCGAACACATCTAGCTCCCAAACAAGCCACCACGCCCGTCGCTTCTCCTCTGTCTGCACCCACGACTCTTGTGCTGCATCATACTGGTGCTGGTGCTGATGCTGTTGTTGGCCCTGACGCTGCTGGTTATGCTCCTCGCCTGGTGGGGCCGTGGATCCTGCAACTTCGTCGGCGATGAAGACATCCTTGTCCAACTCGTTAAGCCCCAGGTCGATTGCCAGTCGACAGCAAGTGCCTATGAGGAGCCAGCTCTGGGTCGTGATCCTGTTTGTCTGCTCGTAGAACGCCAGGAGGATGCACCCTTGCAGGAATCCGAGAGAGATTTCGTTCCCTTCGTCGAGGCCTCGCTCGTCACTTTGGAGCGCTTCCGCATAGAGGGCGTTTGCTTTTCGGGCGAAAACTTTGCCTTTATCCTTGGACGCTGTGGATGGGAAGAATTCATTGGTCGAGAACCTCGCAGACAAGGCCATCATGGCGGTCAAAATCAACGCGTCCTCGATCGCCAGCCGCGCGTATCTGTCGTTTTTATTGTTGTTGCCGCCGACATTGAACTTTTGGCGAAATCTCGGTTCGTGGAAAATAGGAATAGATGGTTGCACACGTAAAAAGAACAGGTCAATTCTGGAGGGGGTATCCAAATTCGAACTTTTGTTAGTCTTAGCACCCAAGAAGAAAAGGGAAATGTAAACAGCAGACAGCATGCGAGGAATGCCGGCAATGTGGAGATTGGGGGGTTTTGCCCCTCTGAGGCTACTCACAGTTCATCTATTAAAGCAGGTGGATATGCGAGTGTACAAGGATTCCGGTCTGCAAGGTTCATGTCTTCAGAGTGACTGTGGGCAGAACCTGACCAACCGTCACCTAGTCGACGAAAAAGAAGTTAGAAGCCCCATATCACCCTCTCGGCAACACAAGGAATCCGGGCTTAAGACAGAGAGGGAGACATAAAGTCTGCTACTGACCATAGCGCTCACTTGAATTGAGGAGACTGAACATTCCATAACTGTCTGTGAAGGGACTGAAGGTCATATTCCCAAGCCAGTTGTTAGAGTCGTGTGACGGGCTGCTGTGTTGCCCATCAATGTGTAAGTGATCTGGGACCGAACCGTCGTTTAGGGACAGGACGGTCGGCAAAGTCGGTGTGTCTGATACCATCGACAGCGGTAAGGATGATATTGACAGTGACATATCCTGTGCGTGCTGCTGCTGCTGCTGGTATTCCGTATTGTCTCGACCTTCCAGAGCCGCATTCTCATCAGATGGGGAGGATCCTGACTCGGTCGTCGCGGTTGCTGCCTGTTGCTCTCGACGCTGCAGAGCACCACGTAAAACATTAAGATCGACATTATCCAGTAACCCTTCTACATGCAAAACTGTTAGTCTTTGTCTTGTACGGAGTAGACAGAGCTGGGTGCTGAGCGGACCCAATTCATCCCCTTGGTTTGATTCCATCAGCTTTCGTCGGAGGCTTTGATATTTCGTCTCGAGCGTTGTGCGTTTTCGATGAGTGGGATAGACGCAACGAGATCCGGATTGCTGACAACGGTGACATTTTGGGATTTTCTTGTCGCCTGGACACTGGTTAGTGACGGCTTAACCACAACAGACGGGAGTGGGTTGATCCGCGAGTCGGTTAGCCCTCGAATGTCCAGGGATGAACACGGAGCGACGACTTACATTTCGCCTTTTTACTAGCGTTTGAAGGGATCTTCTCAGTAAACTTTTTCTTCTTCAAGGTCCGCGGCTGCCTTACCGGTTGCATTCCTCACAGGATCTACCCCGTGGTTGATGAGGTTTGCCGGTCGTCATCCCGTCCCCGGGAAGCTCAGGCAGTCCTGGCAGAGTAGGCGTGGTCCTGCCGTAGCGAGCTATCGATGTGTCCTGATCAAAGACGGTTGAAGGTGATCAGGAATGAGGAATGAGAATCACATCACATCCCACCATATCCTGATCATGGGCTCAGTTTGGAAAGCCCAGGGCGCAGTCCAGGGATGTGGGTGCTGATAGGGCAGTATTGGATCGCGTGACTGTGCCACTCTGGCACTGCGCAGTAGAGCATGTACCTCGAAGATAATTACTAGGTCAAGTCTGTACTAGCGGTGAGAATACACGCCTGACTAATGGTCGAGTGCAGACCCTTGCAGTTCGGTACGGCGTTCTTTGTGATCTTTTTTGTAAGGAAACAAGAAGATACAGAGTATCCATGAGGTTGACTGGAGAGAACCTGGGGTTCACTCTGGGGAGATAGTGTGAGATGGGGGAGGAGAGGGAAACGGGGACCACGACCGAGGAGGCAGTGGAATGCCGTACCCACCCGGGCCGCCACTCAGAGAGAGACAAGCCCGATGGGGCACGTGCCAGCCCCACTTGACTTCCGGATATAGTAGCGGGGTATACCTGATCCATTCTAGCACAATCACGTGGCTACTTCCTTCTATATTACCAGGATAATGTGAATGCAACACGATACATACATATACTATCAGTAAAAGTCATTTCTGACAGTGAGCATCTATATAAGTTCATTTGTATGGTTTGACACTTATCCAGAACCCCCTTTTTCATGGCATGTGACATGTCACACAAGAAACAAAGCCCGACTTCATCGCGCTGGGGGCATCAAGCGTTGTTATTTCCCCAATTGGACAGGGAATGGGTGCTGCCGCAACAGCTGCGCATAGTTTGTTGCCAGTGAGGGCTTGTAGACATCTGTATCGAGTTCCAAAGAAAAGCTCTTTCGACCAGTCTACATCGAGACGTCACGGACTCAATACTCAGCGCACTAAGAGCATTGTTCGACCCCTTCGAGAACCGCAATTTCCACTACCTCGAATGACCTGTCCGCATGAATGAACCCGTCATCAAAGGATTTTGTGCTTAAACGAGGAGATTATGGGAACGGCAACACCCCGGGCCCCCGAACTCTTTTTTTCCGCTCTTAGCTAGGAGTACCAAGGGTGTCCCGACTGCGCGGCTCCTCTTCCGGGCCCACAGGTTGTTAAGAGTCTGGGGTTGGACCCGAGCTCACATTTGCAAGGTTCACCTGCTCCGAGTACAAGTAGTACCAAGAGGACATAGGTCGATCGACTCCAGGTCAACGACGTCATTGCGTCAATATTTGCATCTACGTCCATCCAGGTTTTCGAATGCTATAACATCGGCCCCCCACAGTCTTGGCGCAATGAATCCAGCCGTTTTGTCGCCATTGGATGGAAGACTTTGACTCCGGCATTTGCGAATCCCGGTTCTGCCAATCTCGTGACCCATTGTACTACTTGTAGTTGAACGTTTGGACTCGCTGGTAGCGTAACAAGTCGAGCCAATGACGACGGCACTTTCTCCTTTTAACAGGACTGGGCAACTGGCTGACTAATGTTGACAGGCGGTAAACCGAGATGTGGCCTCTCAGCCAGCTCTTCATCAGACAAGACTGAGTAGAACCCACGACATCTCCACTGACGTTGTTCGCTAATCTTTGTCACGTTGCTCACCTGGATTCATCCGTCATTCTCCCCATCACAGAACGTGCGCTTTTTCCATGCAGTCGGACCGATCACTGCAAAGCAAAACGATCTTTGATCTTCTGCCACGACTGATATCCTCTTTCTGCGAGGAGTTCGGGGCCAACCGACTCCTTGTCCTCATCCCGATGGAACATCTCCATACTCACCCAGCCTTTCCACCCCATTTCCACAAGCCAAAGTCGCAGGATATCGTCTAGTGGGAAATAGGCACCATACTCGGTCTCATAGGGAAATAATCTTCCCCAGACGCACCAATGCATCGTGGCATCCCAATGGGCCCACTCGGCTTTGTACGCCTGATGACCCGGACCAAGTGGTTGCTCCAGCCTCTCGGCGTCACTGAGCTGGAGATAAAATATCTTTTCCACAGGACACTGCTCCATGAACCGGTCGAGAGTTGACTTGAGCGCCGCATAGCCTCCTGGAGCGATACCTGTGCCCGTGCCAGACGCCGCATGCGGGTCTGCCCAAACCCTGGCGATAACGTGGTAGGTGTCGAGACAGAGACCAAAGTTGGGACGATTGACGAGCTTGACGATTCGAATCGCATCGTCCATCAGTGCATGGTGCACACCCCATGCCAGTGCTTCAAACGCGAAGAATATCTCTTCCTCACCGGATTCTGTTGATTCTCTTCCCAAATCCGCGAGCGCGGAGAGCTCTGCCACAATAAGGTCCTCGTCACCCGTTGAGTTCATTTCATACGTTGTTGGAACTTGGATCATCTTTGTCCCCATAGCTCGAGCCAGAGCGACATATTCGCGGGCCGACTTGAGTCGAGTCTCAAACGATGTGAGGACGCCTGCAAAGTTAAACAGTGGCTGGAGCGCTATGATCGAGATATTTCTTTCTCTGCACATCACACCGATCTTTGATGCTGCTTCCAAATGCGTCAAAGAGTGTTGCTCCGCGAAGGTGACCAAGTCGGGATGATATATCTCAACCCCTTCATACCCTTGTTTTGATATGGCATCTAGTTTTCGTTGGAGTGTGTGAGATGGATGCCAACCTAGCGACACCGTCGCGATTCCCAGTCTGTGGCTTTCTGGCATCATAAATTGCTGATCAGGATGGAAGTTGAGCTGGTCTCGAGTTTGGAAATTTCCAAGGAGAGAAAGTCCTACTTGGTTTTGCGTGGCCCACTGAATGTGATGTTGATGCCAATAACTGATCTAACTGTTTCTGAAATACAACGAACGCTGTCAGTACGTCGACTCAGCCTTGTCCAGATTGAGCGGGAAGAGATCCTAGGCTTTTCTCAGTTTTAAAGGTCATCTGTCGTTGATTTGCTCGTGTATAGTCTCAAGAAGCTCTCGGGAGCTATGGCTGAAAGGCAAATCACTGCGATGGTCTAATTTCTATCAACAACAGTGGTGTCTCCGGCTACCATAGCTACCGGGAAATCTGCAAGCCGGAAACCATTCACCCTCCGGGATCCGCAAACCCCGGCGGAAAATACCCCGGACCCTGGCTCAGCAGTGGCGAGGACTAGCTGTTGTCCGCGGTGTGTCTGGAGGCTGGGTTGGACTGGCCTAGATCATGGAGACGGAGAAACTGTGGACCAAGACTTTCGATATAAAATCCGGGGTGTTTGGCAACTCAGCAACTTGAAAGCTCAAAAGTTGAAGTTCATCGGCGTTGTCTCAGCAGGTCACCATCAAGACGAAATACACAGACGGACAGCAAGATGACCTTCTCAGGAGCCAAACAGGGACTGAACTGGCGGACCTTCTGGTGCTGCTGTTTCTTGTCACTGGGCAGTTTCAGCTATGGCTATGCAGCTTCGATCGTGAGCCACTCTCCTTTCACTGTACAAGATATGCAAAGAGACCAACCTGAACTGATCGTCTGTAATCCGCTTGTTCTAGATCTCCACGACGCTCGGCCAGCCAACGTTTCTAGCATATATGCATCTAATTGATGCCCAGGGAAACCCAACCTCGAATGAGGCCGCGTTGGTCGGAGCCACAGTTGGCTTGTTCTGCGTATGAATTAAGTCCCTGTCATTTCCTATCATCAATTACCCTTCAGAATGGCTGATTATTCACTTCCACTACAGACCGGGGGATGTATAGGCGTGCTAGCTACCAGCTGGTCGCTCGACAGGATCGGAAGGAGACCAACAATGCTAGTCCTTGTGGCCATCTACACAATAGGCGGTGTTTTAGTCACAGCATCTCAAAACATTGGCATGTTCATCGCTGCACGGGCAATCCATGGATTTGCAGGAGTCAGCTTCCTCGCAGCCAGTATGTCCTACATATCAGTCCTACGGAGGAAAACAAGGGGTCCCAGATACTAACTGCAATAACTCTCAAAAACAGCTGCCACATATATTACCGAACTTTCTCAGGCGGAAACCAGAGGATTTTTCACCGGCTTGACGGGCGTCGCCATCGCCATCGGCTATACCACTGCTGCATTGATGGGTCTCGCCTTCTCCTACACGACAAATCCCGACGTGCAATGGAGGACTCCTCTGGGCTTGTGTCTGGTGCCATCCACCACTCTCCTGGCAGTGCTACTGTTCTGGGCCCCCGAGTCCCCACGCTACCTGCTCCTCAAGGGTCGTGCGGAAGAAGCATGGCAGATCGTTAGCAGACTCCACCACAACCCGCGGGACGAGAACCAGGAATACATCAAGGAAGAATTTTACCAGATGCGCACGCAGCTCGAGCTGGACCGCACCCTCAACTGCTCCTGGTTTCAGCTATTCGCAAAACCTTCATACAGAAAGCGAATGCTCATGGCAAGCCTGGTGACCTTCCTGGGTCAGAGCACTGCTGTACTTGTTGCTGCTGCCTATGTGAGCTTGCCTGTTCCAATGACCACATACTAGACACAAGACAGGAAAAGATACTAACATGACCTCGTTCTGCGCAGGGTCCCTCTCTCTACGCCGCACTGGGATTCAACGTCAAACAAAGCCTTATTCTACAATGTGGTTGGATCGCAGGTGAGTTCGAACTGTTTTCGCCACAAATCCCGACGGGCCTCCATCTCATTTCTCGGTCTCTCATTGACTTACGTCTTTTCCTTCTATAGGTTCCATCCCGGCAGCAATAATCGGCGTTACATTATGTGACCGTTTTGGACGCAAGCCTTTTATCATGACTGGCTTCGTGGGGTGCGTCGTGGCCCTGGCCATTCTGACTGCCATGGAAGCCGTCTACGCTCCCACAGCAACCAATAAAGTCGGACTGGGCTGGGCAGTGACGGCCTTGTACCTCATTGTCATCTTCTATTGTGTCGGTGTCGAGGCCTGCGGCTCCCCCTTCTATTGCGAAATCTTCCCGACCCATATTCGCGCAAAGGGGGTCTGTTTCTGCTTCTTTGTCAACAGCCTTGCCAACCTGCTCTACCTCGAAGTGGCACCCACCGCTTTACAGGATATCGGATGGAGGTTTTTGCTGGTGAGTTCTCTTCAAACCTTTAGTATCACGCATCTCGTGTGATACGTCGTGAAGGCGATGAAAGCAAAGGAAAGAGATTAGCTAACTTTGGTCCTCTTCCCGTAGGTCTTTATCTGCGTCCTCTCCGTCGGATCGGTGCTCTACTGGTTCTGGGTCCCAGAGACAAGATCTGTGCCTTTGGAACAGCTCGCCTTGATTTTTGGCGACACCGACGAGGTGAAGATTCACTCGGAGGAAATCTCCATCAACGACGAAGGAGGGCCCGCTCAGAACGTGAGTGTGGCCGGAAAGGAAGAGCCGCAAGTCGTTCTGCACGAGAAAGTCTAAAGCACGCTGTACGAAATCAAAGTAAAGTCGAATTCGACCCTCTTGTGGCTCTGAGTGGGAAAGCAAGGGCTAGGATCCTAGGGAAAGAAAGAGGGGGTTGTATATACATGATTTCAAGCAAAACCGCTGGCAAAAAGACGGTGGAGGGAGGGAGGAATAGTGGTGCCACTGCCACGAGACCTGTACAAGCAGAAGTAGGTATATTTGTAGCCTTTAACCTGGAGACACGGGTGACACTTTCTGAATTTGTCATCCTGGCATACATATCCATTCGCTTCTTGAGCTGTGTAAGGTATTCAGAGAGTCCTAGTCGGTGCTTTGTTCTCAAGTTCGTCTTATACACACATGCAGGTATACTCTTCTCGTCCTCCTCATGGTACCTCTTTTCGGTAACCCTTTCGCCTCTTTTTGTCACCCACTCCACACCTTTCCCACGAGAAGACGAATTCGGAAGCTAAGAAGCGGGCAATTCATCCTTTGCAAAGGACGGCTTGATCCACGTGAAATCGGACAACCTTTCGAAAACCTCAATTACACCTGGTTTGCAGAATGGGGAGAAGGTCAGCCCGCCGTTGAAGTCATGCATCGCATATACCAACAATGTTAGTCGGCAACGCCATGTTTCTGGCAATCTGCAATGCGTCTTTGGACGAGGCAGAAGCCGATGTAGCTCCATCACATCCAAAAGTGGTTCTGGACAAGGGATACATGTGACTCACGAGGCTTAATCCACAGATGCTCCGTAGCTTTCAGATATGGACCGTAGTACGACTTGTGTATTTGAACCTGTTCCAGTCGTGGCAAAGAATCTCAAGTATTAGCACGGGGATCACACATAAAGCCCCACAGATCACTCTTTCTTCGCTTGTCTAAGAACCAAAGAACTCCGTACATACCTCCTCCAGATACTGCCGCGACGCATTCCACGCCTCCTGGATGCGAATCGTGCCAGGCTCGTTCGCATCCTGGACGATCTGGCAGAAATCTACTCGGGGATCCTTCCAAATCTCTTCAAAGAGGGTCTTGCAGGCTTCCAGGGCAACGGGGACGTGCTCGGGAGCAAAGTACAGGTTCACATGGATCATGAACCGGTCTGGGACTCTAGATGATGACGACATGGTTCGGACTTCTGGAGATCAGATTCAACAATTTGAAAGTTCGTATGGTGTGGCTTGCTTCTTGGAATGGTTGAAAGAATCGAGCACTCGAAAGTGGGAAGGGACGGAAAGGAAAGACTGAAGATCGATATAAAACTCGGCTCGATCTTTAGTCATCCCATTCGAAGCCTTGTGATGATAGGTAATAATGCAATAAAGTACCTGCCTGTAATGACGAAGCACAAAATAATACTCGAGACTCAAGCGACGGCGATGAAGTGCGCACCTGGTTACAGACTTTTCATAGCCCGGCGGCGGGATTTGTGAACGCCGCTCCATCGTAGATCAGCCCGCATGAGAGGGGACACTCTTTCAGTGAAATAATACCTATTTTGAGAGACGGGTGTTACCGATCGCTGAAGAGGCAAGGTTTTGGCCTTTATTGTAGCTCAGTCTTAACGGCGGAAGTGAATAGGGGGTACTTCGCGTGCGGCGGTCGAATACCTCAATCTGAGGCCAAGAGCGGCCTTCAGTCAGCTCGTGGGACTGGGCGAGTGTTGGGGCATAGCAGCCTCAATTAACAGTGATCTGGATAGACCGAAAGAATGCTAGAAGGCAAAAAGCAGCAACTTTTGTTATATCCAGTAACTATCCCTCCCCCTGACAAGACTCTTGCAGTAACACAATGAACCAGAGTTATCATAAGCTGGGCTTCCTGACTAGGAGCACTGGTCCAGCCACTAAATTGTCTCACTCAAAAAATGAGAATAAAGTCCAAGCCCTGAGCATCCACACAAAAAGTCCGAATCGAGTCATCCACTTTGCTGTAGTATTATCGCTTGCCCAAAAGTCCCCCTCCTGATTCTCCAAGATCGTGGTACACATTCCAGAAAGGAAAAAGAGACATGTGCCTGACTGGGAGCACCGAGAAACCCAACCAATATATCTATGTACAAAAGTGCATCCAAAGAGACAATAGGCAACTGCCACGTCTTCAAAATTCTGTTGAAGCTTCATCATAATCGTGTGTTGTAAGTCGTAGCGTCGTTTCAATACTGCCGAAAGCCAAAATTCGAGCCCTCGCCAGCATAGTCAAAGCTGTTCGCGGTGTACATTGCGTTCTGGGCCAAGGACATGCTGGCATCGACATTGACAAAGTTGTCAGCGGCAAGGAGGTTGTCGAAGCACAGCGGCTCTTCTGCGAGGTCTAGCATGCCTAGGGTCGCATTCTGCAACAAGTCGTCGTCGGGGAGCCCGTAGCTGGCGCTGCCCATGCCGCTGTTGGCGCCGTTGCTGTTATTGTTGGCACTCGAGGCGCTTTTGATATGTTCGTTGACAACAGCAGGCTGGAAGGTCATGTCGGGAACGTTGATGTCTTGGACAATCACGCGGCCGTTGACGTTGAGTTCAAGCTCTTCGTACATCCAGTGCTTGAGGAATTCCATAGGTGGTGTGTTGCCACCACCCATGCCGCCGCGACCCTCGCTTTTCTTGCCGCGGCCGCCACGTCGATTCTTGCACGGGTTGAAGTGGGCGCGACGCAAGTGGGCGGCGGCGTTGTAATTGGCGCCGTAGGTCTTGCGGCTGCGGCATGCCTTGCAGTTAGACAAGAACTTGCCGTCGGCCGAGGCGTCTTTGCAGATCCACACTCGTCGCACTTGAGAATGGTGGCGCTCGATATGTCGACGGAGCTCGTGGTCGCCGTGAAAGCCCTGGGGCTGGTCGTTACAGAACTGACAGAAGGTCGTCTTACGAGGAGGCTGTTGACGGACGGTGCGGGTGATCTCTGCCTTGTGTTTTACTGTACCGTCCGCGCTCTGGACGGCTATCAGTCTGGGTGCTGGCATTTCGACTGGTTGCAACGATGTCTCTTGAGCACGCTCCATCTTAGGAGCTAGAGGTCGTGAGACTGCGTTACTGCTACGAGGAATGACTGGCTGAAGAATCCCTCGAGGTGCCGACGACATATGAGACTGAGACAAAACAGAAACCGATGAAGCGTCGCTTCCAGAGGAAGGCGACTTTTTCATCTCAAAGCTAGAAGGAGACGACGATGACTGAAGTTCATCATCCTCAAAAGACAAATGGGAAAACTCGTTGCAACCGAAATTGGTTCCAACCACAACAGACGAAGAACAAGAGATAAAAGGAAATTGTCGAGCCGGTTCAGTATCCTGCGGATACCGAGGAGGCTCATCCATCATGCTGCTCGAGGCTTTGTGATCTTTCGGCATCGACATCGAGTCCATGCGAAACATCCCAACGCCCTCGCAGAGAACATCATTGGTGTTGCTTCGAGACATGGGCTCCGACAACACGGTTGACGGAGCCGTCATGCTCGAGTCACTAGTCGCCGTCATCGGAGTAAAGACTCCTCCTGGCGACTCTATAGCTGAAGAATACGGAGACGTGAGCTGCGACATCTGGTTGATGTGGAACTCACCACGCTCCACAACTGTGGGAGGCGTCAACGAGATGATCGGGGTCTGATGATAGTCATCCGGTGACTTCGCAAGGAAGTCCGCCGGAGACATATCCTGAACCTCTTCAATAAAGTGAAGATTGGATCCCAAGTATCGGTTGGGGTACGAGGCGGCTGTGGAACCTCTTCGTTGCCAGCTGGTGCGCCGGGGGATAGGCATTGGCTTAGTCGTCGACGTCGTGGTTGTAGCCGTGGTCTGCGGTAGGGGTGATGTTCGAACCGAAGGTCTGCCTTGCTGGATCCTGGAGGCAGACTGACCAACAACTGGTGCCGAGATGTGTCGCTCGAGCAAATGGGCAGTTGGTGCCGAGGAAACCAAAGATGCTGCCTTCTTTCTCGTCCGTCAACCAAAGAAGAGTGGTTAGTCAACAAGGGGACATACATGGAGACTACGTTTGGGTGCTGGTTCCATGTCACCAACCATCGCAGAGGATGCAGATCGTTTTGAGGGAACCGAGGAGCCATATTCATGTGTCGAAGTCGAAGGGGAGTTCCTCATCTCAGCATTCATCGAGTTCCAGTACCGCCAGACCTGTTCGCGCTCGTCGGGAGACAGGTGCTGGATTGTCTGTTCGCAGGCGGCACGACAAGACCGAAGAAGCTCCATGACTTGATGGGCACCGGAGTCCATTGTTGTCGATCAAGGAGTGACCAAAAGAGGTTTACCAATGGAACAAAAGTGATGGCACTCCACAAAAGAAGAATGGCAAACAGCCAATCTGAGGTTTCGGTCAGCCAATTGGGGCTCAGACAGTCAGTTTGTCCTCCCCGATCAATGTAAAGACTCACAGGTTGATGTTCGAAAGTGCTGGTAGAATTTAGTGGGACAGTACAACAGAATTCCTTCGAAAGCCAATAATAAAGGGATCGACGAAGGTGAAAGGATGCGACGGCGGGCGTGTCAAGAATTGGGTGAGAAATAGCCTTGGAAGAAGAAGAGGGAGGGACAGGCTCGGGATGTTATAGGACTGCGTCGCTCGCCAAAGGAACCCGGAATCTAGGAGACCTGAGAAGGACGTGGGGATGGTGCAGTCCTCTGACAGAACATGTGCCAGAGATATGACGGCAAACTGCCGCTTGGGCAGACCTTTCTTCGACCACCAAGTCGGGCAACAGTTCCAGGGTGGCTTTGCTGATCTTGAAGAGGGGGAGAGGCGGCCAGGGCGGTCGCAGGATCCTGATGGGTTGAAGAAAGTACCCGTCTCTCAGAGTCCTGGTCCGGACGCCTAGTGGCCTCCTTCTAGGCACTCTTTGAGCCTAGATGCGCCCACCTTCCGAGCGTTCCATTCGCCTGTTTCTTGCAACCTTCGCCGGGAGTATCTGGGCGCGGGTCGACCCTGGTACAGCCGAATCCAACGAACCTGGCTTGCGAGCGACCTTGCTAGACCCATAGTTCCATTCGCAACACCACAACAGTGAGCTGATCTCGATTGGCTGCCTATGAGGTTCTCCGAGGGACGACGATCACGGATTGCCGTCGGCGGCTCATTGGATGTCTGCATGCTGCTGCAAGCGGTCTTGGTCGCCTCACTTTGAAATGGGGCGGCCATCGAGTCAGGTTGTTTGTCTGGCTTGAATTCCTGCCCAACGTGGCCCGGGACAATTGTCATTCGTGGTTCCTCAAGGGTGAACTTTGTGCATAATCTCGAGTTCCTCCATCACATGAGCCTAAGCACAGCAAGCGACCTGGCTGACCATTTGGTCTGGCTCGTCCATACCTCTGCGTACAGTATCACGCCCGCGGCCACAGCAGGGTCGTGATGACAAGTACTATGACCTGCATCAACTGCCGGAGAGGCCAGCAGAGTGGTCCGAGGGAAAAGAACTTTGCGTTCTCTGTGTAACCACCGCAAGAAGAAAAGGTCAGCCTGCAACCGATCCAACCACGCGCAATTGGGGCATGGTTAGCTGGAGCAGCAGTTCGTGTGCTCTTTTCACAACTCAACTTGGAGAAACTGTGGTTCACGTATCTCTTCGCTAAACGAGGACTAGAAGCCGGTACCTGGACGTGGACTCGATGTCCGATTTGCTGTGCAACTGCTTTTTGCAGCCCAACGCATCTTCTGCTGTATAATTTCTCGTTATCGTTCATGAGTCACTATCCCTTCATGGTGCACTATGGTGATATCTGTCATGACAGGGAAAAGCCAGTGCCGATTTCCGTAGAATTGGCAAGGGATCAAAGACTTTGGGGCGGATGACGACGAGGTGGCGGGCTGCAATTTGCAGTTCCTCAGCGATGGACGTGGATGAACTTCTTCTCGGTCAATAGGGCCTTGTCCAGGGATAATATCCCCGTCACCTAAGGGGACGAGATCCTTGGGCATGTCTCGCACCACTGAGGAATGTAGGTTTGATAGTCGTACGCTCTTCAGGAGATCACGATTGAGATGAGTGCTCAGCATAGCCTCGAGAAAAAAAAAAACCACGATACAGCCTCACCGCGCGGTAAAAGTGAGGGCTAGGTCTGATCATCGATGTCGCTCGCTGAACTGATCCGTCGCCCCGGCTTCGTGCCTGCTGATCATGTCGCGGAGATCGCAACCTTAAGCTGGTATCTGTCACAAGCGTCCGTTAGATGACGCAAACGAATAGGTCTGTAGATCGTTGATAGACAGACAGCACGTAAGGGACAAAAGAGTAGTTGGTGGCTATCCTCAGTGCAGCCCTACAGGATGATCGCTGTGATGGATAAATGTATGTTTGTATTGCATCCCTAGGTCGACGGATCTACCAACACCATACGTTACGCTATATGCACAACGCTGTCGTCAAACCACTGTCTCTAGACCCGAAAATGCTTTCCCACACACTAGATAGAGTCTCAGACTTGTTATATCTCCGTCTTCTCCATCTGCACGATTGGTTCCTGCTCTTCTTGAATCCGTCCTCTCCCGACGTAGCGTGATGTCCCGGTATTTGAGAGTTTTTGCGGTGGTCGCGTCGAATCGCGCCGGAGCATGGGCGGAACCGCACTTCCAGCTTGGGCCTTGTAAAAATTGCTAAGTTGCCACCTGTCCATCCCCCAGAGGCAGTGACAGAAGCGTCTGAGTCATGTCCATCATGCGAAGCCAGATCCTTGTCGTCCCTGACGATCCTGTCAGTGCACCTTCGCAGGACTGTCCCGTATCCACCTTCCGCCGCCACGCGGAAAGGTCTAGGATGATCCCTAGTCCATCCTACCTATTCGTTCCAAGGTGCATTGCTCTCAACAGAGACATGTTTTGGGAAAGGGACGCTCAGCGCATCATGACAGAAATTGGGCACTGGCAGTCAAGCTTGCGTGGTGTTGTCATCCAGTACCAGACAACCAACGTGGTCTGTCGACGATGCCCGCCGCCTGTCCCGCCGCTGCATTATCGCGATCAGTCAGGTTGAAACAGTGGTGTCGAGAGCCATCAGCCGAACCGTTTGGTTTGTTCTCCGTCTGGGGAGTCCTTGACGCGTGGGAAGAAGCCGGTAGCAGCGCGCACCTCGACAACTATCGGGGCAGGCGAGGTAGGTTTGCCGACAGAGATGAAGAAGGTTTGCCGATAGATACCTTGGTCTAAGGAAGGTCTACCGATCAGGACAAAGCAGGTCTGCCGATACAATGACTAATCCCTCTTCCTCGTATGATTGGTGCACTCCTCGGAGGGTGGGATTTGTGGTTTGTTTACTCCTCTTCCCAATCTGGCTGCTCAAACTTCTCAACAACGCTGCGACTCATCCCAGGAGATCTCATCGGCCCTGAAAGATAACAATGTCGGTCGCGGAGATATTCTCTGATGCTCAGCGCTCTCTGGTGGGACATAAGACACTGGCAAAACGACTGCGCCGTCTCGAAAACTCTCCAAACTTCGAAGCGCACATCAAACAATGCGTCTTTCGACTCCTCGACGTCGCCAAATCCGAACCGGCCGGAACTCGTGTCATCAAGTTCCTCACGACGTACCTTGCCAGCGATGATGCCTCGAACCAGATCTCTTCCACCATCCTGCTGGGTATCCTTCCTTTCCTCTGTGCCAAAGACAAGACGATCCGATACCGAGCCACCCAACTCACCTGCCAGATCTTGGGTGTCCTGCAAGCTATCGACGACGATCTGTACAAGGTGATTAGACATGAGCTGATCAAAAGAATGAGAGACAAGGTCCCGGCGATACGGCTGGAAGCAGTCATGGCCTTGGGTCGTCTGGTGGAAAGTGAGATCGAGGAAGGGGAAGACCAAGATTCAGATGAGGATGTCGCGCCTGGCTTACTGGACAAACTCCTCGATGTCCTCCAAAATGATACCAATGCCGATGTCAGAAGAGCGCTGCTGGTGAATATTCCGGCTACCCCCAAAACCCTGCCCTATCTACTCGAGCGAGCCAGAGATCGTGATGCTCCAACCAGACGTGCCTTGTACGCAAAACTGCTTCCTAGACTCGGCGATTTCCGACATCTGTCCTTGTCAATGCGGGAGAAGCTGTTGAGATGGGGCTTGAGAGACCGCGATGAGAGAGTCCGCGGAGCTACCGCGCGCCTTTTCAGAGAATGCTGGATTGAGAACTGTGCAAGAACGGAGGCCGAGAAACTTGGTGAAGCCAAGGACGAGAAGGACGAGAAGGAGGCACATGTCGGCTTCTATGACCCAAGCATTCCCGCACTATTGGAGCTTCTGGAAAGAATCGACACCTTGAACACCGGGAATGAGGATGGTGTTGCTCGTGAAGCGATGAAAGAGTTCTGGGCTGGGCGTCCAGATTACCTCGACGTGGTCAGCTTTGATGATGATTTCTGGAACAATTTGACTCCAGAGTCAGCTTTCATGGCTCGCACGTTCAATGATTACTGCCTGTCGGATCCAAAGTATCACGAAATGGTCGAAGAGAAAATGCCAGAGGTTACACGGCTGGGATTTCATCTCCAGAAACACATCAACGAGCTGGTCACGAGGGTCCAAAATGCCAGCGAGTCGGACTCGGATGAAAAGATTGCGCTGCAAGCGGAACAAGAGTTCATTGTGGAGCAGCTCTTATACATCGCTCAGTCTTTGGACTATACAGATGAGATCGGCAGGAGGAAAATGTTTTCGTTGCTCCGACACGCTTTGTCCATGGCTGAACTACCGGATGAATGCACTCGACTCGCCGTGGAAGCTCTACGACTCGTATGCAACTCGGATGCAGCTGGCGAGAGAGAATTTACTTCAATTGTTCTTGAAGCTATCGCTGAAGTCCACGACAACATAGCCTCCTCTGACCTCGAAAATGAGGCTGAAGCAGACGAGGAAGACAGCTTTGTCTCAGCCCGCAGTGAAGTCAGCGGCGACTCGACGCCTAGGAACGAACAAGCCAGGAGCAAGCGCAATAAGCAACTCACCGATGAAGAGCAAGAAGCTAAAGCGATCAAGGAAATTGTCATCAACATGAAATGTCTCCACATCGCTCAATGCATGCTGCAGAATGTAGCAGGGAATCTGCAATCCAACATCGACCTGCGCACCATGTTTGACAATCTGGTGATCCCGGCCGTGCGATCCCACGAGGCTCTGATTCGCGAGCGTGGGGTGCAATGTTTAGGATTGTGCTGCTTGCTTGAACCCAAGCTTGCCGACGAGAACATGCGGCTCTTCACTCTTTTGTTGAAGAGAGGGCATGAGTCCCTTCAAGTCATGGCTCTGCAGATTCTATGCGACATTCTTCTTGCACGAGGTCCACCTTCCCCGGCACATCCCACATCTAACGACCCTCCAGAAAGCCCTGTCGCTGCGACCGAAGGAGCGGAGGATATCCCTGCCCCGACTGCTACAACCGCCACCACCAGTAACCACAACAATTCACTCCCTGGCCTTCTCTCCCCCTTCATCAAGGCCCTTTCACAAACCTTCCACGACGAAGTCCGCGCGACATCCACGGCGAGCTTGTGCAAACTCATGCTGTGCGGGTTCTACGTGGGGAATGAGGAGCTATTTGATCAAATCGTTGAAAGGGCAATCCATGGGGTGGCCAAGGGGTGGGAACTGTTGGAGAAAGTGAGGAACGCGGTTCTCGTGGATAAGGATCAGAGTAAGGGGAAGAGCGGTGACAAGGTCAAGGAGAGGGAAAGGAGCAGTAACGGAGTAGCTAGTGCGAGAACGAGCAACGAGGGTGTCGGGGATGGAAGTGAGCGAGTCGCGGGTGAGGGCATGGAACTGTGAATGGTGGTGCCTTGAAGAGGTCGTCGATGCCTGAAGAATTAATGTTTGTTTACGACTAAATCGCCGGTGTATAGAATATCAGTAGGATGTGGTACTTTTGTCTTGTATTGGGTATTCAAGCTTCGCTTTAGCATTTCAAACCGTGTTTGGATGGCAGGCTTTTCATCTCAAAGTGCCACGGTTGGTTAAGCCTTGCCGAAAGAAACAGACAACCTCTGCCAGTAGAAGAGCCATCGTCAATTGATCACGAACACCGCTTCCCCATCCTGCGATGATACATATTCCCCAACAGGGAGAAGGGAGAAGGCCAGCCAGCCAGCCCGGATGATGTTCGCTTGAACAAGTGCCACCTGCGAAGAAAGGGGTGTCGTCGGCACTTTCCCCCTTGGCCTGCAGCGTTCGCCTGTGTTTTTTGTTTTTCCTGTTCGTACCCCATCCATACGCGTGCAAAGTAATGCCAAGCAGAAAGAAAGAATAGACGGAAGGACGGATGGATGATCCTTTCACAGGATCCCTTGCTTTTGCAAGTCCAGATAGATGCGCTCGGGCATGACGTTGCCCTCGCCGTCCTCCATCTGCACAACCTGGTCGTCCTTGACCTCCTTGTCCCGCTTCTCCTTCTTGATCTTGTCCCAGAGTTTGAGCGCGTCCTCAATCCCCGTGATCTCGCGGAACAGGCTGAGGCCACCACCGCCCGCGGCGGCGCCCGAGAGAGCCGAGCCCGTGATGCCCAGGCACTTGAGGCCGTAAATGTGCCGTGCCTCAGAGAAGTGTTTGTCAAACGCCCGCCGGCCCATGTAGACGAAGTTGCCGCAGATCTCGCAGTTGAACTCGACTCCCAGGCCATGTAGCTTGTAAAGCCAGTAGGGGATCGGCTTCCCGTCCCAGGCCAGTGGGAGTTTTAACGGATTGTAGATCTTCTCATCGCCCTCTGAATCGGAGCCTGAATCTTCTCCGCCTGTTCGCTTCTTCCCTGCTGCTCTTCGATCGGACGCCGCGACGGCGGCATCGTCCTCGGCAAAGAGAGCGTCTAATTCAGCCTGTCGCTCCCGCTCCGTCATTCCTTGTTTGCGCTCCACGTTTACGCGCGTGTTGCTTCTTTCGTTGGAAAGGAGGTCGGCGAGGGCGCGGACACGGTGTTCGTGCGAAGCGATGGCACGCTCTTTGAGCGCTGTGCCTGATAGAGAGGGAGCCATCGTAGGAGGTTTCGAGGTTACGCCATTGGTGGCGGCATCGCCATTAGCGACTTGCCGGGATTTCTTTGCCTCTGCGTTCTTGAGGTGCTTCTTGCCCGTCAAGTGCGACTTGTAGACGTTCTGGTTTGTAAACTCCTTCTCGCAGTCGGGACACCATACTCCTGCGCCGGTGCCTTCAGTTTGGGGTCCTGAAGATGCTGAGGCACTTGTAGAGTCCTGCTCTTTCTGCTCTTTTGTCCAGCCCGGCACTGTCCCCGCTTCCCACGCCGTGTCAAAGTCTCGTTGATATCTCAAAAATAGTTTGGGCAGGTCTTCGAGTGGTCTTGTTCTCTGGACAAAGCTTTCCAGGTAGCTGTCGAGGTTTGCGACATACTGGAAATATTGGTCTGTGATTTTATGCTGGCGTTTGATGGGTAACCGAGGAGGTTCGAATGCGTCAAAGTTGTCCAGATACTGGAGATACGTCAGGCGCTTGACACCGGGAAGGTTGAGGTAGTCTTCGTGTAGTTGCGTCAAGTCCAAGAATCGACCATTTGACTCTTCCCCACTGAACATGTTATCCACCTCTGAGGGAATGTATTCTCCTTCCTCGGGCCGCCGGCGCTTGTAGGCGCGCTCGAGATTCTCGACAGGCTCATTGGGGTACCGACGATGGAAGTCTTTGACTTCTTCGAGTTGCTTGTAGAATTCTTCGAACGGTTCGCCGGTCGAGAGGGACTGGACTTCCTTCAGGCGGGACCCATCAGCGTCCTTGTATATGTCAAGTAATCGTTTGGATTGCTCTTGAATGCGACTGAGGAAGCCGTCTATTTGGTGGTCACGCGTTAACCGGTCTTTGATCTGGTAGATGTGTAAGTAGTTGCGCTCGGTTCGCGAATCAGTGAGTGACACAACTTACATTTTTTGGATCCTCTGCAACGCGGTCGGTGATTGCTTGCTCCAGCCGCTCCAGATCCTCATGGAGGAATCTCTGGTCTTCAAGAATCATCTTATGCGGACAATGAAGGTGTTGTAAAGGCGCTATGGTGTATAAGGAGCCTGCACGGTGGAAAAGCGCAAGAATTTGGGGTCGGCTGTCCACACATGCGCACTGTGGAGTCCTTCGCCGGACAGTGGCAAACGAGTTTCTCAGCCTCGCCCTTCAGCCTCGCCCCTCAGCCTCGTCACTTTCTGAGTGGGAAGCGGCTTGCCTCGACGAGGCTGGCAAATATGTTTTGTTTCCGCCAATGGCGTTCATTAATACCTGCTGGCATAACCTGCTAGTACTCGACAACTCCATACTGGGTACCTACCTAGGTAGGTAATCACACACCATGTAAACTACATGCTTCCCAACACCAAAACGGGTGTCCTTCTGTTACGCCTTCTTCATCTCCTTCCGATTACCTGTAAAGACCTAGGTATGTCCTACCAATGCCGTTCGTGATGTCCTTTCCAGATATTACATTTTCGGGGAATTAGGTCGACTCTGTTCTCGCCTAAGACAAAGTGCAGGTAATTTTCCCGAGACGCAGAGTGCGCAGCTGAAAATGTCCGAACACCGTAGCATCTGACTCTGCGCAGGGTGGACATAGGATTTGCCAGACCATATTCGATGTGAATTGTCTAGAATGGCTGAACGCCCAACGCCTTAGAATGGATGCAAAGCTCCAACATAGGCCGTTGATGACTTTCCAACGCCGTTCTGTCCATGACAGGCACATTTTCCTGCAATGTCCTAGACGTCAACAGCCCAAGAACAAGGTGATAATCAGAAACGTCGCTGGCGTGCAACGCAGCAGAGGAAACTCGGTACGCATGTGTACCAAACGCAACGAGGAGCAGGAGGGTTAAGGATGCAGACGTGGAATAAGAATTTGTGCTGCACAGGTGACCACTTGAGCAAGACGGCGCGCCCTCATGGGACATATCTTGGGAGCTCTTGATCTGCATCTGTGTCTGTTACCGTGATGGTTGCTGTTGTGGGTCTGGTGATTACTGGCGGAGTCGCGTTGGTCGTCGACAAGTAGTCATCGTTGTCGCCTCCTCCAGCGGCTGAATTTTGTTGCCTTGCTTGATATGTAGCCTGTATTGCCTCAAGACGTGCCCGTGCTCGATCCTCAGCTGCCTCTTCGGCCTTGGACTTATTCGCCTTCCTGTCGTCGCCAATGCCTAAGGCGCTGATCCCGGCCCCAATTCTTGAGGGACTCGGCGGTCCAAATCTTGCTTTCTCCTTCTCCCCTCCACCCCGGCTTTCATGGCTTCGGCGAGACCAAAACCCAGAACTTGATGCAGATCCTGTGCTTTCTGTTGATAGGGCCTGTTGAAGATCTCCTCCCAGGAGCAAATTGCTGTCGAAATCACTCTCGACACGTACCGTTGCTGGGGGCAGAATGATTGCGATTTCAGGACCGTTCTTTACAGAGGAGAACTTTTCAGTCTTCTCGGCACACTCGATCTCCAGCTCCCACAAGAGGTGATAAGACCTTGAAACATTGTAGGTCGTGAAACTTGGGCACATAGGGGTCTCGAGACGAGAACCCAGTTTTGCGTTACCCAGATGAAGATCGCACAATTTCCCAAGGTCAAGTGTCGCTTCCGATGCCGTTGTCATGCCATATGACATGGTCAGTGGATGGTTTAGAGCCTTGGACGGTAGCACAGGGATTTCATAGGTTTTGCTGTCAGCAAATGTGCCTGCGGCGCGGCACCGAACGTGTGTCTTCAACTCGATTTTGGCGGAACGAAGAATCACAGTGGGGAAAGATGTCGAGGTATCAATGGTAGTGTTCATGGGAGACAGGTCTGGTGTCGCAGTGATAAGGAATGGAATGGGATTCGGATGAAAGAGTTGAATGATGCTGGGTGCTTGGACGGCCAAGTTGAATGAGAATCGGGGGATGGAGTCGCGCTGAAAGATGGAGCGGGCGCGATCCCTGAATCCGAGACTGGTGCCTGCATGTTCCGGCAAAAGCTTCAACGTCGAGAAGGTGAAGAGGCGTTGATCGGTGGTAAGGCTGTAGTTTTCAATGGGTTCGGGGGTGGACAAGGGGTGGAAAACAATTGGATAGCTGGAGACCTTGCTCTGAGGTCCGCGGATATGGTGTAGGCCTTCTGGCTCGGTCAGATTCGCCTCGAGGACGTACTCAATGAAACATTCTGCCTGACGACCGAACATGTGTCTTCTGTGGTAGCACGAGGGTGGAAGAGTGAGGTCGAGATTGTTCCCATCTGTGGTGGCGCTATAATGCTCCTTGGGCTTCCACTTCTCACCGCTCAGAATGCTCGTTGCTTCCGCCTGCTCGGGCACTGCGAATTCAAACGGCCAGCTGAACGATCCGGGCTTGTGGGTGTATTGGCCATCGTACAGAACCAACTCCTTTTTGAACAACTGAGTCCGACCCCGGTGGTATGTGACAGTCTGGCCATGCTGCTGGATGATGCGTGACTTTGCCCGGCCCCAGAATGAAACTACCAGCTTGCCAATAGCGCTGTCGGCGGCAGTATTGAGGATCACTCGGCCGCTGATCACGTCGCCGGGTGAATAGTGTTGACGCGGGTTGTTGAATTCGAACGAGAGGCCAGGCGAGTTCTCGGCCTTGGTGAGGCCCATCTTGGAGCCAAGTTCCACTCCAGTTGGCGACTGTCTAAGTGGTGATGTTGGCGACGCCTTGTCGATGTCTGTTTTGATTGCGATATAGCCCCAGCAAGCTGGTCACTTTCCATCCCTTCGTCCATCGAGAAATCCATGACAATTGGATATATATATGAACCATTCATGTGGCTATCCCACCCTGCTCAGGCCCCCCTAACGCGAATACGTTACACTGCCCCCGAGCCAAAGCTTAAGACTTGGCTCGATTGGGGATTTGCCACTTGGTGGTTCGTGGTAAGGCGCATTTTCTTGATCGACGGGGTTTTGGGGCTGGCGATGGGCCCAGTCAACCCCAGTCACCCCCAGTGAGGCTGAATAACGAGTACATAATGGCGCGCCTATTATTCGTCGACGCAGGCACAGGGCCAGGCACAGCAATTTTTTAAACTCTTCGTTGGTAGCATGATGCTGTGAGCTGGAGCGCTGAGGCGATGGAGTCTTGCGAGGCTTGGGATCAAATGCTGTCTCTCGTCTTCCTTCGCTCCCAGCCAGTCGAATAACGGCAGCCTGTGGTTGTGCGTTTTGTTTGCCAGATACTCGTCTAGAAGTATACTACGGCAACATCAGAAGGTCAAGAGAACGAATACATTAACACTCATCATGACTACACCGTCGCCAATATCGATGCTGGTAATGCTTTTGTATTTACTACATTCCCCTAGTATCTGCCAACCTAGGTAGGTAGTGTACTCTCGTTGGGCAAACCGCTTCTCCTTCGTCCGGGACTCGAAGTATGAACAATGTCAGCCCCTAATGTACAGCAATGTAGTCCTTGATATTCACTTGTCTTTCATACCAGAGAACGGCCACCGGATTGATTGCCTGGTAGACGGACATTCGGGGAGATCAATCGACGTGGACCTCACGCTCTCCCTTTACCTTTCCTCCCACCTCGTGCTCCGCCACCAGGACCTCGCTTCTTCTTGGGTTCGTCGTCGCTCTCAGCATCGATATCATCAGCCTCACCAGCCTTCTTTCTCTTCCCTTTGCTCTTCGAATTGGGGCCGCCAGCGGCAGATGCACCTGCAGACTTCTTCTTTGGAGCTTTGATGTACTTGTCTTTCTTTAGGTCCGAGTCATCGTCTTCCTCGTCGCCCGCCTCAGTTTCCGCCAGGGCTTCTTCCGCCTCTGACTCCTCCACCGCCTCTTCCAAGTCCGGTTTTTCTCTCTTCGCTCCTGCCTTCGCGATACCCAAGACATGGCTCGCCTTGACGAATGGCATAGGGTGGCTTTGAGCGTTGTATAACCTGGTAAATGATGCCTTGGTAGCGGTGTCGATCTTGATGCTCTCCATATCGTACTCTCCAACGCCCAATTCCAGCACGGAATCAAAATCTTCTTTGGTCAGGTAGTAGGAATCCATGAAGTCAATGACACCTTGCACAGCATCCTTGCCATCATCCTTGAGCGTGCCGACTGTCTTGCTCCACAGCGCCGGAAGATACTGCTGACGAATCTCATGACGGTCGGCAGCGGTACGAAGCCGCATATGTCCCTGAATCTCCTTGACGAAGCGAGATAGTTTCACTGAGCAGAGCGTTAGTACACGGATCCACAAGATGTCGAATTGCAACTTACTCTGCTTGCTATTCTGCCCAAACCAAGTAGGGAATGCAGCTTGTCCCCCTAGCATCCCGTACATATAGCTCGCAGGCCGAACAAAGCTGAAAATGGCGTGGAGTGGCATCAAACTCCATTGCTGTTGGGAGCCGTGGATCATTCGATCAACGAGATCGCCGTCGGAAATGCTGGCAGCTGCGTTGTCTGCGAGCTCCAATAATTTCATTTCTCGCTCTTTGTGGCTATAAGAAGCCGCAAGAGCGGGATTCGTCTTAAGATAGTTCTCCTGGAGCATCAAATAGCTCATCTCGTGATCATTGAAGTACAATTCCGTTTTATCGTTCAATGTCGCTGTTGAACTGGCAGCAAACATTTGTGGTCGGAGGATCTTGTTCACAATGTCCCACGGCTTCAAAATGACATGCTTTTCCCATGCCCTGGACATGGCCTTGGTATCACTGAAATCAAGACCCTTGTTGTCGAGTTTGACGGTTGAGATCATGTTAATGATCTGGCGAATATCGCCATTGCACCCCTCGATCAAGGCATTGATGATGGGTGGCGGTAATCTCATGCCTTCGCGGAATAGAATCGTGGCGATCCGACCTCGAATCATATCCGTGGTTGGTCTTCGGAACTGAAACTCTGCCGTCACGTTCGTGAGAGGCCTCATCTTTGGCTGATTCCGCTCATTGCAAATCAAGATCATGGGGACGTTGGTCTTTTTGACAATAGAAGCCAAAGCACCCACCCCACCACGATCTCCCGCTGACATGCCATCCACTTCATCCATGATCAAGAGCAGCTTTCGTTTCGACTGTTCGACTTTCTTGCCATCGCCGGCGAAATACCCGAGGAGAGACGTAGTATCCAGAACGCCAGTCAAGCCGGTTTCAAGCAGTTTCTTGTTTCGGGTTTCGCTTGCATTGCTCTCGACAACATCGTAACCTTCAAGCTTCGCAACAAGGTGCGCAGCTGTGGTTTTACCAACGCCTGGGGGACCATGGAGCAAGGCTGCGCGAAAGATGCCCTTTCCATCCGCACCCGCCTTCTTGAAGTCTGATTTTGCGGCTTTCGGCCAATTACGAAGCCATCTCTGCAAGCCCTCGACTTGACCCTTGTTTCCGCAGACAGCACCCATTGTGTCTGGAGCATATTTGTCTACCCACAGTCTGTCCTCCACTCTGGGGCCCTTTGGCTTGGTGGAGGGAGTTGGAGCACCAGTTCGGGCCGCGGCAGCTTTTGCAACTTTCGCAGCCTCTTTTTGTCTCTCACGCTCGCGCTGTTCCTCAGCTTCCGCCTGTTGGCGGATTTTCTCCTCTTCCTGGGCCTGTTTCTCAGCATAGGCTTCGGCAGCCTTCCCATCGCCTCCATTCGCAGGAAGTTGTCGAATGAGTGCGAAAAGACCCTCTTCGTTGATGGTCTTGATGCCCAGCTGTCGGATCGTTTCGAGCTTTTTCGGGCCCGCATCAGAACCAATGACGACGTAGCTAGTCCGCTTCGATGGGGCGCCCGTCACCTTACCGCCGTACTGTTTCACGAGGTTTTGTCCCTCTGAGCGCTCAAGCGAATTCAACACCCCAGTGAAGACGAAAGTCAGCCCGGCAAGACAATTTTCTGCGCCTACTGGGATGTCAGCAGAACCAGCTGCGGGTGGAGCCACATTGGCATTGCCTCCGCCGTATGTAAACTTCTTCTTTTCATCTCTTGGTGGTGGAGTCGGTGCTCTCACAGTAGGAATACTGTCGAGAATGTTTTGTATCTCCTTGCTTTCCTCCTTCTCCTCCTTTTTGGTTGTCGTGCGGGGCTTCCTGGCGGCTGCCGACGTTGCATTCCTCGGTTTCTTTTTTGGAGTGTCATTATCATCGTCCAAATCGTCCTCATCCTCGTCTTCAAGATCTTTCGACTTCCGTTTGCGACTAGAAGCGGGTTTGGCTGGTGTTTTCTTGCCTCTCGCATCACCAGCTCCATCGTATCCGGGAATCTGTACCATTTCAATATCCTCATCGTCATCATCATCATGATCAGCACTTTGAGGCTTTTTGAAGTGGCCATTGACAGCCTTGTCGACCTTCTTTTGTGTTTTCAGATCGTCATCATCTGTGCCTTCCTCGTAATCGTCGTCAACTTTCCTGCTCTTCAAATCACTGAAAATGTCATCGTTGCCGTCACGGTCATCCTTCACCACCGTGCTGGAGTCCTCATCCTCGTCCTGTTCGGCATAATTCTTTCTGCTGGTCTTTCTAGAGGACCTCCTGCCGGTTGAGGGAGTGTCGCCATTGCTTCCTTTCGTGGGAGTCTTTCCTGCACCGTTTGTAGCGGCAGTCTTGGTTCGCACTGGAGTAGACTTCATAGGCTTTGTTTTTGTGGCAGCAAAATAGGCTGAGCTGGTTGTCTCCTCTTCCACCGGTTCTCTGGCCGATTTCTTTGGCTTGGGAGTGGTAGGTTTCTTGGAGATGGTTCCAACTTCTTCGTCGCCATCATCGTCGTCATCATCAGAAACGACTTTGCGTCGGCCTCGCTGTTTGGCGGTCACTTTGGCACCGTCCTGTTGCATGATCAGCCACCCATACTTGATGCTCACTTGAACGGAACTGAGTGTACGACACCCTTGCCAACCTTGGGGACAGCAGTCTTGGTCGAGGGTTTTGGCCCTCCACCTCCGAAGAAACTCCTGATATCTGATGGCATCTTGTCTCCAGTTCAGAAGGGGGAAAGCAGGATGCTTAAGATGATCAGGGCGACCATAGACGAGATAGAGAGCCAAAGAAACGGAACTCGTGGCGCTTGAACGCAGCTCGGGAAGGAGCAAGTGAAATGCCGTAATTAAAGATCCCGCCTTTCAATTCGAGATGGACGCGACGCGTAAAACCACTATACGCGCTACGGTGGAGCAAATGGCGCAATCGCGCACTACGCTTTACGCTCGTCTGTAAGCCCGAATATTATATGTAATGATCGTGGAAGCGATTAAACGAGGGTGGAAGAGCAAGTCATCAAGAGGAGTTCAATATGTCTACCTAGTAAATACAGAGCAGCCGCCATCAGCTTCACTTCTCGTGTAGAAATAACCCATCTATATTAGCAGTACTTTTGTCCCGGTATGTGCAGTAACGTTCGTTCTGTTCTCCCCCATACGCCCATAAGTATCTTTCATCGCGCCGTTCCTTTCATGCTTATCACACTTTCTCCGTGTCTTGCGACGAAGCATACCACATGCCGTGCTCTGTCTTCTGCTCGCCTTCATCTGAGAGTCGACTGTAGTCTCCGGCCTTTGTTGATCCATCTGGAATAAAGAACCGCTTGTCGATTCGAGTAAACGTCAAGATACAAAGCAGGATGATTTCCAGTGCAAAGTTGAAGACGTAGAAGCAGGCTTTGGAGTCATACCAGGGCGGATTGGTGACTGGTCGCGGAGGCTCCCAGGTTATGCCGGCCTTGAAACCTGCTATCAACATGCATAGACACGCCGAAGAGGTAACAATGACCAACTTGCTCTTCATGCCACCCTTGCCGAAATTCTCTGCATCTGGAGACCTCGGCAAGAAGACTGCTAGCGCAGTATGGACGACAGGAAGGCAGGTGAAGACAAGAAGATATGTGATAGCAGCCAGCTGGATATCTCGACAAACAGATTTGGTATGCGGACTGAGCGTATAGGCCGAGAGGACAACAGACGTAATGACCATGATGAGTGCAATACCAATGTCGACGTACAGGAACTTGTAGGCGGCTCGCAAGATTGGGTTCCATCCAATCCGAGGCTGGCTGGCTCGCAGTATGCGTTGTGCAAGGATCAAGTTGATGATATAGATTATCAGGATGCCTGCGTTCACAAAGATTTGTGCAGCAATTGCCAATCGAACATTATGGGGTGACGTTGCCCACGCGATTCGCAGACAATTGGTGGCTATTCTGGCCATACAGAAGCCAAACAGGAGCGCTGATGGGATGAACTTGTGGTGTTTCCGGCGATTGAGTTGAAATATGGTCATGTTTGTCGCTGCGAAGCAGACGTATAGAAAGATGAAGACGGCGTCCGTTGGGATGTCTGTAGTGACTGACGGTAGGCCACCGATCGCGGCAGTCTTTGGGGGATATGGGCCTCCCATTGCGCTGGCGAGTTGCGACAATAGCAATCGGGTGATGTTGAAGTTGTAGTAGGTAGAGCCAGATATTGACGCAGACTTGCTGTTGTATGTTGACGATGGTCATCACTTTCCAATGGGCGTTCCATTTTATATATCTCCAACCTTCCTGCCATGACGCAGGCGGATCTCAAAGGCGCGAGACCGAACAAAAGAATGGAGGGGTATCGATGCTTGCTGAGAAGCTAAGCTCAGAGGCGGCAAGGGCAAGATCTGCTCGTCGCTCTTTGTTAAAGGTTGAACCGTGGATTATTGCAAAGCAGCATCACCAGAGGCCAATCGAACTCATTGTCTTGAGGCGCAAGACGGAGTCTCGCAGCGTAAACGGAGCCGCGGACAAGAAGCACAGCCGCGACTTTACCCAAAGCGGTATTATCAAGGGAAGTCTCGGGGATACAGCAAGTTTTCATTCCGTTTCCGATGCGGGCTGCGAACATTGCAGTCTGACGCAGACCGAAACCCACTCGCCTGCCACCATATGTCATGCTAAAGGCACTTTTGCGCTAAAAGCCGAGGTACGATCCCTTGTCAGACACCGCGCCCCCTCGTCCGAGCCGGATCTCTCTTTTCTCCGTGACAATCGTGCGAAGGATCGCTGCTAATTAACAATGCGCCATGTCACAAATTGAGATGCCAAAACAAACCCGGAAGGGTACGAAGAGCTGTAGCGAGTGTATGTGTCGCCGTGGCGCTTATCCCCGAGGCATGTTGTTCTGATGATATGCAGGTAGGCGTCGCAAAATTCGCTGTATTCGACGCTCCGAAGACGCAGAATCATGTCGAAGTTGTGAAGACCGTGGCTTGAGATGTGTTGCCCAGGTATACACTTCTCGGCCAGTCCACGAGCAAAGAATACCGTCGCGCCATCGGATTGCCCTGTTGGAGTCCGAAGTCGCTGGTCTGCGCAAGGCTGTGCGCGAGATCCAATCGAAGCTGGGTTACCAAATAACAGACCTCACCATACCAGCTTCCATTCAACCTACCAGCAGTCAGGGTGATGATGGCTCCGATGATGAGACTAATGGGTCAGATGTCTTAGCGACAGAACAGCCGTTGCATCTCCGTTCGCTTTTCCAAAATGACTGGCTGAGCGGCGACTTTGGCCGACAAGACCAGCAACTAGAGGAACGCAAAACCAAGGCGTCAGCCAATCTTCTGGATCGGGCTAGGCAGGCACTGCAACAGTTAATCCCTCGAAGAGAGGACGTTCTGGATATGGCTCGTACAGCCTCAAAATGGATCGATCTGGTTCATTCCATACTCCCCCAACCATTTGCGGTGAAATCTCAGGGGGAACTACTGGACAGTTATGACAGCATGTGCGCTGAGAATGCTGATGCCATGAACTTGGCATCGTGGCTGCTTGATCTTGCTGTCACGGCGCAGCAAGAGCCACAAGACCAAGGAAGTCCCGCAACGGCGCTCAAAAGATTTCACAGAATCTCGGACTTCTCCCGTGCAATTTCGGACGCTGTGGAGAGTATGCTGATATCCCACGACCGGCTGATGGGAACAACACAAGGATTAGGGATGGCCATGCACGTGAGTTTGTCTTTTCTATGAAATGACTCTCGAATTCCCCCAATTAGCGCAGGCTAACAAACCGGCACAGTTTCTGAGGCTGTAAGATCTTTCAGCCAACTTTTCAGTTCCGGGGATTAGCTGACATGCGAGGCAGTCAAATAAGCCAAGGGAATTTCCAGAAGGCATGGATCCGCATGCGACACTTTGTGGCAATGGCAGAGCTGCTTGGACTGCCAAAGGCCTCTCAAGGCTTTCAGCCTGATGGCGCCGCTGCTCCACCAGACCAACACCAGCTCCAGAAAGTCCAGCTCTGGGAGTTCATGTGCTCTGCTGAAAGATTACTCTGCATGATCATCAATCGTCCGCCTACTACTCGGCGCTTCGAACACACAAATGCCCAGCCGCTTTTGATCAATGGCAATATCCAGGTCCACGTTTACCTTAACAAATTGACCGACATCACAGCCAAGTTTGATACCCTGGACGAACTCAACGCCACCCGTGAATCTAGCGCACAAGCATACGCGTACGCTCTGGAGCTCGATCGAGAGCTGCGAATCCTCGCCTCTCAGACACCAAAGTCCTGGTGGGATCAGGACTCTGTGCATATCAAACCGCAAAATCTTTGCCAACTTTTACATTATTATTTCCTAATGAGGATCCATTTGCCGTTTACAATGCGCCAGGACCCGGCCGAGGGAACCATGTACAGCCGCTTGACTTGCATGGAAGCTTGTGAAGCGGTTGCGCAGCGCTATCAACCCCTGCGCCGGCTTCTTCCATCTGGCATTTTTCTTTCTCCGATCATGGATCTACAAGCATTCACCGCAACAATCGTTCTCCTCCTTACCTCCCACAGCGGACCCTCCAGCAATCATCCTGACTCAGAGGCGAGTAAAGCCAGAGTGCAGGGCATTGCAGCACAGGTGCTTCAAGTCATGGACGAAAAATCTCGTGATGTAACCAATGCCAACTTTGCGCGGCTCGGCGCTTTGACCATTCGTTCCCTCAATGCTCTGCTTCAGCAAAAAGGCGACACTACCAATTCTCGCCAGTTGAATTTGAAGGTTCCACTGCTCGGAAATGTCAACGTGCGCCTCAACATCAGCCCTTCACAGGCGCCACCAACCACGGCAACCCAGCAGCCCTTCCAGGTTCAACCAGATACCGGCCTATGGAGAGCTCCCGACCAGATCCTCCCCCAGCAGCCAGGTATCATGCCTGTGAACACCGGCCATCACCTAGTATTGCCACAGACCACGGCGGAGTGGGGATTGAATCCTCTCTCATGGTCTTTCGACACCCATGACAACTTCTTTCAAGATGCTTTCATGGCCGATGTGTTTGACCAGACTGGGATGTGGCAAACCGACTACAATGGCTTTCAGTAGAATGTCTAGCGGCTCAGAATCATGCATACAAGACGCAGCCATATCCATCGCTACGAATTCTTAACATGTACCTTGAGTAGTAATACTGAATATGAACAAACATTCAGCTTGCTTGGGAGCAGGACCTGAACGTGATTAGAGCAGCGGACGAACTACCACGAGCTCGGGCTGAAGCTAACGGATACTAGCGGGGAATACCGAGTACGGAGTGTGGTACTTACCGGTATGGTAATCTATTCCAATCTTCCTTCCTAATCTGTACATCACTTGATAGGTATGTATTACTTGCCCACTGTGTATACCTATATGCGTTCTGCAGGGGAGGAACAAGGAGCTCCGTACAAGAAGAAAATCGGTCTTCTTCTATAATTCTCAAGTTGCCTTTCTTGCTCCTAGATAGACGAGGTAGTTCGAACCGCCTCTATTTAAATAGTCTCAATGTATAGGCATTGTTGTCTACGTCCGGCTGCCTATGCCAGAGCTCTCTAGATAGCTTGAATCACAGTTAGGATACACAAAATCCACCCACCAGATTTGGAAAAGTGTCTATATGTACATACAACCCCTCGTGAGTCGTCATGGCCACATGCTACAGCCTCATGCCAGCATTCGAAGTGCTGACGGCTAAAAGTCGCAGGCGGCCCGCAGGCGGCCAATGACCATCCAATATATCTTAGGCGCAGCTGAAAGCCCCTCCCACGGTGCCATCGTTGTAGGCGTCGACAATGCTTTTGATGGTGGTATACGTTCCAGCCACGGCGAGAAAGGAGCCGAGGGCAATCACCGCAAGGTGCAGCCCGCACACGGCCCTTTTCTTCCAGTTGGCTCCGTGGTTGCCTCGGTCCATGTAAAGCCCCATGAAGGCTGGAATGATGAGCTGTTTTTGTATGAAATATGTCAGCGTAACCGGAATTTGCCTGTTTTGGACAGAGTGGTAGTGGAAATGAAGGGGAACTTACGCAAGTCGGAGCACAGCAGAGGGATCCAATTAGGCCGAGGAGAAAGCTGAAGAAGGGGATGGCTTCGGCCACAATGAAGGATAACAATGTGAGCCCAAGGGTTGAGCATCTGAGAGAGTTCCTGGTCAGTAGGCTTGTTCAAGCCAGTTGAAAGAGAATCAACCTACAGCCAGGTGCTCCAGTGAATGACGCTGTTGCTCTGTAAGTGAGGCGAGTTCCGCAGTATTTTGACGAAAAGCTATCAGACGTTTGTCAAAAACCATTGCGACCTGCTTTTGGAGTAGAATATACTGACAAACTTGGCAGCGAGGTGGACCCATAAGGTAGAGGTCATGATAAATCCAGGAATGGAGATACCAAAGGAAATCTTCTCGATCGTACCGCCGGCACTTGCTAGGGACGGACTGGCCACATATTGACCGCAGTAGCTGATCAAAAGGTTGGTCAGTTGAGATGTATCGTGAATACAAAGGTAATGGTCGACTTACACATAAACAACAGTGCCGAAGATGATGTAGCAGATTGACAAGAAAGCTTGCGAGCTGAATAGAGCCTTCGGAAAAGATTTAGGTCTTCTCATTTCCGCAATGACAGGCATGAACGTTGGGGTGGCGCCGTAACCAGCTACATGGTGAGTTCAAGTCAGCTACAAACCTCTCTCTTCTTGGGTTTTGGCTCGTAATCTTACAGAAGAGGTTGAGTGTTGCAGTAAGCCCAGCGACAAAACCTGGCGACCCAACGGCGATCACACCCAGATCGAATGGACCGGTCTTTGGTGCTGCACCTGGCCTGGAGACTTGTGTAACGCCGACACTATATGATCCATCATCTGGTCGTCAGTGTCGTCTTCCCTCAGTCAGCGTCGAACTTAGAGAAGACTCACACAACAATGAACACCGCCGTAAAGATGGACGCAAACCCAATCCAGGTCAAGACGGTCAGTTTGTTCAGTGTTCGGATGCTGGAGACCAGTCCGGTACTTATGGCAGCAACCACTGTCCAGACGACCGTACATGCTTTGCCATTCGCGAGAACCTTCAGTCCTTGCGCCAACCCAATAAATCCTGAGCCGGCGGCCAAGCTGTGTAATGTCTGTCAGAACGTTTGTCTTCTGTTGTAGAGGGTCCCTCAAAAGACTCACATCCAAGTCAACAGGAACAAGCCGCCCGCGACCTCGCGAGCAACAGGACCACCCATGATGGCGGCGGCATCGGCGATGTTGTGCACTCCGCGATATTTCATGCGGAAGAGAAACATGACATAGGCGTAATCTTGGTCCAAGTTGTGAGCAGAGTGCAACACAAACCCACCCAAAAATACGACAGGAATCTTGACTTACAGGTCGTCAGGGAGCCAAAACCGAAAAGGATGCAAATGCCGGGTCCATAGCCGGTCACGTTGAGGGCATAGGGGATTGACAATACACCCGTTGCGAAGCAGAGCTTGATGAGGATAATACCCGTGCGAATCCTGGTTTTCCGCGATCTGTGTCAGTGAGGCGTGTCCATGTCGCTAACCATGCAGGAAGTATTCGTACCATCCCAAAGCACGAAACTCAGCCACGCCAGTGTGACTCTTGAAGACCTCGCCATCATCTTCGCTCAAGTCTGCCTTTAAAATGCTGTCTTGAACAGGTTCCTGGACGACTCCCACTTCGATCTTCTCCCCAACCTCTTCGGTAGTGCCTGTCTTGGGGTCCTGCATGTTAAATGGGTCTGTGATTTGTTCTCGACGTTGCAGGATTGATTGAAAGAGTGCAGCAGGAGTCAGGATACGTCGTTGGGCGGTCTGAGGCAGTATATCAAGTTAGGGGCGAAACTCTTTATCTCTCTCCGCGCATACTCCGTCCGCGAGCAATATGGAGAATCCAGATACCCGGTCCTGATATCCAACAGATTCCATCACCAGCTTGCCGAAAGCCAGAGTCTGGGCCCTGACTTGAATACCCGGTGCAATGGGCCCACGCTTCGTAGATAGCGGATGGATAACAACAGTGAGAGCATGCTCTGGGCCGTGTCATAGGTCTTCGGACAAGCCTTTTTCACTTCATGAGACGGTAGACAGAGCACAATATTATCACATCCAATCATGGGAATGGAAGTCCCTTTCCGAATTGGGACTCAACTCAAGTCGCCAATTGGAGGAGTATAGGCAAGTGCGTACCCCTAGAGGCCGTCCTTATCATTGAACCGAACGCGAAACTCCGACTCCGCAGATTTCCGAGTTCTCGGCATCTGGCAGCATAGTAGCGGCATGGTTGACAGTGACAAGCGCCGCTCATTTTCCGGAGCAACAAAGTATATCAGGTACCATGACCCTTGGGGCTAGATCAGCTGTTGGAAATGCAAGGCACCGAACAATGGAGCCTCGACCACTTCTCCCCGCATCGTGGAATTTCGCTTGCGACTTGCCTACATTCCTGCCTCGAGCTTTTGCTTTCAGGTTTCCAATGGCGAGTCCAGCCTCACGGTTGGGATACGCTGAAGATGGTGATCAAAACCACACCGCAGATTCTGAAGCGGATCAGTATTCGCTGGCCACCAGATCCGGCCTCTGAAGAAACGGAGACCATCGCACTGAATGTTGAAGGATATTTTATGGACTTGCGCGTGACACTGGCAGACAGCGCTCTCCAGTGGAGTCGAGCAGGAGAGCGCAAAACCGTTGGGGAAAACCCGCGTAAGTCGCCTCTCTCGAGTTCAATAAACCTGAAGCCTTGAAGAGGTGACCCACTGAGATTGCCAGAACCATGAGAAAATTCGGGGAGGACAGCTGACAACTCTCGCAGTGGCTTTTCAGTGGACACGTATCATCGATTCACTGGGGAGTCCTCGTTCTGACGAGGCTTCGTTTGAGCAGATGGAAAACGGTGATGATCTGGAAACAGGAAGATTTGACCGGGAAGGAAACGGGAATCTTGCAAATTACGAGGAGGTATGGCGAGACGTCACTGCGAAAGCCGAGTCTGATGACTCTGCATGGATACTACAAAGCATCGACGGTTCTATGTTTCTGGGCAAAGTGGGCGACGTCTTCTTGGGAATGCAACAGAGCGGGCAAGGGCATTTCGCCGTAAGGAAAGAGATCTACACCTCGGAGGCTGGTAAATGGGAGGATGTATTTGAAGCTGGTCCTGTAAGTTGCATCCCTCGAGCTATGGATGTGCTGCGCGATCTTGGCCAGGGGAAAGGAAAGATCGCAGAGAAAGGACAAACAGTCCGCGTCTGTCACAGTGAATATGTCGTTCGAGGTACTGCGCGATAGAGCGAGGTATGACGATCAATGCTTGTGCTACAGGCAAGCTGTTCTATCAGAAATGACAGCCCTGCAATTGGACTGATCTAGCACTAAAGGCATGTCTACAGCTTTACGTGAACTTTCAAGGCACTGTCTAGCCCATGTATTGCTTGAACCTTTTACACCTATAGCCTAAATGCTTATCTTGCTGCTCTCTCAACTCCAGTTACAATATTGGAACTCCCCAGGATGTGCATCCCTAATGTTAGATCGACAGAACCCGCACAGGGCAGCCCTGTGGTTTTGATCATACGTTTACCGCTGCGACCAATATCTTATTTGGACCCCGAAAGCCATGTCATGGGTCTATTTGAATCCCTAGTGGAATGTCCCAATTAGGGTTGTCTGGAACTCGGCTGATAACCTCGTGGCGTCCTGATGGCACCGGATATTGCACCGACTGGGCCGTGGCAATCCGACCCGAGAATCATTTCTCTGTGTAATGTCCCATGGATCCGAGCCGAACCAATGGGAATATCGGCTGTTCGCAGAAACTACTGGTATTCCCAGCCATTGCCTAGGCATGCTCCAACGTACCACGGAAATCTGCTCCGAAGGCCTGGAACATGTGATAATTGATAGCCTCGAAGATAGGGTCAGCAGTGTTACGGACCAGAGCGTAAGAAGCCATGTAGGTAGGAGTTCCCGTGGTTGTCAGAAGTTTAGAACAGCTTCTCAAGTCGGGACGACAAATTTGCCTATGCTCCGTACTCGATTGTCCCTAACCGCTAGGAAAGTGCTTTTCGTTGAAGGCATCAACCACCCTTCTAGTCTCCTTCACGATGTCGATGCAGCCAGGACTGTCGGAATGGCAACATATCGAAATACGGTGGTCGTTTATTTGGAGTGTACAAGATGAACCATCGATGGCAGTCACGGTACACGTCTCCAGCTGCTGTGTAACTCGTCGGTTGATGTCTCCAACGTCCCAAGGCCTATGGTGAGTAAGCCAAGTTCAATTGGAATGAAGGTCTCATTGGAAGACGGCTGCACGACTGTGCGAGATTTGGAAAAAGGGGACCACAACGTACTGTTTCCTTCGATCAATGAGCAATGTGCCATCAGGAGAGTACTTGACATCTGCGAAGAACTCGGCAATGAATTCGATACCCATATCGTGCGCGACTTGCTCCATACATGTTCCTGCGAGTCCAAAGACTGGAACGCCCTTGGGAACGCCCTGGAATACAGCCCTTGCTGCTTCGTAATCTCTACAGCAGACACTGTAGAGCATCCCGTGAGGCTTGACGTGGTGGAGCGGCACGCCTTCGTGGTCAAGGAATCCCTTCAGCGCTCCTACTTGATAGATCGTGATCGCTGTAAGTTCTTCAAGGGACAAGTTCATTTCCCGCCGGCCGAACCCTTGAATGTCAGGAAATCCGGGATGTGCGCCGATCTTGACGCCGTGAACTTTGCATTTCCGAACGGTTTCCAGCATGATGAGTGGATCTCTTGAAAAACAAGTCAATAAAAAGCCATGTCCATTGGTGCGGCAAGGCACTCACGAGGCATGGAAGCCACAAGCAATATTGGCATGATCAATCAGGGGTAGCAATGTCTCGGAATCCGGTCCGCAAGTCCAATTTCCATATCCCTCGCCCAGGTCGACATTGATCATGGCCTTGTGCTTGATGCGAAGTGCTTTGTCTGCCATGAGACTGGCATACCGCCTGACAAAAGTCGGGCTTGTAAGCTGCTTGCGTGCGAGAGTATATAGGGTTTTCATCTGAGATATCTGTAACTGAATGTAGAAGCATGTTCAGGAGCGTTTTTCAATGAGCATATAGGCTATAGCGGTGTCCTATAGTAGCGCTAGTTGGAGAGAGCCACGAGGAAGTCTTCGGCAATGCACGGGTCGGAGACCCAAATGAGACGAACAATTTGGTCAAAATAATCAAACATGGCCCTGGTGGATCTATATATCGCTTACACGAGGGATGCTGCCCGGTTATGTTGGGTTCTGAGCGAGCATGGAACGGATCATCCAATCGCAAGGTGGAGGCTACATGGACAACTCGCAGGCTTCATACTTCAACATGGAACAATTGTTTGGTAAATTATATTTTGATGCACTGTCTAGAATATACTCGTTGCAAAATTGAATTGATTATCATGGCCGTTGCCCAAAGATACATCTTGTAGAGACATATCGGTTTCCACTGAACTAATGGGCACGTATCGCATGGTCTGGTCCGCCGTCATAGCATCAACAGGACGCGTGATATCCCACCACATGGAATATACATCGAAGTTGGGTGCTTGTAACACGGCACCTATCCCATTCGCATTGGCCCGAAGATTGAAAGCGGGATCTGGTTGGCCTTGGTGATGTGTGCGGCCACCCATGCTCGATGCCCGAACCGACATTTCAGGAACCTCAGGCACTTCCGAGGATTCCATTCGATTGGCATTCAACTCAACCGTCTGAGACTCGGACAGCCTAGCCTGTTGTTGAGAAAGCCGCGACTGAAAGCTGTCCGTCAATCTAGCTAGAAGTATGCCCCACCGAGCGCTAAGGTGTGTATCGTCAACAACGCAAGTCTCGAGAGCGCCTGCGAGTTCCTTGATCTGGCTGAAAGTCGCAGAGACGTCAAGAACATGTTTCATCTCTGACGCGCATATCTATATTGCCTTCAGCACCCAGAAAGCCCAAGTCAGGTCAACCGGTCAAGGGATTGTGTTCATACCTGAAGGAGTACCAATGCTGCTCCCAGAATTCTCGAGTATGAGCGGACAGGTATGTGCTTTACATCCCCATCAGGAAGAAGATCATCGACCACTACAGAGACGATACGTCGAGCTGCTCTTGCTGTTTGACTCAGATGGTCTTCGTCCGTGTTGGGAGTCTGGAGAGTACCGTGATCGGATCGGGTTTCACCAGTCTCGTTTTGGCATCTTCGCAGCATCATCGCTTGCAGACTCAGACTGAAGATGCACAACTGAATGTAGTTGAACTCGATTGATAATATCAGTCTCATTTGTCTGGACACTTGTACCCGTTAGCTTGACGTTCTGAGCCCTAGGAGAGACCGAGTTACATTTTGCATGATTGAACTTGATGATGAACTCTTGCAGCAGCGGTTGGAATGACTGCATGACTGAGATATACTGGCCGCTCCTGATAATCTTCTGGGTATAACGTTGAGACCTGAATAGTGCTTCATCAGCTCTTTTAACCAGCGTCGCCACACGGACCCAGCACTCGGTCGTGTTATCCAAGTGAGCTTCAACCCGGAGTGTGGAAGGTGTTGGTGTGCTGATTCTCCAGCCTGAGAATTCACGTCAGTATAGATCCATAAGTTCTGGGTTGGATGGACGAGATTGGTGGTCAATGAACCTACTCGGCGGTCCTGTCTGTTGCTGCGTAGCATATATCCAGATCAAATACTGCAAGGATTGCGCCCGTTGACGGGTCGATGGAGCTCGGAATAAGTCATCCCGGTACTCAGAATAGTAAGTCGAAGGTCCCTCTTTCCCGTCGAAAAATCCGAGTTCTGTTGCAAGCATGGACACGGTGGAGAGCATCGAACGACATAAATGGCCAGAGCGAGCCAGCCACAGATGTCCTGCCCCCGTCTCGTACTCTCCACTTGACACGCTGGAATCCCGGGTGCTTGGTGGTTCCGCAATTACAATAGAGGTTGTATCATCATCAATCGGCGGGAAGTGAAGGGCCCTGGGATGCCAGTCCAGAACCAACAAGAGAGCTTCGCAAGTGCCCAAGGTACGAAACCGGATGGATCGCACGGGCTCTTGGCCTCTTTTCTGCATGCTACTCGACGGATCACTCAGTGAGGTGAACTCGCCAACAAAGTTGTCTTCAAACCAGAAGAGACGCGAAATCATGCCTTGCAGATACCTCCAGAGTCGGTCATGAATGACACAGGACCTCGATGTCGCTGCTGGCCCAGTCCACTTTCGGTATCGAGAACCAATCATCAATATTGTTATGGTCAGAATGGGCTCTTCCTCAATGAGGAGATGATGCTTGCTATGATGTCCATAATACTCGGGGGCAGCTGGGGAAAATGGCGCTTGGTAAGTGTAGAAATGGTCAACCATGTCCATTGCTTCTTCAGCCGTAAACAGCCCGCCACGCACAAAGCGGAGAGTCGACCATGCGCGTAGAGCAGCTCTGGTGTCCTGTGGGATGGTGCTACCATTGAAGGGAACAGCAGCAGGTCTGGCCTGTCTCATGCTGGCCTGTCCTTCCGGAGATAGTGACTGTATCTCGGCGGCGTTCTCTTGCGTTCCATTTTCATCGCAGACTCTTGCAAGTAGCGTAAGAGCGTCGTGCCAGGTCCGAGAATGTCCATTCAGTAGAACGGCTTCAGCGCGTCGGCCTTGTGTTTCTTCCAGTGTCGAATCTCGTGGAAATGAGGCAGGAGGAGATCCATCTTCGGATATTGACAATGCTGGCTCAGTTGCTCCTTGGTAATATTCAGTCCGCTGTCTCTTTGTAGAAGGGCTGTGAGGCTCGTGGCCGTGACCCTCTGTTGTTGCTGTTGCAAGTTTCCTGGCCCTCGTTGCAGCAAAGAAACAATCTCTATTCTCTCTGCGACAGCGTGCGCAAGGCCCTTTCTTGGGTTGGTCAACGGATCCCAGTTCACAACGAATTTTCCGGAGCCTGCACGCCTCACATGCCTGGGAACGTTGGTCAGCGCATGGTCGCCATTACACCACAGACTGAGCAGATCATACCTGATAGACTCGCCTATGCTCGCGAGGAGCTGGAGTGGCCAATTCCATCGAACCAAGCGAGCCGATTCTCTGACAACCTGAGAAGCATTCCCTGTAAGTTGGTGGTTTTGAACCGATGCCGGTCCCCTGCCGATGCGGTGATATCCGATGCCGTATTGGGGAACCTTTTCTTGGGCGAGGGTGCCTGTGGATCTAGGCGTCTCAAGGTCACCGGATGTCACAAGTATATGCCCAGGATTGTGCTAAGCGGCTTCCAGAGATAAGGACTCACTAGGCATTGTCCTGACTAGCAGGAGCCTCCGCAACACCCCCCGTAGCACCCATCCTCGCCGGATACTTTCCACGATAGGGACCCGCGTTTTCAGTGGAGACAAGTTCATTGGTTCCTAACAGGAATGCTGGTGGACCCCGCGGCGAATGACCTATGGGCGACATGCTGCCAAAAGTCGTCGGGCCTGTTTGACCGTTGAGACTGCACGTTTGTTGCTCATCGAAGTACTCCTCCAGTTAGCACTGTCTCCTTTAGTATCTGGCAACAAGGAAAAGCCATCAAATCGAATTCGTCGACAAGCCATGGACGCGTCGTTGAGGGAGTTGACTATTGCTCGCGCACATAAAGGCTACCGAGATGGCACGTTCACAGCTCGACAAGTGGTCGAATACTACCTGCAGCGTATCAAGACAATCGACCAAGCAGACAATGGACCCAAATTGAACAGTATATTGGCGATTTCATCAATAGCCATCGCAGAGGCAGATGCTTTAGATACGCATCTCAAATCCACTTCAGAGTTGAAAGGACCGCTTCATGGTATTCCTGTGGTCGTCAAGGATCAGGCCAGCACAAAGGGCCTTGCAACGACATACGGGTCGATTCTCGCCAAAGATTATGTCCCTGAGCAAGATGCAACTCTGATCACAAGGTTGAAAGCAGCCGGTGCGATAATTTTGGCGAAGACTACCATGCCAGGTAAGAGCAGACACGTACCTAGGTATCTATGATGAGATGATACGTTACTGAAGAGATTCTTGAAGATTTCGCGACGTCTTGGCACTCGACATCATCTCTATCGGGGACAACGAAGAATCCATACGATACGAAAAGAGACCCTGGAGGCTCAAGTTCTGGCACGGGTGCTGCTGTTGCAGCCGACCTTGGTCTCTTAGGTGTGGGTGAGGATACGGGGGGCTCAATTCGCGTACCATCCTCGTTCTGTGGACTCGTCGGTATTCGAGTTACCCCTGGTATAATCAGTCGGGCCGGTTTCTCGCCCCTCCTAGTTCCCCAAGATACACCAGGGCCTATGTGCCGGACCGTCACGGATGCTGCATTGATGCTCGATATACTCGCCGGCTTCGATGAACAGGATCCCTATACAGCAGCAGCAGTTATCGCCGGTCCGCCTACTGGGGGAAGCTACGCCGCCAATCTATCTGCGGATAAGATCAAATCGGCACGAATTGGAGTACTCCGAGATGTATTTGGACCAGAGTCTAGTCCAGACAGTCAAGCTGTGAACAAGGTTATTACCGGGGCGCTGCAAACGCTTCAAGACAACGGCACAGTACTCGTCGATGTTGAAATTCCCAACCTGATGAAACTCCTCGAGATAACTTTCACGTATCACCAGCGCTCTCGATCCGACCTTGATGACTTCTTCAGTCGACACCCGTTCCTTAAAACTAACACCAAGGAGATTTATGACTCGAAAAAGTATCATCCGGCCCTTGATTTATTTGAGGGTATTGCTACAGGCATTGGAACTCCCCAGGAAGATCCCGATTTCACCGCACGCCTCCTTGCTCGAGAGGAGCTTCAACGAGCAATTACTGTCACTCTTGCCAAGCATAACCTCGATGCACTGGCATTCCCCGATGTCCAGATCCCTGCGCCTCTACTTGAAGACGTGCTTTCTCAGAGATGGCCTGCTGCAGACTTCCCTACGAATACTCTGGTATCATCACAGTCGCTTTTCCCTTCTGTCACTGTCCCTGCAGGCTTGACTCAGGGGGGTAGTGGCTTACCGGTCGGCTTGGAATTGGTATCCTTGCCATATCGTGAGCAGAAACTGCTGGAACTGGCATACGGAGTGGAACAGCTCGTCCAGGGCCGGAAACCCCCAGTACTGTGAGTGTTTGCTGCTGACAGGATATCCGGATGGACAAAATGCCCAGATTTCCGACGCTCTGTGGTGAAAAGGTGGTCTCAGTCACTGAGCAGAAAAGAGAAATTTGTAACAGCAATTTCCTAGTCACGGACATCTGTATGACTCTGATCTTGATTGTCCTGGAAGGGCCAATGGGCAAGTCCAGTGACCAGAAAGAGGAGGGCGTTGCTGCTTGTCTGCTCCTCAGGAATCAGGATACCGGATTGAAGTTGTTGAGGTCTCTGGGCGTGTAGATGCAGACCGTCACCGGTGCTTAACGACATCACAGAGGGCTTGAACTTCCCTTCTCAAGCCAAACACGTGCCTCTAAGGAGAATAGGATTGATAAGACAGTCTCGCTCCTCGCTTGCAGTTCGCCCAGCGGCCGACTATCGTCAACTTTAGTAGAATACCTTCTCTCATTTTGAGACCAAAATCATGCATGGTATCTCCAACAGTGCAGGGCTGGCTCAGCATGTCGCATACACGTACCTGTGAAAGAACCTGGATCATTACGACTCATTTTCACACGTCAAACTTCTCAACGACGTGCCACTTTGCTTCGTGATAGGTACCTAGGTATAGAGCTCGACTCATAAAGAACCGACCAAGGCCAACAGAAACAGCTTACTGTTCGCAGAGGGGGTCTACTTATTCTTGGTGTTCTCCGTTTGCTTTGTTAACGAAAACACGAAGGTCCTTTTGTCAGGCGTCACATTTCATAATCTACCTACCTAGGTACTAGGTACCAAGGTAGAACAGTTCTGTTACGGAGCCTAGTTGCTAGTGGCCGGTAAAGATGACTTGCACTAGCTCTATTCAAGCTTAAAAAAATTATAGTGTATCGATAATGTTATTAGCGGCACCAGGGGAAGCTCGGTCTGTAGCACACTGGACTTAAAGCGGCCGGATCTTGGCAGCTAGGCGATTGCAATCCTCAGCTTTTTCGTTCTCAGTGCGTTTTAGGTGGACACGATGCTATAGCCTTCTCAGAGGCATAGTCACTGATCTTGTCATCACATCCATTGCGACCTGGTCAAGCACACCTATTTCCTCAATTCCGCTGAGCGCGGTACAAGGTGTACTCTGTATCCACGAATCGACAAAGATCGCAAACATGGCAGCGCAGCCAGCCGGTCCATCCTGTATGAGAGCTCTGCCCGCATGTTTGAGGCTGTTCTTTAAAGACTGACGACTTTTCAGTTGCCTGTTTGCGATACCTACGAACCAAAGCATTCGTTTCAAACCATCCAAGAACGTCGCCTCTGAGACCGACCCGGATACAATGCCCTCTCCTTGCCAACCGCGTCTCCCAAGCTCCGTCAATATGCAACCGCTCGTTCTCCACCACGACAACACGTCAAGATTGGTTGACGCCCAAAAGACCGGAAGTCAGAAAGTCTCACGTGGGACGTCCCCGAATGCCTACGGGTGGCTCAATGCGCGGCACGACCGTTGTTTGGGGCGACTACGGCCTACGGATGAAAGATCACGATCGACGAGTTTCGGCGAAACAACTCAAGAACGCCGAAGAAACTATCAACAGAAGACTGCGAGGGGAACGCTTCAGGTTGTACAAGAGAGTGAGCGCAAATATCGGTGTCTACACAAAAGGCAGCGACGTGCGGATGGGAAAGGGAAAGGGTAAATTCGACTACTGGGCCGCGCGTATCCCAGTCAGCAGGGTTGTGTTCGAAATCAAGGGCAAACTTCACGAGCAGGTGGTGCGGGACGCTTTCAGGTTGGCGGGAAACAAATTGCCTGGACTATGGGAGTTTGTCAAGAAGGGAGATCCTCCGATGGTTGGCATCACAAAACTGGGCAATGGAGTGACGCTGGAGAAGCTCAAGGAGGCCCGGAGAGAGGTGGAACCCAAGGACAAGCAGAGTGCACAACCCATCATATCCTCCGCGATGGAAGTGCCGCCTCAGACGATCGCGACTGAATTGGATCATCCGCCGCCGACCGTTCACGTTTCGCCCTGAAACGTCCGACAACATGTCCCGACCCAAACTCGACAACTTTCCATCTCATGCCCCGACCCCGCTCCCTGGCCCATACCTTTGCTGCGGCCTGGTATCATCCTGTCCTTCGGCCTGATCTCGTGTCCCTCCATAGCCACCTTCCTGACCGGCATGGCCGCCTTGCGCCGCAGTCTTCCCACCCATGCCGGACTCTGAGATATTCTGGCCATATCTTATATTTTCGGCTGTCTGGCTTCCCCGTTCTTCAGCGACGGAGGGGCTTTCCGAAGTATTAGAGCCACCTAGACAAAAGGTCAGATGCAGAGGGCAGAGCGACAGGGTTTTGATGGCGTACCGCCCAATTGACCTCTCTGCTTCGAGGTGGGAACGGTCTCAGTCTTGATGGACTCATATCTGCAGAGCCCTATCAGCATGCGCTCACAGACCGGCATGGGAGAAAGCGACAAGCACATACTGAGGAGTCTCGCCTCCCGGGACTGTATCCATAGTTTTGTCTTCGGACTTGTTTCCTTCCATTTTGAATGATTTGAACGAGTCGTACCAGTCGCAAGTCAGGACTTGATCAATGGTTTGAGTGACGGTGTGAAATAGGTCCATTTAAACATCAGACAGCGATAGCGGGCCACATGTTAGTAGCCCATCCATTTGCTTGTTGAGTAAAAGGATTGTTGAGATGCCCCCGTGCGCCCCCCTTCACTCCACTTCCTGTTGAGAATGAGTGGTAGGATTTGACGTCACGGCGATGAATTTGGAGAGCAGATCGAGGAAAGAGCCTCCGATGAGTGACGATAGTGACGCTGGAATGGGCTCGGCTTATGTAACGTCATATACGGATTTCTCATGTGACCAGCATCTGTACAGTGTATGCCTTATGTACCTAAGGTACCTAGTATATTGGGTCCGTAAACCGACACTGCCCATTTTTCCCAACGAGTCTCATGTTCACAAGAAACATCCGTATCACCGCCTTCCCGAAACTCCACGCTTGGGCCCTGTACGAGTTGGATGCTCAAAGTTCGTCTCGGCACGCCAAAATCACTGATGTCCCAATTGACGGCCTCGGAGGGTTTGGCGCTCCGAGCTGAATTTCTTTACAACCTGCCAGGGCTACTACTTGTCTATCTAGGTAGTGTGCATCTGGTATAGCGTGCGCCTATGGCACGAGTCGCTGTCCAAGCAAAGGATTCCTACCACAAGTTCTTGCAACTGCTGGATCGAGGGCTCTTGGCATCACAGCCTTGGGCAGGACGCCTGAAGCATTAGTGCTTTACCGTAGCTAAGCTAGTACTAACAAGGCTAGTCTACCGAGGTAAATGACGTGACAGATACGAGTATTTTCAGGCGCCCTGTTCAATAATCCATTTACCACTTGTTTGGGTTCGAGTAAACGTCGGGATACACCCTATGTACTCAGGTTCCTTCGATATGTACCTAGCACCTTAAGTCAACGGCCATGCATGACTGACATATCACCCATGAACAGCTTGTCTCTAGGCCTAGCTTGTGGATCAGCGACTGAGTGTAGATCCCAGCTTAGGTGCGCGCCCCATGGACTGGTCCACGATTCACCCACCAACAACCCTGAAGCTACCTATGCAGCAGATCATATTCATCTTGCTGGCTTCTACTTGTTCTGGACGAATCACCTAGTACCATCCAAGGTCGGCTCCAGAAGATCAACAAGTGGAGTCATGGAGATTGAAGAAAGGTCACCGCCTTCTGCTTCTTTAAAAAGGATGAGACTCGAGACTGCCGCAGCGTCTTCCTGTGCTCTATATCTTCTCACACAATAACACTCTCCAACGTGTGAAAAGGAATCACTTGGTCTGTCTTGAAAGTGTTACAATCTTGGAGTCAATATGCCTGGTGCCAGGAGTAAAGGCTGCCGAACATGCAAGCAGCGACGCATAAAAGTAAGCCACCATGGTGATCAGATTTGCGTTTCGTCCCTTTTCGCAGTACGCACCGCGGCTCAACATCGCGAATCTAACCGAGATCTCAACTAGTGTGACGAGCGCATGCCGATATGCTCCCAATGTGAGAAAAGCAAACGTCATTGCACAGGTCCAGATTCCCCGTTTCGATATCAGTACGGCTCGGCAGAACAGCGCGCACAGCTTCTTCAAGCCTTGGACGCGATTCCCTTTGACGAGAATGGTGGCAGCCCTTCTGTCAGTTGCTTGGAATGGCACAAGTTCGCACAGCCTGAGGATGCAATACTAGATCCTGTGGCGTCAGTCATTCCCCTCACCCATTCCGAGCGCCTTGCGGCAACCCTGATCTCGGCGCTCGAAAGACCCACCGGGTTCGGTGCACGCCTGCAGCAGATGGGCTTCGTTTTCGGCAAACTTCCACCTCGTCTGGGCCGAAGCCGGGCCCTTGACGCCGCGGTCAACTGCTTCTTGTACTCTTTTACTGCTGTCTCCATGGGCCAGCCTCGCAACCAGGCCCTGGAATTGGCCCGCTACTGTACTGCCATCTCTGCGCTTCGACAAGAGCTGGCCCAGTACGACAGTGATCGCTTACTCTCCACGACGTCTGAAACACTCTGTGCATCGCTGCTCCTCGCTCAGTATGAAATCCTGAAACCCGGACCGGCTTACTCGTTCGTCACGCTGTCAGGCGGCGTCTCTGCAATCCTCAGAGGCTGTGGCCCAAGGCGCGCTCAGTCGTCGGAGTTTGAGGCTGCAATCTTCATGACCCAGTACCCGACCATCATCACGCAGTGCCTGTTGCGCGGTGAGGATTGCTTTCTCAGCGGATTGGAATGGGCCAACGCAATGCGCAGGACTGGCGGGCCGGACTCGGAAAGTCCTGTCACAGCGGAGCTATGGACGGTCCTTGCCAGACTGCCCGGGCTACTGGTGCGTGCCAGAGGATTGGACCCAGAGTCGCCGTCCTCGGCCTCGTCGCCTCTCCACGCGGAGCTGCTCGCTCAGATATACAAAATCCGCGCCTCAATTGTCATCCAATCCGATACTGTCACGCGCAACCTCTCCACACCGGGCGTCTACGCCACCTACCCTCGAGCCTACAGAGGCCCATGCCCCGCCCCAAGTTTCCACCCGGAAGGCAAGCATGAATCGCTACAGCCGGCGAGGTACATCAAACAAGCCACATTCTACCACGGATGCGTCATCCTGATCAACACGGTCCTCCAAGACTTCCTCTCGACTCCCAACCCCGCCCTTGCCCTCCAAACGTCACAATCCGCAACTTACATTCTGGAGACGCTGGACTTCGCGGCGACGACCAAGCCCTTTGGGGCCTTCTACATGACCTTCGCAGGACCGCTGTGCTATGGGGTGCTCGCCGACCCCCTGCAGCGGGAGACGCTGCTTGCTGGAATGAAATGTGTCTTTGACGAAGTCGGGATCTTTTGGACTCATCTGGCGATGCAAGAGGTCTTTTACGCGCTGACCAAGGGTGGCTGGCGGAATCAAGTAGCCTTGACGGCCCCGAGATGAAGCTGAAAAGGCGGCGTCCTTACGGAAAGGGATTCTTGGAGTTCGTTCATGGGGAGGGAATTTCAGAACGAGATTCACTTGGCCCGGGAACATTAATACGCGGAGAGATTCTCAAGCGGATATACCAATTCAGTCAATCGCCAGTAGTCGTTGTGCCATGGCACAAGTCTTTGGGCTATTCCCCGGAGCGCTGAGAATCTTCATTCGAGGAACCTGGTCATAAGAGCAGCCTCGAAAGTTTTAAATGGCGGAGCTCTGGTGGCTACCTAGCATACCACGGTATCCTCCAGATGATCACATGCCCGGATGCACGGAGATTCTCGCAGAAAGACCTAAGCAGCCCGGTTGGCTCACATCACATGCCAAAATTGGGGCCTTCAAGCTCGTAGCCTCGCCGCCATTCAAATCAGTATCCTAGGCCCCGACATATCACGATGTGGATGGGCTTCTTGGATTTCAGGGGGACACTCAAGTGTGTAGCTATGGAAGGCATCGCTCAACTGTAATATTGTAGATGACTACAATACACGGAGACTACCTACCTAGGTAGGTACCGGCTCCGGGACCCATTTCCTCCATAATGACCACTGAGCTGAATGAAGATCCTCCAGCGTTTAGGGGGTATAGTATTGTAAAAAGACATTCCATCGAACCATTGCCGAATCTTGCAGATGCCGCCCTGTAGGGAGAGGGCCGGTGGCTTTCCCTGTCCAATGCCAATCCAATAATTCACAGTATCCAAATGTGAACAAGAAAGAGACTGACATTCCTTGTTTAACCGTCTCCGATAGCCTGTTGTTGAATCTGTCGACCTTCCAGAATCCGTGTTCGGCAAAGCGGAAGATGCGTCCTCAAGTTTCCAATTGCCGGTCGACCCCAGTCACTCTGGTTGCTTCGACCAGTCTTTGCACAAACCAAACAAAGTCCGACAGACTTTTCCGAACTCGACTTTCGGGTCGAAGGTGCGCCAAGACCCTTGCGCCTGATGCCAAACTCGCGCTGACGGGTCTGTGACGGGCTTCGAGCCCATATTGCCGTATCTGCCTCGTCCAGGGCTGTTTCTAATGTGAGCGTCTGAACGGCATCAAGGCCATGAAGAAGAGGGTCCCGTACCTAAATCCGGTGATTGGTAAAACCAGAACATCTTCCACCAGCTTGCTTTGACCACCATCTGCCGACCCCGTCAAAGCATTCCAACGCAACCCGGTTCGCTCCTCTAGCCAAGTCTTCGCTGCGACGGTCACAGCAACTGGTCCTGTCAGGGACAGCGGCCCAATTTGTCGTAGTTCCCTGACCGCCTCTGGAGCGTTGATATCTCCCCGGTTGCGCGTTGCAACATCTTCTAATCTTCGTTGAAGGGTGTCCATGAAGCGTAGAAGAACGGCGTGGCCAGAGCTTGAAGCTAAAGCCCACTGTGTGAGTTGCACAGGGTATGAATACCCCATACGCCAGTAGTCGCTCTTATGAGGCGCACAGTCAGCTTCGAGGCCGAGAATGCTGCTGACTGGATTGTCGAAAGAAAACTCCATTTCCGTCACGGAGTCCGTCCAGGGAGCAAGATCAGAAGCGGATATCCAACTTGCAGGCCGACGAAGCGGACGAGTATCCACGTCTGCGTACTAGAATTGTGACAATTAGCTTAAGATAGAGAGCAGGCTTGGTATAAGCATGACACACTCACAATTCCACCAAACCATTTCAAAACCAAAATGCGGAAGACATCAGCTCGTTCCACATTCGAAGGCAAGGATAAGAAGCGATGAACAAATTCAGGTTCGAACTCGGCTAACATTCGTACAATGCCGTCGTCTTCCCAGAAGAAGTAGGCCATGTCATCTTCCACTACATGCTGCAACCATTTCTCCACACTGGCGCGGAGCAGATCTGACCATTTGTCGACACGTCGATTTTTCCAAGTTTGGTGAAGAAGTAACGGAATCGAAGAATGGTCGATGAAGCGGCGCTTGTTGCTGTTGGCAGCTTGCGAAGCCAGAAGAGCTGCATCAACTATTGTCTCGGGCTGAACGTCGGCAGACGATAACCAGGAGGGTGGAATATACCATGCTGGAGCTTGTTAGTGGGGTGCCGAAGCAAATGAAAGGGATTTTGACAAGGCTATGTGGTTGGCTTGTCGGGCGAGTCCTAGCACTGGGAGACACGCACCTCCTCCAGTACCGTTGAATGTATGCACGTGCCGCCAAAGCAAGGGGTATTGCCGCTCCAACTCGGCTGGCCGCGCTTCATGTTTCGGGCTTGGTGAGAGGAGGCACCAGATGGCGAAGGCGGACAGAATGGCAGATATGAGGAAACGGCGTTGGAATTGGCGAGAAGAAGGCCAAGCCACTCTCATAATTGAGAAATCGACAGAGTCGCGGCAGGATGCATGTGCAAAAGGGATTCAAGGGGTCGCAAAAGAGACGCAAAGGATTGACGCGCAATGACGCTGAGAGGAGAGTTGGAGACTAAACGCGCATGCAACTTGGATGTCGCTTGGTCCAAGTTTTTGCTCTAGAGGCATGCATTAACACGTAGGTATTGACATTGTTCAAGCAAGGAGGGTGTGGGAGTGAGTGGTTAAGGTTATTGCTCTGGCGAGAATTCCAGACAAGGCGTCGCAAGCCAAAGCCACGTTCGTAGCACGAAGCTTGGACAGGATCTGCGCATAGTGGGAAACTTGGCCATTGCCCGTAGGTTTCAAGGTGCCGCTAGGCTAGGAACAATAGCGACGGTATGAAAGTAAGTGCGGGTGGTGGTGAGCGATGCAGGATGGCGCTGCTGTGCCTGTGACATGTCGAGATTGTGTATTGGCCGTCAAGGATGATCAAAGGTGCCAGTGAATTCCCCAACGTGCCACAAAGGAATCGACGTGATTGGTGTCTGTGTGTCACTGGCGCATTCTGGATGGACGATGGATGTGGAGGAAGCTTTTTTTGGTGTCGTCTGGCGCATCCACTTTGGCCATTGCCGGAATAACGTACTGCCACCCCCGCGGCTGTTCTCCCGCGCAAGGGTCAGGCTGATATCTGACAATTTGCCATTGCAGCTAAGGGAAGACTAACGACCCGAGTCAAATTGCTGGGATGTCGAGATTGAGTTGTTGTGGGCAGCATATACCGAGTCTTAGTATACAGTCAGCAACCACGGTGGATACCTAGGTACCTTTTATTCATATGGGAAGGCCTGCCTTCCACTGGGCCTTCTAGCACTTACGGCAACATGACCGATCGCAAGGCTGAATTCTCGCAAGGCTGACATCAGCGGAGAGATTTGATCCACCGTACCAGTGCTACGGTGACTCATATAGAAGCCACGCGTAAGTACCACTGCGGAAAGTTTGTAGCTTCAGAAACTCGAATCAGCCCATGCTCATTCTCCCTGTTCATTGCAGCGTTCACCATGATTTCTCTTGGTTGTGTGCCTGGACGAGTACTCTCTGGCTGCTCTAGATCTCTCCGTCGCCTCCACCCTCATCATATAACCTCCCGGTCTTCTCAACCAGCCACCCGACTTCGTTCGCTTTCACAGTCTACCAGAAGCTCCCAATATGCCAACGCTTTCGAGGCTGCCAGAGCTCATGCTCGAGAGAAGAACCGCACCACCCTGTGTGTATATTGAATGAATGATATATGGTCTGCAGCTGACCATCAGCCTAGGTACTATGGGCTAAGTGCGGGAATATTGCTGCTTGCGCTTTCCTATGCTTCGGTTCCCCTCTATAAAATGGTCAGAACCTCCGCACTGCAGCACGAAATAGCAAGCTCATGTTGCTAAACCCTTGCCAGATATGCCAACAAACCGGCTGGTCCGGTCAACCCGTCAAGGCCCACGATTCCACCGGAGACCCTGCCCTCCGCCTGAAACCCGTCGAAGACCACCGTCGTTTGCGCGTCACCTTCAATGGGTCCGTTTCTGACATCCTCCCTTGGAAATTCACGCCGCAGCAACGCGAAGTCCGGGTTCTTCCTGGCGAGACCGCTCTGGCTTTCTACACGGCCACGAATAAAGGAGATGCAGATATCATCGGCGTGGCTACATATTCAGTGACGCCCGCGCAGGTGGCGCCGTACTTTAGCAAGATCCAGTGTTTTTGCTTTGAAGAGCAGCGGTTGAATGCAGGCGAGACGGTCGACATGCCTGTGTTCTTCTTCATCGACCCCGAATTTGCCAAGGATCCACAAATGAAGGGCATCGACACCATCACACTGAGCTATACTTTCTTCAAAGCAAGATATGACAAGAACGGAGTGTTGACCACTATACCCATGGCCATGGCAGCTGCATAAAAAGAGAAGTAAATAGTCGGGAGAAGGGTCAAAGACACTCACTGCCAATGCCGTCGACCATCGTCGAGCTCGCATTTCCAGGGCAGACACAGACTGCAATGGACCCTATCGACCCTTCAACCACTCAATTAAGTCGTCCACGCCTCGATCTGGGGGGAAAACAGGATACCACCATTTCACCACCTTACCATCCTGCAGCGCAATCATTGAACGCCTGAGGACCTTCCGTCCTTCCCAGTCGAATGTCGGTAGATTCAACCCTCTCTGGAATTCCAGCTCTTGGTCACTCAGAAGATCATAGGGAAGATGCAGCCGCTCGTGCACCTCCGCTTGATATGCTGGTGATTGGGTGGAGATGCCATAGATGTGGGAGACGCCCAGCGAGCGCAGTTCAGGCAGATTGTCTCTGAAGGAACAGGCTTGAGGCGTGCAACCTCTCGCACCTGGGATTGAATTCCAAGAGTCGGGAACGGTCTCGTTGGGCGCGCCTAGTCACGCACTCTTCTCAGCATCCGGACACTAGGACTCTGCATGGTGAAGGTGAAAAACGAAGATTCAGAGGAAGATGGACAAATACCTGTCCGTGGATAACAAAACACAACCGTTAAGCCCTTCAATTCGGCGAGATTGACCCGCTGCGTTGGATGGCGTGCAACGGGAAGGCTGATGGTGGATGGGATTACGACGCCGCTCAGGTGGTCATATGCACCATCGTCCTTGGGGATGGGAAGGTCGGCCGGGAATGTAGTGTCTATGCAGAGAGGTAAGAAGGTTGTCAGATGTGGCTTTTGATTAGAAGGGTTCGAGGTCTTCTGAGCTGCTCTTCAGGGATATCAAAGCGCTTGAACAGCCACGGTGAGCAACACAGCAGTGACGCTCAGATGACCTGACCGGACGATCGACCGGCCATCCATACGGGACGGTGTCATGAGGTACCGGCATCGGGAGGATACGTCGAACGTGTAATTAAATATACATACGAGCCATGTCTCGATTTCTCCACTCAGAGCCAGCTACCCTCCCTTTGATTCTTCAAACTCGAAGTTGGCCTGTGCTCCAAACGCAAGTCCTTTGTGTCCAAGCGTAGAGCTTTATTCGACGGTGGGAGTGAATGTACAAAATCTATACCGGAAGAGTTTCTGGGAAGATAGAATGGACTTGTCAAGCACGACGATGAGCGTGGTCAAGAGTCAATCCACTTGATACATGTAGCTGGCGATTGCCCGGGCCACACATTGCTGTAGGGAGAAGAGAAGATGGCGGGGAATCTGCGCGGAGAATGAATCTACGGGGTCGTTGGCCGGATGGGCATGGCTCGTCATCGAGCAATCACTCAGTGTTTGCAGAACTGTGCCTCGATACAGTCCTTGTTCAACCCACACATCAACCTCTATATCATTCACTTGCTCTTGAAGATTGCAAGTGTCTTATGGAATCTCATTGCCCGCCCAGGTCTCCTAGTTTAGTATTCACTATTAAGCCGCTCTTTGCAATTGCCGGACGAACTTGGGCTCATCACGTCGTGTGCGTGAGGCTGTGCCTGATAGTGGCCAGGCTCATCGGCGGCTATTCTCCCTCAGATTAACTTGATAATTAATTCGCTCGTCCAAATCGTAAAATATGGAGCTGTGACCGTATCTTTCATCACCCGGGCCCCGTATGATGGGGATCGTGACCACGAGAGAAGAGAAGCCGCAGCTCCATCTCTTGGGCACATACATGAGCTGTTTGTATCGAGAATCCGGAGAAGACAATTGACCTTTCAAGATCCTCCGATTTCCAGCACATCCAAGATTTTCTCAAAGTCCGGGGTACCAAAGCCACTTGCGACGTCCCATCCCTTGGAAGCACCGAACCCGGGCCCGTTGCAGCCTACACTGCTGCCATTGACAACATCAGTGAATGCCGCGAAGCCTTTGCTGTAGAGCCAGGGATTGAGCCAGCCCATTGGGGGCTTGCCCGCTGCAGCAAGCGCATCATTCACCAGGGAGAAGATGCTGGCCATGGTCGGGGCCGAGCAGCTTGTGCCGTCAACGCTTCTAGGGCTTTGGCCGAGAAAGATGAGGTACTTGTACCCCTGAGCCGCTATGTCGGGATACGCACGACCAGACCGGTTGTATAGCCCTTTGAACTTGTCGCCGATGGTGTCTAGGTACCGCTCCACGCTGGTGTTTTGGTATTTCGGTCGCGTAAAGTAATTGCTAAAACCCGAACCAGACGCAAAAGAGTTATACGAGTCGTGGGCGACGACTTCGGGATAGTTCATAGTTCCGCCAACGGTAGTGACATATGGACAAGAGGCCGGGAAAACAGGGATAAACGTGGTTCGATTTTTACCGTCATTGGTGATGCAGCTAGAGTTGTCACCTACTCCAGAGTCCCCGGAGCTGAAGAACAACGAGATCCCCTGAGCACCCAGGGCGGCGAATTGATTGCACACGGTCTTCGCGTAGCTTTGGGGTACGGTTTGTTCATGGTCACCGTAAGAGGTTGAAATGACTTTAGGGATGGTCTTGATGTCTTGGTCGCGCAGGAAGAGGAGCCAGGTTAGGTAGGGCTCATTCGTGTTGGTCACGCTGAAGTCGTCGGGTTTAAAGGGAGGTTCGCCGCCTGTTGAGTACAGGGTGACGGGCGTGGGATAGACAATTCCAAGCATGGTTTGAAGATCGAGATTGCCTTCTAAGCCTGCTCCCGCAGTGCCATTGTCAACAGCTCCACCATTCACCGAGACCTGGGTAACAGCGAAGGCAGAGTCGACGGCGTCAGGACGAAAGTTCCGCAAAAAGGTTTGGGCGTCGGTTCGATTAGACACTTGGCCAAGGTAGTTGGTAAAGGCGACAGAGTTATTTTGGGGAGCTTGAGGGGTGTAGTTGATGGTGTTGTACAGGGTTCGCAGGCATTTGGGCGTCATGCCTGCGAAATTGCAGGAGCCTTTGATGGTGGTAGCATTGGCGGCGGCAGTGAGCTGGGAAATGTCAATGTCCACAGGGACATCAATGAGGGTACTGGCCTTGGGATTTGGTCGGAGGAAGGCAGTCGTGGGTTGAATCGTAGTGACATGGTCATGGAGGGAGCGTGGGAGAGACCAGCTGGTGGTTCGGACGAGTGTGGAGCCGTCCTCATGCTGGTAGACGGCGTATTTGGTGTCAAGCAGCACCTCAGCTTTGTTGACAGGGAGAGTGACGGTGATCCAATCACGGGCGGAATTAACTTCGCAATGAGACGGGTCGATGTCGTTGTCGCTCAGCCAGTTTCGAATCAGATCGTATGTTTCATCAGAGGGTTTGATGAGGTCGTGAACTTCTTCCTGGGACAGATGTTGGCCATAGCGATGGTGGGATGGGTCGGAAACTAGGCCAGGTTAGCGCAAGAACTGCAGGACCCTTTCTGAGAGCGTGCACGAGGGGGTCAACTCACCTTGGTGCAGGTGTTGCTCGAGGAGATCGAAATTATTGGGCTGCAAGCCGATATTGAGCGTCAAGAGATGGAGAGGATGTGGGTTGCCAACATTTGACCACGCGGGAGGGACATTGTTGGATTCTTTGACAGTGTATTCGGAACGAGGATGCAGTGGCGATGCAGGGACCCAGGGCAGGGCGGCTAGTGCAGCCAACAGGACGAAAGCGACGAACATAACGAGTGTGGTAGAGGGCAAACAGGTAGAAGAGAAAAAGCGAGCGAAGCAACGAGTGGGAGGAGAGGAGAAAAGGAAGAAGAGGATGAGGGAGGAAAAGAGGAAAAGAGGAAATGAAGAAGGTAGGAGGAGGATATGATGGTGAGTGAAAAGTGAAAAGTGAAGAGGAGGACGAGGTAGCTAGGTACCTAGGGAAGTACCTAGGTAGGTGGTGGAAAGGCTATTGGATATACGTGGCTGTCACTGCCACCACCCGCTACACACTACCTAGTAGGTGCACATATAATGCTTCAATACCTACGAGGATTATATGACTTTATACAACCAGCCTGCAGCATCTGGCGAGGCTCTCACAAGACGCAGCGTTCATCCCTCATTCATCGTTGTAATTGGCCCAGCTCCTTCCTCTTTCATCTCCGAACAGGCGAGCCAGTGGGTGCCAGGCTGGGTGCCAGGTTGCTGTGTAACGGGAAAGTACTACGTCACCCGAGCAGCCAATGACGATCAGCCCACCAAGTCCACCGTATTGAGTTGCTAAAAGGGTTAGCGCGGGGTGCTTAGTATGTGCTAGCATCCTCTAGCGTCTTGGCAGCACTACCTACAACACCCGTGAACAAATTCACGTGTCAGCTCTGAGGCATGAACCGCGGCCCCTTACAATGAAAGCCAAACCCTTCATCCACCGCGCAGATCGAACCCAACATCCCAATCACCGTCACCTCCCCTTAGATGAAAAGGACTGGGTACCACAATGCACCGCGAAACACGCGCCCATCTCAGAACCTTCAAGCCCCTTCTTCGAGCCTATGCCTTGGGTTATCTCAGTGTCACAGCACCCAGGCTGTTTGGCTTCCTGAGCACTCTGCGACGTAGTCATCTGCCGTCCCGAGAGATTCTGTCCATTCTTCGGAAGATCCTCCTCACATCCACCCAGCTCAATCGCTTCCCGACCGCCGCCGCCGTCATCGTGGGCGGAGCAACTGCCCTCCCACGTTTGCTTCAGGCGATTCTTGAATTTGTTCTGTTATCACGACGCAGGGGGCCATCTGCACGTCTCAGCAGGAGTCTAGTGGCATGCATCCGCTTCCTGAGCTCCTTGTGGTCGGCATGGCTGGCCTTTGCGTTGCTCAACCGCGATGAAACATGGGTTCGAAGGCGCGCGATATCTCGATCCAATCCGAATACCGATGCCAATGCTCTCGGCACATCGACTCTACATCAACCATCTCCGCCATCGTATCATCCTCACTATGCTGGCAAAACGATTGATTTTACAGCATTTGCCTTTTGTCGTGCGCTGGACGTCGTGGTGATAACGCTTTGGACCCGCACTCGAACTCGATCATGGCATCCGGAACATCGAAATCCCCGACTCTCAAACCTCATCCGCAACCTCGCCGATCCCTCGGTCTTCGCCAGTTCCGCTGCAATCGTCATGTGGTCATGGTTCTATTCGCCCGAGCGACTCCCTCGCTCATACAATCACTGGATCTCGAAAGCGGCCGACATAGATCCTCGTCTGATTCAGGCACTGCGGTTAGCTCGACAAGGCAATTTCGTCTACGGCGAGGATACAGGTCAAGCACCGCTCCTGACCGGTCTTTGTCGGAAGCTGAACTTACCTGACGAATTTGCCGACCCCGCCAAGACCATTCCAATCCCCTGTGAGCTGTATCATTGTGGAACGGGCAAAAGTTGTGAAATCCATGCGCTTTCCAGGTTTTGGAGGGGGTGGAAATTTGCAATGGGAATATATCTGCCTCTTCAACTGCTGACAATCTTGCGTTCGCCGAAACCCAAGTCTATCTTCAAGGCGCTTCGGGGTGCAGCAAGGTCCTCATCGTTCTTGGCCTGTTTTGTTGCTTCGTTCTACTACGCGGTCTGTTTAGCTCGCACTCGGCTTGGCCCTAGGATCTTCTCGCCAAAAACAGTAACGCCCCAGATGTGGGATTCGGGACTCTGTGTACTGGCAGGCTGCCTTGCGTGTGGGTGGTCCGTTCTTCTCGAGAAACCGAGTCGACGACAGGAAATTGCCTTCTTCGTGGCACCGAGAGCGCTGGCGACTATTCTTCCTCGCGTCTATGATCAGCGATACCGTCATAGGGAACAAGCAATTTTTGCCACGAGCGTCGCAATTGTTTTGACAGCGCTGAACTCTGGCAATGAGCGGAGTGTCCGAGGAGTTCTTGGGAGAATCTTGGCTGGCATTCTGAAAGACTGAAATGTTGGACGAGGGGCCGACAATGTGCAGTATTGAAGCATAGTCGAAGATGTCAGCTATATTGTCATATTTTCCCCCTCAAGCACATAGGATTGAGGGATCCAGGGGCTAGAGCCTCGCCGAAACATGTCAGCAGCTGCCAGGAATGTGCAAGGCGCGCGGCCAAGTTGCAAGCTTCCATTCTGAATTTCTGCAAGACTGCTTCTTTTACAACAACATTGCAACGAGCCATTAACAAAAATGGAAAGACATGGTAGAATTCATACAGCCGCAGATACAGTCCAGATGTACAAAGAAGTCAAAATTGGCGTCATGACGTTAACAGCATCTGAATTGATATCATCAAATCCGCTTGCAAGGCTTCGACCCAGTACCATTCATTCATGGCGCCATCAGATGTGCTCAACGAGACCGTGGCGGACGCGCCCCGTAGGGTTTGGATATCCCTCTGCGTGGGAGTGGGACCTCACATAGACGATCCCGTTGGCGATCCTCCTGTGGATCTCGCTGATCGGTGTTTCGCAAAACGCCAATCGTAGCGATCCCGACGTCACACAGGGTGTCGCTGTTGCTGCAAGACGTCGATGTCGGGAGCAACACAGACTCAGAAGGGGTCTTGTGTTCGCTGTGCTGTTCAAATCTGGGCCCGTGATCACTTTGTCTAGTTCAGGCTGCTCGTCGGAGCGATGGTTTCGAGGTAGTGTGTCCAGACAATGTTAATTTCCATCAGGAATGAAAGAGGGGCTATTGCTCAGTCATGATACTAATCTGGTGACCAGGAAAATCGGAGTAATAATAATATGCACTATATATGTCAATGGCTTGAGGTCTCGTCTTTGAAGCCTCTATGAGGTGCTGACTTTGAGGTATAGGAACGCTCACCGTGTGCCATCTTGTGCACCAGGTCGATTACAGATACGAGTTCAAGAATCGCGGAACAAACAACGGCGAAGTCGACTAGCGATGCTTCCTGCGTGCGGCAAGTTCATCATGGCCATGGCATTCCAGCGAGAGTATTAGCCTCATCATCATCGTTGGGAATAGTCAGCACCAGCGACCAGATTAATCCTAATGAATCCGGAACATTTGAAAGTCCGATATCAGCGCGTTTACTTGTTGCATGCTGGTCTCGTCGTACTTGTCGAGGAGAGGACTGATTGTCTCATTGCCTGAAGCACTCAAGGGACTCTGTGCCTGTCCCGAAGCCTCCACGGCGGCCTGCGTGGCTCCAGCAGGTGGCGGCGCAGAGAGACGCTCGACCATGAGATTGGCAAGGTACCAGTACTCGTTTGCGTGGCGCATGAAGCCCACACGTCTCCACATGTCGTCTGGCGCGAGAAGATCGATGTCATGCTTGACGGTGGAATGCCGCGATTCACGCGAGAAGCGGACGAGGTACACGTGCCACACTCTCCTCCAGGATTGCAGAGCGTTGTGGATCGGATCGAGCGAGCCGTGGCAGCTGAAGGAGCTCTGGTAGTGGAAAATCAGAGAATGCAACGCCGACGTCATGGCGAAGAGGTTGAGAGGTCCAAGATCAGCCAGCGCCACGTTGAGACTCTCATCTAAGTCGGTGCGGTACAGAAGCTCGAAAGCGCAGGTGAAGTTGTCTGCCACCTTTGGCCGCCATAGCAAGTCGGCTTGATGTTGTTGCTGCAGAGTCTTGAAGCATGCTTCGGCTGTGGTGGCCTGGAAACATTCCTCGGAGCATGCGGCATTCATTCTCATTTCCCGGATGACCATTCGTGGCGGCAAGTTGTTGAAGATGACGAACGCCGTATCGAGGAGGAACACCCACAGAAGCACCCGGATTAACTCCTCCGTAATGGCAAAGGTGTCGAAGGAGAAGTCGCAAAGGTCCATCTGACCATAGTCGGGATGCCGGGCTCTGTGGATCCCAACGTCCCTCGCTGCCGCGATAACCATGCTGAAGCGTTGCCGCCGGATACGTCGCTTGCTGGAAGTCGTGCCCTCCCAATTCTGAAAGAGGCAGACCATGAACGAGGCCTGGAGAGCCCCGACCTTTCGCTTGCGCCGCTGCATGTCGCTCGTGGCGTGGGAGAGGGTATGAGCCAGGTCGTCACAGAAATCCTCATCGTCGAATACCACTTCTTCGACACAGTTAAACCATCTCTTCGCATTCTCGGCGTCGGTCTGGTCGGGCGAAACACAGGCTCCGATCAGACACATAGCCGCAAGAAGCTCGGCTTTAGCGTTCATCAGGTCGAACGTCGGCTTGTGAACGAAATTCACATTAGGGTGCCAGATCGCCCAGTATAATTGCATAAACCGCCGGACATTTGTCGGGGAGAAGAATTGGGCACACGTCTCGTGTATGCTGGGCGACCAAGAGAGTGTAATGTAGCTCTTCCTTGACTTGTGCAGCACAACATCTCTGATCGAAGTGACTATTTCATGACACTTGAAAGATAACGGGTCTGAGAGCCAGCGACTCAAGGTGGTCCCAGATTGGTGTGTTTCATCGGCTTCATAGCAGCCTGCCTCGTCTTCGTACACGCCAGGTGGGTCTTCCGGTGCAAGCTGTGCTGGAGATCTCTCAAACCCCGCCACTGTTGTCGCATTGGAATAGTAGGCATTGATTCGGCGGCGCTGCTCGATTGTCCCGCAGTCGAACGAAGACACGAACCCTGTCGTGCTGGTGAAAGTATCCAGGAAGCACAAAGAGCCAAGGTCGTCGTCTGCCCCCTCGAGGCCTGCGTGAGGGGTTTGCGTCCCTGAAGTGAAGTTCAAAAAATCCTGCCAGACGTCGGACCGGCCCTCGAACCCATAGTTTGGCGAAAGACCACAGGAGATCCATCCAGTGATATGTTCGAAAGAGTCCTCAGGCATATCAACAGGAGATTGTGCTTGATTGTCTCCAGTAGGAAGCCCAGACTGCGCGGCGGGTGGAAATGAGAACGACTCCGCTGTGTCTTCTGGTCGGTTGGATGGTGACAAGGCCAGCCTCTTGGGGTGAGGCTCTGACAAAATCGACGTGGCATCAGCGAGAGTATCGCAGGTCTTGAGGTGTCTCTTGAGCACATCGGAGCGCTGGAAAGTGCTCCGACAGAGGACACACACATATGGCCGTTCATCGCTATGCGAAATTTGGTGGCGACGCAAATGCTCGGGTCGTTTATATGACTTGGAACAAGTCGGGCACACGTTCGGTGGTAGATGGTCCGCCATGTAAGTCTGGCACAAGAGTATCTTCGCCAAAGCAAGGACAAGAGAGTGGCAACATGTACCTAGGTATGCATGCCAACCCGTTGCAACCACGTCTCTTGGGACTTGCCACGGATTAAGCATTCCCCATGGATCAGGCATTTGATCTCGGCAAATGTATCGTTCAAGTTCCCCGGAAAAGCGGAGCCCCCCGCAATGATATCAGCTTTGCTCCTCCACCCGCCACATACTTTGGCTACGGAGGCAATTGAACACTTCCAAATACACGAATCTTGTATATCTACACTCACAAGCGGATCCTTTACATTGAGATGATCCGTCACCATGTCTCTGAGCTCAAAAAGAGCCGCGAAAGACACCGGAACGCACTCTACCCCCTAAGGGCGCGCCTGGCTCACCCACTGCTTGGTCTGTGGATCCAGGCACTCATTCTCGGCTTTGTGCCACTCTTCCCTGACGATTGTCGCCCGTTCTGGGGATCTCGGAGTGATTTTTGCCTGGAACTCTTCTGGCATGCACACGAACCCCTGTGTCAACTTTTCCGGGTCCGGCAGGACCTTGTTCCCTTCGGCGTCCACGGCGGGCTCGATGTTGAATGCCCACAAGATCCGCGATATACCGAGGAACAAGCTGCGCTCGGCCACATGCATGCCTTGACAGATTCGCCGCCCGGCTCCAAATGTGAAGACATCTCGCTTGCTGGCATCGGCGTTAGCAGCCGAGTCGTAGAGACTCTGTGTATCGTCAATGTATCGCTCGGGAACGAACTCCCGCGGGTTGGGATGGCGATTGGGATCCATATGAATCGCCCAGACATTGTTCATGACTCCAGCACCCTTAGGAATGAGGTAGCCCATGTACTCATCATCCTTGGTCACTGCATGTGGCACAGCTCCCAAGATCGTGGTCGGCATCCAACGAAGTGTCTCCTTCATACAGGCACGGACAAACGGGAGGATCGATTCGTCGTCCATCGTAGGCAAGCGGTTGCCGACGGCCTTGTCAATCTCCTCCTGCGCCTTCTTCTGTACTTCCGGACATAGGACCATGGCTTGAATGAAGCCGTACAATGTGCTTGAGGTCGTGTCCGAACCTGCTTCAAGAAGTGTCCCACATATGTACGCTGCTTGGTCGTCACTGAAGCCCTCGGCCTTTTGAGCATCTGCCATACCCACGCAGAAGCATGGCTTGATATCCCCATTCTCGATATCAGCCTTCGCATTCAGCCAGTGTTTCAAGTATAGAGCCTTCTCATGTTTGTGAAGGGTCTTGGCTTTCTTCTGCGTCGGCAGCAGGAAGTCGGGCAAGTTCCGAAGGTCGGGGTAGAAATCGACCAACCCAGCAGCACCAGTCTGGTTGATCTCGGCAAACTCGGAAAATCCCTCAAAGAGCTGCTTCATGTTGGCGTCTTCGTACGTGGGCGTCCTCCACCCAAACACCATGGTGGTCGTCAAAGCATTCGAGTACCTCCTAATGTGCTTGAGAAAATCGTTGGGCTGCTCAAGGAGTTGGTACAGCATCTGTTTGTTCTCGAGCATCTGGTATGGAATATAAGATTTGGATATGTTGACGTTGAGAAGGCCATGGATCATTTTACGGAACTAAATGAACAGCGAGTCAATGGAGATGCTCCCAAGACAATCTTCTGTCACTTACACCTCTCCATACTGGTCCATATCCCTTCACGAGCAGTTAGCACAAGATGGACCACCAGAGACGCTTCAATTTACCATCATAAGCATCCTCAAGCCTCCGCTGCACAAGGTCTGACCGATATACATGTCCAGTCTGTCCGAGTATATGCCACTTCGTCTGTCAAGAAGCTCTTTCACAGCTTCGTCACTTGACAACACGATTAGCACCTGGGTGCCGAGCATCAAGCTGTATACTGGACCGTATTCGCGCGCCCATTTTTCAAATTGTAAGTGAGCATCTCGGGTCGGCATCTAGGGGAATTAGCACCAGCCCGTGAGATTGGAGGTGTCTTCATATCGAGCAGGGACCAGATACCTGGTGAAGATTGCCCAACACTGGCAACGTAGGAGGGCCCGGCGGATAGCCCTTTGGCCTCCGGCCTATGGATACTAGGCGTATGCAGCCTGTTAGCAGGGCCACCACGGCCAGCAAAAAGTACATGCCTGGCATACTGTCTGGGCCTGAGGCGAAATCCAAACAGGCGAGAAATTCAGTCGGTGGCTGTACGTGGCCGTGGTGAACTGCGCGACTCAAGTATAAATACTCTCACCAAGCAACTGGCAGGTTGGACTGGCAATGAGTTTCAGGCTGATTTCCATTGGCTGATGCGCAAACTGTGCGAACCGGATCAGGATCCGTTAAGTGTGGAGGTGGGATGCCAGCGAGGCTCTGCCCACAAGGCAAAATGCGGGGGTGGGGGTGGGATAGACCCCTCTTGACTCTGAACCTTCGCTCTCAGCGCTCCTCGGTGTCTTCCTCGCTTCGTGCAACGGTTGGTCAGCCTGCTATTTGATTCTGGGAGATAGTTGTTCACAAGGCCCCGCCTAGTGCTCAGAGCAATTAGCGTGCAAGAGAAGTTTTGTATATAAATTGTGGAAGCGACCGGCATATCGGAAGCTTTGAAGCATTGCAGGTCCGGTTGTTGGGGAGGGTTTTCGTTCTCTATCCTCTCATATCAAATCTGTGACAGCTAGCCATGGTCTCCTGGTGAATATAATTATGCTGGTCAATGTGGCCATTCCCTTCGGCTGCTTTGGACTGCGAAAGGTGTTGCAGGGTGTCGGGAGATGTTTCACGTGGAGCCTGGCAGGCCGGGCTTGGTCCTGCTGAGGATAATCTAGCGGCAAATCACTCAAGCGCGTGTCTGTGTAATCGAGACGAAAAGTCCAAGGACGGCTAGAATCAACAGAGCATTTGAGTCCTTGACGGTACAGATGCTCCTCCGCATAGCTGGCTCACCATGCCTCCTCCACAGCCACTCTTAGACATGCCCGAAAACCTCATTGTAGTCTGCGTCGGTATCTTTGAATAGCTCGAGAGTGTGGCACATGGCTTGCAGGCACGAACTTTGTATGGCGCCATAACTTGGCAGCGGGTGGGAAGGAAAGAAGCCCACGTGAACCGCACCGCCACGAAGGAAATATACGCACAGGGCGGATTGCTGGAAAAGTACAAACAATTCACAACCTAACCGACTTGAAAAAGCTGAAAATAGAAATTTCGTGGCATACCCGTGAGCCTGTCGAGCGTCGATACTTACACATATCTTTCCAGGAAGCCGAGATTCAACTAAAGGAGGTGGAAGGGTGGAAGGGGAAGTGGCGCGGAGGTTGTTGGTGTCCGTCCTCCACATGTCAAATGAGCCCACTCACCCAAATAAAGAAGGACTATCACGCTGCTCTGACAACCTTGGAACTTTTGTCAAAGCGGCGTGTTTTGACCTCTCCCTGAAGGGACCTCGGGAGGGTTCAGCATCGCAGTATCACAGCTTTGTCGCGTCTTCCCTCACACGTCTCAGCATTAATCCTCTGCTTGGGATACCAGAAAGGTGAGATCGTCTTGTCATTTCTCTAGTCAGCCTATTTCATTTGGGATTTTCTGCTTTGAAGCCACAACAAATCTTCTCTGCGCTGGCTTCCGACAGCCCGAATGGACATCAAGTCCCGCACACGCGCGTATCCTTTCACACCATCTCCCATCTCCTGCTTTTGCGTCTACCCATTCACCCGCAAGCCACGTGAGCATCCACCTCAGTTCAAGTGTAAACACTCAAGAATCCCTTGGGGAAGTCCATCAACGATTTACTCCACGGCTTGCCGCTCGCGCATGACTCCGGATCATATCCCTCCTGTGAGAAAATCTTCTGGATCTGACGACGCCGAATTCCAGTGTTGGAACCCTCGAATAAGGGCAGACACAGGGCGTCGTCCATCATCTGGCCATACGGCTGCGACGTAGCGTACGCGGTGACGCCGACCGCCTGCATGGCCTCCAGGACGCACTGGATAGCGTTCTCAGAGCCCCAGACCTTGGCCTGATAGGCCATCTCCGCCTCGCCCGTGGTCTCGAGATAGTGGCACGCCTTCCAGGTAAGGTAGCGGGTGGTTTCCTCGCGCATCTTCATACTGATGAGGAAGTCAGCAACGGACTGATAGTTGATTGTCGGGACACTGCCGCCGCGCTTCTCAGTGGTGACGATCTTGTGCGTGTGTGCGAAGCAGCTCCGCATCAAGCCCGCGGAACCAGCACCCACCAGCGCTGCCGACTCGGTGAAGGCTGCCACATTGACCATTGCCCCCTTGCCCGGCGGTGCCAGGATATTCTTGACCGAAACGCGGAAATTGGTGAACTTGGTGCGCGGTCCTGAATGTGCACGGAACCCATGCGTCTCGATGTCGTAGAGCACCTCAAATGCGCCTTTGTTCTTGTCGGCTTCAAAATCGGCGCGAGTCAGAACCACCATAGACAGTGACTCCTTGGGGTCTCCTTTGTCGCTAAACCGACACAGCAAGGTCAAGATTTCGGGACCCCGAAAATCCCACCCAGCACTATTAGAGGCGAACTGCTTGCCGCCATTGATGACAACCTCGTCGCCCTCGATCTTGGCCAGAGTCTGCACGCCCAATCCGCCCTCATTCTGCAGGTAGTTGGCGCTGCCAGTGGGCTCGGTAAAGCCCAGAGCCGCCAGCGCGTCCCCTTTGCAGTCGATAAAGGGTGCCAAGAACCTCTTCTTCTGCTCCGCGTTCCCGTACATGAAGATCGGGGCTAGGCCTAAGCCTGTCACGAGCCATGTGATGGGAAAGCTGGAGTCAGCAGCGAAGAACTCCTCGGTGATCAGGGCCAGGTCAACCAGGCTCTTGCGCGAACCTCCTTCACTCTCTGGGATCTGGATCTTGATCCATCCCTCTGCGACGCACTTGGCGTACGCTTCCCTGGTGGCCCGGAAACGCTCCTCTTGCGTGGGCAGTTTCAGATAAGCATCACGCGTTGGGACCAAGACCTCTTGCGCAAACTTCCTTGCATCCGCCTTGAGCTTCTCCTGGTAAGGAGTCAGAGTAAAATCAATCGGCATGGTCGAGTCGTTCAAGATTCTGGGGCACGATGGTGCTAAAAGTCAAACGGATACTTATATAGACGCTTCCGCAATAAAGTAGGGCCGTTGTCGTGGGTACCTAGGTAAGATAGATGGAGAGTCGCTCTTCTGTTCTAGAGGCTCTGGGTTCTTCAACTTCCGGCATGAACATCTTGGACACGAACCCCTTCTTATATGCCGTGCTGTTCCTGGCTTGCTCAATCTCAAGCCCTCTCCTCTGCCATATGCAACCATATCAACGGAATGTGTAATCCCAGGGATCGATATCGCAATGCATCAGTAAGCCCCACCTCAATTGAGCCCTTATCTATGTTCTCGGGTTCAAGCTTGTCGGTTTGTGCGAGTCGTTTTTGGGATGAACGCGCCCTTGCTTCAAAGATGATAGATCGTCCTGGATAGTCCCGTTGGCACGGGCTTGCGGATCCGCACGCTGGCTGGTTGACAAGTGGGCTACGCAAGCCTTGGAAAGTTAGAGAACTTGACAGTAAGAAGCGCCCATAAGTCACCAGATATGCTACTGTATTTGATATTGTGGAAATGGATAACGTCAACCCGCTCCGCTCCAAGAAAGTGTCCATGTCCATTTTCTCCCTTCGTCGATATGGGCGCATGTCTGGCTTCCAATCTTGCATCGGGATGATATCTTGTCAATTGGCTTGTTTAGCGTCATGCCTCCCGTGAAACAAGTGATAGAGCTTGTATTGGCTGGAAGCACCCTCGTTATCATCGAGAAACTCCATGCCTTGCATCTTGGGAAATGGATATGCACTTGTATGTACATAGCATAAACTTTATAGGTGAGACTAAGGCTAGCATATTTTCAGCTAGCAAAACGTACCTGCACTCGCCGTTTCTTCTTGATATGCCGGCTCGTAAATAGTTCGCTACCAAGCCCGAACAAGAGGTCAGAGCTGGGGACTAGTATCAATGCGTGAACATCATCCTCTGTTTTGCCCAATCATCTCCCGCGCTGCTCGATTTCCGAGGAGATGAGTTGGTTCTGCGTGGACCTCGTTTCGTACCCCCAAAGTTTATTTGCTCTACCTTCTCCATGCCGGAATGCAAAGGCCGGATGATTGGCAGTCACTAACCTTGTATACTCGACCTTGGTCCTCCCAGCCCAGTTGATCAGGCTATCCTCTTCAACACCGACGCAGTTTCAAGTCCAGTCCTTATCTTCCTTTGCTAATTCGGTCGAAAGACGGCCGGCAGACCGTGTCTCCTTTCGCGCCCGCGGAGATACCGCGAGATGAGGAAGAAGCAAATCGGTGATTTGGAGACCTACAATATCCCTGCCTTGCCTACCCTAACCAGAGTGTGTGGAGCCTTGTCTTCGTTGTCGAACCACCGGTTCGTGTGCCTGCATGAGTGAAACGAGCCCACATCCTGTCCTTAGAATGCTTCTCCTCCTTCTGGCCGCTCGATAATGGTGACTGGTCAAAGGGTGATGGTGTGGGCCGGCCTCTGCTCTAACCAGATGTGGTAGCCTTGATCGATGCTTCACTGAGGGCCTCCCAATTGCTGAAACAAACCTGGTGGAAGTACGGTAACGACTCGACACTGCCCCATCTCGAGTCCAGCTTCAGACTGAATTAATTGATATCTGCTTACAAAACATGTCGAGCCGAGATAAGAGGACAACACACAAGTGTGTCCAGTTGCAAGCCACTGCAAGGAAATGTCCAACCCTACAATCTCTTTTGGATTTCAGAGAACCAGTCTGTGGTCAATGCTTTCCGGATATGGTGCTTGGCTTTTAGACCATAGTTCCGACTCACGCATTCATTGCCTTATGTGGCAACCTCATCTCGGTAACATTCCGGCTGCAAGGACGGGACCGCCATGCCACAGTCGTGACAATCTAGTTTTGAGCATGGCTATCAGGTTTTCTTCCATGTTCCTGTCCTCGGCAGGACAACACTGCATGCATCAAGGAAGTCGGCTGCATATAGCCCTGCTGACAAAGTGAACCTCGTTCACATCAATGCGGTTTTGAGAAGGATCGATTGTGAAGCTCCATCTTCGAGAGCTTGACGCTTCTTTGTCCACCGAAGAGAGTCAACAGAGAGACCACAGCCGGCCCTCTCTATTCGCCGCTGGCACATCTCGATTTGGCTGCGTTTTCCCCAATGAGGTATATTGGCAGCGAGCCGCCCTTGTTGGCATGGTCTTCTTCGGCCCTCATAGTTACCTATTTCACATCCTTTGCGGCCCACACCTGACGAGATCCCAGTCTTGTCTAACTTTGACCAAAAATGCTAGTGATCTCCAGATCCTGAAGGTATATCCGCGGACATCATCCTCGTTCCTATACGACAAGGGTTGACAGTTCCAGGACCGCTTGAGGAGATTGTGATAACGAGAATTTTGACAGCTCCGCGGCCTTTGAGTCAACTATCTCTCATATCGAAGGTATCGAAGACTGTAGATGCAATGGCGTCGTCATCAGGGACCCCGTGGCCAGCTGCGAATGAATGGAGTGGATGCGTTGCAGGGAAAAGGGGGAACAGTCAGGGACCACCAGCAAGGGAGAAAAAGTACCTCGTCCAAGTCTCTCCCTAGACAAAGTAAGACGCTCTTCAACCTATTATAATAACCGACGCAGCCAGAGAGAGCCTGAGACACTCTCTTGACAGACGCAAGTTGTGAAGGATTTCTGGAGACAGACTTATCATCAATCAATCTTTTGTTCAAACAAACCCCGATGGAGAAAGAACCATCAGACCAGATGGCGCGCATTGCCCGCGAGATCTCTATGTCACCATCGACATACGAGAAAATCTATCTCTCGCCGCCGACTAGCGACACTCGACAGCTGCGCAAGACCTTTGCCAACCCGACTCCTTTGTACGTGTTCTTCCCGCATGCTGTCTTTTAACTTGAGACCTCTATACCTTACCCGTATTTCCGTTTCACGAGGCTAATCCCTCATTTTCAGGTGCCTTCTAGGCTTCATCATGAGCCTGGGCCCGTTGTCCTGTGACCTCATGGGTTGGAGAGGTGCCGGAGGAAATGGTTCCTCGTCCATCGGCGTATTCTTTTTCATGGGCGGGCTTCTGATGATCATCGGAGGCGTCGGTGAATTCATCCTAGGAAACAGTTACCCATTTATTGTCTTCTGCGGCTTTGGTGCGTAAACATATCGGCCTTTCCTTCACTTGTCGGGAATTGTCGCCTATTGTCTTGTGACAACGCAGACCCTTCGAGAAAACACCCCTAGCTTGATCCTACACTGACATGCGACCTCGATAAAGGAGGATGGTGGTTGAGCTTCGGGGCAACATTGAAACCTTCGTTCGGAGCGTATGGAAACTACTCGCCTGATGCTGCGGATGCTGCGGCCGGGTTGTCAACCACCGGTTTCCTGGCTGGATTCGGTATGTGCACCTTGCAGGATGGCAACTTGCTCAGCGAGTCATTGGAGACAAATTAGACTGACACTTGAGATCACCTATGCGAAGGATTCTTCCTCCTGTTCATGGCCCTTTTCTGCCTGGTCTGCCTTATTTGCGCTTTGAAGCTCAACGTCTGTCTGGTCATCATCCACAGTACTCTGGTGATTTGCTTTTGTCTGCTCACAGGGTCATTCTGGCATGCCGCAGAAGGAGGAGCAACAATAGCCTCGAGGCTTTTGATCGTGAGTTCCTTCCTAATTCAATTTTGATGAAGGGCGACATGGGCTGATAACGAGTGAATGGACGATCGTACCCAGGCGGGTGGTGCATTTGGTTTCGTGTCGACCGTCGCGGCAAGCTATCTCTTCCTGTCGCAGATGTTGTTGACTGTCGAGTTTCCTATTTCTCTTCCTGTGGGTGATTTGAGCTCGGTCCTTTCAAGCCTTCGCCACCCAGTCAAGGGGAAGGAGAGCAGAGAAGATCCTTGAGGGAACGCCAGGAAGATGAGTGAGAGGACAGCCAACTATGATTTGAGAAGAGCTGCTGGAGGGACATGCCTACCTATGTAGGTATGTAGGTAGATAGTAGAAATGGTAGAGTGTTGGACCACTTAGACAGCTGTTCTGACAGCTGCGCGGGGAATCGTACATGAACATGCACTGGTTCTCCTCTGGCATCCCCGCCATTGTCACCGTCATCAATCCACCCGGGTTTCGTGCATTGGTTTCCCTTGGATTTCTGTAATAGCATTCGCCGAATAACCAAATTCTGTCGTTCTCGGGCGGATTAGCTACCTTGGGTGTTGAAGTGCTGGAACACGTCGCCCAAAATATCTGCTGCTACAGCACTTACCAAGATCAGTGTCCTTCCCATCACATCGCCAACGGCCCCAGGGGCGGCTATTTGCACGACTGGTGTGTGTCAATTCCATGTTCCATCGCCACCGTTTCCTGCTTATCCAAGTGGGAACTCCGCGCGGCCAACACTACCTCGAGGGCCCAGAGAGAGCTACATCATGAATCCTTGAATTCCGATCGAAACTTGGTTCTCTCTTTCATTCTCAAACTTCCACCAAAGCGGTTTAGCAAAAGTGATTCCCCTTCTCCTTCTCTGTAGGAGAATCTCGGCCATCTACGTACGTCAATCCTCGTCATAAAAGTCTAAATGACATAACGGAATAGCTTATTCTCCTTGTCCGTCAAGTCCAAGAACTCGACGTTGGTGCCATGGCCGTCAGAGATCTCACCACGCTCGAGCATCCTCTGCCGCCGCTTGTTCTCCCAGGTGTTCAGCACAAAGAAGCCGCATAGGATGAGCACGCTGACAATCCAGAGGACGAGCAGACTGATCTTGGCATGCTGGTAGAAGGGTGGGTCGCGGAACGTCTGAGGCCCAACGAGGTATGCGACGCCGAGAATTAGGAAGACGATGGAGTTGAGAGTCGTCTTCTTGGTGGTGCCGAGCACGTTGCTCGACAGCATAGAAATGACAATGAACCAGCTGGTAGAGCAACTGCCGCTCATGAAAAAATAGGCGACCAGTTGGCCGTTCTTGCGGTAAAAGTGGCCGTGGTCCCCCAGACCGATGAACAGGCTGGCACCGAAGAGGGAGAAGAGGCCGGCTAGAATGGCGGCGCCACTGCGCTGGTGTGTCACGTCGGCGAGCATGCCAAATCCCATGTTGCAGATGACGCTGATGGCGCCCTGTGGGATGTTGAGGAGGAGAGTCTCCTTGACTGTGAAGCCGAGGGACTTGATGATGATGGACTGGAGGAGCACGAGACCGGCGGCAGGGATCTGGGACGAGAGAACAAAGACGACGTACATCCATGTCTAAGATATGCGTGAGTATAGCATCGAAGGGGGGGGAAACTAAGGGGGGAAATGGGGACACACCCTGTAGTCGGTCAAAGCCTCGACGGCTTGGTAGCGTTTGTATTGCGTCGAGCCAACACCCTGATGGTTCTCTCGCAGCCGCTCCACAGCCAGAGTCCGCTCCTCTTCAGTGAAGAACTTGGCCGTCACGACGCTGGTGGCCATGAAGACGTACATGCAGACTCCGTAGACAACAGAGACAATGCCAGTCACGACAGCCAGGATCTTCCAGCTTGAGAAGTTGGCATCGGGATGTCTTGTCTCTCCATCCACACATCCAAACGCAATCAATCCGCCAATCATGGTAGCGACACCGGTACAGCCCGACCAAATACCAGTCCTGCTGCCGTGCTCGTACTTGCGATACCACGCGGCCGTGATGAGGGAGAACCCGCAGTTGATCGAAGCCTCGAGAGCTCCGAGGATTGTTCGTTGGACCATAAGGCCGGCGAAGTTATGGCAGGCAGCCATGCACGTCAGAACGACACCCCATGCCATGACACAACATGCAATGTACTTTGACGGCGGGAAGACTTGGAACAGGCGGTTGTGAACGGGAGCGAAGACGATGTAGCCAGCATAGTAGATTGAGCCCAGCCACGTATACTGACTGGAGGTCAGGTTTGTCTCCTTCTGGAGACCCATGACACCGGCATAAGAGAGGCTTCAGCGCTTTGTGTCAGCGAGCACAGAAAGAAGGGGTGGCGAGGCAGTCTCTCACACTCCCTTGTCCAGATACTGCAGAACATAGAGTCCGCACAGCCATGGCAGGACATGCCAGTCAATTTTCCGGACCAGGTGCTTGTTTGTCTTGTCATCGATCTCCACGGCGACAGCGCTGGCATAGCTGTAGGCGCCATCCGCTCCCTTGATCTCCTTGACGTGACCGACGTCGAGGCCCAAGTCTTCAGCAGCGGCCTGGACGTCGAGGGTGGGGGCCGCATCCCCAATCTTGTCGTCGACTGCAGTTGTTGTTACCGGAGATTCTTTCCCCATGACGGACAGCAGTCGAGCAAATTACAACTTCCACGTAGAGCAGGACAGATGGAGGGGGAGTTTTCCAGCACAGATTGCCTCTGCTTCTCCGACCAGATTGGAGCACGACGCGACGGGTGATCAGTATCTTTATACCCGTTATCAGAGACAGAACGGCCGCGAGAGTACCACCAGGCGGTAGACTTAGGAAGGCGTCTTCATTGCTCTACTCAGACCTCTTGACCATCGGATTTGGACCGTGATTCAGGAGTCGCTCATGTCCTAACGCACACAGCACCGCTGATAAGGATACCGGAGCATTGAACACCGTGGTTGATCCTTTCTCAAAGAGGATGGGAGACCAGGAGTTTGGCCGTCATCCAAGGCCGCCTAGGGCCCAGCCCAGGGGACATTGAATGTATGGGAGCATAGTATACACGGCCCTCGCGTATTGACAGAGCCCAGTATCGGGGTACCTGTCTCTCGGCATATCCGATTGACTCCTTTTGAGAATGATTGTTCGGGAAGTCCCGAGCCACATGTGGCGGGCAGTCTTAGCCAGCGGGCGGCTGGGACGCATCATGCGTTGCTAAAGCCATAGCGACGGTTTGATAGGATAGAGGATGGGTATAGGAGAGACGATAGGATGAAACCAGGCGACAAGAGGAGACTGGTCCGCAGTCCTGATAGGCGAGGATGCTCGATCTTAGAGGTGGGCAGCAGTACCTATTACCTACCTGGTAGGTAGCGAGGTAGGTACCTCTAGTAGGAAAGCCTCGGGCTCCACGCCCCCACGCGGGAGATCGCCTTCCTCGCACCACTCTTATCCTCAGGATTTCGACTCTATCAAGACGTTGATGACCGCTCTACCGATCCCCCAGCGCGGTCAGGTCCGACCAGCAGCAGATCCTATTGCGGCGTCGGCAAAACCGCTGCCTGCAAAGATATAAACGCCATGGCTATCGCGTCTGGGAAGGCCTTGATCTGAGCCCCCAAACACCAGTCTAACCACCTTTTTGACGCACATTACCCCATCGTCATAATGGGTTCTCTCGGTTATGAAGAAGTTGAGGTAAGCCGCCGTCACCACAGGTCCCTCAACCATCTGACTCGCGTTTGCAGTACGTTCACTACCATGCCGGCGGAAAGCGGGGTTCTCGCCCTGTTCTTCGAGGAGCGGCGGCGAAGAAGACGTTTGAGTCCATCCCCGTGATCGACATCTCGGGCATCTTCTCTGACTCTCTCGAGGACCGCAAGAAGGTCGCGAAGGAGGTGGGCCAGGCGTGCCGAGAGGTCGGCTTCTTCTACGCCGAGAACCACAACATTCCGGACGAGATTATCGACCAAACATTTGCCGCAGTCAAGAAGTTCTTTGAGCTCTCGCACGAGGACAAGATGGAGGTGCATATTCACAAATCCAAGGCACTTCGCGGCTACGAGCCGCTGTTTGAGACCAAGATGGAGGGTGCCGGCAAGGGAGGTTCGTCTATCGTCTCGCCCACCACCTGCAGTATCAGGCTAACCACGATGCCACGGCTGTAGACATGAAAGAGGCCTTCACCATGGGCGATGATGCCACAGAACCCGAGTCGCAGGCGCCCAGCAGCATCAAACCAACGGCGGTAGAGCGCAGCAACTGCTGGCCCTCGGCGTACCCCGAGTTCCGTCCGGTCATGTACCAGTATTTCCGCTCGGTGATGGCCCTATCCAAGAAGCTGATGCAGATCTTCGCCCTGGCACTCGATTTGCCCGAGACCTACTTTGACGCCGCCACATCATACCCCATGGGTGGCGTGCGCGTCCTGCACTATCCACCTCAGCCCGTCCCTGGCGGCGCAGACATTGGGCTTGGGGCGCATACCGACTACGACTTCTTCACCCTTGTGCTCCAGGAATCGGTCGAGGCATTGCAGGTGCTCAACGCCAACGGCATCTGGATTGACGCGCCGCCGCGCCCACGAAGCTATGTGGTCAACATCGGCGACTTCCTCAGCCGCATCACTAACGACAAGTTCAAGTCGACGGTGCACCGCGTCGTTAACAAGAGTGGGAAGGAGCGCTATTCGATGCCCTTTTTCTTCAGTCCCAACCGCGAGGCCACTCTCGCCACTGTACCCACCTGCATTGAGGAGGGTACCAAGTACGAGGAGGTCAATGCCGGCGAGTACTTCCGCGAGCGCCTCATTGCCGCCCGCTACCAGCACCCCGCCGCGAAGGAGGTACGCGCCATGCAGGTCGCCGCTACGGCGTGAAGATTTGTTCTTTCTGTGAACCTGCCATATTCTGGAGATGAATGTGAACAAAAATGAAAATTACCATCCTGTTCCTTGAGAGGAGCACCATTTTCTGCTGTGGCTCTGACATCCGTCTTGATCGGGTCTCCCCTCTCGTCCGTTTGGCGCCTTTTTGCTGGGCATTAAGTTAGGGGTTCCTTTTAGCTAAACCTTTAACTGAGCTTAATTCAAGCTTTGGCTGAGCTGTCGACTGACGTTGCCTTCCAGTTACCTAGAATGCTTACCCAGTGCCACAAGGAAAAGGGCGCCAAATGGGCGCAACTTGAAGGGGAGATACCCTCTTAACTACTAGGCAATAGCCCATTTGCACTTTGTCTCCTCAAATGATGTAGCCTGTCCCGGATAGAGGCGTGTCGGAGACTGCCACTCATCCACTCCCCCGTTTCAATGCACCACTGAACGATCCGATCACTTGACCGATGAACCTCTCTCACCACGTGTCCTGACTCCGGACAATCGAGGGCAGTAGGATGCAGAAACCGGCACTGTCTCAGCCAGCCACGGGTCAGTCAAACGGTGTCCTTGGAGGCTTCACCGTCCACATCGACATTCGTGGACATGGGTTGGATCATTTCAAGCTCGAATACAGCCTCAAAGGAAATTAAACTTGTGGTGGCGTGTTTCCGGGACCGCCGCCGAAAGGGACTATGCTGAGGCTGACCACAAGATGAGCAAGAAGTTAGACACCCACACACCATCCTTCTGCATCAATGGGTGCTTCCCCGCCACTGCGATACAAGGGAAATCGAATCCCGTAGCCCGAAGTCTCTGATTCAAATCTGCAATCATACATATTGGACATCTGGAGCTGCATCTTCTCAGCTTTTGAACGGCTAGGAGTCAGTATCGATGCAACATGGAGAAATGAAAGACCACCTACTCAAACCTCACCAGGCCCAGAGCAAGAGGATGAAAAGCAGGAGTGGGCGCATCAAAGGAGAGCAAGGAACAGAAAACCGGGCTTCGAACCATTACTGGCCCCTCGTCAGGGAAAAGGTAAGACCTAAATTTGACCACACTCGCGAAGCTGTCTAGACCTTGGCCGTGAAGTACCTTCCCCGAAAGTCTAACGTGCAACGAGATGGGCTTTGAGGCGGAGACAGGAACATGCAATTCGCGACGGAGACTACCTCGTACAGTGCAGTCCATGCGTCCATCCTAGTTACTGACCTATAAGGCTGGATCAGACTGTTAAAACGGTGGAGAAACTCGGACGACAGGAGTGGAGCGAATCAGCCGCCATCCAAGAATTTTCATATTGCATATTGCAGCTTACAAGGCTACCCGTCAAGATGGCGTTCGAACACATTCCTATTGAGGCGGTTGCACTGCGGAGGTGCAGAATGGTGGCGCTAGAGTGCATAGTCCCATCCACTTCTGTGAGTCCCAATCCAGATATCCTCTACTGAGGTCCACCACGAGAATTGAATAATGCCTGTCCTCCGCATTCAATTCCTCTGAATAGCCAGCGCACGGACAGTAAACCAATAAGCTAACTCGTATCATCAGGGCGAGAAACGGAAGCATATCCATCTGAGACATCCATGCCTTGCCTCGTTTCCCCTATCTCTTTGGGACGACACGCCAAATCTGACCATCAAATTTCCCCATCAAGGAGAGATATGGATTTGCTGCTCGCCCTACAGTTGATCAACGATTTTCTGGGGAAAACATGAGGTCCTCCATGTCTAACGGTCCGCAGGCTTGACTGCGCCGTGTATATAGGTCGCTGCGTACAGAATATTGTCATCCTTTTCCCTTTCTCTGTTGTCTAGTTCCCCTGTTCCTGGTCGTCCAGGTCTGGTTGTCTGTCACTCATTCAATTGACTTCCCGTTATTTGTTCATTCATTCATTACTTCATCCTCCAATTGCTATGTTTTCCTTGCCAGTTTGGTTGGGCACCTTTGTCCTGCTGGCTGCTCTGACGCCAGTCTGCTTCGCTCATCCGTATGGAGGGCCTGGAAACGATGGAGGAGACACCCTTTGGTCAGGTCCTTTTGAAACCTATTGCTACACAGCTATGGGCCCATCTCCGCGATGGCAAGAACAGACGACAGCCTGGGGGACAAAAACCACGTCCTGTCAGAGCACTTCCACCGCCACGGTAACTGAAACTACAACGGCTACTGCATCAACCTCGACCGTCACTACGATCGTCACATCAACTACAACAGGGCCCGCGTCCACAGATACAGCAACGACTACTGCCACAGTTTCCACTTCTACTGTTGTATCTGCGCCTACGGTTACATCGACCGACACCTCGACGAGCACGACCCTTGCGACAAGTACAGTTCCAACAGTGTCTGGATTCTTGCCTATCGAATCGACTCTGCCGGGAAGTGCAAGCTCTAAGAAGAAGCGCAATGTCTCCCGCTTCGCTCCGCTCCAACCTCTACCCGGCCACTCCCTTGGAGGATCTGTCTGGATAGGGAACAGCACCAAATACGCTACCCACAACATGTCGTGTGTCAAGTATATCATGGTGAATGTTCGACAACAGTTGTGACCTCAACCGTCTCCTCGACCGTGACCCCTTCGGCCTCGACTGTGACGAGCACCTCAACGACCGTCCTTACATCGATTCCTACCGCGTTCACCACCACTACAGTGACGGCAACTTCGACCAATACTATCACCTCCACGCCAACCACCACTGTAACCACAACTGTCACCGTACCAAGTTCCGGCACCACAACGACAACATACGCCGCCTGCGCCACAAACAATCTTGTCAGTACCTATGACGGCCAAACACTTTCAGACCTAGCGTACACAGACGATGAGCAGGCAGAAACGACTGTTGTCAGAACTTCCGCCGATACCGCTTATGACTGTTGTGTCATGGCCATTTTGGATGAAAACTCTGTAGTCTTCGAGCTTGTTGATGGCACCTGTTATGTCGTCGAGGCTGACACTTGCACCCCCGGCGACCAGGCTCTCACATTTACTCCCGTCACCAATACAGGAGTTTCGTCGACCGCTGGCAACTCAGTCTGTGGCGAAGTTGTTCCCGCGAGTTAAAGAGCTGGGCTGTCTCGGATGGTGTGGTTGGGTTTGCGTCGAGTTCGACGGGGTCAAAGAGGGATTGTTCTTTCATTTTAGGCATTGACTTATTCGCCAGAAAGCAGGGGCTTGGTTTCAACATGGTGTAGGACTCAGTAATATTTGCCATTTTCCCATGGGATATCGTGGTCTATTGTTGTGCGGAATTGAGGACGAATATATATTTTGGGGGGATTTAGCGGCTCAAAGACATATGCAACTTCGACGCTTCAAGATTCATGCCCATACACAGGGGACAGGTCCGTTACCAAAGTTTTCCTCGCAGTCAACTTCGTTATCGATCTGCTTCAAGTGGTAGAGTGCAACTACTATACTAACGTACCTTCCTTCTACATGCTCCACATCAACAATATCCACACAGAAGTATATTTTAGGCTTTGCCGTCTATCAAGTAAGGTCACGTAGGCTATAGTGGTGGTGGAAGTAGTAAGACTTTGGCAGAATGTCGTTGGGGCGTCGTAATGACGGTAGTATTAGGAACGCCGTGCGGGAAGGTTCACATTCTAGAGGAGGAGAGCTCGCAGTTCGAGAGGGCAGGAAGAGGGCTTTGCAGTTTATTAGCAGAAGGGGGTTCTCTTTGAATGAGAGGACTGGAAAGGAGTTGAGCATCGTCAAGGCGTCAAAAACTGATGGGTCGGCGCGCCAGCCCACACCGTGGAGGAAGTGAGAGGGTATTATATCGTAAAAGCGGCACGGCGGCGATGTGTCGCACGTGAGCCCCGAACAATTGTTCCTCCCTCACCTTCACTTGCCAAGCCCCGACTGCGATGAAGCCACCTCGACTTCAAGTTGTTGACTTGGTGGAGTCTCCCTGTGCTTGACGTAGATTCTTTCGCGTCTGGTAACCTTGTACCCTTCTTCACCTTTCCTGGCCTCTGAAAATCACCATGGCTTCGACCGACGACGCTTTGGAGACCTACACTCACCTTCCCCTCCATATCGACCCCCAGACGAAACAGATCTCCATCCTGTCCTCGGACAAGACACTGCAAGATGCGGTCTCCAGTATCAACAAGCTCCACACGTCCTTTAAGTCACTTGAGACCCCAAATAATATTCCACCTCCCCCTCTCCCGGTCAACCCCAAACGATCAGGTCAGATCCAAAAATTGCGAGAGTCCGCAGTTGCATCCTCACGCAAAGGCCAGCATGCAGACGCGATCCGCCTCCTCGGATTTGGCATAGATATGGCTGCTGCACGACCGGGATGGGAGCCCATGGGACTGGCCAGAGAAGAGCTCGCCTTGATGTATCTCTCTCGTGCTGCTGCCAATGCTGACCTTCAAAACTGGGTCGAAGGTCTGAAAGATGCCGAGTGCAGCGTTGAGTGCAAACGAGGCCCTGGCACCGGTCCGAATGGGGAAAAAGTTCCTGGCAACGCGAAAGCGTACATTGTCGGTGGAAGGTGTCTGATGGAAATGGGACGATGGCAAGATGCCGTTGACTGGCTGGAGAGAGCGATTGAAATCGAGGGCAAAGAAGGCGACGATTGTCGAGAACTCGTGCGACGACTAACGGAAGCAAAGAGGCATACGGAAAACAAAGGTTGAACGATCAACGCAGCTGAGTTAGTCTTTGAATGCTGCATTGCGCAAGCACAGAGACGTGAGGACTGAATGAGGTCGATGCATCCTGTATGAGAGTAACAACTCAACTTGACGGGAATTTTGCTCGCCACTGATCGTCCGTTCCGGTTCACAATACATCATAGCATTCACTCCGCCTTTGAGAAGATACCGGATTCCTTCAACAGCGGTACCGGCACCAGACACCAGAAAGATCCTGTGATATTTTGCACCATATACACATTCACAGGGAAGTGAGGCAACCATATCTAAGGCTCCTTTCACGGTTCAAGAGGTTGCAAACACGAGCAGTGTCTCGACAAGCCTCGCTAAGAGATTCCGGCTCTTTCTCACCTTCATCAGAGTCCCAGTTTCAGATTGTGGAAGACCTTTGCGCACAGAACTCACACACGATGGAGAACACACGGATTTGACTGGACGGAAGGGCGAGATCAAGTCGGCGTCCTTCTTGGCCCATGACTCGACTCTATTCGATGCCGCAGCTGGAATGAGCACCATCCTCGAAGCAACGCGAAGATCTTGTGGAGGTGTCGACCTCTTCTGGCACATTGGAAGATAGGATATCCTGGGGTATATTTGGTGGGAGCATTGATCGGCCTCACGGGATGTATTTTTTTCTAAATGCAGGGTTGCAAAAGCAAGCACTCAAGGAGAACGAGGGCTTTAAGGTGGTGTGGGCGGGTGATATCCAGCTCAAAATCTGCATGGTCTGTGTTATTATGGATATAGCCTTCTTCGGCAATGATTGTAGAATTCCATAGTTCATGGCAAGCTCTCTCAGTGAGATCCTAGACACTGTATTGGCTCTCTACCTCGTAGTCTGTGCAAGTCTGTGCAAGTCTGTGCATTGATTAGCCACATGCTTGTGTGCCTAGTTTGAAGCAAGTGCCCACATGGTCAATCTTGTGTCGCGGTCTACCTCTGCCACAGATAAATTCCCTTTGCAACGGTCATAACTACCTGGTAGCATCAGCCATTCCGAGAGCAAATGCAAGGGCAGCTCGGCAGATTTCAATTCTAGCTGATGAATGTTGAAGTGAATGCCCACCCCACGAATGACTACCTAGGTAGGCAGTGAAGCTTGATGTTGTCGCTGCAATTTCGAGCGCTAGCTCTTGAAAAGCGCCTCCATGAACTTCCCATGACATGTGCAGCCTGGTAGAGGCAGACGATCGCCCTGGCGGGAATGGATCAGCAGTCAATTCAACACTGTCCACGATACTTGATCATGGCGGAAAAGGAGCTGGACGCGGCCACTCTTGGCCAGAACATCGCCACGGCATTCGACCAATATACGCAGCCGGCACACGAGATAGAAGAGATTCGAAAACAGCTATTCCATATCGATGCAGCAAACGAACTGCAAAGCCACCAGAAACTCGATGACAAGTTGAAAGCCGAGTATCTCGAAGCTGTTCGAGCGAATATCGCAGCAAGCCGCCGCCACATGGAGGCTGCGGGAACTGCCTCTCCTCAGGCACTTCATAAGCACTCATCGCCTCGACCTGCATCGGCCAAGACAAATCTCTTTAGTCAACACCTCGAACTGTTACGACTGAGGAAACAAAACGCGCGATTGACAGCCCTGACTAATGAAATGAACGCCATCCCATCTTCGCCCAGTCTGGCAACGACACAACTGGGATCCACTACCGTCGAATCCGTGGCCGCGACTCCTTCTTCCCAGCATGGGCGGCGGCAGGAGGATCTCCCGCGGTCCATTATGCAGTCTCTCCAAGCTCTCGAGATGGCCGTGGTGTATGCGAGACACGAAGCGACGCAACAAAAGGCGTTGCTGGACCTGGCGCGGTCCAGCATCCCAGAGCCCGGAAACGCACCAGACGAGCGACATCATGCCGCAATGTCTGTGGCCAGGAAGTTATTGACTATTTGGCTGCAAGAATCTCTGGATACATGTCAAGAAGGTCTTGATGTCTTGCACAATCAAGGCGTAGACGACGCGCCCCACCCTGAAGAAGAATTGGAAGCGCAGATCGGTGTTCAGTACGAGCAATATCTCGAGGCGCGTAGACAGCTTCTCTCTACTGCTGCCAACTTGAGAACCCTTCTACCGGAGGAAAAAGAGCCGAGAGGTATACGAGGCACTAAGTCAGTGGAGCAATCGTTGAAACCTCAAGCAACTGATCTTGTAAATTTGATTGAACGACGTCTGCTCCCATCCATGCACCAACAGAGAATGTCGTCCTCCCACCTCACATTGATGGACGAACAGCTGCATAAAGAATCCACCAATACAATCAACATGCTTGACCGGCTCAGCGATGAGAGCCAGCTCCTTCAAGCTTTTCCGCTCCTCGCTCGCTCCGGGCGCTTTGTGCATGCCACATCCGCTTTTGGGGACAAGGAAAAACAGGATGCTGAAGCGGATACAAAGGACGAAGTGTCGAAGCGACTTGGATCGTGGATGTTTGCAGCCGAGGCCGCCGATGTGGCTTCTTCGGGGCAGATTGAAAAGCATCTGAAGCAGGGAAGGGAGGCTATGGATGAAGTCAGGAGAGACTTGGCAGCCGTACAGCTTCTTAAGGAAGCTCGAACCTGAAAGAATAGATCGGATTTTGCGGACCAGATCCCTTACTGCCTATTGCTTCTCATTTTGAGCATAGAAGAAGTTCGCACCCACAACAGTCAAATCATTTTCCTTGGCCCAGTCCCGCACACCGTGTCTGGGCTTGCCATAGCCCCAGTGCTTCCTGTCTGCTGGCGGCTTCAGGGCTGAAGTCTCGCCCTCCAACAAGACGAAAACATAGCGATGGGCACCTGTCTTTGGGGGTGGACCGGGCGGAAGGTATTCCTCTATCTCTCCGGGTTTGGCTTTCACAGTATGAAGCAATGAAGGAGGCTCTGGGATGGGGGTGGTCAAGTTGGTGAGGATCCAGTGACACATCTCAGACCACTTTGGGTTGTCGTGAGATTTTGCATCAGGATCTGTCAGGACTAGGGTGAAGATGGACTTCTTGCCTCTTCCCCTGCTGGACGGAGAGTTTATGGAGTGAAATGTGAAGATGGGTCGTTTCGACACGGAGTCGACGGGGATATCGTTACCCAAAAGGACAGTCTCGTGGGATTTGGGGTAGCTGATGTCAAGGTAATAGGAGGGTTCAAAGTCGTCAAGGACATCGCCGATGATATCGTGGTCGACTAGGACGTCTCTGATGGTCGAAAGGAAGGAATATGAGCCATCCGAGGGAGGCTTCCGAAGCTCTGGCTCGGTGAAGGGAATTTGAATGTCACTGTCAATAGGATGGGTTGAACCTTGGTTCGCAAACAAGAGGCCAGTGATGGCAACTACCAAGCTAGACGTGGGCCGCATGGCTGCAGCAGTGATGATGGCGGCGACAATGGCGAGGTATAGGGATACCGGGAACAGCGTGAGGAAATGGGGGTGAGTTCTGAGTCCTGAAGAGCTCATCCAGAGTAAATGAGCTTGTTGTCATTGTGCATGTCGTAATATTGACCCCGCCTCTTGTGTTGACTTCGACTTAGTACCTGATGCTTTGCGGCTACCTACCAGGTACCATTATTGCGTAGCTGTACCCGGCGAGTCGGTAGTGAGAGATGATCGCAGGCCCGCCTTCAGCCACTGCGAGTCACTGGTGCAGCCGCCGCAGAGGCACGACGTCAGAGCCCAAGAACCCCAAGAACCCCAGGCACCCACGCTTGTTCCTGGACGAACCTGTTAATCGGGCAGTCTGACAGGGCCACTTCCAACACCCATGCACTAATATCCTCTTCGTTCACTCTTGAATTGTCGTCGTCATTACATCCCCCCTTCTCATCCACCGCGAAACCTGCTTTCCTGGGCGACCTGAATTGCCATCCAGGATTCCTGTGCCTGCGCCTGCGCCTGCGACCCGCCCGCCTCGCCGCGTTCCTCGCAGCATCTGCAAACTTGTGCTCAGTACCTACCTAGGTATCCTCACTCCCCCAATATACGCCAGAGCAGTAAACATGTGCCTGCTGGTGGCCATCTGATCAAAAGCCTCACCACAATCTTGCCGTATTACCACGGTCTCTCCTTCTTTTCCTTCGCTGCATTCTCTGTCACAACCTGCTGTCTGATCACCACCCAGAGCGACCATTTGTTTTCCCCTGCAACCTACATCCGCCTCTGAAAACACCTCTCCTACCACCTTGCGACACGGTTATCCACAATGACCACCCTTGGCGATGACCTCCTGCGGACAGTCAACAAGCTCCAGGACCTCGTCTTCAACACAATAGGCAATGACTCCCTTGACCTACCTCAGATAGTCGTTGTGGGTTCCCAGTCGTCGGGGAAATCCTCTGTGCTGGAAAACATTGTTGGCCGCGATTTTCTTCCGCGTGGAAGTGGGATTGTGACTCGTCGGCCACTAATTTTGCAGCTCATCAATATCCCTCCAGAAGATGATGATTCAGATACCAATGGCAACGGCGATATACACGTTCCCCATACCGCGGCGAGCGTGGCAGAACACGGGGAATGGGCAGAGTTTCACCATATCCCAGGCCGCAAGTTCACTGATTTCAACCAAGTCAGGGCCGAGATCGAGAACGAGACGGCGAGAATAGCGGGCAATAACAAGGGCATCAACAGACAACCCATTAACCTGAAGATCTTTTCTCCCCATGTCCTCAACCTCACCTTGGTCGATCTGCCCGGCTTGACCAAAGTCCCTATAGGCGACCAACCCTCCGATATCGAGAAGCAAACAAGGACCCTCATCTCCGAATACATTGCCAAACCAAATAGCATCATCCTCGCTGTATCTCCTGCCAATGTCGACATTGTCAACTCGGAGGCCTTGAAGCTCGCTCGGCATGTTGACCCCATGGGAAGAAGGACCATTGGCGTCCTGACAAAATTAGATCTAATGGATCATGGCACCAATGCTTTGGACATTCTCTCGGGTCGCGTGTACCCGCTGAAGCTTGGATTCATTGGCGTTGTCAACCGATCGCAACAAGATATACAGACTAACAAGCCCATGTCCGAAGCTCTCAGATCAGAGGCAGAATTTTTCAGGCACCACCCCGCCTATCGGAATATGGCAACAAGATGCGGAACACAATACCTAGCCAAAACCTTGAACACGACTCTCATGGGCCACATCCGCGATCGGTTACCTGACATCAAGGCGCGGTTGAACACCCTGATGGGTCAGACACAGCAAGAGTTGGCATCCTATGGGAGCAAGCAGTTCAGCGGGAAGGAACATCGCGGATCATTGATCCTTCAACTCATGACCCGCTTCGCGACATCTTTCATCTCCTCCATCGACGGCACATCGTCAGAAATATCAACAAAAGAGCTTTGTGGTGGAGCGAGGATTTACTACATCTTCAACTCTGTGTTTGGCAACTCTCTCGAAACCATCGATCCTACACACAACCTATCTGTTCTCGACATCCGGACCGCCATCCGAAATTCCACCGGCCCGCGACCGAGTCTTTTCGTTCCCGAACTTGCCTTTGACCTGCTGGTGAAACCACAAATTAAGTTGCTGGAAATCCCCAGCCAGCGGTGTGTGGAACTAGTCTATGAAGAGCTCATCAAGATATGCCATACGTGCGGATCTACCGAGCTGTCCAGATTTCCCAGGTTACAAGGCAAGCTTATCGAGGTTGTCTCAGATCTTCTGAGAGAACGACTGGGTCCTTGTTCAAATTATGTCGAGTCGCTTATTGCCATCCAACGTGCGTACATCAACACAAACCACCCAAACTTCCTTGGAGCGGCCGCAGCTATGTCTTCGGTAATTGCAAGCAAGAACGAGAAGGACAAGAAAGTCGCACAAGCTGAAGAGAGGCGGAAACGGGAGAAGCAGCGTATGAAGCAATTAGGCGTTAATGGCGCCGCTACGCCAGACGAAGAAGATGCTGAACAAGAAGACAAGCCTACCTCGTTGCCAACCAGGAAGCACCCGACATTGAGCCGCAGCATGTCACCCGCTGTGGCCCGCGAGCGCGAAAATGGCCTAGGTAGCATTTCCGCGGCTGCGGGGTCAGCAGGCGCAGCGAGAGATTCGTTCTTGAATTATTTCTTCGGAAAGGAGGGCGGGCTACCAGGCGGTCCGCTACAGGGCAGCCCGGCCATTGTTCCATCGTCTGCCTCCGTGGCACAAAGACACACCAGTCACAGCGTCGATCCGAGCTTTTCGCAAAGCATACGACGGATGGACCGTGGAAGCTTTACTGATCGATCGCCTGTGTACCCACCAGCGATGCATGACGACTACGCGCCCGGGTCCGAGTATGGCGACTCAAGCTTACTATTCGTATGTGAACTCTGTCTCTGTCTTTTCATGTCATCCGCTAACATGGACAACTCTAGCCTGAACAAAACGCAGAGCCTGCTCTGACGGAACGTGAAGCCTTGGAAACCGAGCTCATCCGCCGTCTGATCTCCAGCTATTTCAACATCGTCCGCGAGACCATCGCCGACCAAGTGCCGAAAGCCATCATGCACTTGCTTGTAAACCATTCGAGGGATGAGGTACAGAATCGTCTGGTCAGCGAGCTGTACAAGGAGGAGCTATTTGGTGAGTTGTTGTACGAGGACGATGGGATCAAGAAGGAGAGGGAGAAGTGTGAAAAGCTCCTCGCGACGTATAAGGAGGCCGCGAAGATCGTGGGGGAAGTTTTGTAGTGGAGGAGTACATCGACGAAGGCGAGGACATGCAACAAATTCTGTGGACATTGTGGATTGTTCGATGCAGGACAAGCTTTGTTGAAAGACGCTCTTCTCCTCTGTGCAGCTAGCAAGAAGAGTCTCCTCTCGACTTGAGTTTCTGAGACTCTAACGTGTTTATGTATCTATGTATCCAGCTCAGACTTTGGGCGCCTCCACTGCTGAGGGGCTGGCCTGTAAATTGATCATACCACTATCTTCATGAATACATCCCGTCATGCATTGGAAAATGGATTGGACAAAACAGGTCGGTGCCTTGGTCTGATGGAAAGAGAGCATGAAGATTGAACATACCCTAGGATTGTGGGTATGGCATTTTGCAGTGACCAACCCTGTCCAAACTATCCTGAGAGATTCATTTGTCTATACTCTTCTCTGGTAGGAGGGCATGCCTGACCGCCATGGATCCAAGTACGCAATTCGACCATGGAGTTTGTCGAGGCGTCAAGCCCCATCAACCACTCTTGTGGGGGTGCTGTCAAAGTCCATAAGGTCGCCTGCATAAGACGTCCTGAAAGAACAAACAATATAACCAAAGCAAAAGAAAGGGAGCCTCGCTCGAGGTCCTGCTTGGTAGTTTCTTCCATGCAAGGAGGCTGCCACAAAGCTATCCACCCCTCCTGCAGTCCCAGCTTGTCACGACTCGGATGCCGCCATATGTTTGCCGCCTCACAAGGCAGGGTTTAGCAACACATGAATCTCATCTGAGAGGCTCGTTCACACCACGGCAGAAGAACTCGTCGAGATAGGGAAGACCGTCACGATGACTGGGAAGCTCGGATCGGGTGTCGTGCCCGCATCCGGTGTCGGGTTTATGCCGGACTGGAAAGGGCAATTGGCATTCCCACCTTGGCTGTAGTCGGGTCCCCAAGGTCCAGAGGCGTCCTGACTCGCCGTTGGTGTTGGCGTTAACCCGGAGAACCATGTTCGCGTGACCAGATTCGGTTGAGGATCAGGCACAGGAGGAGCGAGTGTGGATAGTGCTGTGGTCGGAGGAAGGGTCCGTATCCACGTAGTCGCCGGTGTCGAGTCTGCCGGTAGGAGGGGCGGTGATGTGTCTGTGACAACGTCGGAGGCGAGTGCTGCGCTTGACAGGGCGGTGGCAGTCGCGATAAATGTGGAAGTCTGCATACCACTAGAGTCATTGAGAGACGAGCTTTGCGAACTTGGAGCGCTTAAGTCGAGGCCGCCAGTCGAATTCGACACCACAGGAGACGGGGATAGAACTTGGGTTGTTTGTTGGCTGTTGGCGTTCGTGCTATTACCTGTGTCGAGAGGGTAAAATCTCGGCCGGAGACGGCGCTCTTGTCCTCTTCTGTGGAACTGTTGGGGTTGAATGTATTGCGATGGCATTGGCATAGGAGGATTTGAGGTCAGTGCTATCTTGATATCGTTTGATAGCGAACGATGGTGTCGTTTGCCGTGCGTGCCTGTGTGTCTTGCGACTTGTACGCCGGCCGTCGTGCCAGTCTCACTGGGCGCTTGTGGTGGGAAGTCGTGCCTGATCGTGATTTTTGGTAATATCGGGTCTGGCACAGGCAATGCTGAGGCTGATCTTATGTGGGCGAGTATCGCGGTCATGATGCCAAACAGACAGAACGAGAGCATCATTGTTATTCTTGCTCTGTGCCCTAGCTCGGGTTAAAGACAAGAGCAAAGGCCGTCAAGGGTGGTTACGAAGCACTGACGGCCCGCTGATATATGCAGTTGGAAGTAGGTATAGATGCATTGCCCTACCTTGCATCTCGAGCGAGCTCCTTGACAGTAAAGAAGGGGAAAGAGTCACCTACCCTGGCCGTCAACGAGAGAAAACCGTCTGCATCATCAGGACCACATCGAACGGCGCGTAGACGAGGGCCAGTGGTCACGGCCTCATCACACCATTTTCCGAACCGTTGTACAGGCGCAGCCAAACGATCTTCCCACCAAGACGGCCCATATCCAACCACAGACCCCCTTAGACGCGAGTTTCTCTGCAAGATCCCCGCGCAAAGTGCCGGAAATTTTGCGGGCTCAGCGCGTTTGACTGGTCGCTGAGCAGGCCACGGAGAAATACTCGTCGCTGACTGCAAAGAACTAAGAGTACGGGGAGAACTGTCGTGAATCAGGTGCTTGAGCGGATGATTGGGTGGTGGGAAGATGGGAAGAGAGCTTGAAACGATGTTGAAACACGGAAAGGGGTCGACGTTTACCAGTCACGGGCAAGGCTGAGCCGGTGGATTGCTACTAGTAAGTACTCGGTAGTACTAGGTAATTAGGTGCTGGCAGCTTGGCAACCTGACCATAGACAATACCTACCTAGTTAGGTACCAGGTACCTAGGTACCTAGGTAGTATGCGCATTCCCTCCTCAGCTCCAGCATTGATATGACGGCCTCTGGATGTCCAACCTCTCCTCTACATGGTCCTTTGGATACCAGAGAGTGAAGCAATCCGGACTAACACTAGACTAAGTCTCAAGAGCTGCAGAAGAGGACTCGCAACTGCAAATCACGCCGGTGATGCTTCAGTTCTGTCCTCGGCCAGCCTCCCTGTCGGATCAACTCACGTCAATAGTAACTCGTCCCACTGCCATAATCTCGCTGCGTTCCAGGGAAAGCTCCGGCTGGTGCTGTCGTGCTCTCTTCGTTTTCGTCCGAGCTGTTCGCGGCACCCACTTCGTCGTCGTCAGGCGGCGCCCTCATTGACGCCAACTCCCCTTCCTCCAACGATGCGGGCCTCCATTTCTCGTCCATCGGCATGTTCATTCCGCTGGGCAACGTTGCCAGCAGTGGCTTCCACTCCGGAATCAGCTGCACGTTGATCGTATCGTTCTGTTTGTTGAACGTTTGGTCCAGATATTCTACAATCCGACCTTCCTCGAGCTTGCCGCCGTCCATTCCCCACGTTGTGCTACCCTTTTCGATCCGTTTGTCTTCTCTTCGTTCAATCCAAGATGCCTTTAGTTTGCCGAAACCTGAGGATTTGGAGCCATCTTTTCCCACTTCGAATCCCAGCTCATTCATGGCAGCTCTCAGCCACGCAATTGCTTTCCCTACTTGGCCTGCATGTGTGTCCTCCTCCAGTGCCTGGAATCTGCAAGCTTTCGCCCGTGATGCTCTATGGATGCCATCACAGTACTCCAGCAGCTCCTTGGACGCTCTTGTTGTCTCGACCTTCAGTGCTACGGTAGCAGCAGAAGCATGCTCTGCCGCTCCGATGCAGAGCCGAGTTAGGACTTGGCCCCGAACCTTCTGGATCTGGGGAGCTCTGATCATCCACTCTTTATCGTCCTTGTTCCGTGACTGAACGAGGATTGCGGGGTACGGGTCTTCCTTGAGCACGCAGAGCAGATTAAATTCGGCATGAGTCAAGTGCTGCAAAGCCAACTGTACACTGGTAGATACGTCAACCGCAGCGGGCGGGAATGTGGGAGGTCCGTCGCTGGAAGAGTTTGCCCTTAGTAGAAGATAGGAATGGATCGCGTGTGCCGTCTTGAGGCACTTGGACGCACTCTGAATCAGGGATATCCGTTGCTCTGACGTCGGATTAACGGACGAGTAGAGCCCAAGGAGAGATTGTCTGGCCAGGAGGTTCTGAATGAGTGCCAGCGTATGATGCACAAAGAAAAGCTCGTAGTCAAGCCCGTTTCCCTTGACCCTGTCGTTCTCACGGCCTGGAATGGCGTTGGAGCCGAGTGTTGGCCGCCATTCAATCTCGGGCTCCTTTGCAAGTGCAATGTCAACAACCTCACCCGCCACAGGTTTGCCGGACAGCGCAATATCGAGCGTGACAAGGTAGCGTATGTAGCTTTGCACCGCGGAAGCAAGAGGCAACAAATTCGTAGCCTGGTCTGCTGCAGACAGTCTCTTGTGAGTCTTCAATCCCGCCCGGATAACGGCTCGTTGAGATGTTGCTGCGGATGGGAGTGATGGATGGGTGGATGAAATAAGGCTGGCTTGAAAGGAGATGTGGGAGGTGGTGGAAAGCACAAATGGAAAGGGCATGTTTGGTCACCGTTCCGCCTGTTGAGAATAGATCATGTCACTGGGATCAAGAGGCTGCGGCGGTTCTACGAGACTGAGTTTTGAATTGCTGATGAAACGCTTCGATGGTCGATGTGAATGTCGGTCCTACAAAGTTTGCCCGCAAGGCTTGGTACCACAGGCGCGCGCAGGCGTCCACTCGTCCAGATGCTCCCTCCAAATGACGGATCGAGTCTCTTGTGCTTTACCGAACCCTCGTCTCCTGAGAATCAATGGTGCTCGGCAGTGCAGTTCCATCTTCCCTCGCTCCATGTCTATGTCGACTCCCTCTACCTTCGGTCCTGCGTACCCCTCTTCCGTCTGTCTCTTGGAACAATGGGCGGCAGTTTTCCGACCTCATCTGCCAGATTCCTTGGGTTGAGCGCTACCGATATATCCCCAATGGATGGCGACATGCGGATCTGTAAAGACACGGCGAGGACGGGAGTTCTACATTCACCTCAACTCCACCTCGCTTGCTGGGTCTGACACGACATTTCCCGAACGTCAAGGTCACTTGGGTGTATCCCCACAATTGCCGATCGAGTGTGGGAGCAGAGCTCTCAGCTCCCGTTGCAAGGACTCAGCGTTGTCCAGGGTGTTCTCCCCTGGCATCGGACTTACGGATTGCGTAATGTGGAAGTTGAGGGGCGTCGTCTTGCTCAAAACGGAGCAGATGAGCGAGGTGCCTGAAGGAGCTGGATCAATTCATTCATTTACCCCTCATATGATGCCAGCATAAGACGGGCGCCTATGGGATTCCTATAGCAAGGGTCCAGGGCGTTATTTACGGAAGTGTGCAGAGCACGTCTCCGACACCTTGGTGAGGGTATATAAAGATCCTTGAAAATCCGGTCGGATCTTACTGCAGTCCTCTTTACCCCCAGCCGTTGCTTCCTGTCACCAGCTCCATTTTATCCCACCAAATCGAGATCGATACGAGCACCATGGCATTCTCACTACACCCACTCATCGACAATGGCATCACAAAGGGCCAAGACAACTTTCCCGGCGGCACCCTGCGCTGCCACTGTTCTTCCGATCCCGTCGAGGTCGAGCTGAAAGGCAACGTCCTTCACAATCATGTCTGCGGCTGTTCTCAGTGCTGGAGGCCCAAGGGCGCCCTCTTCTCCGTCGTGGCAGTCATCCCAGGCGAGAATGTGCGTGTCACCAAGAACGGACACAAACTCGCTGTGTTGGACGAGAATGCCACCATCTTGCGCACGGCGTGCAAGGATTGTGGTGTCCATATGTACGGGCCGGTCGAAAAGGATCACGCATTCAAAGGATTGAACTTCGTGCACGTCGACCTCAGCGACGCGAAGGGCTGGCAGGAGCCACAGTTTGCTGCGTTTGTGTCGAGCTTGATTGAGCAGGGCTTCCCCCCAGAGAAGATGGATGAGGTGCGGAAGAGGTTGCGGGATCTTGGATTGGAGCCGTATGATGTGCTTAGTCCGCCGTTGATGGATGCTCTGGCAACCTTTGCGGCAGAAAAGGCGGGCAAGAGGGCCAAGCTTTGAAGGCCGTCGAAATGAAGTCGAGGTTGGATGTCGAGCCTGGACTAGAATGGAAAAGGGACCAGTGGCTCCTTGGGCTCTGCTTGCATACGGACCTTCTGTGCGCCCACAGTGCCCAAAGCCCCTGAAAAGCATCCAGGTGGACCTTTTCCACCTTGCCTTCTACTCGAGAAATGGGGCTTGCCGACCCAAGATATCAAAACCAATGAAATATCCAGGATGCAGACTCTGGACCTATGGTCACTGGAGCATTTGTCCATTGTCGACCGTGTTGTTTCGACTTACGCAGAGGGAGTTAAGTCTTCGCTGAGTCTTAGCACGAGGTAGAACGGATACTCATATGGTCTTGATTTGTTTTATTGTCCTTTCCACGACTGACGCTCCAGAAGGCCAGGAGCTCAGCGGGGTTCCCGGCCTCCAATGTAACACCGTGGGGAGGTGCATCAGGATACTTGCTGAATCCTCTAGATATTGGCCTCCAACAGACCACGCCATGTTGTATGTACATAGTTCCTCCCATGGCCGGAAGTTGTGTATCAGGTGATCTGCGGCTGTCTTTGATCTCCATCACGTAGCCGAGCTCTGTTTCTTCTTAGTACAGTGTATCTCCGCCCTTTCCCGTGGTATTGCCTGGTCTGTGATCTGTTCCTCTGGACCCCTTCGCCTCTTGTGCAGTCGGGTAGTCTGTATGAACCTCTGGACCGCCTGCGGGACCATCTACACCGGGGATGTAATTCTGCTGCTGGCCCCGGAAACCGGCTTCGCGAGTCGACTTGAGGAGCTGGAGGTAGCGATCTGTGAATTTGGATGGTGGACCGTTAGATACGATGTAACCCGAATCCAGTAGAAGCAGACGGGCTCGGGGTTCATTACCTCTGTACTTTCCACATTTCTCGAGATGATTCACTCCTTCGCGTGCGTAACACTTTCCTGTGAAGATAAGGCGTTAGGCCAGACGATCAAGAGCTTGCTAAGCAATGGAGATTTTCCTTGAAGGCCATATCCGTCGCGTCAAGAGAATCCAGACCATCATTGGAACTGGCCCTTTATGACACTTTCTTAATCCCCGCTTTGCACCGCAGCTCGAGTGGAGGGTATGGCAGAAGGTACAGTCGGTAGCATACCCATTTCCTCTCCTACCAATCTTCTCATCATCCTCTGAACCCATTGTTCTCGAACAATTGCGTCTCTTGCATCGGCGACTGCTTCATTGTCTTGGAAATCAACACCCTGGAATGTTGGGGGGACTTTGGGTTTCTGGCGCAGAAACAACTCGGACTCGGGCGTAGGCATAGTGGGACTTATGTCGGGCTTCTTCACAAGATTCGAGGTGTGGTCGGGAGTGTTCGAGAGTACAAGGTGGAGGAGTTTAAAGTGATGATGCGCCGCGTTCCACTACTGGCACACTGACTTCCTCAGCTGCTGGCGGACACAATTTGTGAAGACGGCACCACTACGCAGCCTTTTGGTGAAGAGCTGAGGAAGACACAGCTGGTTTGCGTGTACGAGGTACGTTGTGTATAGACATGACAGGATAGACTGCGCCCACTAGAGCTCAATTCGAGCTGCCTCTGGTGCCAAGCTCTGCGCCGCAAAAGCGGCCAGGGAAGCTGGGGGACCAATACTACCTAGGTAGTGCAGCTAACGCATTGCTGGCCGTATCTGGTGGCTGTATAGCGCCGCCTTATGGACAAGATATACCAACAACATACCTACCTAGGTAGGTACTTCGTGCAGAGGTAGCTGTTTCATCTGTGTGAGCATGTCTTGCTCAGGCTGCATAAGCGTGCACATAATTATCGACATCAACGTCCGGAAATTGTGGATGTCCGCTGTCATGATTTTCGATCCTGTGGCTCCCGGTGCATTATCCTTCACAGATGGAACCCAGATTTGACAGTGCGCGTGTTTCAACAAAATCCTCTAGCTCATAGCCTCCGCGGAATCTCACTTGAGCCTCCACCGAAGCTGATCTCATCAGATATGCCTGAGAATGCAGCGAACGACAATCTTGGTGGTGATATAGAGCCCGGCCGCATTGGAGGCTGCTTGGGAGATCTCGACTCCGTTTGTCGCTGACTTGATGTCCCCTCGTTGACACTGCATTGAGGTTCCCGTGCTCTCAGTAGCACGTCCCCAGCATGATTCGCCTTCCCCGTTGGTAGTCTCAGGGTTAAAGGCTGGAGATCGCCGCCGCCCTCCCTCATCTTCGCAAACGTTGTGGAAGCTCGGGATAGCCGTTTTCGCGTCAGCCCACAGGCTCTCTCGTTTTCTCCTGCAGATCGCATGAGGATCCGCCTCTCAAGATCTTGGCGCATGTATGCTTCAAAGGCATCAGTTCGAGCATCTCGGTCATCTTGGCAAGAAGGGCAGAGCGTGTTGATCCCGAAGGTGCGCAGTGGATGGGTCAGCGTGTGAGGACAGCGCATGGACCGAGTTGAGTCTGTGAGCTCAGTCGAGCGGGTAGTCTTGATGTCAAACTGGTTTTGACACAGGACTTGGGGTCTTTCGCATTGTGCTGCTTCCGTGTGTGGTCGGCTCATTTTCGATAGTTCATGTGGGCACTTCGAGTTTACTATGGGGGTGCCGGACAAGGCAACGTGACCGCAGGTCAGGAAGATATAGGACGTGTACCAACACATATTCTCTCTTTTCCCATCTATTGATTTCCTGTGAGTCCAGTACTTTCTTTTCCCAATGCAGAAGAGACTTGAAACGAATAGATTTCGAGACCTTGGGGTTAAATCGCGCGGGCATCGTGGCTCGCAAACAAATCGTGTTTGTAGCTCGATGAGGGTTTGAAGCGCTGCCGTCTGCTCATGACGCGCGCATCACTCCTTGTGATATCGACGGGGCATTTCTTTGTGGCATTTCTTTGTCCCTGGCACCGAGTGTGGTGTCTCTATGTCCGGAGGCATGTAGGAGTCACCGTGACCGTTGTTGTCCGATTACGGCGAACAAAGGCCTCAGCCGCATAACACAAAGCTGAAGGCCTTAGCTTTTTGGCAGACACGATGTTGTCTTCATGATTATTGAATGTAAGCGGCACTGGCTTCGCATAGTCTTGTTATCGTGGCCGTGTGTCCAAATTGAGCCTGTGCCATCCAATGTGACAGTAACGGCCAGCGCAGTACTGCCAACCGCAGACCATTATTGTTTCAGTGATAAGTCAAAAAAGGAACTCATCCGTGATACGAGCTCGAGAGCAATAATGATTGGTAGGCCAATGAAGAGATTCCATGTTCAAAGAGGACTGATAAGCACTCCAACACTCGTCCTGGGCCATCATTCATGGTCCCTCTTCCTGTGGCCGCCTCGACAGTTGCTGCTGCTGGTTGAGCATGGTCCCCACGAATGGTCCAGGTCATGATATCCATTTTCATCCATTCACTCTTCCGCAGCCAGAACCACTGCCGGACGACTGGCCTCGTCACGGCCCTCTCTTCCTTGTCCCAATGCACTCGCAATGTCTGCCTTCTTCCCCGTCCAATCTTCCTGTTCTTCTTCCTCGATCTCTTTCCCAGTTCGCTCTCCCCGCTTGTGCAACTCCGCCTCGTGATCGGCCGCTTTCTTGTCTATGTTCTGTGTCAGACTCTCTTCCTCACCATGTCCCCCACCACCGCCCGTTCGCACCGCTCTTGCGACATCGCCTTCGCCTGGCATCCGCATTTGCTGGCCTTCTAAATTGGGGTCCTCGGAGTAGTTTTGCGCATCGGACTCGGGAATCCGTTTTTCTGTAAGGGGACCTCGCTCGCCACTCCCCAGAGCACCTGGTTTAGCCGCTTCACCGTGTTCCGAAGGGACGTCGTGCGCTGAACGACGATCAACTGTCTTGGATTGGGTGGAGGAAGTGTCCTGCGCCGTTGTTTGTTCTTGAGAGGTCTTTGAAGCAGGGTTTTGGGTTTGGTTTAGGCCAGTCTGTTGACTTGGCTGAGAGGGTGCTTGGGGGTCGAGTGCGGACATCTTGGTATATTGAGGGGGTTGAGGGTTTTGGGGGTTATGAGTTAGGGTAAGGGGAAACTCGGAATTAGAGGAGCCTCTCTGACAGGAATCCACGAAATGGTAAAGTGGCTGATGGTATCGAAACTTGGTGCCAGAGGGAAGATCAGAAAGATCAGAAAGATGAGACACAGTTGATATGGAATCAGACGTTGTCTGCTTTTTAGGGTGATAAGGACAAAGGAACGGCGGGAAACATATCTTACCAGCAGTACCACAGGAATATTATTCTAGTCGATTGTGTCATAAGAGTTGATCGTCGAGCTGGGGGCACCCAGCATGGTGGGCATGAGGTGGACGTTGACGTCATTGGAGACAGCCTCGTCATGTTTAATTTATCTAGGATCGCAGTTGGGCAAGGCTGAGTTTGTCGTGAGGCTGAAGGGATCTGCTCTTTCAAGTTGCCCGGACACAGAAGCTCCGCTTATCCACTCCGTATGCCGACGGCTAGGAACAATGTTCTTTTCATTTGGCTAACTGCAATGTCCACGCTTTCAGCTCGTGGAGGCTTCGTGTCGAGCAAGTAGGTGATCGATATACATCGATGTTTTCGGGAGCAAACCAGGGTTCAAGCGTACTCCTCAAACAGTGTACTTGACTGCCCCTTTGACTGACCCGAGTTCAAATCTTGCTGAAGCGTCCTTTGAGATTGCGCCAACTGTGCCCCTCATTCTTCGTTGAGTCTCCTTACTGAGTGTTTCGTCACTGTCACATCACGCTCACCTTCTTCTTTACTTACCTTGCTAGGCATTGTGGCATCTCTCGATCATTGACGGGTTCGCATGAATTCGTTCCGTGAGATCTTGACCCGGACCATTTCAGAGTGGCTTCCCCACCTCAACCCTCCACCAGCTATGCCTGTTGTTATGCCAACACCTGCAGAGTGAGCGAGAACCTTTTCGTCGAGTTATCTTTACTGACTTTAGTCAGGATTGCTGAAGCGGAAACAGTTCTTGACAAAGAGTTCAAGGAGTTCAAGAAGGCAATGGAGACTGCTAGGAGACAGAAGAAGATTGCAAATCGTCTGAAGAAGCTTCGCTTGCGCCTCAAAGACCTGACCATCCCCGCGAAGGTCAGCACATTCGGCCCAGTCATATCTGCGTTTTAGACTCACTAAATGTGGTACAGGTCTACAAAGCCGGAGTCATCAAAAACCAGGAGCACAAGCTCACCAACCTCCCACACGAAGTCAGGGCGATGATCTTCAAAGCGCTGCCGTTGAATGCAGACCGTGCCTCTTTAGCCCTCACCTGCAAGACGCAGGCCGCATCGTACGAGCAATTGAGAGCAGAGAGGAATAAGAAGGACTATGACCATCATGTCCCCAAGCGTTCCCTGCGAATCCATCGTCTGCAAATGCTTGTCCGCGTTCGTGAGACGATGTCGCCGAAACATCGCCTTTGCTATACGTGCCTCCAATTTATCGACACTCACCACGCGGACAACAAAGGGACGTGGGGAGGGGATCCCATGCAAGTGCAAGGTCTCAAAGCGGACAAGGCTGCCATGGTAGAAGGGCCTCGCTGCCCGCTGTGCGTCGCTGCCGAGAAATTGGAAACTGCGAAGCATAAGGTTACGTACAAAAAGTACCTGGCCCTGGCAGACAGCTGCTCTTTGAAGAAGTGAACAGCCAAAGAGAGGTATCTTCGAGGTTAAAGGCTTGGATGGGAGCTGAGAACATCGAATCGGGCCTGGAAGTGAAAACACACACCACATCACGCCATCTTCAAGAATGCCTTCGAACAATACTAGGTATGGTTGATATGGAAATGGCACTTGGGGGCTCCATCAACTGAAGGGAGATTGACAATATGTGCTGATGGCAAGCGACCTTTCCCTGGGGATTTTCGATAGCGACGATGATATTGGTATCAAGCTGCGCCATGGCACGACGAATGAAACAAATGGGAACAGATGTTCAAGATTCCGAATGACGTGGATTCGACGGAGTTCGTGCCTGGTCCAGCTTGTCCACAAATGGACGATATGGAGCAGCAATCGTGTGAGGCTGAGGCCGATCTCGACTCTCGAGCGCTTCATCGGTAGCTCCTGGATACTGCTGCTGCGTCTTGTGAATTCGATCCAAGGGTTCGCCAACAATGTGATATTTAGCCCACTCAACCGGTGGAGTGCGAACGATGTTTTGTGCGTGCGGGAAGTGGCCAAACTTGGACGTATCTGTTTCTTTGTCCTCAGCTGTGACAGGCTCCAGCCCATCAACATCTACGCCAGACCGTGGCGAGCGACTGAGTTTTCCTGTTTGGAGGTCTTTGATAAACTGCTCGGGGTCCTCCAACGCGGCCTTTTTCATCTTGTCCAAGTCCTGCATATCACGTAGGGCCTGTTGCCGCTGAATTTGGAGAATGGACAAGGTGGCTCGTAAGGCCATTGCGTCTGGGTTGTCATCTAGGCTGACTGGAAGGGGTTCCGGTGGCTCGTCCATCCATTGTGCAGGGGGGAGGTCTCCTCCTACTCCATCGTAGGAGGCCAAGCTGGTATGAGACAAAGTGGGAGTTACTGGCGAATAAGAAGGACGTTGAGGACTGCCGCTTGACTCGTGCTCGACGGTAGTTCGAGGGCGTGCAGGCGTGGAAAACGGTAAGCCATGCTGCGAACCCGTGTCCACTTTGTCTTGCTTGTTGTGGTCGGTCATGATCAAGCTGAGACGTGCGCATGCAGGTGGGGGAGGAGTTGGAGGGACAAATGGTTCGAAAAAGAGAAAAGCTTTGGCCCAGACCGAAGTTTGCCGAACGCTTAGCTACGTTGCAGCTGCAACATCAGATATATCAGGTTGTGGGATTTGAAATGCGCCACCGAAACTGCTGGTGGAACGAGTTGGGGATGCGGGATGGGCGCCTCGGTTCCCAGGGTCTGTTTCCACATGGAGAAAGGAAAAGGAACAGAAGTCTTCGACAAGGCAGATAATAGCTACCTAGCTAACAAAAAAACATTCCTCCACTTTGCCTCACTGCCCGGTTATATGACAAAGGGTCGTTGTTTTTGCGATTGCTCAAGGCAAACGGGAACCAGGGCACTTACAGAGCGGCAGCGGCATGAGATGTGGATTTTACTACCTACCTGTACCTAGATACCTACCTACCTAGGTACTGCTGGGGTACCCAGTAGGGGCTGTTGAGTGCCCCCGGAAGGACGATTAGGGAGTGCTCCACCGGTACCGAGTACAGAGTACAGGTATCCCTACGAGTAGAAATAGTTCGTCGGGTAATAGCTCTCGGCAATCGCTCAAGGGTGGGCCGCGATTCGCAAAGGGAACATTAGTTTCCCCGAAAGCATTCGCCTGCAGACTGTGCTGGCTGCTCAAGGGTTCCTTGACTCAGGGGTTTGCTTTGCTTCGGATGCATACCGTGAGAGGGTGTCGAGGTATTTTCATGCAGGTGCAAAAGTCACTTGTGCCGACCGATCCTCGTAATTCCACGACCGCGTGCCCTCGCCACGTGTTGGTGTGCCTTGCGCATCGGTTGATCATCCCTTACTCAATTCTTTCTCCATGTGGCTTGAAACTTTCTTCCAGGCCTCCTAGTCTGTTCTTGAGCTTTGGTGAAGGGTGCGCCTCGCAGCATTGGCACCGTGGTTTGGATTAGCTAATGACTTCCTTTTCAACTGTTGCAGCTGTCAACCCGGCTTGAGGTACCTAATGGTCACAATCACCATGTCCGCGGATGTTTTGTTTGTGGAGGGATTCCAAGACCTGTCACTCTTTTGCCATCTCTCCCCCGCGCCTCCCAGACGTCCAGGCAACAAGCTACTGCAACAAGCCACATAGTACCTAGGTACTCTGTAGGTTGCGGTAGGGGAGGCAGGTGTCGTTGTTTGTAGAAACCCGGTGCTTCGTTTACATGACTACGGTTCGGGTAACATCTAGCGGCCATTAAGTCAGCAGCGTGAACCACAAAGGGAAAGCGACAAACACACCATACCCGTACTCCTCATACAGGGGAACATTGAAATGCAAACCGCCCGGGACCAAACAAGAGACTGGCGGAGCAGCGACCTGTCGGTGTTGCAAGAAGGGTCTCGTCCACCTAAGTGCGATTTTCTCGGACAAAAGATGTGGAGAAGTTGACAATCACAACTGGAGCGACACAAGAGGACTGATGGCGCGGCGTCCTTCGTACTCGAACGGAAAAAAAGGCACATTTTCTATGATTTTCTTTTACGTTGTCACCAGCCAATAATAATAATGGGAAAACGGAACTACCTGGCACCCACTGGCACCCAACCTGGTAGATGCGGTGTCTATCTCAGACTACTACTAGTATCTGGGACAAACACCCTTGGACCTCGTAATGGCAGCCAATCACCCCAACCTTTTGATTTTGTCCATGCTGCGTCCATGCTTGCTCCCCCTTCCGATCAAGGGTCATCGATTTTTCTTTCCTTTCCGCTGGGCGCGTTGGCGATCCGCCCTGTTGAGAACCGAACAGAGTGACCTCGTACAGCACGTTTCCCCCGTTGCAGCTCCACACGCGCTTGTCATTTCGTTCCCTTTCGTTCCCCTGCCTCGTGTGGGTGCGTGGTCTTGCTTGCCTTGCAGGCTGCCCAAGCCTCCTACCTCCATTTGCCCACCATGTGCATTTGCTTTCCCCACGGCCAGAGCCGCTTTTCAGCTCGATTCCTGGCTGAGAGCGGCAAAGGGACATGTCAATCCGAACCCGCCACCGCCAATCCTCCTCCGAGTCCCTCCCAATCTGCCATCGACGATCCACGAGGGATCTCCATGTCAACGGCGAAACCCAACGTCTACCACCTAGCTTCCTCTCCCCAGGGGTCCTCCCTCGCAACCCTGTAACCTTTTTCAATTCCATCCTTATTTTCCTGCTCTCTTCTCTGCGCCTCCCACGTTACGCCCTCGCCGCGGTATACCTGCGGATGCGTGGTTCCAGTCCCTCGTGTATCCTTTCGTCTGCGCAGCATCCGGGGTACATTTTGGGGAGTACTCAGATTCAGCAATATTTAATCCGCCACGCCACACTCAACGGACGCGGTAGTGCTAAGATATCACATACGACACGCTGGCTGGAATTGGCACTCCTTCGGTCATCGCAATGTCAGTCTAGTCGTCTCCGCGACTGTTCCTCTACCACTATCTGGCCACGCCGTTGTGGTCATGCCAACAACGGTGTTGGGCATTGAAGAGCTAGAGAGTCAGCAACGGACATCCAATGGGCTATTGGACCAAAATCTTGCGCCCCCGCGCGGTTTGAGCGGTCCGCCGCAGAATCACACCCCAGATATCACATTGCCGGGACACCAAGATCAAATGGCTGGTCAAAGCGATCAAGATACGGACTTCAAAACACCCAGGCCGCGTCTTACTATTCGTGAGCTTCGGCAGGCTGCTCAAAAGGAAACACTAGCAAGTCAAGCAGGAAAGGCTGCTCAGGACGCGCAGGAAGTACGACGCAAATCCACATCAATGCCACAGAAGAAGCCCTCCATCCTTGGCGGCTTGTTCCAAGTCCGAGAGCCGACTCAAATTGCCTTGAATCAAGTTGCCTCCCAGATGATTGCCCAGCATGGGTCAACAAGTGCCACTAAAGTGCCTAATGTGAGGTTGGAGAAGATGCCGGACTTTGTGCCTAAGGTCAATTCCAGATGGGACGGAATCCCAGAGAACGTGAAGCGAAGAGAAAGGAGGGAGAAGGAAAAAGAAAAGGAACGAGCTAAACGAGACACCTTTTTCTACACGGACTCTAACGCTCGCAGTGACGATGGCAAAGGCAAAAGGCGCACGAACGCTGGAAGCCGGAACTCGAGCTCGACTACCGGTTCCTCCTTTGGTGCTCACGGCAGCTCAAGTGGCTCCCAGGGTGCCTCTTCCCGTACGCAATTTTATACTCAATCTGTCAACTCATCTGGTGACCTCGCGTCGCAGCAAAGAACTGATGCCTCGACCTTTTCTGCTCCACTGACATCTTCCTCCGCACTCAGTGAGACTGAAAGCCTCTCCGACAAGCCGATTCGTGGACCTAGGTCGGCTGCTACAAGAACACATTATCCGCATAGCAAAGACCAGACACTGGATTCTCGAATTCCCCTAGACAAAGGCAAATTACCTTCCACTTTTTGTACATCTCCAGGATCAACGACCAAGGAATACGAGTCCCTCAATTCTCCCGTTATCACTCAGTATCGGGGCGAAGGGGAAGGGTCTCGGCTGGAATGCGAGCCGTCCCTGTCTATACCCATCGCCAAAACGGTGCCGCCACACCCGACCTCACCGCTTGGAAGTTCTCGAGACACATCGCCGACCGCTCCATCGCGCGTCGAGCCGCCCTTACAATCGCCACAAGGTATCAACGACATGACCAGCCTGCAAGCGGCTCTGTGGTCCTCTGAACCTGGCGTGCTTAGTCCGTCAGCTTTCGTGAAGAAAAAATCAGGAGTAAAATCCAACAACGCTTTTCTGGCGGGCGAGGCTCAAGAGCTGGTGTTACCCGATGAAGTCGCTGATCGTGACAACCCAGGCGCAGCAAGTCAAAGCCTGAAGTCAGGTCGATCGCGCATCCTACAAGACCTGGAGAAGCGACCCGACAGCTCTCGTGATCGCCTTGGACTGAGGGCAAGCATGCTTTTCAGTAACGACACGACACCGTGGGAATTGCAGGAAACGAATCAGCCACCACCGTCGAGTCCCACGTCCGGCAAACATGCGCCAAACACGAAGACCAAGCTCCCTAAGCCTTTTGGCAGGGCTGGCAAAGAAAAAGAGAAAGGGAAGGCAGCTGTGTAGCCTCAGCTGGAGCTATTATAATCGTTGGAGGCATCTGAAGGAGACAGCTTTCATGATCTATTAGGCCATTCACCATAAAAAATATCGAGCTCAGCGCTGCTCTCCCTTTTGGCATGGTTACGAATAATGAATTTTTTGAGCGCATTTTATGTATAGGATACCCTTTGAGATGTCTTGATGTTGCGGGAAATGGTGAACGGCATGAAATCAGGCATGTATGTTCAGTCTTGGGCAATCTGATGGTGTGGTTTCAATAGGATCCGATTTAGCTGAAAAGCAGTGTATATTTCCTTGTATACACGCCTTGGTTCTCCGGGCAGGTATACTTGCCTCGAAGACGGAGAATCTCGTAAAAATTGGTGATGTTTGAGTAATGTTTGCGGAGAAAGAAAAAATTGGTGAGTCGCCTGAGCGAACTCCACCCGCACTGTCTTTCTCGCAGAGACTTCGCAGTTCGACCCAGCTTTTGTGGGAATATTCACCACGCTTCTGTGTTTTTGCTGTCAAGATACTGAGACTCTAGATTTTGTGTGTTTGCACGATGAAACGCAAAGCCCCCGACGATGGGGAGTCCCCATTGAAAAAGCGTATTGTATCCGCCGACGACGGCAGCCTTCAGTCTGCCTTTCGATCAGATCTCTTCGAGGTTGACACTCGAGAAGCTTTCTGCAAATCTTACCAATCATCGAAGCCTTATCCACATGCCGTTGTACCCTCCTTGATCCAAGAATCTCTTCTGCGGTCTGTGCGGCAGGAAATCACCACCCATATCCATTTCACGCAGAAAGAGACGGACATCTATCGCATTTACCAATCCGGCGACCTCGCAAATCTCTCCAATCTCGACGCCGGGTCCCTCAAACACTTGCCCAGCCTAGTCCACCTGAGAGATGCTCTTTACAGCTCTGATTTCCGGGAATGGGTGTCCGCTGTTACCGGCGCAGGCAAGCTGTCCGGTAGAAAGACCGACATGGCGGTCAATGTCTACACACCAGGGAGTTATCTATTGTGTCATGATGATGTGATTGGGAGCCGAAGAGTCAGCTATATCTTGTACCTGACAGATCCAGACCATCCCTGGCAACCTGAATGGGGAGGCGGACTGAGGCTGTATCCCACCGAGACAAGAAGAAATAAAGCTGGAGAGGAAATCAAGGTCCCTCTCGCCGAACATAGTTTGAATATTCCTCCTTCCTTTGGTCAATTAAGCTTCTTCGCCGTTCGTCCCGGTGAGAGTTATCACGACGTGGAAGAAGTCTACCACGGACAAAGCCAGGAAGAGGACGGAGGAAGAGTCCGCATGGCAATCAGCGGCTGGTATCACATTCCGCAGGAGGGTGAGGACGGGTTCGAGCAGGGCATGGAACAAGAACAGGCTCAAAAATCTAGCCTTGCGCAACTCAAGAGCGCCTCGAATGAGTTTGACGAGCCTCAATTGGTGTTCCGTCATTTTGACGAGCCCCGGAGTGTCATGGATAGTCGCGCGATTGCAAAAGAGATTGACCCAGGCGACGACCTTGACACCGACGACAGCATACTCACTGAGCAAGATTTGACCTTTTTGCTTCATTACATGACCCCAAGCTACCTAACTCCGGACATGATCGAAGACTTCTCGTCCTCATTCGCGGACATGTCGGTGCTGCAATTAGAGGACTTTTTCAACCCAACATTCGCAGCCGAGTTAAAGGATTACATCTACAAGGCTGAAACTGAAGAGAAGCATGCGGTTTCGATGGCATCGAGATCCTACCATCCTTCCGCTTGGAGAGTTGCTCGTCCACCTCACAAGCAACGCTATGCTTACCTTCAAACCTCCGAGGCCTTGCATCGCGACAAATGTCCAATCTCCCGAATCCTGGCTGATCTGATACACTCGCATGCCTTCAAAAAGTGGCTGGCACTTGTGACAGGGCTGAAGACAAAGAGTCTCATTCGCCAGAGTGCGATAGCCCGCAGATTTCGACGAGGAAAGGACTATGCACTAGCAAATCCCTACCAAGGCGAGGCACCGAGACTAGAGTTCACCATTTCAATCACTCCAAGCGAAGGATGGGAAAGAGACGGAGATGCGGATGAACCAGAGGATGGTAAGCTGTCGACACGTTTGGGAAAGCAAGCCAACGGCAGTCGGTCTTTCCGGAATGGCGCCGAGGACGAGGGAAAGAAGAACGGCAAGGCTACCGCAGTCGAAAAACTCCAAGTCACCACGCTACCTGAGATCGAGTTCGGTGGGGAAGAGGTTTATATGGCGGGCGACGAAGAGGAAGATGGCCTGCCCAGTGAGAGCAACTCGAACTTCCTGCCAAATGTCGGCAAAAAGCCGGCCCACGATCCTGCAGTCTACAGATCCGCAGATGACGAGGATGATGGTATCCTGTTCGCCAACCCCCCAGGCTGGAATAAATTCAGTATTGTGCTCAGGGACAAAGGCACCCTAAGGTTTGTCAAATACGTGAGCCAGGCAGCACAAGGTGACCGCTGGGATTTGAAAGGCGAGGTGGAGGTTGATGAAGCTGGCTGGGAGGGAGGAGAAGGTGGCGAGGCAGAAGAGCGGGGAGGATGGGATGATGAGGAAGGCGACGGAGATGAAGAGGACACGGACGAAGATCTAGAAAGGCATGATGAAGTTGAGGTCTGAGCTTTGCTAAGCTGATGCCCAGTCGACGCCGCGGTCGACCAACATCAATGGACGGATATGTGCTGATCTCGACCTTTGCCCAGTCCCTCACGATCAAAGGTCTCTACCGCAGACTATATATACCTTAGGTATGTCTCACTGGCTGGCGGAATTGGAAAATGGAGGGTCTTGAAGGCACTGCGATTCCAGGATGCCGCGTAGGCTTCCCACACTGGGCTTGATCTTCAAAGTTATCTCGGTCCCCGAGGCTGAGCCTCATGTATGTACCCATGGCCTCCTACACGCAACTACTTCTCCAAGCTCTCGCCCCAGCGCTTCAAGTTCTCCACGACAGGGACTCCTCCTGGCGCCCGCACTATAACCCAGACGACTTCTTCATCTCCGTCGTTCACCTCCTGATGTTCCCTGTACGCGGGGATCAATGCCCAATCGCCGGGCTTGAGATCTTGCCTGACATCCCCGAATGGACCGTCTTTCCCCTGGCCCGAGGATGATACGAGAGAGCCATAGCCGCTGACGGCATAGACGATGGTGTCTTGTGTGCCATGATGGTGGACTGCTGAAGCGGAGTGCGGCTGGGCACGCATCAATGTGCCACAAATGGAAGGAGATAACTCGACGATGGCCGACTGCGCGCAAGAGTCAGCGAGCGATTCGTGGGCGAGAAGAAGGACTCGGTGGCGAAGGTGTCATTGGTCCATCTCATGCATCTCGTCTATGCAGTAGTGTTCTCGTATGGGCAACAATCATTCTCGTCTTCAGCTCTCGCGTTCATATAGAATCTTGTGGCCGTGTAGGAAGCACCCATTGATGGCGACAACAACAGCCTACTTTACTGTATATTGTGCCTCTCCAGCCACAGCGTATTGACTCTTCTCGTACGGAACAGCCCTCATGCAACGATCCACCTGCATACCGGGTGTTGGAAGAAGTGATGTGCACATACTTGCCGGATCATCCCATCCGTTTGTCCATGCCCTGTCTTGACCTGATCAGCCCTCGTCAGTTGGACTGGGCGCGGATTCTGCTTTTCGCCACTATGGGAGGTTGACATGGCAGCTCTAGTCTTATAGCTGAACCAAATGAAGATTGAAAAAAAGAGGGGGATAGTATCCAATTAACGTATAGAATAAATGGGCAGCGAAATGCCAGGGAATGCGGCAGGATGGTGTGGAATCGAACCAAGGTGCGCGAAGTTCAACCTTTGATATGAGAGAGGCTGCCGTACGTCACGCAGCGCGGAGGTGAAGACGAGATGCGGAGTTGATGCCGTCTCGTGTTGTTGTACTTGACTAATTCTCCTCATCTGGACGCGTGTGCCATGACAGTTGTAAGGAACCCATGGCGCCCATAGCCTGTAAGCAGCTGATCCCCCAGCACCACGGGAAACGTCCATGTAAGATGGCTCGGTGGGTAAGCATGCGGCACGTACAATGACCATGCGTCTCGTAAAATACTTTGCCATTCAAGTCAAGTCTATGTCTCATTACGCGACGAGCTGTATCGCAAGAAATTCGGCTGGAGCCACAGCCGAAATAGAAGGTGGAGAACAGAGGGCAGGCTCATAGCCATGCGGTGCCTCAACAACCACGTACGTCCCCTCAGCCCGCAACCTCTTCCGTATCATGCCGGTGCGGTCGCCATGAGTCCCAAGGAGACACGACACCGGGATCCAGGGCAAGGCGGGAAAGAGCACGATGTTCCTTTCTGTGTTCCCTCCCACCTTCAGCCGAAATATGCCAATCCGTAATTGTCTATCCCTGAACGCCTGCAGTGCAACACGGTCTTTTGTCTGCTCATATTCGAAAACAATGACGGCGAGCATCAGTCATAAACATCCATCAGGTAGCAGAACAACCGCATCGTAATTCAAGATGAAATTTCGAGCAATTACCGCCATGCCTTTCCCACACGGGCAGGGGAACGCCGTGGGTGACAAGGATGATCAAGATTCTGGCACGGGGTCAAAACTTCAAACTTGTCCCATAGAAACCATTTTTTTCCGGAGATAATTTTTGTACTCTCCGATCGTCCCGTCCCATCGTCGAACAGTTTTGTTTTCGCACACCATGATGTCCTTGGCGATCTTGTCCAGCAATCTGCGAAAGAGTTAGCTTGTTCGTCAGCCATATCTGGTAGGGGCAGGACGTACCTGAAATCGTGAGAGACAACCACGACACCCCCTGAAAAGGCATTGATAGCGTCGGCCAGAGAATCGATTGTAGGGATATCAAGACCATTGGTAGGTTCGTCGAGCAGGAGCATGTTAGGACCCTCGATGGCCAACAGAGCAAAGACCACCCGAGATCTTTGACCTTCGGACAGCGTGCCCATCAGAGCAGTCTGCGCGTCACCGGAAAGACCGTATCGACCAAGCTGTTGGCGCCAGTATTGGTAGTCCTGGGATGTAGAGGAATACTTATCTCGAACAAAATCGAGTGCTGACTTGGTCAAGTCTAGTTGGTCGGCCGAGTGCTGAGAATAGAGTCCCAGTTTGAGGTGGGTGTGCCTGCTGACTGAGCCGCCTGTAGGAGAGAGTTTCCCAGTCATGATCCGAAGTAAGGTCGATTTACCAACACCGTTGGGCCCCACGAGGGCCATTCGGCTGTCCATATCCACACCCAGATCTAGGTTCTCATAGAGATTATCTTCTGGCTTCCCAGAATAGCTGAATGTGACGTTGTCAAAGGAGAGGACCGGGGGAGGGAGTTTTTCGACATCAGCAAATCTAAACGTGAAGACTCGATCCTGAACGACTGGCTGAATGAATCCATCCGCCTCCATCTTGTCCAAGATCTTTTGTCTTGATTTTGCTTGCCGGACCAAATTTGCGTATGTGCCAGCAGAAGCGATAAACTTCTTGATATGGGCAATCTCTTCTTGCTGCTTGAGGTACGCCTTCTGTTGATTGGTCTCCTGTTCGGTTCGGGTCTTGATGTAGGAATCGTAGTTACCACCGTAGTAGAGAAGGTTCTTTTGCCGCATGTCAATCATGTTTGTGCAGACACCATTCAGGAAATCCATCGAGTGTGAGACCAGGATCAAGGTCTTGTCCCACTTCTTTAGGTACTCCTCTAACCACACGCAAGCTTCGAGGTCAAGGTGGGCTGTGGGGTCGTCGAGGAGGAGGAGGGATGGCTTGACGAAGAGAGCCCTGGCGAGCGCGACTCGCATTCTCCACCCACCGGACATGTCTTTGGTTTTCTTGTGGATGGTTTTCTTGTTGAAACCCAAGCCGGTAAGGATAAGGGAGGCTCGAACTTCGAACGTGCTCGGGTCCATTGCTTCGGAACGCTGGTATTTCGTTAGACACGGGTATATACAGGGCTCGGTTCTGCGATCTTACCTCATAGATTTCAAGTAGTGTGGGACTCTCGGGACCTTCTCTCTCCAAGATCTCCTCGGCCAGGTCATCGAGTCGTTTGACTTCCTTCTCAGCCTCTTTGATGACCCACTCAAGAGCCCCCATATCAGTGGAAGGGGCGCCTTCGTTCAACAGGTAGATGTCGACATGCTCTGGGAAAGGGAATTCTCGTTTGTCGATAGCCTTGAGTAAGGTGGACTTGCCACAGCCGTTTTCTCCCAGCAGACCGTACCTTCGACCGAAGTTGACTTCGATGGTGGAATCCGTGATAAGCACCTTACCATGGAAGACCAGGGAGGCGGAAGTGATCTTGACGTCCCGACTTGCTTCTTGGGAGGCAAGCACACCGGTTGTGACCCGATCAGAAAGACCGTGCTTATCCATTTGTTCAGTCAATTTCTTGACTTTGTCCATTTTGTCGGTGCTCGTGGCGGGAGCGTCTTCTTCATCCTCGTCAAGCATAGGGGGGTCGTCATCGCCGGCCACTGACGAGGCTTTCGAACCGTTTGTCGAGGGGTTCTTGGAATTTGCCTTGGAGGACAGTCTGGAGGCGACGGTCTTTTTCTCGGGCTTTTCGCCCTTATCGGCAGCCTTCTCGGCCTTTTTGGCCAGGCGGGCGGCCTTCGAAGCGGAGACAGGCATAGTGAGGAAGTTTGTGTGAAAAATCGATGAGTAACGCGACCTCAGCGGTAAGAGAAAGGCTTTTTGGTGGGGGTGGAAATTTGCCAACACCCAGCAAGTTGAAGGCTGCGTCTAAAATGAGCCTCCTGCGTAAGAGCCAGAAAGCACTTGGAGGATGTTGAGCTTGGATGATATGGTCCAGGCAAAAAGGACAATAGGGAAAGGAAAGAACAAAAGATGTCCTCCAGGCTTGTCGAGGGGGTTTTGTTGGCAAGGTTGAGAGGCCGCATGGTAGAAAATTTGGGCCGCAGTTGTCGCCCCGCCAATCACATTTCCATTCATCAGGGCAAAACACGTCATAAATGCCAAGACCCGGTCCCGAGTTTCAAGATGCTGTGAATGTCAGGAGATATTATCGAGATGGTCGACTTCCTTCTTACCATCACTCATTCACTCACTCTTTATTTCGGGCAGATTTAACCCTGGTCCTCGACTCAGAAGCTTGCAAGTTCAATTAACTCAACAAGAAAGGATCACAATGAACATCAGCTGTATTCGAATTTCAAATCAATGGCCTGCTACTGATGGTCTTTCCTGATCTTCTCAAATCCTTCTCATTGGCATTACATATTGTATGTTGTTCCACCACTTTGTTCAACTTGCCTCGACAATCAAAGAGTGACAACAGTGGGAATAATTGTCTCGAGGAAGGTTTTTACCCGGTATACTTTTCAAAGCATCTCATCTGAACGCTCGTCCTGGACGTGTCCACATTCATTCGTCAATATTACCATTGTCTTTTCCATCCACCCTTGCTCCAGCCCGTAGTTGAAGCGGACTCGGTTGAGGAGTCCCCACCATATCCACCTCCGATCGTAGACCATTTGGTGATGGTGGCGCAGGTCGAGGTACCCACCGGTCCAACGTTGGTACATTTCTCCGTGCTGGTAACGGTACTACAAGTCGCTGTTAGTCTTGACTCATCTGATGACTTCGAAGGGAAGCAACCCAGGAAATAGCGACAGAGCCCGAGAGCGAGGAGAGACTTACGTGGTAGGCCCAATGGTCACAATGGGCCCGGTGACTGTGACGGTCTGGCCTGGACCCACGTTGGTGCATTTCTCAGTAGTCCTGGTAGTATGGTTAGCCTATCGCGATGTCCGGCGGGGCCATACTGATGATTCTGTTCTGTGGCAAGTATGGCTTTCAGGAAGATGAGACTTACGTTGGTCCAGTCACAGTGATTGTCTCCCCGGGACCACAAGGTTGGGACACTGTAGTCGTCACGGTTGCGGGAGGCCCATTTGGCACGGTGAGGGTACTAGTGACTGTCTGTCCTGGGCCGACTTCGGTAGTCGTGACGGTTTGTGTTTGAACAGGGCCTGGTATCGTTGAAATGACGGTGGTGGTCGAAGCTGGAACTTGAACTGTAGAGACGACCGTGGTTGTTTCTGCCGGACCGGGCACTGTAGAGACGACAGTAGTAGTTTGGCCAGGAGCCTGAACTGTTGAGACAACAGTAGTGGTTTGGCCGGGAGCCTGCACTGTCGAAACCACAGTGGTGGTCTGTACTGGACCTGGAACTGTAGAGACAACGGTAGTAGTCTCCCCAGGTCCGGGGACCGTGGAGACAACGGTGGTGGTTTCGGTAACTGTCCGGGCCGGAATGACAACCGTGGTCGTGGATATTCCACCGCCAATCGTTGTTGTGGAAATCAGCGTGCTAACCACAGTCGAAGTCGCACAAGGGCCGATAGGTGAGCTTGGTGGCGGGCAGGTGGGACAACTTGCCGGGCTGGTCACTGTGATGGTTGTGGTGGCCCCCGGAGAAGGCGGAGGGCAGTTCTGTCCGGAAGTTACTGTGACGGTTGCTGGTCCGCTACATGGCTGTGTTGCAGGGCAACTCGAGCCAACGGTGACGGTGGAAGGCGGCACAGCTGGACAGGAGTTTCCTGGGCCAATGGGGCTGGTGGGTGGGCACTGGTTTCCGGTCGTCACCGTAACCGTAGATGGAGGGGAGTTCGAGCAACCAGTAACTCCGCCGACGGGGGTGGTTCCGGGACAAGTGCTCACGGTGATTGTAGATGGAGGCGGGAGAGCTGGGCAAGAGCTTGGGCCGTTAGGCAGCGTCACTGTCAAAGTAGTCGTAGGCCCCGCGGAACATCCTCCAACAGGTGTGCTCCCAACGCCAGAGCCATATCCCCAGCCAGAGGATGTACCCCATCCGGTCGAAGAGTCGCCACGAGGGAGGACCGGGTTGGCCGCCGCAAAGATGCTAGAGATGTCTGAGTGAGCAGGCCTCATTGAGAGGAACAGAAAGAGCCATACCTTAAGGCAGAGCCTGCAAGCAAAGCCGATTGCACAAGACCACGATACATGATGAATGAGATTCGAGAAGCCTTGACGCCTTTTCCAATGCTATCTGAAACGAATGGAAGACGGACGGAATCCTGTCGCGGTGCTTGGTGAATAGTGTCTTGGAGATTTGCGGATATTTATATCTTTTTGCGGGTTCGGGAGCTGGACACCAAAACGAGGAACAAGCTGTGGTTCCTGACTTTGTGTGCCGTGTTCTGTCTGCGCGAATGGTTAGGAAAAGAAACATTTCACAGCGTCCATCGCTGACCAGCATCGAGTGCATGTGCCATTAGGGATTGGGCCAATATTATGCAACCTAATGTGAGGAAAGCAAGGAATACCGCTGAATGCGAGATTGAGTAGCTCCAAATGTGGTGATATCTCGCCAGAACCGTTCACTCGAGCTGCAAAAATACATCATCGCCGTTGTGACTCGAATTTTCCGGTGCTCAAGATGAGTCGCACTGCATGGGCAAGCAGGTAGCGGTGACCGAGTCCGAAGTGGAGAGACTCAATGAGTTGTCCGAACGTACTATAGCTGACTCGATGAGGCTCCATTCAAGGTCCCGACGACGCAGAAGACTGACAATCCTGGTTCCTGCCCACGGGAACCAACATTCAAGGCTTCCTTGACACATGGAAGAGTCGCAAATGCACCCCGGCGCTTGATCGGAGGGAAGAGGGAGTTCTAATCAGTACTCGTCATTGCATCGAAGACGGACGCCTACTTTGCTCCGTGATCCAAGGTAGGTTCAGCTCATGTACTCGACAGTAGCTATACCCACAGCTGTAAGAGAAGACGGAGAGAAGGCTGGAGATATGTTCTGGTCTCAAACAGATTTTGGCGGTCCATAAAATTTCAGATCCCTGCCTCTGCCGCAGAGTCCATCACCAACAGTACGAATGAATTTGTCCATTCATCGGAGACGTCATGATGTGAAGATCGCGAAGGACTCGGGTCACTCCACACAAGTCAATCAAGAGCCAGAGAATCAGCGAGAACGGTTCCCTGTGTACAGAAACTGCTGGCTGATGCGAGGTTCCGAGACCAACTCAGATTTGACACGGTCCAGCACCCGGCAAAGGACATGGGCTGGGGCTCGCTTGAGCCTGGTTATTGAATCCCATATGTATGGTTTCGAATCAGGCTTTGATGAAATTGGCTGTCTCAGTGTCTGCTCTGCGATCGTAGAACTCCGGAATGCTCTATGGATTGTTGCAGTCTTGGCGCGGGAAGAGCCTCGTTTCTTGGTGCCTCACAGTGGGAGACCTCCGAGACAAAAAATTGTCGAGTTATCCGTGTAACCGAGACTGTGGTCAGAATCCAGATTGTGTGGTACCACACCACGGACTCGACTATTGTGATGTGCTCTTCTCTTTGAACTTTATTGGAAGCTTCCGGAAGATCCGTAGTAGCGGAGCAATGAAGCCTGGCATATCGTGGCGTACGTGAGAGCCACCAGCTCCGGTACACTGAGGGAAGAAAAGCGACATGGTACACCCCAACCTTTTGGTCCTGATCATCGTTCAATGGTCTACCGGCGCTCGCAAAACCTTGAGGATAGTCCTGCTCTCAGCGACTCGACGTGCACTAATCTTATGACAGCTTCTTCATTCTAGGAGCCTTGAACAGCAGAGAACTGCTTCAGATATCTGCTTTGGATGTGTCGAGGTTGTCCTGTCCAGAGCAAAGTACCAAATGCTGCCGAGGGTGGACAACAATTGGTACAAACCGTTCAATCTGCATATTCGATGTAACACCAATGGCTGCCTTGGGTCTCATGTACCACACCACTTCAAACTTCTGGTTTCCTGCAAGGCAGTGCCTGGACATTGGGTATTTTGGGCAGGGAGTCAAGTGGGAAGCACCACACCAATAAAGAAGTCACTGTTGTGTTGGAAATATAGCTGGCTCCTGTGGTATGTACCAGCAAATCTCATTTTGTCGGCTGCAGCTCGCTAAAGCATTCGGCTACTTGGAAGTCCGACATTGGTGACTGCAATAAAGTCAGACTCTTATTCAAACACGCCGCAAAGAGGATGAGAGAAGGAAGCGTGTCAGCGAAGGTCCATATTATCACCATTGCCGACTGTTGAGAATTCGAGATCACGGGTCGCTCTCACAAAGAGCTGGCTCCAACAAGGATTGGTCCAGACCGTTGAAAGTTCTCTTCGGTGGTCTGGTCTGGATTGACCAAGGCAGTATTACCTCGGGCACGGCTCCATCGTAGATTTTGTACTTGGCCCCAGTTCTTGTCTCCCGGCTTCCAGTCCAAGGCTATCTCTCAGGGAGCCGTTGGAGCCTATGCTATGTGAAAGTGGCGCCCCTGAAAGCTTCTCGACTGTCTTTCCACTTCAACTTCTCCAACGGTGCTGGCCAGTACATCGATCACACCTAGCACGGCTAGATCAAGGGTAAACGGAAAAGCGATGGACCCAAAATACAAACACTCATATATTTTTAGCCTTGTCAGAGCAGACAATGACTTGAATTCCGACTGACGTGCACGCAATATCACCCAATACGAAATTCTGAGAATCTACCAGATTATCCACTCATCTTTGCTTTTGTGTCTCTCCTCGATATCCATCCCAAATTGGGTATGAGGGTAAAAGTTGTTGCTTCCTGGCTGTCATATTCATGCCGCTTTGGGCAGCTTTGTCGCTACATTTACTAAAACGCTCCAAGCATTCCATTTCCGGAGAAACCCCCACGATCTCTTTGATGCAACAACACGACACTTCCGCTTGGTAGTTACGATGCTCACGCTTCGACGCTTCGACTCGAGAAGCTGTGTTGTGAGGTTTTAAATCGGGAGTGCCGACAACAGGGTCAGCCTCAGGGAGATGTAGGCGTGCACTATCTACACACATACGATATTGCCAACCGCATTCGTCCTTTCTTCGAAACAACCAGTGTGCTCGGCTTGTATTTTTTTGCTGATTTATCTCTGTCTGTTCTGCTTGAGCCTGGATAAATGCTAAGGCAATCAGCACCCGCATTCTATGGTCGGATGTTTACCACGTAACTATTTCCGATAGAGATCATACTTTATCCTCATTGACAGCCACTTCACCTGTTGTTCCTTGTGTTTGCAATGGACAGGATGTCTACTTTCATCTAAGCACGTACTGAGCTAGCGTGTAGATCTGGTTTACTTGCTTTTGCAACAGCATTGCTGCTTATCGAGGATGCAGTCTCTGCTTCTAGTCCGTGCTATTATTATTCCACTACTTTTGACCCAAGGAGTGCAAAGGTGCCGGAACCGACACACTCAAAGGTAAGGTCACTCGTAATGCGTACCAAAGCATCGACACTCCAACGGTGGCAGAGATCATTCAGGACCTGAGAACCACATAGACCGGAATTCCGCTTTTGACAGATATCTTGGTCCTTCCTTTCATGGAATGTGTTCAGCCTTCACAGAGTCTTCTTCACTCTTCATATGGATTTCGACAGGCTCATCGTGTGAAATCTCGTCAAGGACTTCAGCACGATAGTGAGATTGCTTGAAGCGCTGGTGGATTTGTTCTTCGCGGGAGTCCGAGAGGACGATACCATCGCCGAAAATTTCGGCCACGTCCTCGAGGGCAAGGCCTTTGGTCTAGGTCACAATTAGCAACTTTTTCAGCGACGACAGGAGGGAAAGACTGACCTCTGGGAAGAAAAACCAGATAATAACGACATTCATCGCAGTGAGGATGCAGAAGACGAGGTAATACTTCCATCCAATGTTGTTGAATGCTGTGGGCGCGGCGCTGTGCGAAGCGAGTTAGCCAGGTAGCGGGATCGCGCTGCTTGTCTGAGGCTCACCTGGTGAAGACAATCACGGCCATGAACAACCCGGCACAAGAGATTCCAATGCCGCGCGCACGTAGAGGATTGGGGAAGATCTCAGTGGCATAGATATATGTGCTGGCATCAATGGTCCACCCGTAGAATCCAATATGGAGGAAGAGGAAGAAGACGGCAGCTTTGGCAGCAGCGGGTGAGCCAGTTCGCTGATAAACAGCAACCGTGGCACACTCGCCAGCAAGTGCAATAACATCTCCAGTGAAACCGAAAACTGGTATGGTCAGTCAGGGCAACATTCCAGAGCGGAGTACTAACGTAGCATTCGAACTCTGCCGAAGTGATCGATGACTGCGGCGTTGAAAGCATTACCAAGAAGGCATACAGTGATCCAACCGCATTGAATTAGAAGCTGGTTGACAACGGTGAAACCGAGCTTGCGGTAAAGGAAAGGCCCGTAGTCTACCATGTTCGTCAGCAAAACTGTGGTGTGTCTTGGTGGGAATTGCTTACTGTTGATAACGATTGTCCCGGTACATTGACCCGCCACCATGGTCAACCAACCGATCCAGCACCTCTTGCGCAGAGCAGGCCTTGTGAAGAATTCCTTTAACGGCACTTGATCCTTCATCTCTTCAATCACTTGAGAGTGGAGGAGATGAAATTCCTCGGCAATGGCATGCTCGTCGTTGTGCGGCCCAGACTCGGTCCGGCAAGCCCTGAATGCCTTGAGAGCGTCGTCAGGACGGTTCTTGGTAAGCACTGTGTACAGTCAGTCGAGAGCAAATGGAATTAGGGCTCGGTGGGATAACTTACACCAACGTGGAGATTCGGGTATCAACAGCACACCACCAGCAAGCAAGAGAGGCCACAGTGCCCCGATCGCCAGCGGCATTCTCCACTGTGTGCCACTTGCGCTGACAAAATAAAAGCCAAAGCCGATCCAGCTAGCAGCAACGTAGCCAGTAGCAATGCCTGTCCCATGCATACCCACGAGAAGACCTCGAATCTTTGGAGGGGAGATCTCGCTCTGGTACAATGGAACAAGGCTCACTAGAGCTCCCACGGAGAAGCCAGTGATCAGCCTGGCAATGATGAACATAGCGATGTGCACGCTCCCAGCTGCCAGGCCGTTGCCAAGGATCGACGTGAAAGAAGCGAACATAATCGCCTTTTTGCGACCAAATTTGTCGGGAATCCAGAAACACGAGATACAACCAAACAATCCTCCAACAGAGAAGAGACCATTTATAGCTCCCAAAAGAGCAGCTGCGTTTGATCTTGTATCGAGAGCAAAATAGGACAGAAAAGTCGGCTGTCCAGTGGTCGTAGCAATGATGCTGGATCCGTAGCCATAGGTGATACTTCCCAGGCCGACAAATAGAACAATCTGCCTGGCGCGTCAACGGCTGCTTCAGTCGTAGGAGGTGTTTGACTTCTTACCGCAAACTGTACTAGGGAGATCATGTTGGTCAGCAAGTACTTTCCTCTCGGAGCTCAACGATAGCCAAGGAGAATAACTCGAGTTGTAGGAGAGGAAGAGGCCCGGCGGACGAGTCCATATCCACTGATATACGTACCTGTCCATTTCTATTTTTCCCCCACGCATTAGTTCCCCCGTTCCCTCGGGACTCGGGTAAGATTAACTTTGAGACTTGGAAGTACTCCAAAAGCCAAGTTCTGCGCAAGCGAGAGAGTCAAAAGGGGGCTTGCGTCAGATTTCATAAGACAAGGTTCCTTCAATTGCATCCTAAAGTGCAAAGGGATACAACCCATTTAGAGATTCCCGTATCAGCATTTGAGTATGTTATACCTCGTAAGTCTGTTTGAATGAAGAGAGGAAGCACCTATGGTAGGAGATAAAGGCGGAAGAACGCAAGAATAAGTGGGAGGCGACGCGAATGATTTGTCGCCCCTGCCCTCCCATTCCTGCCAAGCTAATGCGGGGTGCAGATGTACGGAGTAACGGGACATACCGAAACGACCCCATGGGAAAAAAAGGGGGTAACAGTCTGGGGTTGATCAGCACCACAACGTGGCCTGCGTGGTCTGGGCCAGCCTACTCCGACGTTCTCCAAGCTGCACCGAAAGCCAAAGCAGTGGATACCCCATTCAAAACTGCGCCAAAAACTCCGAAGAGCTCGTTCAAAACTCTGCGAAATCCCCGCCAAAAACCCCCGCCAAAAAAAACCCCGTAACAAGAGAGTATCTGTGCTGCCTCCTTCGGAAAAGAGGATGTCAATTGGCATCGTAGCCCGGTGTCCCCCCAAGAACTCAGTCATATTTTCGTCCGTAGTTCAAGCTACTTGTATACAGTGGCTGGACACAGTCGATATCCGTGTGAAAGATATATGACAAGGATAGCGCTGATGTGAGCATATCACCCAATAGAAACCCGCGCAATCGGTAGTTGAGGTTACAGAAAATCCGCATTGGCCGCGCTCGGAAGAACTCTGCGGAGTATGTCCCAAGTTTAACCTGCAGAAAATGATGGAGTTGACTGTAAGCCTATGCTATACGATTGCCTATACACAAGGAGGCAGAGATTGTGAGAGAAACAAATGTGACCCATGCTGGGCACTGTTTTTTCATGCACATCCACAGTTTTGTGCAAATCATCCAAGTCTTGCTGAAGACGCTTGCGGTCCAGACCCATCTGAATCCAGCGCATCCTAGAAACTTAAACTATGAAGCGAGGTCGTCTAGGCTGTCAAAATCAACCATTAGCTGGAAAATAGCCTCCAGGTCTTGATTTTCAGCAAGAAAAATATCATCGCAATAGCCCCAGTGTACTTTTGGGAGGTTAAACACCATGCCATCAGTCTGCTTCCTGTCTGAAGTCGACCTCGCCGTACAAGGTCTGTCTGGTGACGAATAACCAGTCGGCAAAGCTGAAACATTTCGGATATGATGATGGTTGTCGATATTGCCAGTCTCCGGGTTTGCTGTAGATTCGTAGGTCCCCATACTGCGAAGCTGATACTGGCAGCCTCGGTAGCTGAGTCCGTCAACTTTCATGTCCTGCCCAACTAACAGATCGATATTTGCCCTCCTCACAAGGTCAGCGGCAAACCTGATCGCCAGATCAACACCCACATAGAGATCTTGCATTTCCTCCATCACTTTCAGACAATAAAGGATTGATTCCAAACAATTTTCAAGATTCTGGCCCTCCTGGTATTGTATATGCTTTAGATGCGTAATGAGGATCGGTATTTCTAGGGTAGCAGCGGTGGGAGGTAGAGCGGAACTCAAATGGAGTCTGTGAATGTGATAATTGATTTTTCCCATTTCTGTTGTTGCTTCTTTGACTCTCAGTCTGGACTGTTCCCGAAGTTCTTCCCACTGGTCCATACTTCTGGCCTCAGGCTTGCTCAGATAAATCTGTGGTCGATGGAGTGCTGTAAGGGTGGCACAAAAGCAGACTTGTAGGAAAGCTTGGTGAGCCATGACCACCGCAGCAGATTCAACAATATTCTTTGACTTGGGAGGTTGGAAGACAGTTGATGCAGGCCTATTGTTGAACCACGCTTGCAGGCACTGGTCATATGTCTTGATCAGCTCTAATTTGCCTGGCTCAGACTTGGGATATAGTATTGCGGTAGTTCGGCCCGTCAGATCCTTCGCAGATTGCTCGTGATTGTCGCTGGGGAGAATGGAATAGTGCAAGTCGATCACCATCCCTATCTGAACACAAAGCTTCGCCATCGTGATACAGATCTCCGCAAGGCTCCGCTGACATTGCGGCTCTAGAACATGGTATGGAAGGTCACCTGCTGCGCTGTTGTCTATTTCGAAATCGTCGAGTTCCAGTAATGGAGTATTGAAATCGTTATTGTTGATCCTCAGAGGCCGAGACATCCCAAATGCAAGCATACGATCTCTCATATAGCACGACCACCATATTCTTTTGAAAAGATGTTTCTGCAGCGAAGGGTTTGAGAAAGTTTGTTTCCGGTGGAGTCCTATTGTCAGGGCCAACGATATGGCAATTCCCAGAAAATGCCAGCCTCCTTTATTGTCGCCGGGTGTTTCGTTCCAGAAGCTCATGAGGAGCGTCGCTTGAATGATGGCGACGCGGCTTTCCTCCACATCGAGCTCATAGAGCAACTGCTACTTAGTTAGAGCAAGTCGATAAGAACTAACTACAGTGACCTACTCTCACTCTCTCGTACAGGCTTTTTCTCGCAACTCTTCTCGATTCGAAACCGGCTTCATGTAGATACTGCATATCGACAAATGTCACACCAACGAACATGACTGCCTGTAACACTAAAATGCTGATTCTCGGCATTCCAGGCCGCCAATGGCTTCCTGCACAGCTTAACAAGACATTGTGGTCCAAAAGAGGCATAAACCAGTGAAAATACTGGAAATAGCTTCGAACGAGTGCGTCGAGAAGCTCCATTCGAGGTAATGCCAGGGCACCTTTCCTGTGAAGATAGTTGATATCATCCGAAGTTAGTTGGGGAGAAAGTGGTTCTACAAAATCCGGGAGTCGGTCGTACTTTGCCACAGTCGGGATCGAAGCCATCGGGTCAAAATTTGAAGTATCGGAAGGGCTAGGAGTATTGTTTGCCACGGGAACATATTGAATTAGTGGAGTATACGTCAGCTCATGGTGCATGTTGTGTAGTAATTCATCTTTCTCTGAAACGGTCAGCGACACCTCTATCATTGCACCGTTTGTCTCCACTCTCCATGTTATATCTAGGTATATGAGATCGAAACTCACTCACTTGGTCTGGAGGACGGGGGCTGGTTTAGTGTCCTCTCGGTGATGTATTCAGGGCACTCTCCATACTCTGTCAACCATTCACTGGTATGTCTCCTTTCCGGAAAGTGACGAGCGGCATCAACAATCGAGGCTCCATTACCGGTAGACGGACCAAGAAGATTCTGAAAATCTGGTGTTGCTGAAACGTTGCTGGTAGCTTTGATTTTCGATGCTCTCCTGTAATGGACGTTCTTCAGCAGTTGGCGCAAATACAAGGCATATTGCTCAGGAAACTTGTACCGTACCTGCCCCTTCTACTCTTCTGGACATGACAGCTCACACTGTCAGTGACACAATTGCTGCACGGTATACCTTGCTCTTCGACATTGCATTTGACCTTGCGCGCTCTGCAGCTCAAGCAGGCCCTTCCGGCTCTCCTTGAGAAGGACCACGATTTGCCATGCTCTGCCATTCCCACGTTATCTGTCTGAACAGAGATGTGTGTACAGTCCCATATCGAATCAAGAGTATACTGCTCCAGCGGGAGTTGATGGGGGTATAACCATGTTTCTCCCAGGTTGACATAGGAGACATGATTCGGATTTTGAACCTTGGCTGGCAGCTTGTTCGTGGCACAGCCAGATAGCCCCGCAGTCGCGGCATCAAACAATCGTTTACCCCGTACTAGGCCCTGTGGCCCTGCCACTTGACCAAAAACGGCAAAAGCCGAAAGAGCCTCGGTAGTTTTGAGTAGCCGAATATATTGGGAAAGCTGGCCTGACGCCACGGAGGCAAGTTCCTCTCAGCACCCAATTGCGTGTCAAGACTACCCCCCTACCGTCCACCTCATCGACTTTGGGGCATGAGAAAGGCCGCTCATTAGGGATCACGCCGGGGGCTTCCCACTTCCGGAATCTGGGGTGCATGAGCTCCTGGCAATACTAAATTGTCCGAGGCACACCACTAGTCACTTTTGTGAGAACTGTGGAGTGTCTTTCATTGTCCTCAGGATGATATATAACGCCATTCCCTCATATGCGCGAAGACCACCAACATCAATGCTATCTGGGAGGACTCAAGATGCCTTTTCTTGCTCAAAAAAGGGTGCCAATCCCTAACAAAGACATTCTATCCTGGATGTTCGATGAACCAAAATTCGATCAGGAGAAACCGGTGAGTGCTCAACCTAGATCAGGCCATCTGGGAGCTGAAATCACGGCCCACCGAGCTCAAGTCTCACTGTACATCTTCAGGTCTACATCGATGCTATTGACCCGTCAAGGTCGATTTCCGCAAGTCAAGCTCGGGTGATAATCCGAAAGCTCGCCGCGGGTTTCCACGCCGCCGGGGTGAAATCCGGAGACTGTGTTTGCGTTCACAGCTTCAACAATGTCTGTTGCTACTGAAGCTGAATGTTCCACATGTGCCATGGCTGAAATGACTAGGTCTATTACCCCATGTTGTTTCTAGGTATCATCGCAGCTGGTGCAATCTTCGCTGGCACCAACCCAGCCTATACTCACTTCGAGCTTGCTCATCACTTCAAGACATCACGCACTAGATTTATCATTGCCGAGCCCGACCTGTTGAAAGCTGTAGTGTCAGCTGCACAAGAATGCGGCATACCACAATCCAACGTCCTTGCCTTCAATTGCCACAATGAATCAATTCCAGCCGGATTTGAACCTTGGGGAACACTGTTGGAACATGGGGAGAGGGATTGGATTCGCTTCGATGACGAACAGGTCTCCAAGAAGACGACAGCTGCGAGGCTGTTTAGCAGTGGGACTACTGGATTGCCAAAAGCTGCAGCGCTGTCCCATTACAATCTGATCGCCCAGCACACGTTGGTCAATGAGATACAACCGCCGCCATACGAGGTTCGTGTTTGATACCGCACACTGCGAGCAAATTACAGGTGTGCTAACACCATCGTGTGGATACAGCCACGCCGCTTACTATATCTGCCGCTGTTTCACGCAGCAATGGTACCAGTGGCCCACGTCACGCCTCTCCGGTCAGGTGATTCAAGCTACATCCTCCGGCGCTTCGAAATGGAGCCATTCCTTACTTCCATACAAAAGTACCAGCTTACAGAGATGGTCTTCGTACCACCAGTTGCTGTCGCCGTCCTGAAGTATCCGTCTCTTCACAACTATTCTCTGAAATCGATCAAAGTCGTTGTGTGTGGCGCAGGACCACTAGATAAGGAACACCAAAACGCACTTCAATCTATCTTGGGGTCCGAGACGTCGTTCACTCAGGTTTGGGGCATGACAGAGACTAGTTGTGTCGCTTCAAAATTTTACTATCCTGAGCGGGACGATACTGGTAGTGTTGGGCGCATGATGCCAAACTTAGACGTCAAGTAAGCCCACGTTCATGATGAGGATAGCTCCACGGACTGACCATACTACAACCAGGCTCATAGATGATAACGGAAAAGACATTACAGCTTTTGATGTACCTGGAGAGCTCTGTATACGAGGCCCCACGATCATATCGGGTTACTTCAACAGTTCACACGCTACAAAGGACTCGATTGATGGGGAAGGGTACTTCAAGACGGGGGACGTGATGTACTGCGACTCAAAAACAAAGAAATGGTATATTATCGATCGAAAGAAAGAACTGATCAAGGTGAGGGGGTTCCAGGTAGCACCAGCCGAGATCGAGGGAGTCTTACTCTCCCATCCGCAGATATTGGACGCTGCTGTCATTGGAGTTCGGAAACCGGACGAACCGGATGTGGAAATGCCGAAGGCATTTGTGGTGCGGAAATCTGGTTCCGACGGCGCAGCATTAACAGAAGAGATGGTGAAATCATTTTGCGGAGAGAGATTGGCAAAATACAAGGAGCTTTCAGCCGGAGTTACATTCATTGATGCTATTCCGCGAAATGCGACGGGAAAGGCCCTGAAACGCATACTGAGGGATATGGCGAAAGCTACGACTGCAAATTCCGCCAGGCTCTGAACAGCCTCTTGCTGCGAAAATGGCTATTTTAGTTCATTCAATAGGTATGGATTAAGACTTGTACACTTTACGTTATCTGTTAATTGTGATATATCGTAGACCTATTCCCGTAGTCTCCGGTAGCCTTCCAGAAGACCTTTTAAGTACTTCATGGTTGTCTGATCAAAATCGTCAGACTTCCTGACAAAGGAACTCATCTGAGCTTTGTGCCTATCATGCTCCAGGTTGTCGAGTAAAATCTTGGCAAGTAGCCAAAACTGAGTTGCGTCCTTCATAAATCCAGCATTTCGCCATCGGTCCTCTAGCTTGTCTGGTACTCCTTGTGGCGGAAGCGGCGTCCCAAATGCTTCTGCCATTCGGTAGCGCCCTCGGAGAGTCCAAATTATACTCCAATTCCGCAGCCAGTCTCGCAACATAGAGATCGTCTGGGATTGCCAGCAAATTGAAGACCGGACTTGAAAAATGGTGGGATGCATCGCTGGAGGAAAGAAATGTGAGCTTTACAAAGATATGGAAGGTGATTGTCTTACCCATGACAAGAAAGCCAAGATTCAAATGGCCCAGATGAGTAAAAGCCTGTAGGCTCTTCCAACTCATATCCTTACGACTTATCTGTTCCACCGCATCTAAAAGCGATATGCGACATGCACGGGCTAGGGGGTGCGATAGCCACACTTTCAGATAGCCAAAGCACTCCAAAGCCGATGTTGCTTGGAAACAGGCTTCTGGGCACGCAAGGTCAGATTGCAACTCTGAAACAAACACCCTCGGAGGCATATTGTTCATGATAATGAAGCCGCAATCGAGTACAACCATATAATTCATCGTCCTTTGCTCTGGGTCAGCCTAGCTCTGTGGAGATCAAGGATGGCAAGAATACCTGATAAGCTCCTCCTTCAGGATGAATTCTTTCCAAAGGAAGTTGGAGTCCGTAACAGATTCTAGATCTCCATGTGAAGCATGGGCAAAACCTAGCTCCCGCGCCATCTGTATCTTGTGAATAGGATCCGCATCAAATGTAGAGAATACGTACCGCAACCACTTGACCAAATCGATGTCTTCTGGCTCGCCGTTTCCCACTATCGAGTCCCTCCCATACCTGGTAAAGGCACGTAGCGTGTGCGGCTTGAAGGCTTCTTAGCCGTCTTTCGAGGCAGGCGGCATTCAGGACCGAGTAGAGAGCGGAATCACCGAAGTATCTATCGCCAAATACAATTTCTTCCACCCCATCGCAATATTTCCTGGCGCAAGCACGATCCTGAGGGATAGTTGAATAGCTCGCTCCAATTAGAACCATGGCAGCGACTAATGTACAGGGTGTCTGGGATATTTGGAAGGTCGACTTGTGAATCACCGGCCAATGTATATACCAAGTAACCCAGTAAATGTCCATAAAACGACGTAGGTTGTCTGGACAGAAGAACTCCAGGCATTCTTTTTCAATTTCGGAGCTCCACTGTAAGTTAATATAACTATTCTGTGGCTTGTGTGACACACAATCCCGCAACCTACCCACAATCTCGCGGTTCATGGCGGAAAGAGGATCGATATCCGGAAGCACTCGAACAGAGGATCCAGGGTCCAGGCAGGTATTATCGTCAAAGGGTGATAAGGGAGAAGGTTCAAGGAAGTCCATCGCGCTACCATAGTCGTTCCACGGAGGCGATTCCGATATCTCATCATATCCGAAGTTGCTATCTTGATTTTTCAAGCCATTTTGTGTCCAACCTGTTTGACGAAAGGGTGTTGAAAAGTCTGGCATCAAGCCAGAAGAACCTAGGGACGAGTTCCTTGCACCAGCAACTGTGTAGTTATCAAGCATATGAATAGGGTTTGGCCTACTGCAAATGCGCGAAGACAGATCTGGGTCGAATGACTCGGCCAGTCCTTGCGTCGTTACGATGCGGAAGAAGAGGTCCAGTGAGTTGGGAATGGCATTTTGCGTGCATTCTGCCAGTATCTCTTGTTCGAAATAGAGGAAGCGAGATTCTGACGCGGTAACTATACGTGGTTTATGAGGTCCGCATTTTTTGGAAGAACCTCCCCTGGGAACCATTTTTGTCATATTTTGCTGTAAGGCTTCTGAGATCTCTTCCTTCTCTTTGGAGTTTCTTACGGAATCAGAAGTTGCCTTGCAAACTGCGAGGTGTCGGGTATGGACGTCCCTGAGATGGAAATTGTGAATGTCAGTGGTAGTTTACTCTGATAAGGTACCGAAATAAGCCAGTCAGGGGTGGTGCTATTACTCACTTTCGATTGAAAGTCAACTGGCAGTGACTACAAATAAATGGCCGGGTCTTGGTGTCTTCCATAAAATCAGAAAGAAGATCTTGGGACTGTTACAGAAATACAGAACCGTAATGCAACCTGAAAAGGAGAATGTGTTGATACAGATACCTACGGGTGATAAGATGACGGTTGAGGTGCTCCTTGCGGCTGTAGGTTCTTCTGCAAACAGGGCAAGAGTTCATTTCGGCTTTTGCCATACTTTTTGCCTCGGGGTGGGCGATGGCCGAGCTGTCCTACAAGGCGAAATAAGGAAACACCAAGTATAGTAAGGCGTCAATGGTTTGAAGGTACAGTTCTTGTTGATAGTAAGGAGATGTATGATCAAAAATTCTCGAGTGTTGTGAAGTAGATACTTTGGTGGCAGCAGTGTCTGGCAGGTTTTAATTCTCTCCCGGCTGACCCCGCCTCTAGCTAACTGGGGAAACCTAATACGGATGAAGAGATACTGCGTCCTCGGAAGTTATATACAAACGTAGTTAGTTCAATATTTCCCCAGATGTAAACTACCGAGGACCGTGGTGGGTGTTTCACCCCACCCCCACCCCCATTTTAGATATGATATAGATATGAAAAAATACTTTGTACTCGGTATTTATATACAAACGTTGTTGATTCGATGTCTCACGTAGTGCAATCTACCGAGGACCTTGGTTGGTGCTTCACTTCGCCCCCACCCCCATTTCGGAGCCTATCCAGCAAGGCTGGGTTGAAAGAGTAGCTATAAAGAAAGGCAATGAAGACAATATCTGGAGTCTCCATGTAGTACATTTAATACAGACTGAAATCTCCTCAATCTAAGCCACCCGCAACCATGAGCTCGATGAAATATGTCTCCCGCGACAGCGGCATATACCACAGCTTGCCTCAGTTTGATCCGAAGCTGACTGGTCTCTCGGCTCTCATAGCTGGAGCAAACGGTATTTCCGGGTTCAATACATTACGAGCCCTATTGGATTCCCCACAGCGATGGGCAAAAGTGTTTACATTGTCGAGACGACCATTGCCCACTGAAATGATGGATCTCATTCCGGCGGAGCTTCGCAATCGAATCCAACATATTTCGTGCGACTTGCTAGCCGAGCCTGAGGATATTGCCCAAGTCCTCAAGTCGGCTGAAGTTCAAGTGGACTATATCTTTTTCTATGCCTACCTGCAACCTAGACCACCCCCGGGTGAGCCAGCATGGTCCAATCAGCAGGAGCTACTTGAAGTCAACTCGGCACTACTTCGCAACTTCCTCGAGGCGATCCCGCGAGCTGGTGTCCAGCCAAAAAGATTTCTCCTCCAGACAGGAGCAAAGAATTATGGGCCGCACATTGGCCGCGCCCGTACTCCGAACGTGGAATCCGACCCTCAGCCTCGTCACTTGGGTCCAAATTTCTACTATGCTCAAGAAGATCTATTGTTTGAATACTGTGAGAAGTATAGTGTTGGATGGAACGTTATCCGGCCACCATGGATTATCGGCTCGGCCATGACGGCCCAGTTGTGCGCCTTGTACCCGTTTGGAGTCTATGCAGCGGTCGCCGCAGAGCGAAGCCTACCTCTACGCTTTCCGAACTCTTGGTCTTTCTGGCAACAGAATTGTTCTCACTTTGGGACTGCCCTGTTGACTGGATATCTCAGCGAGTGGGCTGTTTTGGAGGATAAGTGCAAGAACCAGGCTTTCAACAGCCACGATACAAGTCCCATTTCCTGGGATCGTATATTTGCAGAATATGTGAGGTGGTTTGGTGTTGAAAAAGGCGTTTTGCCGCCTCCTGACGGCGAGACCGGACTACTTCAGCTAAAGCTGAATGATGGGAAAGACTCCCCAATGGGGTAAGTCATTTACGAATCATGGTGTATGTTATGCAGCTCTACTAACATCAAAATTCAAAGGTATGGTCCGCCCCTTACCGAGAAGATGTCTTTCACCATACTCGATTGGGCTCATGACCCGGAAAACCAGAAAGCCTGGAAGAGAATTCAAGAAAGAGAGCATATAAACTTTGACCCTTTTGAGGATATCGAAGGAAATTTCACATTTGCTGACACTGTGTTTATAACCTTTGGGCCTCTGAGTATGAGCAAGGTAAGCTATTGAATGAAGTCCAAGATGAATCTACTATTGCCCACTAACAAACTGCTGCAGGCGCGAAGGCTGGGGTGGACTGGATTTGTGGACACAATGGAAAGTATCTTCGACATGTACCAAGAAATGCATCTACTGGGAATGCTACCAAGCCTGAAAGTTAGTGAGGCTTTGCCCCTGATATGAGAGTATAGTGACGCGCCTTTTACTCCTACTGAGGAGTGGATATAGTACCATTCCCTACTGAGAAAGATATCTCTACTCCCTAAGGGGTCTCGAAATACTTGTTCTTCAATGTCTTCCCTTGTTTCTCGATAGAACGCAATGAATTGAAGACTACGCACAATGAGCGAAGTATACCACCTGTGATACTCTAAATAATATTGGCGCTATCTCTGGGCGATGGTAGTCGTAAAAGGACGGTTTCAGGTGTCCCGATTTCAAAACAACAGTATGGACTCCACTTATAAGATAGCCTTCGTTAATTTGAAAATGACTCAACAGCCCTTGATCTATCCGATCCAGAACTCAGAAGCGTAGCGAGCCGGATTCGAGGTACGAGTCAAGGTATTCATGCATGTCTAGATTGACTTGTATTGTTCGTAGTGCATATTCACCGTTGCAGAGATAATCTCCTCGATGTCTTTTCACCTGTCTGTGGCCAAATTCTATTCTTTCCTGGCGCCAGAATCTTCTTAAATGAAAATACATTGTTCATGGCGTCATTCGACTTCATCAAAGTATTAGCGTTAGAGGACTTCATTGCTCCAGCTCGATCCATTAATGGAAGGTGAGGGAGGTATTCATCTCCTTCCGCCGTAGTGTCATTCACCAACGGAGTGATTAACTTGTGGGCCCGAGGTTTTGAGTCTTTCGCTCTTCAGGCAAAGACACTCTAGACGTCATGACACATTCCTCGTATGCCAACAATGGAAGTGCTGACGAATTCGAAGCCGACTTTCTCGCCTTTCCGGCGTGTGAAGTAGTATTGCGTCGCTGCGCCGTTACCAGAAGCCTCTGCGGTGCGGAAAAAGAAGAGATGGATGATAGAGTTTCCGAGGCTGGATATTGGGGTAAGGTCACGATGGGGTTGTCGTACCCGCGGCAAACCTGATCGAAATTCCGAAAAAGGAGGAAGAAGACGCTAGCTGCACTATGAGTCTCAAGGTTTTCGAAGGATCGAGAGACTTACACTCCGAGGATTTCTTTCACCTCGGGGGCTCGGTCCAGGTCTTGGGGAGGATGGAATGCGGGGTTACAATAACTTTCACTCGACCTGAATAGATCATTTCTGCTCTAAGAAGCTTGTTGCAAAATTAAGAACTAGCGGTGAATGAAAACAAGGTCGGGCCCTCCCACAAATTAGGAGTATATCCGAGTATGGATCTCTTGAACGGGTGAATGGTTCGTGCCGTCAAGAGCGGGGAAGAAATAGAGAAGAACCTAGGTTAACAATGGATTTGACCCGTCCGAAAAGTCGTATATATTGCTCTTTCAGGACAGTCAGTGGTTTGAATTCTGGTGTAGATGTTATCAAGTGTTGAAACATATTCAGTTGCCAAGTCATAGTGCTTATATGCGTTCAATATGTACCTCACCGTCCTACTTCAATGCTTAGCTGCGGGTGTTGCCACATCATTAACCCTGAATGGTACCCTGTCCATTCCAATAAGCTATACCCACTTGATCACGCCGAATTATACAAGTAACGCGACCACATACTTCATCAACACAAAGACCAACAATAACAAACTGGCAAATCTGCTGCAAGAAGCCCAAAATGCAACCTTCATCTCCTACAGTTCCGAATTCACAGACATGCTTGGTCCAAACCCGGAGGCTGTGCTGATAGAGGAAAGAAACGACTCGTTCGCTTTTGAGGCTAGTTGAACGTCTCCAGTTGCGCTCAAGGACTTCGCTCTAACTGAGTGTACAGGGTGCCACGTATGACTGGAGAGGCAATCAAGTCTGGTTCACAAGCAGTATTCTCGATGACAAGCCAACTACTATATACCGCTTGAATTTGACCGACAATACGGTTCACGAAGTGAAAACAAGCCTTGTCAACCCTAATGGATTATACTACTTTGATGGTTATGTCTATCTGGTATACTTTGGCAATATAACCGTCCAACCAGGTGTTGCACGACTCAATTCTACTACCTTTGAGACTGAAATCCTCGCCAACTCATGGTTTGGTCTTCCCTTCAACGGACCTGATGATATTACCGTTGTACCTAGCAATCATAACGACAACGATCTCGCCACGGTCCAAGTTTACTTCACCGATAACCTATATGGTGGTCTTGTTGGTCGACCGACTTCGGACTATCAATTGCCCAGTGCCATATGGCGATATACACCGTCTACTGGGGCGCTCATCGCTGTTATACCTCGTTCTGACATTGTTGGAAGTAATGGTGTCCAGGTAAATGCAAATGGGACCAAGCTCTACGTTGGTGAATACGACTCTCTGCCTGCAGGCCAACTGGACATTGGTGACGAGTAAGCTTGCCTTTTGTACGCGTCTTCAGAATTGGAAGTCTGATGTCTATTGTAGTAACATACCCGGATCTATGGCCATCTTCGAATACGATCTCGACAGCCGGGGATTTCCAATCAACAAAAGGATGTTCGGGTTGGCGAGAACATATGCGGACGGCCTGAAGGTTGACGACTACGGCCGTGTTTGGACCGGGGAAGGCGAGGGAATCGTGGTGAGAAACAGTCAAGGAGTAGTGATCGGGCTGTTTAACCATCACACCTTGATGGGTCAAAGGATGCAAAGCACCAGTATTGCGCAGGTCGCCCTGGCAGGCGATTCGGCGATCGTTCTCGCATCGACCAGGCTCTGGAGGATCAAACTAGCCCAAACTATTGCGAGTCCCGGTGCATTTGGCAATTGATCTCATTGTAAAGATCAAGCACAAAAGCCTGACGGAGATATTTTGTCGATATCCAAGTCCGTAGGAGCCCAGCGGATTAGGCGGCTCATAAAGCTAGTAGGGTCTGATCAGTCATTGCTGAGAAAAGAACAAATGACTTTGTACTTTGATGGCAGTATCTCTGCAAGTTCCTCCGGTAACATCTGCTGTGTTGTGATATCGCGATCTGCATCTTTGTATAGCCTACGCATGCTCGAGCGATATTTTCTGAGCGTCAAAATGAGGCTGGACTAGTTGAGATCACCATGTGCGACTGTCAGAGATGCACATTCGGGGTCGTTTCTTACTGTGCTGTGTTCAATCTGGCTAGAGAAGGAGGAGGAGGAGGAGGAGGAGGAGGAGGAGGGATGAATCGGCTCATTTGGGCCTTTGAAGTGCTTCAGTAGGAAACTCAAAATGTGTTCGACCGAATGTTTCGTTTCCGCCACCGATGACTCTAATATACCCAACCTAATCGAAGTCAGCTACGTCAGCATCAGAGGATATGTGAACGCGAGCAGAGCACCTGTCATGGTCCTCCGATTTGTTGTCATTGGTGTTGACTTCGATTGGAGTCACGCTCTGACCCTCTGCTTTGAGTGAATAAGTGCCCCTGGTATGATTGAGAAGGTTGAATATGACGAATGAAGGCTGGTCCTGTCCTCAATTTATGACATGTGCGGCAAGCTTTGAATCGCTCGTCATATTCTAAACGACTCCTGAGTCACCGGATATGAAGTGGGGTAGCAAGTTAAGGTGCCAGGCGAGGACGATAACAGAGGATCTGCCGCCGTCATCTAAGCCTTCCATGGACGCTCAGGAAGGCTCTGAAGATGAGCTTTACCTGAGCTGAGCATCGTGCATCTTACATTGGTCGGTTACGCTTACCTCTCGTCTAGGTCATCTGTGTCACTCAGGGTACGACTTCGTAGACCCTGGGCTCACCACAAAGTTCCACTGAATGGGAGCCTGAGGTCAGATGACCAGTGTACCGAATGCAGAGTCGTGGTGCAAAGATTTGAAGATATAAAGGAGGAATATATACCGGTTCTGAATAGAGATGAGTCTATTGCTTAGCGAAACGCTAACTAGAAATCATCTCCTTACGAATATGAAGGGCATTGTTGAGCAGCGAGCCACAAAGCCTGAAATGACTATAGGATAAGCTACCAACGGGCATGGAAAGAGATATTGGATTTCTGTGCTCTTCCTGTTCTTGGTATCCTGAAGCTGAGCAGTTCAAGGTATTGTCCGAAATGGCAGCTGGCAACAATGCCATGTAACATGTCACTCGCAGGCTGAACTTGAATTCTTTTCCACGAACAACGGTGCTGAACTATGATTGGATCAGTCCCCGAAGACCACGGCAAAAGTGGAGTTCTGGTGGAAAGACTTTGAACCGGTCATTGGATGGGATGCCGAGAGATTTCACTAGTCCCCTTTGGCAAACCTGGAAGTCGTTGCATGAGGGTATCCCCCTTTGAATAGTTGTCAGAACCAAGGCTGAGATGGCTCACCGCGGGAATTGATAGTATTGTCTCCGTCTATGCCGCGGCCGTGCCAAGGTAAAACGCTGGGCCTGTGGTCAAAGCGGGCCTGCTTGTACACGATCCAGCCACACATTCACTAACGGATGATTCTCCTAAGAGCGAGCGTTCTGGAGAGATACACCCCTCCGTGATCGGCATAACATATGATGAAAAGGCCTCAAGTCAGCCCGTAGGTGTGGTTGAGCTGATACTGGTTTTACCCTGAGCATGAGACCTCTGCAAAACCACGTTGAATCCACCTGTTGCCACCAACTTCAACTGTAAAGCACATCATTGCAGACAGAAGATCAAGATGGAGACTCCAAGGCTCAGCCATTCATTGAGTGCTGCGACCTTCGACCGCACCGATATGGTTCCATACCACGAAGGTCTTAACGTGCTTCCTCACGACTTTATGTTCCACAGAATATTCTACCTGGCGAACAACCACGGAAACACCACTGCCGTTCATGACCCATACAGTGGATACCAGAAAAGCTACCGCGAGTTGTTCCTCGATATCGTGCGCACCAAAAACCATATCAGGAATCATCTGACAGCCGAGTCGATGCGGATGCTGCGAGATGAAGAGGAAGTCAGTATGTTGATAGTGTCAAGGGGCTATGAGTTCACAGTGGCTTTCTTTGCGGTGTTGGCCCTGGGAGCCGTTGCAGTACCACAAAGTACGTTCGACCTGATCTAGTGGGCATGAGATCAGATAGCTGAAGGATGTCCATCTTGTAGGCCCACACATCTCGTCCAAAGAACTGCTCCATGCTGCGGTGACAGCCCAGGCTCATGCCACCATCTGCTCACCTGAGCACGTGAAGCTGGCAAATGGCATCGCTGAGGAGACTGAAATGCGCAAAGACTACCTGACCATCAGCTTAGAGGGCTGCTTCAACGACGATACTTCCATTTTATCCACCCAATCCATGGTCTTCAGCTCAAACAAACCCATGGACCAAAGCAAGCCCGCCCTCGTCATCTTCACTTCGGGAAGCACCGGTCCTCCTAAGGGAGTTGCATACAGACGATCCAATCTGACTCTGATCGCGTGTCAGCAGATCTGGAAAAATAGCATCAAAGAGGGATTTACCGTCTTGCAAACACTCCCCACACACCATGGGACCGGCTTGATCCTCAATACGATCCCCACCATCATGGGGGGTGGCTGTATCGAATTCACGCATCCGAAGTTCGACGCCGGGAGGACGTGGGAGCGCATCAGTCAAGGAGGCATTACAAGTCTTTCAGCCGTCCCAACCATTTTTGTGCGACTGCTCAAGTACTGGGACGATACTCTGTCTAAGTGTGACGAAGGGGAGAGGAAAGTCTACCTTGATGCGCTCTGCACCATTGAGCAGTACCACTGTGGATCGGCGGCGTTGCCAGTACACGCTGCTAAGAAGTGGAAGGAACTTACTGGACGACACATTCTGGAGAGATACGGCGGGACTGAGTTTGGAAATCCATTCTTGAATCTTACGACGACGCCGTTTGTTCCGGTAAGTAACCCATCGTTGCTCGACTGCTCAAAGAGTCTGCTACTGTCAGAAGATCCTAATACTGGTTTCACACTCGCTAGGGTTCAGTCGGCGTCAAAAATCCAGGTGTGGAAACATACCTTGAGCATGGTGACCATGGGGAGGTTTTTGTTCGATCGCCATTCATGTTCTCGAAGTGAGGAAACTTGACAACACTATTAATATGACTACTGAGGTTCTCGACCAGGTACATCAATGACATCGAAGATGCCAAAAATGCTCTCACGCAGGATGGCTACTTCAGAACCGGCGATGAAGCGGAGAAAGTCAATAATATGTACTTTCTCAAATGTCGCAAATCCGTAGACAGTGAGTCGTCGTTCTTCTAGCAGACATGAAAGGGATCCAAAACTGACGTGAGAGGGCAAAGTTATCAAAAGCGGCGGGTACAAGATCTCAGCACTTGATATCGAGCGAGCCATCCTCGACCATCCTAAAGTCGAGGATGTCATTGTCGTAGGACTTGACGACGACGACATGGGTCAGCGCTTAGCCGCCGCAGTGGTCTTGAAAGAGGTGAGTCCGCTCAAACGGTATACACCCACAATTTAGATTCTGTCCGCAACATACATTCGTTGGAAAACTGATGGTCAAACATGATACTTCTGCAGGGACAAACCTCCCTCTCCTTACCAGAACTCAGACACGACCTCAAAGATAAACTGTCCTACTACAAGCTTCCCACAGTTTTGAGGATTGTGCCGGCATTGGAGCAGACGGCGAGTTTCAAGGTCCCCAAAGCATTGTTGAAGAAAACATTGTTCGGGACAGATCAATCAGAAATACAGAGTATGCCGGGAAAGGGGGAGGCGAAGGCGAAGGCGAAGTTGTGAGAGCTCGGAGTGCAGCTGTGATATCAAGGGTAGCATAGATACAGGGTGCTTAATGTAGGGGGGAAGCAGAATTTCCTTTGTTTTTGTGGTGTCGCTGACTTCGATGCTTCTTATCCGTGCAGCCTCCTAGCCGTGTTAGGAGCACAAGACCTTGGGCTTTTCACGATCTACTTTTGCCAAAGTTCTTTCGCCACTCATGTTGATACAAAATGCCGCGGAAGTAATAGAGGCACATCAAGGCTTTTTCGTCGTAGCGCCTACCGGATGGATTGGAACAACACTCTCGGACCCAAGCCGTCGCTTTCACGACAACCATTCAATCGCGCGAGAGAGAGACACTGACTGACGTCTCCGAAATGAATCTGCATCTCACACTTACTTACTGCAGGAAGATCTCTGACTCAAGGATCACGCAAAATGCAACAGACACGGCGGATACCTACTTCGCTCTCTCAGAAACCTGAAAAGACGGTCAAATCACTTTCACTCAAGCATCCAATCTGGCCAGTGCTAACCACAAATCTCATATCCCTGCTACGCCGGCCATCAACGCACCCTTCATCACCCTCCCCGTTGCCCGCACTAACATTAGTACGTATGATAAAACCCCTCCAACCCTTCAATCATCTCCCCGCCACCTCGAGCGCGCTTATTTGCGAAGTAGACCTTCATATCCAACGCGAGGGTGATGATCACCATCATACCAGTGGCGACCAAGCATGTGATGATACCAGGGGTGTATTTCGGTGCATCCTGGGAGCGGAAGACAACTGTACCGATCTGTTATTTCATCGTTAGCGCCGTCTCTGGGCGTGGCTTTGAGAACGGATGTGAGATAAAATGCTCGGGTGTCGCCGATTTACAGAGATACAGCAACGTGGGACAAGGTGCAAAGACCGAATTGACGGGAGCAAAACTATTGGAACTTACGATGCCGCCTATGCCACCTCCGCCTAGGAGAGTCGCAGAGCAGAACGCACGTTTCCATTGGCCGCGGATGTTGTTGGCCTGCCAAGTGAGTAGGGCAGGGATATTGGCATTCGCTCCCATGGTACTAAGGAAGACGCCAAAATATCGGGCGCCAGTATTGGTGGAGAAGGCAAGTAGAGGAAGACCTGTGAAGAGATAGTATTAGTCAAGATATTCAGAGCCATGAACGCAATCTCAAAAAGCAGTAGCAAGGGCTAATCTCTGTGGAGGAAGTTGACCGCACTTACCTGTAAGCATGAGAGCGAGGCCAATCAAAATCCAAGGCGACCGCAGATGATATCTGTCTCCAAGCCATGCGAAGATCAAGAGTAGGCATCCTGAAGCTAGATAAGGTGGCGAGGAGAGACATTGAGAGACTGCCACGTCGAAACCCATCCCAGAATTCAAGATTATGGGAAGGAAATTCGCAATGGCGTAGACAGGCACGCTGTTGAGCATGAAAAGAGCGGAGAAAGCCCACACTTGAATGTCCAAGCCAGCTTGGAGGTATTTATTTAGCTGGAATCTGGGTCCGGGGTTAGAGCTCGAATAACAAGATCAATTGAACTGAAAAGAGCACTTACTTTTCCGGAAGCACGTCATATCTGTCTTTCTGCACTCTAGCCACAATAAATCTGATCCCACGTTCATTGAGAAATGTGAAGGCAAAGCCCTTCCTGCATACCTCGGGAAAGTCGATGAGGAAAGGAAAAATCAGAATAGCAACAAGAGCCGTCATTGTATCCTCAATTATAAAGATCCATCGCCAACCGGCAATACCTGGGAGGATGCCGGACGGTGCTGTTGGATCCTCTGCCGTTGGACCATAGTGCTGGCCCCAATAAACGGCTGGACGAGAACCATGATTCTTTATTTGTGAGAAACCATAGCCTAGAATTCCAGCAAAAGCTTGAGCGAAGACGCCAATGCCGTAGAACCAGGAATATCTCTTCTGGAGCTCGTAGCGTGGATACCAGCAACTGAGGAGATAGGCCGCTCCTACACCAAGGATAAAATAACAGGTAAGTATGATCTTCTTCTTTTGGTAGGGCGGAGTCAAAGAAGATCTCACACTCACCTGGAAAAGAACCTGTTTCAAGTCCGCCCAAGATCAATCGAATGGGAATCGGCTGATACCAGAATTCCACAAGTGCGGCACAGATCATTGTCAATCCCCAGAGGAAAGTAATCGCAGGCAGGAAGATTCGAGGGCCAATCCTCCTCGTTGCCACGGTCGCGGGTGGCTGAAATAAGGCATATGTGATCAGAAAGACGAGAGCGATGAGCGGATATCTTTCGCCAGTGAGCTTGAGGTCGACAGCCATTCCAGCCACAGCAGCTGTGCCTAGATTGACGCGGTCAATCAACGCCACACAATACATCAGACCAAGAGGAAGGATCAAGCGCAAGTCAACCCGGCGGACGATCTTCTTCTGTTCGTCTGGAGTAAAGTAGTGGATGGCCTCGTCGAGGTCGGTTGACTTTGTTGGCACCATGAGACTGGTACCTGGCTCTGCTGTTTCGACTAGGTCTTCGGTCGGACTGATTTTCTCGGGGGAAGACATTGTGATTCCTTCGTAAATGCGAGCCCGCTTCTGGCAGGATGGAAAGGAAGGAAAGGTCTGTCTCTACACGTAAGCAGAGAAACGGTTCATAGTACGAGTAGGGGCCAAGTAGAATAACTGCCTCCGCTTATAGAGAGAGATTTTTTGGTCTTCTTAAACAGCTCAGTACCCGTCCACCTCCAGGTTTACCGAATTGTGGGGGACGGCGGCTGGAGCTGGCTGTGGGGACGCTATTTCGGCAAGGACTTTTTGAGATGGAGATGGTTGCATAGTTCACAGTGGGAGACCCAGTCAGGAGGGAGGCATTGAATGTCGAAGCCAAGCCAAATGATGTGGTCCAGCTCCTTCAGATGAGGTTCAAACATACCAATTGTGTAGAAAACATTCAGCATCCCGAGGCAGCTCACAGTGATTGGTTAAAACTCCGAGGTATTCAGAAGCCACCCTTGGCTCGCCTGCTACCCGTAGAGTTTGGAGTCGTAGTGTTGGCAAGCTGGGACTGGTCCAGATGTACTTGCAGTCATCTAACGCAAATACTCCATCATAGCCTCCTGTGGTGGACTGCTGGCGCTCGTTATACAGTATGAGGATTGAGGCGTTTTGGTCTTGGAGCAGCTCAGTAACAACGCGTCGAGCTAGGCTTCATAGCTCATCCTCGGAGCAATACTCATTATATTGCGCCTGAATTATTGTGGCAGGACAGTTTGGTCACTTGACTTCTCCAAGTGCGAATGACTGAACCTGGAGCTTTACAATCTGGGAAACTGCATCAGTTTTCCACACATCGGAAGGATCTCCGCTGTTATTGAGCGATCTCCAAACCCGCTGTTCTCGGGTTTCAGCCGCTATGCTTGACTGCTCGCTGGTCAGATTTTTATGGATCGAACTCAAACAAGCATCGTTAAGCGCCATGAGAAAGTCAGTGATCCCCTCCCATTGATCCGCCAAGTTCTCGAGCGCTCGGAAACAAATTGAAAGATTGTGCGCCGAGGTGGGATTGCTTTTTGTCGAATATTTGAGATTCGAGCTGTTAATAGCTAATGGTATGAAGACCATAATCACACTGATCCCGGCTCATTAGTGGACTCTTCTTTCAGAGCCAGCATAAATTTGAAGGTGGAGTCGAACAGATACGTACGGGCAGAAGGGCAGAAACCTGAAAAGGTCCTTGGCAAGCAGGCTCTCGATGGTTTTGACTGTATCGTTGGCAGAATCCTCTAGGGCATATCTTGAGGCATCACGAAGTTTCGTGCTCCACGAAGTCGGAGCCGACCGCTCGACGCAAAGGCTGATCGAGTGTAATGCAGAGAGGCAGTATCTGGTGAACGGTGTTATTCAAGGGGCGAATTGCAGTGCCGGGGAACGACTAGGAGCCGAACCATAGCTAGGTGGGTGCTGAACGGGAATGTTTCGAGAGAGGGTTGTAGAGGTGATGCCAGGCGGTGAAATTGAATTTATCCCTTCAAAAGATGTCCCAATTGAAGCGTTGGGGTCAACGAGAGGGCTGTGTGATAGCAGTAACCGCAGCTTTTTAGTTGCGGGACGTCTGCATAAGATGTCAACCCCGAACACTGAGTCGGTTTGACCAGATAGGATCGCCAACCTTTTGTTCGGTATCCCACAGTGCTTACCATCCAGCTGACAATTGGTACAAGGGTCTGGGTACTGGACTGTAGCATCACACCTTACCTTGCGCGCACGACAAGGTAAGCAGGCTGAGAGACATCGGGGTCAGTGTTTGCTGGCAAAGGTGGAGAGGAGATATGTACATACCCTTTGTCGCCCTTCGTCGTGGGGCCTGCCTCTCGCTTGATGGAGCCGCTTCACCTTCCATAGCCGAGTAGTGATAAGGCACGCCAATCGCACTTTCCATAGCGCCCATTCAGGTAGATGTCGAATCTCTTGATTGAGCATTGCAGGATGTAAGGTTGATTTCCGAGGATTTGGAAATCAAATGCCGGTGCGAGTCAGGTGCTCCGCCCGAGACAAGTGTAAGTCGGCTGCGGGTTCCAGGGAGAAGAATGTTTTCCCATAGGCTGCGTCTCCGCCCGGGACAATACCCGGGAGCCGAGAGGCTCCGTTGGCTAAGCCTAGGGAACTCTGGGCGTTTAAGAGGTAAACAGGTCCGAGAGGCCCAGTCATGGCTGTGAAGCTTGTCCTTGCTCCTGGCTTCAAAGCGCTGATTCGTCATTTTACCATGGCAGCCGGTTCGGGACATGATATTTTGTAGCAACAACATGAAGAGCCCCGATCCTGCAAAGATCAATTTGAAGCCAGGTATGAGCCTGATCCTACCGAAGTAGGAGCGAAAAATTTGGGAATGCTTGGTACTGGCTGGTGACTGGCTGGTGACTGGCTGGTGACTGGCTGGTGAACAAGCCTGTGTTTCGGACACATCCTCGGTCCCGACTCCCTCATGGTTTTGTATTGCCGTGAATTTAAGAAGTCCTACCTTTAAAAATTCCCAACTGAAGCAGTTCGGTGCATGAGAAGTCGAAATTGACTAGCCGCTAGGATTGACTGTCAGCCATGGCGGCCCCCAAGTACAGATATACCGACGTTGTGTTCTCGATACAGGACAGAATCGGGGTCATCAAGGTATTCTCACCATGCTACCCAAGATATACCAAGACCTAACGCTCTCTATCCTGCTAGTTTAATCGGCCCAGGTCCTTGAATTCTTTCGGCGGTAACATGATGATGGATCTGGCGACGGCTCTTAGAGAACTGAATGAGCATCCTGACACGGTCTTCACTATGATCACTGGAGAAGGCAGATTCTTCTCCTCCGGCGCCGACATTCTAGGTGAGCAGACTGCTAGTACCGACCGAAATTGGCGTCGAAAAGTAAAGACAGGTGGTTTTATGGGATTTTGGCGAGCCAGAACAAGAACTGAGCAATTCTGTGCTGGATAGCGAAAACCGGGTTGCACAATGACATCCACGGGGATAATGTCGAATTCCCTAGTCTGGCTGCGAAGAAAATTGCCATGATGGCGAAAATGTCATTCGGTAAGACCATCCCTGCTGCGAAGTCCGGGGCTTTCTAAGCACCCAATTCCCAAATGAAGGCACTCCGCTAAACATACTACCTTTGCCTTGTAGCGAACGAACTGTTGCGATCCATGATCGACCATCGAAAAGTCTTGGTGTTAGCTCTCAACGGTCCTGCCGTAGGTGGCGGAGCGACGTGGTTCCCAGGAGTCGCCGATATTGTTCTAGCTGCCGAAGGAGCATACCTTCAAACCCCATTCAGTGCACTGGGGCTTGTACCTGAACTCGGTTCTGCCACAATATTCATGCAGACCATGGGCGTTCATCGTGCCAACGACTTTCTCATGCTCGGTCGAAAGCTTTCAGTGCAAGAATTGGAGCAGTGGGGAGTGGTCAATCGTATCTTGCCTAAAGAAGGTTTCCATGACCATGTACTCGAGTTTCTCCGAGAACAATTGGCTGTCAATGATGGGAAGAGCATGATAGAGGCTAAAAGACTGCAAAATCTTCCCCTGCGGCGGGATAGAATATTGGCGGTTTATGATGCTTTGGAAGCGTTGGCGGAAAGGCATGTCGAGGACGCTCCGAAACGAAGGTTCGCTGAAAAGCAGAAATTATTACGAGGTAAGTGGCTTCTCCTGTTATCTATTCCATCTCAACGACTTTTAGGGGTGTACTAATATCATTGATATAGAGAAATCAAAGGCTAGATCTAAATTATGAAAGATTAGCCTCCTAATATTAAGCTCAGGGGAGGCTAATAGAATTTCCTTCGACGACCTTTACATATACAGAGCCAATGATACTCATAGCGTGAAACTTTTCGACAGGAGCAAATTCTATCCGTGGATAATTTCACATCGGCGCTGAAGTCCCCAAACTGAGTTCGACGCTTTTCATGATCGAGTTGGTACAAACTACCCATCACTTGATGCTCTAGTGAACTAAGGTTTTCCTCTGTCTCTCACAGACTGGGGACTTGGGCCCATCCTCTTTGCCCCGGTTTCTGAGCTTTACGGTCGTTGTATCGCCATCATCCCCGCCTTTTTCATCTCAGCCTGCTTCGCCTTCTCGACAGCAACAGCCAAAGACCCGCGAACGATCTTTATCAGTCGCTTCTTTTGTGGGTTTTCCGGCTCCGCGCCTATTGCCGTCACGGCAGGCAGTTTAAGTGACATATGAGAGCCAAGGCAGAGAGGAAAGGCTATGACTGTTTACGCCATGGCTTTCATCACCGGTCTGCTCATTGCGCCTGCTGTGGGGAGTGCGTTCGTGCCGGCGAATGGACTGGGTTGGAGGTGGACTGAATACGTACGGCAACCCTACTTGGGAGAGCTCAGAGTTGTTGGTATAAACAACAGATCACCGGCATCCTCATCTCCTGCATCTTGGTGGTCGACATACTATTCCTGGACGGAACGTATTCCCCCATCTTGCTGAGTAGGAAAGCGCGTCACATGCGTATCCAAGGCAATTGGGCAATGCACTCCAAGCACGAAGAAATGGAGGTCAATCTGAAAGAGCTTGTGATGAAGTACCTACTTCGACCGCTGGTGCTTATCTGCTTGGAGCCAATTTGCTTACTGATGTGTCTATACGCAAGCTTTGTGTTTGGGATGATATATATGTGAGGTCTATTACTGGGTTTGGAGCTTGAAGGCAAGCACGAGGTTCTAACTCCGAAGTGTAGGACGTTCCCAGCTTTCCCAATTGTTTATCAAGGTGTTCGTCCTTCTACCTCCTCCCCTACTCACTCATATTGACTTGAAAGAGCTCCGAGGTTGGACCCCAGTGGTCGGTTCTTTACCTCTTCTCGCTCTCTTGATTGGTGCCTGCCTGGGCGCTGCAGTCAATCTCCTCAACCAAAAGCGACTCGTCCGGGTCATCCAAGCGAACAAAAGTCGATCTGTTCCTGAAGCACGACTGCCGCCTATGATGCTTGGTGCGCCATTGTTTGCTGCTGGGTTGTTCATTTTTGGATGGACTTCTAGGCAGGATGTGCATTGGTTTCCGTGAGCTTGCTCCCCTTACTTCATGCTCAACTATCTACTGAGAGAATGGATCAGGTCCATGGTCGGAGTCGTCTTAATCGGCTTTGGCTGCGCGACCATCTTTCAGGCCGCATTGAATTACCTTGTGGATACGTATCAAGAGTTCGCAGCTAGCGCAGTCGCGGCAAATAACCTTTTGAGATGTGTACTTGCTGGAGCCTTTCCACTGACTGCGCATCCTTGTACGTTCCTTACTTTCTCATATCTCTCGATGGGTGACGATGTGCGCTGACTATTCCCGTAAGTGTTCCACAACCTGGATATCAGCTGGACAGCAAGTCTGTTAGGATTCATTGCTTTCGGACTTATCCCCATTCCGTTCGCGTTTTACGCCTTCGGTAAGACGATTAGGACATGGGGGAGGTGGTCGAAGATCTCGGTATAGGCTACGGGTCAAGGGGAGCGATTTTTATTATGGGATAAAAGATGAACTTTTGGAATAGACTTACCACTTTACCTCCCCCTTAGACAAGGGTGTTACGAACACGACCGAATCAGCCTCACAAGAGTGTTTGGCACTTAAAGCCACCGAAAAACCATCATATAGGAAATATAGCTATTATTTGACTTTAACTACGAGAGCGAGTGGCTCCCCCTGTTGCAGACCACAACATTAACGTCTCTGGGACAAGACGACAAGTCATTTCTGAAAGACAGCCACCACTTTCGGAGCATTGGATATTCAATAGCTCAGCCGATGGATCTCTGCGATGAGAGCACTTATATTAAACACCCGATCAAGACAAACAGCCTTTTGCGAGCAATTTGGTGTTGTCTATATTGGCGAGATAAGTTCCTAACCATCGTAACAATGCAGCCTCCTTTAGTCAAAGAGTGTGACTTTAATGTCGTTGCCTTCACGCCCCGCGGCCTTGATCTGGCGAGCATAAATCGTTCAACAAAACAACCATAATTCTTTCGGTCTTTGGGGAGCTCCGGTTCAAAATTCGATCCACTCGAGCAACCGGCAACTATTCTCTTTTTCGAGAAAACATGATTGTGCTTGCGGATTGGTTGCATTTGAAATAACCTGTACCGACCAGTTGGGATCTTCTCCGACGGTTCTCATCCTCGAGCAATTCTTACTTCCCGGCCAGCTCCCAGGGAAACTGCAAACGCATATTGACACAGTTTGGAAAAGTGGTGGAAAGGTTTAGGTCCTCTTACCGCTGAGGGCGAATTTCAAGCAACAGGGTACCCTACATAGGCAGAGATCGGAAGTCGACGGTGAATAGGCACTTATTCAAGAGTGGACCAATTCTTTGTAATGGTCGAGATCTTTGCCCCGGCTATGTGTATTGCCGAAATACGCAGCGGGGTTTCGCAATACCGGTCTTGCTCTCAGACAAACCGGAGCATTTTGCTGCTGACGTACATCTCTCCCGAGCCCCAGAGCTAGCAATATACATATCTCCGCACACTACTCTTCACCGGGATTGAACCGCCTGGAAGGCGACAGTTAGCAGAACTGGCGGTTGACTATAGCAAGTGCATCAGCGTCCCAAAGTCTACTTGCAGCAGATATGGCGCCGACGAAGTTGTTCGGCGACTTACCCTCGAATGCGGCTGCAAACATTGTCTCTTTCGATTTACACATCCCGACATCTGATGTCGATCACATGCGAAATCTTCTGAAGCTGACTCCCGTGGCCAGTCCTGTATACGAGAACTCTCTCCCAGATGGAGGCCGACATCTGGGTCTCCGCAGGGATTGGCTCGTTGAAGCCAAGCGAGTATGGGAGACAGAGTTTGACTGGCATGTTACCTGCGTTAATTCGAATTCGTTTGCTGACCTCGGGTGCAGGAGGAAGACAGAGGATCGTGTCAACTCTTTTCCTAATTTCACTGCCCCAATCGACGACCAGCTGGGATCGTTCAATATTCACTTTGTGGCGTTCTTCTCCAGGAGGCATGATGCGGTTCCTGTTGTCATGCTTCACGGGTGGCCTGGCTCTTTCTTGGAATTTCTTCCTCTGCTGGAGCTGTTCAGGCAGAAATTCACCCCAGAAACACTGCCATATCATCTTGTGGTTCCTACTCTGCCGGGATTTACCCTTTCGAGCGTCCCACCTATCAATCACGATATCAGTCAGATAGATGTGGCAAGAATCATGAACACATTGATGCAACGACTAGGTTTCGATTCGTACATCGCCCAAGGCGGCGATGTCGGATCGCGAGTGGCCAGGATAATGGCCGCTGAGCACGATGCTTGTAAAGGTGAGTGCTATCGAAGGTTGTCCACGGCGATGAATGCTGACAAGTCTACAGCTGTTCACTGTAAGCCTCTCTCTCTGCACTATTAGGAGAGAACTAAAATTGAGCAGTGAACTTTTGCTTGATAAATCGGCCTGCATCAGCGACGGACGACTCGACCCTATCCAAGATCGAGCAAGAGGGAGTCAAGCGCCAAGCGATCTGGAGAGCAACGGAGGCTGCCTATGCCCTTGAGCATGGAACAAAACCCAGCACAGTCGGCTTCGTCTTGAGCAGCAACCCCGTGGCACTGCTGTCTTGGTACGTTGCGCCAACTGACATCTCGTTCGCGGCTAAACATCTCAGGATTGGGGAAAAGTACTTGACTTGGACAGACGATCCTCTCCCTCTGAACACCATCCTCGAGTCCGTCAGCCTTTATTGGCTCAGCAAGCGTGCCCATAGCAGTTTGTGGTCATATCGCCATGTAAGGAACACCATCGACAGAAATCTGACAAGGCTTGCTCACATGTTGTGGATCACAGACCTACGGTCCAAATCCCATACCACATGATGATCCAAGACATCATATCAAGGTACCTATGGGCTATTCTTACTATCCGATGGAGCTCATTCCAATCCCAATATCGTGGGTGGCGACGACAGGGAATCTAGTTTGGAGCAAGATTCACAAGAAAGGCGGACATTTTGCAGCCTTAGAACAACCTAGGGACTTCATGGAAGATCTCGAGGCGTTCATCGCCAGTGTCTGGAGTCGTTCCGCGCAGTGATCATGGAGTTTTGGATCTTGAGTCCAGTTCCAGAGTTGCCACGCTGGAATTATGATACCCTAGATACCCCGGGGTAAAGAGCATTTCTGCTCAAGACATTGTTCCACTTGGGGACATGAATCCAAGATTGTACATGCATTGAGCTTCCATTTCATCCCAGCTGACGTTTTGCTGTTCAGAAAACTCTTCCAAAAGGGCTTCTATCGCTTCATCACTGTACTCTTTCGACGTATCATACAGCGTCTCCGAAAGTATTGACCCTTGGTTGAAGTTTAACAACGGGAAACTCTGACCGGGCGTTCTGGTGCTGTTCATCGTTGGAACTGCATCAAACTCCGAGTGTGTGAGTTCAGCTACCTGCTGCGTTGCGAATTGATTGGTTTTATTCAATCCACGGGCTTCAGGTCGAGGTTGTTTAAACAAGCCATGCGTGCAAATGAGACTTCTTGTTGGTGAACCCTCCATGATAGGATCAGGATTTGGTTCTTCGAGATTGATATGGTAAGATTGTTCTTGACTGGTAACGTCGAGGCAATCGTTACTCCCTTCGCTGCTCCATCCCAATCGATTTCTATGCACGTCCAGGTCTAGAATGCCTCGCCAGGCAGCAGAGCCAAAAGCCATCTCATATGCCTCTTTGGAAACAGATTTGACTTGATCAGTAAAGGACGAATACATCATTGGATTGTCAGATGCTTCTCGCCGACCAAGGAGAAGACATGATACCATCTCAGCAGTAAGGGTCAAATTCGCAACAGGTGGCAAGACTTCCATAGCGATCTCTGTCGTGGCAGCAGGCTGGCCTTGACAATGTTTTGGCAGATCCAATTTCCATTTCGAAAGTCTCTGTCGGCATTGATGAAGGTTGATTTCACAATCCTCGTTGGTGTGAAACCCACACAGCGAGTCATTCAGTATTGACAAAAGCATAACATATTGCTTGAATGTGCTCAGTACCCTCAGAGGACGGTGTGAAAGCGCCGGGACGTTGCTCGGTGACGACTGTTCCCACTCGTCGGCCTCGTTTTCGCTAAATTGAATCGCTATGGAGACTTCGGTTGACCGGAGTTGTGGTATGGTCCCCGTACGGGCTGCAAGAAGCGTGTCCAAAACAAAACCTGCGAGGACCGTCCGCTTTAATTCTGGCATCATCTCAATTGGCGGCGGGCGTGAACGTTGCAGGTAGACCATAGCTTGAATAAAACGCCGAAGAGTGAGGGATGCGGCTTCCCACCGGCCTTTGGCCATATCCAACGTCGTTAATACCACCAGAGCTTGAGCATGGCTGAGCTCGAAGCTTCTAGCCTCGGTCCAGATCAATCTCTTGGCTTCACATGAAAACCTTTTCGATAGATATTCGTTGGTGTCACCAGGTTGCTGCAGACAAGCAAGGGCAAAAATGCTCCACAATAAGCACTTCGAACGCGAATGGAGTTGTGGTGCTTCTTGCGCTTCGGTCAAAGCACGAACGATACTGTGCTTTGCCGTGAGTGGTAACCAAGAGTGAGTAAACTTGAAGTAAGTTTCAACAAGGCTCCATGCATTTGCAGGAATTGATATGAGAGGTTCAGAACGGCGGTCGTGCGGTGCAACCTCGTTGCGATGCGAGTCGTCCTTTTCATGTTCGGCAGATGTACCGATTGCTTGCTGTGAATGAGAGGGCTGTCCAACTGCAACATCTGTGGTAACAGTCCAGTCCAACAACGGAGCAGTGACCATATCACTATATGCACCGATTTCTCTCGCTACGCCGTCTTCTAGCTGCAATGCCAACTTGTCGACTTCTCTTCGAATCGAGCTGTCCAGCCAGGCTTTCCGAGAAGAATATACCTCACTAAAATGCGAGTTGAGTAGCGTGGCTTTCCCTTCATTGTCATAACCAATTTTCGACTGTTTCAGCAGATGCAAAGCAGTCTCTTCGCTGTTCGGCACAGCCTGGAAGACAAGAGCCCATAAAGCCTCAATGATGCGAACATAGCCTGTCGGAAAGCCACGTTTCCTGGCTAGTTTACCGTAGTGGCATTCGAGAGATGCTCTTTGACATGTCTGACATGGATGACCGGAATCGCATCTCTTCTTCTGTGCTCGGCACTGATCGCAAGCTCTCGTCGCTCGTTTCACGGGTTCGTTCAAGTTTCCAGACGCGTTCTCGTTATCAGCAGGACCTTTGGTTCGCTGCCGTTTCCGAGGCGATTCACTTTCTGCCATTGGTCATGCCGCGGGCATTTCTTTGGCTTGTCTCATTTCCTTGCAGCTAGAAATGCTCTGCATTGAATGTTGCTTGTCAATTCATGGAATTGATAGGTTCGAAAGGTTGTGGATGTGAAATTGACTGTGTCATTCCTCGTCCTTCCCCCGCGGAAGCCTCGGCTTGGCCAACCCGCGCCAACCAATCATGACTGAGCATTCGGAAAATACCTTTCCCGAACCAAGTCTTGTCTGACAAAACACGTCCATCACCCATTCTTCGCCTCGTCCAGTGCCTTCTCCCTTTTCCAGTATCTTGACCAACTCAAGTGACCTATCGATGCAAGCGACTGTGCATAGCAAACTCCCAGCAGCGATGGATCCTTATAAGGGACGACCTCGTCAAAAGAGTGAATGATCACGTAGCTGGACGCGCCTCCATGTTCTCCTTCGCGATAGCCATTGCGCTATGTTCGAGCGCGACGCTTCCATCGTGCTTCTGGGTCCGCGAGGGTCGGGTAAAACAACCTTGGCTATTATAGTGCAGGCTGCACTGGGCCTGCAGCACATCGATTCCGATGATGTCTTTCAGAAGGAGACTGGCTTTTCGGCTCTACAATTCCGCAAACAATTCGGATCTCAACAGTATCGCAGGCATTGCCTTTCCTTCCTCGAAAAACTTTTAAGGTCGTATTCCAAAAATTGTGTGATAGTATGGCCGAGGGATCTTGTTGAAGAGGCTGCTTTCGCATTTCTCAAACAGTATTGCACCCAGCATCCAGTCATTCTCGTGCAACGAGATTCTGCGGCGATCGAAAGCTATCTTCAGCTGTCTCCTCCAAGCAAGATTGAGAGGATATTGGAGATCCTGATCCCAAGGTATAGGGCCTGCTCGAGCTACGAATATTTCAATCTTGAAGAGACAATGTTCTTGGGCCAGGCTACAATGCCGGAGAATGATCTCCCTCATGCAACTCCTCGGATTCTAAAGCCGCTACTGCTGAAACGTGTCGAGAAAAGCTTTCTACGGTTTCTGGCACACGTCATGCTACCATCATCGCTACATCCTGAACCCTCTGGCCAACTACTCCTCCCACAGTCTCGCGCGAAATATACCTACTTGCTCACACTACCAGTGGCTCAGATCAATTCTGCCGATTTCGATATGAGATGGTTGAATTGTGGAGCAGACGCTGTTCAACTGGAGATCGATCTAGATCCATTAGCCGGGCGACCGGCATCCCTCTCAAAAGAGATGATCAGCAAAGCATATGCCGCTGTGACCAGGACTTTCGATGGGCCTGTTGTCTATCACCTGAAAGCAGCTTCCCATTTGCGCGATTCACGGTACTTGGATCTTCTCGACCATGGCTTCAGACTCGCGGCTGAATTGGTCACCATCCACCTGGATTACACAGATGAAGAGCTAAGAAGGATGATGGAGCTTAGGCGAAGCTCCCGGTTGATTGGTGACTACCATGACAGCTCACCTTCAGAAAATGGTTGGATGAGTCAAGCTCGTCTTGATCCACTCTCCAGAGCCCGAAATCTTGGATTTGATGCAGTCCGATTGACTCAGCCTGCATTGTGTGCAAGCGACAATCGTGATGCACTTGGCTTCTTATCGTCACACCGAGGACAGATTGCGGGACTGTCCGTGATTGCCTACAACACTGGCCACCTTGGGCGTACTTCTCGCTGCTACAATGAAATCTTGACGCCAGTGACAACGGAAGATCTGCAAAACCATCTTTTGAGGCTCGCTATGGGTCGTTCATTGCAGTCAGAAATAACTATCCAGCAGTCTCAAGGCTCCCTCTATGCATCATTCATTTATGATCCCATGAAATACTACATCATCGGTCTTGATGTATCATACAGTGTTTCACCGGTTGTGCACAACGCCGCGCACCAGTTTTTCGGCATGCCTCACCGGTTGCATATCAGGTCCATGTCTACACTGGACGGCTTGTCTCAGATCACAAATGACGAAAATTTTGGCGGCCTCACTGTAGCTCAGGGGTTCAAGGAGACTCTCCTCACGCACTTGTCTGCAGCTAGCATGCATGCCAAAGCCATCGGCGCAATCAACACGCTCCTGCCAATTCGAGCCGCTTTCGATTACACGCAACCTCCTCCACGATCATTCTGGACGAATCGCAATCGCATCGGACCAGTTCTGGCTTTCTATGGGGACAATCTTGACTGGGTAGGCATGAAACGGTGTCTCGAACAGAATCTATCCCCTGCCAATGTCATCACGCCACAATCAACCGCTCTGGTTGTCGGAGCTGGAGGCATGGCTCGAGCAGCAATATATGCATTGCTGAACTTGGGAGTGCAACACATCGTGCTGTACAATCGTACATGTGCTCATGCGCGCACTCTGGCTGAGTATTTCTCGACAGTGGAATTGGACACATCGACATCGAGGCCGCAGTACAACGGCAGGATGGCTTCTCCAAGCAGAAGAGATATTCGAGTACTCGAATCCCGTGATGCTCCATGGTTTGATGATCTGGCACCTCCGACGGCTGTGCTGTCCTGCATACCGGTTCCAAAGCCATGGGAATTGTCCCAAGATCAGTTCATACTTCCTGTTCAATGGATGAAAAGTCCTACTGGTGGTGTTGTGATTGACATGAATTATCAGACATTGCTCACTCCACTACTTCGCCAAGTACTATCTCAATCTGATCGTGGCTGGATCGCCGTTGATGGCCTGGAAAATCTTGTTGAACAAGCTTCTGCTCAGTTCGAGATCTTCACGTGTCGGAAAGTTCCAAAGTTTCTGATGCATATTGTGGCATTGCAGCATTATCTAAGTCGCAGCAAAGAAGATACAGAACTGTGTCAATATCTTGAAACTCGGCTTCGCCAATTGCAATCGACGAGCTAAAAATAGCAAAATCATGAGCTTGCCACTATTCCCATCCTTTTGGCGAAGCCGCGAGTTTTGCTCCGCTCATTGCAAGAGCCCGTGCTCTGTATCACGGTTGGACTGCAATCTTCATCGACCTATCTCGCCTTTCGATAGCCTAAGATTCGGAAGAGAGCTCTCCCTGTCCTAGCGTCTGAAAACTCTCTGCAACGCTCCGCACAATGTCTCCAAGCTCTTTTGGACGACTCAAGAATGGACTGTGACTTGAATCTAGCGTATGAACCTGCATTTCAATCCTGCCACCACTCTCGGCAAGCACCTTCTTCACATTGGCCACCATTGTTCGCTGTACCTCAAATGGCAGTGCCTGGTCCTCCTGACACATCACATAAGTACTGTGCACGTCTCGCCATGCAGCGTACGTGCTTTTGCTAAAATATGGACCATAGCTTTGAGGCCTGAGGTTGCTGACCAACTCCTGCAAGAGTTTTGGGTCGTCAATGTCGTGGTAAAATTTGTCCTCTGGCGTTTCAGGCATCAGAGATTTCCCATCACTTGAAAACTTGAACCATGGTAGTGGTTGACCTCCCAATCCATCCATCAGACATACACCTTCTTCCACTGCAAACGCGCAACAGTAAATCAAGTGTACGATACCTCTGTTTCGCCCAGTTGATGAACGGTCGGACTTCAAAAGACCTTTACAGGCTGATGTTCCCGGTATACCGCCATAGGAATGGAAGAGGATAACAATATCGGAGCCTTCATCGGAGTGTCTACTGATGGCGGAAGCGATAGCCTGCACGTCGGCATCGAAAGTCATCTGTGGTGGAGAGGAGCCAACTGAAGGTAGCGAGATCCCTTCGACAATATAACCGTGTTGTGTCAGATAGTTTGTCAGTGGCGCGAAGCCAGATGGGGAATGCCAGGCGCCAGGAACGAGGAGAATAACTGGTTTCGTCATTTTCAAATGTTTTAGCAGAAAGTCCCCTTCAAAAGCTTCTGGCGATACTGATGCGTCCTCGTGCTTTTATAATGCATATGGCGATGTATTTAAACCCTTTATGCTTTAAATTTTCGGTACAGCACTTCGAGTCTGGGCAGCACCAGCTCCTCGTTTGAGAAAGACGAATGCAACGCTGGAAGAATGCTTCAGCGTAGACTCGATGGACTTATGGATTCAAGCAGCGCGAACGTCTAACCCTGTCAGTTCGTTTTCTGACGATCAGGCCTGGCATGATCATATGCTAACCCAAGAACACCTGCACGCAACCCGGGCTACTGGTATTTGCCTCTAACGCAGCCGAAATCCTTGCCGAAGAGCAGGATTATGGTTCTGGCTCCGCGGATTAGCACTACTCCGAAGGTTTGTCATCCTGGAGAAAACCCTCCTGGAGCAGCTTCCGGTTTGCGGCTCGACACCTTGATACAGACGCAGCCGTACTGCTCTCGAGAGATGCATCTCCGGTTCTGAGCCATCGTAATCCTCTGGACAGCCATGTTGTACAGTGCAATTGCTACGATATCTCTCGGTCGGGCGTCGGCCGGCCACAGTCTGCCAACAAAGATCCAACGAGCAGCATCAGCAGGCTTTTCGGGTTTAGAAATATTCTACGAATGTTTGGACTTTTTCGCCCGCGAAATCGAAGGCCTTGACACTGAGCCGTCCCATAAAGGATTGCTTGAGGCTGCTCGACGTGTTCGCGCAATATGCGACAATCTCCAGCTCGCGGTCGTTTGCCTGCAGCCTTTCATGTTCTTTGAAGGTCTGGTAGACGTGAAGGAACGAGAAGAAAAGTTTGTGCTCTTGCAGTTCTGGTTCGAGCTTTGCAGAGAACTTGGCACCGACCTGATCCAGATACCCTCGAATTTCCAATCTCACGGCACAACGGGGGACATGGAACGTGTTGTGACGGACTTGAGAACTGCCGCCCAGTCGGGCTTGGAACAATCGCCACCTGTGCGATTTGCCTACGAGGCAGTTTCCTGGGCAAATTATTACGACCTTTGGGAACAAAGCTGGGCCATTACAAAACAAGTTAACATGCCAAACTTCGGTCTTTGTCTCGATGTGTTCCATTTCGCGGGACGCGTGTGGGCGGATCCTTCGGCAGCGTCAGGTGTGAACGAACATTGTGATGAACAGCTAAATAGATCTCTTGAGCAGCTTGTGCGAGAAGTGGATCCAGTGAAGATATTTTACGTTCAAGTTGGAGATGCTGAACGACTCGAAAGGCCAATCGTTCCTGGTCATCCCTTTTTCCAGGAGGGTGTAAAGCCGAGAATGAGCTGGTCTAGAAATGCCCGTCTTTTCGCGTTTGAAAGACACCTCCGTGGCTGTTTGCCTGTGGAGAAAGTCTGCCAGGCAATCTTTGTGCGGCTGGCATGGCAAGGCTGGGTCAGTATGGAGATGTTTCACAAATCTTTGTATGGGACGGAAAGCACTTTGGTGGACCATATGGCTGAGAGGGCGGAGGCTTCATGGTCAAATTTCAGACTCTTTGTCGAGTCGAGCAAGCCATAAACTGGGTAACAAGTCTACATATCTCAGCTTTTGTGGATAGGTACAGAGCTTCAGCCCATTGGTCTTACTATCGCAACTTTCTAAATGCCTTATTGCAAGGCTCAGATAACGACTTGAAGCGCTCATGGATTCTAAAGTACGCTAAAGACCTGATAGTTGTTCCACAGAGCACGAATTTCCAGTCTCCAAGCTTCTAAATACCGCCTCCGTGACAAGAACCGCTCTCAATGCATCTTCTACCGAGCAGTTTGGCTCAGCTTCCCGTCGAGCGACGGCGATGAAATGTTTCAATTGGTTTTCAAAGGCAGGGACGTTGTCAATCACCTTCTTCGCACTTCCATCTTGTTGCAGAGGAAATTTCCAATTCCTTTCGCTTTCTGGCATCCCGTCGTAGTGGTAGCGTATCCTGAGAACATGAGTCTGGGAGCAGTAGAGGAAGGGTATGTACTCACATCGACGGCATACTGATGGAGCCTTTTGTGCCAAAAATGGTCAGGAAATCTTCACCGGTAGCAGAGAAGACTGGGTTGTCTCCTGTTGCCGCTTCCCATGACTGATGAGAAGCACTTGCACTGCTACAGTTTTATTTCATCGTTCTCATGCAAAATCAGAGGACTCACTCTGTGAAGAGAAACGAAGCCAACACACCCGACGAAAATTTGAATGTGGTGTGGGTTGTCTGGTCCACTTTAATGGGTCGTGGTTTTGGTCCTTCCATCGCAAAGACTTCTTCGATCGGTCCCAGCCAATATTGCAACATATCGATTTCATGAATGGCGTTTGTCAAGATCTGATACAGTCAGCAGAGCAGGGATGGTCGTGAGCGAGTGTCCATACCACACCGCCAAATCCGGGTTGGGTATGCCATGGGATATCGTAGTACCCATCATGCTTTCTCATTGCCCAGACTATCAAGCCGTAAGTATCAGCGTGTACTGATCGTCGAGATTTCATACCTCCATTCACAGCAACCACCCGTCCTAATTTCTCCTTTTCCAGGATGTCCTTCACGGCCCTGACATATGCATTGTGTCTTCGATGGTGTCCAACCATGTATACGTTGCTCCTATCCTTCTTTGACGCGGAGAGCATCTGTTTTCCATCACTCCCGGTCGTTGAGAGCGGCTTCTCAATCAACAGAGCTAGTCCACTGCCAGCAAATAGTTGACACAAAGCCATGTGAGTCTGCGTGGGCGTAGCAAGTATGATCGCATCTACTGCCAGTGAGCCTGACTTGTGGGCATCTAACAAGTTCTCTACGGACTCGTAGGCGGGCACTCCGTGCTGTGCTGCTATGCCTGCCACAGAAGAGTTGTTGTCGCTGAAATAGTTAGACTTTCTCCCGTTTCGATATGCGTGATGCTTACACAAGAGCGGCCAGTTCTGCATCAGAGAGTTAGCAGGGATCACCGAGGAGACACGGACATCGACTTGCGGCATTCTTTCTCTTCCAGCACATAACGCAAATGAGCCTGCCCAATGAATCCGCTGGAGCCCACGATAGCCTGTAATCCTACTTAGCCCACTTCTGTGACGGTAACTAGGGTGGTCTCACGATGCGGACTGGCCTCTGTGAGTGCTCTCCCATGTTCCATTAATTTCAATTGACGGACCGATACTATGCTTTTTCGTCTGGAAGTAGATCTGCACTTTGATATTAAAGTATGCTACACAGCGTAGAATTAGTTATATTTACCGGAGTTTTGATAAGCCGAAAGGACTAGTGTCCGGGAATGCACTGGACCAGCTCCACTATTTTTCGTTCCCATCCCCAGTGCCCGTCACAGCTCGATACCCGCAAGATTGTCATCTTCGTGCGGGTTGCTGGTCCGTCAACATAGGGCGACTGGAAGACTGGCTCCCTAGCAATCGGTTCACGCACTGGCGCTACGTGTAGATCAATCTCAATCTTGCGAGACTCAGTAGCCGTTTAGGATACATTATTACAGTCAGCAGGACCCGAACTCTGTCAGACTGATTGCAAAGGTTCCGAATTGCTCAATTCTAACTACGGATGGCTAGAATTTGTGCCACGTCCGCAGTGGACGACGTCGATGAAAGTAGTCCTGTCTCGTCGAAACTTTCTTCAGCCCTCCTTTTTGGCATTGTTTCATCTGCCCAATGAGCGGACCAACGCCATGACCGTTCCGATAAAGTTTCCTTGGTCCAGAAGTATCTATCCCCAGACAAATGTTTCCGGGAAGAGTGAAAAGCCGGGACTTTCGAGTGCGGGCGAGAACCAAGATATGGAGGGAAGGCGGGGAGTATATTAGTCGTCTTCACTAAAGTCTTCGCTTTCGTCGTCACTTTCTCTCAACCTCCTTTTACAATCACAGATTAGGGAAAATTTATTCGATCCATCATCAGCTATCACCATGGGCTTACGAGGAACACGGCTGCAGTTGCTCCTTAATGTTGCTGGAGGCTTTGCTTTCCTTCTCTTCGGATAGTATGCGCAATACTTACCACTATACCCGATTCGCAAGCTGACTGATGAACAGTGACAATGGTGTTATGGGTGGCCTCGTGGCGCTGCCGCAGTTCCAAGAGCGTTTTCACCACCCAAATCCTACTCTTTTGGGCTTCATTGTTGGTAGTTACGACGTGAGCCCTCTCCTTCGTGTTCTCCATTTGTAGGCTGAACTTCCCTACAGGTCGGCGCACTTCTCGGTTCCTGCTTGGTATTCACCATGGGACAAATACTTGGACGCAAGTGGAACATCTTCTGGGGTTGCAATATTGTCTTGATTGGCGCAGCTATACAGGCATCTTCTTATTCCGTGGCTCAGCTCATAGGTGTGCAAGTAACAATTCAGAACTTGTGGCTGTTTCTGATGGAATACAGTTGGGAGAATCGTTGCAGGTCTCGGGGTTGGCATCATCTCTACCATGGTCAGTCACACTCATTTTGAACAAGCTGCCGGCTCACATCTGTCAGGTTCCGATGTGGATTGCGGAATGTAGTCACGTCAATCGACGAGGTGTCGCTATCGTCCTCAACTGTTCACTTGTTATCGTGGTAAGCTAAGACAATCATGGTCTGGAGTGTTCTCACACATCCCAGGGTATTGTCATCGCCAGTTTCTCGAACTACGGCCTTGTCTTCTCGTGGCCGAGTCATGAAGGACAGGACATAGTATGGAGAACAGCCCTTGCTCGTGAGTTTACTCTACCAGCCGATGAAATGTCCTGACTAGCTAGCAGTCCAAATGATCTTTCCTCTGTTTGTCTACGTCATGTTGCCGTTCTGCCCAGAAAGTCCAAGATGGCTTGCGGCTAAGGGTGCCTCCGTGTCAACTGTTGCTTCCGTTCTATCGTTGTTAGATGGCAAAGATGTTCCAGAGACAGCCCCGCATATCGTTACGAAGGCTGAAGAAATCGTTGCAGTTGCACAGCATGAGGCCGAGCTCGGTACATCGTGGGCGCAGGTTTGTTCTGAGCACACAACTCAAGACTCTCCACTAACAATGGCCAGGTTTTCGGTGGTGGAGAGTTGCAAAACGGTCGACGCTTATTCCTAAGTGGTTTTGTTGTCGGACTTCTACAACAGGTATGTGAGATCACGTTTCTAAGGTTCTGTACTGATAGTCAAACCTTTTAGGTTACTGGGGTCAATGCCATTGTCTACTATGCTCCCGTGGTGTTCCAAGATGCCGGATTGAATCCCAAGAACTCCTTTATTCTTGGAGGTGCTGGCAGCGTCGCCATGCTTATCGGGACTGCACTACCTGCTTTGGTGAGTGATACAATGGAATACTTGAGCCGAGATCTAACTCTTCCCAGTGGGTCGAGAAAGCCGGACGCCGCAAGACACTTTTGATCAGTGCAGCTCTCGAAGCTTTCACCATGGCCGGCATTGCGGCAAGTATTGGCTGGGGTATCAATCACCCTGAAGATCGTACTTCAGCAGGATGGGCGGCAACCGCATTCATTCTAGCCTTCGAATTCTGTTTTGGTCTTGGGTAAGACATCAACCCTACTGTTGTAGCAACGTTATACTGACATACTCCAGCGTCTGCTCAATGCCCTAGTGAGATGACCCTGCCGGTCTACGTTCTTCAAAGCTGAGATCTCTAGTGTGTATGCCCCGGAAGTCAACTCTTTGCGATCCCGTCACAGAGGCAACGCTGTCCAGACAATGGGTCTTTGGGGTGGAGGCTTTCTCAGTAAGTGCTGAGATCTGCTCCTGCCTTCCATCCTCTAACATAGTCTTTAGTCGTCATGGTCTCTCCACCAGGTGTCGCAAACCTCTCCTGGTGCGTCAAATTTATTCCTCTTTACATCATCTCTGACCGAAAACAGGAAATACTACCTAATTTGGGTGGTTATAACTTTAGTCTGGATTCCGATGGTCTGGGCTTTCTGTCCAGAAACAGTATGCTCTCTTCTACTTATGGTTATTGTTATACTAATCACTCTCTTTTTAGGCCGGCCGAAGCTTGGAAGAAATGGACTACTTCTTCAAGAAGTACCAGAACAAATGGTATATCCGGGACGTTGCTCACGAACGTATGTCACAAGAAGATGTTATGTCAGTTCATGAGGAAACAAAAGGCATTGAAGAACAGATCGAGGTGTCGGAGAAGCATGCTACCGCCCTGTTGTAGCTGCTGCTTCGTGGCACTATAGATGTATAGCGAGCTTTAGGGGTATGCTCTATGGAGGGCTATTTCGGTAAAACCAAAGCGGAAATGTAGCTTAAGAGAAGTCAATTTTGGCCATAGTATATATGGCTATCACTCGACTGCCAGTTAGACGAAAATGGTAACATTTAGATCCCCAGCCAAGGCGGCTCATCACTTCCAGGAGAACAGGAACCCGTCTCATGCCTAGCGGACCGCGCTACTGAGCTTGAGGCTATTTAACGTAGAAGAAGCCCATCTCGACGTATGCGGCTATCGAGTAGCCGAGTCCGATGTTGAGGCTGTTGAGCCCAATAAAGAAATTGCGCAGTGCCAGCGGAGCAAGCTCAGCGCTATACGTAGGTGCTGCGATGTATGAATTGGATTTCCTATTTTTTTGTATCCGTTGTACAGTGGCTGCATTGACTGACAGCTAGAAAGCCCCAGCTTCCTATGCCAGCGAAAATTCTTGCAATAATGAATACGACCGTGCTCTTTGAACCGGAGAGTAAAGCGCCGCCTACCTTCCTGCCCCATTTGTCCATGATATAGACGGTGGTTAAGTCTTCCACCCAAGAAAAGATCCTGAGGTCGCCATGACTTTTCGCATGGCACGAAGCCCACGTGCTTAGCTCACAAGCATCCGTGACCCCAGATCTGACCGCAGTCATGAGAATACCAAAAACAATCAATAGCGACGGGCCGAGCCGCTCCACAGCGAGCGCCATCCTGCGTAGCATATCATTATCAGCAATAAACTACATTACCCTCGGACTGGTAACTCCAGAAATGGCAGCCCTATGCCATCTGATTCGATGCTATCCTGCTTTTGCAATAGTCCAAGCGTATTAGGCATATCTCAAAACCGCTAAGGACAACTGCTACTTTATTGAGAAGGTAAGCGAGTCTACCCCTGGCAGACCATGATGTTTCTGGACAGTTCAGCATCATCAGCTTATATTCGACCTTAGTTGGGATGCCCCTGTGAATTTGATGATAGTTCCGTTTGGGTACAAGCACTGATTTATCGTTTCTCCATGGGATATACAGGGGTACGGCTACCACGTTCAGCTATTGTGCTGCTCTGTCATATTTCTTTTGCATGCGCGAATTTTATGCCTCGCTGCGATCTGAGATGTTTCTTCTGTGGCTGCTGTCTCTTCACGCTGTAAACCCTGTGTGGACAATCTCCACTCGGCGGCTGTGGTCTTTCCAACAGCCACATTAGATCCTTTTTGCCCACGTTTATTATGTTCCTCTTGTAGAGTAGGTCGAATGAACAAGGTGGTGTCAACGGAAAGGATTTTCAACTGAGGGACGTCTGTGCTATATGTTGAGGTCTGTAGTCTCTCAAATTATACAATCGCCTATGTAACTGGAGAGGTTGATTGTCGTCAGGCGTGGTACTGTCTCCGAGGTTACAAGTTTCTGTTTGTCAACTCCTATGTAGGTTATAGTTTCCTAGACAATTGTGGCACTCTGACGAATACAGTGGTCAACCCATTTCGAAACGCGCCTAGCATCCACTTTGAATACCCTCATTCGTTGGAAAGATTTACTGCCCTACGGGTATAAGACTACACCGCGCCAGTCGTCTACTGGTTCGAACTTTCGACTTTTAGAATTCGGCCGCCAACCTGGTGGATCCCACGCGTCGTGAGCAGGCACGCTATCTGATTGGCTTGGCTTCAGTCATGCTCGACGTCGACCAAGGTATCTGAGAAGCGTACTCCCCTTCGATTGATAGCTTGTTCTCTGGGAGTGGTATATCAGTATTATTGCAACTCTCCGATCCTCTTTGCGCAAAAGTCTTTGCTATAGGCCTACAGGAGCTTCCTCCGGAAGGTGGAAATGGTGTCCTTTCACTTCACCAATAGCGAAAGCATTCGAATGTAACTCGCTGCTGCACTCCAGAATCTCGTGGTTATGGGTTTTAGCATTAACAAGGGCACTTTTTCCACCCAGCAGGCCGGTCTGCGGTAAATATCTGTCTGCGCTTGGGTATCTTGGGGCCCCTATCTGGGCGACCTGGGTATAGATCGCATCTACCGACAGCTCGAGCAAAAGGCCAGAAGTGAGATTGTCTCTGAGGCCCAGGTGCCGCTAGTGATCTCTGCCGGTATCTTCACAGCCATCAGCCTGCTCTGGTACGGCAGGTCTGCCCAGGCAAAAGCCCAGTAGTTCGTGCCGGATCTGGGCATTCTCGTCTTCAGCCTCGGCAAGGTCATGGCCACCCAGGCGTCACAAGCATATATGACTGATGCCTTTCTGCACGCTGTGGCAGCCAGTGTCGCTGGCTCTGGGCTTGGGGGGCTCAGCGGTACGCTTGGTGGACCGGGCCCGGATGAAGGTTCGAGGACTACCTAAGGAAGTCAAAAGAATACGGTCATGGGTGCGGTCATGAATAGCACTGCCAATACAATCAGTCCGTGCCCACTCGACGGTGGAATCACTCTCGGAAGATGCCATGTCCCTTCTGAGACAAATTTAGATGGTTCCCAACAGGTAATGCTAGCACAACGCTGTAGCTATGGATGTTGGCGGTACGCAAAAACGGGTTGTATAGTTTCGTACATCACCAGGTGTGTCCTGGAAGGTGGTAGATAGGGGGCGGATAGATTGATTCGCTCAGCGTATCAGAGACGGGATTACTGATCTGATTGTTTGTACATTCGATCGATAGGGTGCAGGTGCTTTTCGCTACTTGGTCTCTGGTTGGTTATTCAGTTTTCGTTTTGTGGTGCTGTAAGAATCTTATTCAATTGTCCCTGCACCCGTGTCTTCTAAATCGGGATTCAAGGTGTGATTCGGGAGGGGGGCAATAGATGCAAGTGGTAAAGGACCTACTTGTCACCACTTATGTTCTTGTATCTACGCGCTGCCGAGGCGCTAATCATCGCTCCATCTTTGCTCTAGTTACATCTCTTCGACCCTTGCCGCTCTCGAATGCCTGGGATCCCATAAGTATCGAATCTGGGAGGCGAGACTCGCACTTGCTTAACCGAGCCACATGCTGTTGTATAGTAAGGCTACATATGGTGACATCCTCCACCCGCTTTTTCCTTGTGTTGACGCAAGATATGTGGTACAACTATCTAGACTAGCGGGCCTAGCGCTTCCGACAAGCTTTGGTGGCAGAACCACAGCCAATCAATAATATAGACGAAGCGCCGGGGCAGCGACCCCGGAGTAGAAGCTTTGTCGGTCATTAGCCGATTGGTAGATACAAATCGGCTCAAAATGCCGAAGCCCGTCAATCGTCTTCCAGTATAGCGGCCCCGCCTTAGAGCTCGGACCAAGTCTTGGAAGGTCCATGGCAGAGTCCCTCAAAGACTTGGAGGATACAAAAGTCCTGTCCAATATATAGTCCTCGCCACACCTCATCCATACCTCCTCCACGGCTACTGACCTGATCTACAGGCTGAAGTATCGAGCATCTCTTTCCCTTGAAAAAATGTCTAAGCCCCGTCGCTCGAAGCATCTGCCACAAGTAAGTCCTCCATGGTTGTAAGGCTGCATAATGAAGGAGGAAGTAACTAACCTTGTGAATGAAAGTATCGAGACGCCGACAACACAACCGCTCCATCTGATCCCGTGTACAACGGTGGCACACACTACATAGAGAATCCAGACAATTCTCTCGCCCTGACGAGAAACCAGCAAGGCTCAGGAACGAGTTTTGACACTGAAGACTCCATGAGTTCACATCCAGGTCAGGCGCCAAAAATGATACCTAGCAGCACAGACTTGGTATTTTCTGACAAATACGACTAGAAACTGGAATTGATGGGAGCGCGCCTCAGGACAATCTGACTCCGCCTGAGAGCGGCCCCAGCCACTTCTCTTGCGCGGAAATAGTCCTCAGAGATCTCCAGGTCCCTATGGTCACAATGCCAGCAAGCGGGCCTGCCACCAATGCTAGTAGGAAGGGTGCCATCAGCATCAATGGGGGCGTAGCAGTTGTGAATGGAATTGTCGGTGCCAACATTTGCGGCCAATTCATTGTTGGACAGCCCTAGCTCGCTTACCAGTGGCAAGGTGGTAGGCAATCAGCGCCAGTTCGAATTCGTTTTCAAATAGCCTTTTCTGTAATCACAAAACAATATATATCTGTAAGATAATCCACAACAGAGAAGGCCTATAACTATCCTTACTTCTGGACTCTTCCTCCTAGCGACATTTCAGGGATATTCCACTTTGTCCTCAATGTCTCGACCCACTCTCTACAGTTCACAATACGTTCCCCCTTCTCGCTTCTCTATACCTTCTTCTCGGCCTACGGTTAGATACTAATACTAGGATAATCCCTATAATAATTATACTATTTAATAGAGCTTCTAAAGATAAATATAATAATATATAACTTATCTCTCTAGGATCTCTCTAGCGTAAGATATTAAGCGTTAAAAGTAAGGTCTTTTCGTAGAATTATAGAAAGATTAGCTAAGCGTAATAATTCTTCACTAGAAATAACTAATCCGCTAAAAGCGTAATAATTCCCTATTAAAAATAACTAGTCCGCTAAAAGCGTAATAATTCCTAATTATAAAGTATAATATATATCTAGCTAGCTATTACTAACCTAAAATAGAATCTATTCGCTTTTATATAAGTTTTTTATATTAATATAATTTATAGAATATCTTTATATATTATTATATTTCTATAAGATAAATAATTATTTATTTTATTTATAAATATATACTTAATATAAATAAATCTATTAAATATTTATATATATAAATATTATTCTATTTAGATTTTAATATTATTATCTTATTAAAATCCTTATAATTCTTTTATCTTTTTTATCTTTTTTATTTATTTTTATATTCTACTTCTTCTACTTTCTTTATATAAATATTTCTCGAGATTATTTATAATATTATTATTATCTATTATATTATATAAATAATTATTTATATTAATAAATTAATAAAATATATTTAAGAGATCTTTATATAATCTCTAACTAAGTAATTTATTATATAAATATTATTTAAACTAAATTTACTAAAATAATCTATAAATAAATCTATTTATAATCTTAAAATCTATATTCTAGATATATAAACTTTCTATCTTAATAGAATAAATAATTATTTATTTTTCTATCTAGAGTTTATATCTCTATTTATTATTAACTAACGCGATCTTTTCTAGCGATCTTTATTTAAGGAATTTCTATATTTTAGTCTTAATTATTATAATAATTATCTTAATTACTAGTTTTATTCTATTAATCTTCTCGCGATATTTAAGCTTTTTATAATAGATATTTATAGAAATATCTATTAATTTACTAATTTAATTAAGTTTTATATATTCTAAATTAGAGTAATTTCTTTTAATATTTATATTAATTAATATATTCTTAACTTTCTTAATAATCTAGATAAAATTAAAGATAACTTTAGTCGCGATAAATAAATTCTTTAGATTACTTAATATCTTAACTATCCGCTCTAATTTATAAACTTTCTCCGATACTATATAGAAAAGCGTTTATATAGAGATAAATAATTCTTCTATTATTTATATCTTAATTAAGACTTTCTATTCCACTTTCTAGAGTTAAATCTCGAAGATATTATATAGGATAACTTAAAGAAAATATTTAGATCTTAATAAATTATCTATAAGTTAAATTATTAATCTCTTCGCTATTATATAAAATAAATAATTATTTATTTTCTAATTCTCGCTTATATATTAATATCTTTAGTTTCTAATTTATAATATAATTCTTCTTTCTTTCTTATTATATAAAGTATAAAATAATAATATATATCTTTCTTTTTATAACTATATTTAGAACTATAAGATAAAAAACTAATAATTAATCGCTCTTCTTCTTTTCTAGTTTTAACGAGAGAAAATAAAAGAAAAAGTAATAAAGAAAATAAGAGAAGAAGTAGAGAAGAAATAAGAGAAAAATAAATTCTATTTCTTTATTATTAATAATATTTTCTTTATAATTATTATTAATTTAAAAATATATAACTTCTTAATAAGATTTATTCGCTAAAAGTATCTTCTTTTTCTAGAGATAAAGTAAATTCTATAGTTAATGATAAGATAGTATTCTAACTATCTAATAGCGAACTATTTCTATATTTATCTTTATTATCTCGATTAAATCGGGGATTTTTCGTAAATTACTCTAGATTAATCTTCTTATTATTTATTCTTTTTATATAGACTTTATTAGAATTCTAATCTAGATTAAATAAATAAATAATAATCTAGTAAAGAAGATTAAGAACTTCGATAATAAAGAATATAAATCTAATCTAGAATAGTATAGTTAATAAATATTTTATAGTATAAAGAAAAATAACTAAAGGATAGAAATATCAGAGCTACTCCTATACTACCTAAGCGAGTTAGGTTCCTCAGTTATAGTCCCTAACCTCTCATGAAATGGTCTTCCACCGTAGAATACCATTCCGAATAGGTATAGCGGCGTCCTAATTAGGAAGTAACTATTTTAATTGGTATTCCACTAGTTTAATTAGTATTCCACTAGTTTTAATTGGTATTCCACTAGTTATCTTTTTTATATAGTATCTAGATATAATTTTAGACTAAATACTAGCGTAAGTTAATAGTATACTAACCTATTTAGGAAATAAATAAATAATTTCAATTTATACTATATTTAAATAGTATTTCACTATCTATCTTCTATATATAGTATCTAGATATAATTTTAGACTAGATATTAGCGTAAGTT